ACCTGAGTACCTAATACCTACTAGGTACTAACTACTACCTACTAACTCCTACTAATCCAAAGCAAATCGTACCATGAAACGCAGGATCTGTTAGCGTCTTCTGGGATAGGAATTGGGCACATTATGCGCCCCGGAAGAAAATTTTCTCCCTCAACCGACGCGGCTGGCATCTTGCTCGCCAAATCAATTTCAATCTGCTACTGAACAGGTACACTAGGATCGCTCCTGACCACTGACCGAGAGCTTAGTTGGGTGATGGATAGCCTCAGATTGCCCCCCGGGACGTTCCGTCGTGCGACAGCTGCATGAAAAGAATGCGAGCGATGGTCTCTGGAGCGAATGACATGGCCAGCCAAGCCACGAAGGTCCGTGGGGGTTTCCTCGTTAGCTGCAGTAGGGTCGGACAAAGGCTGGTTGATTCAAGCGAAAGGATTGAAGAGTCGCAGAAAATGTCAGTACTTGGACTAGGTACACAAAGATACATAGTTACTGAAAATGACTTGGTAAGTTAGTAGTGGTTCTACTATACGGCGACTGCTGGAAGTACTTCTGATCAGTATTTTAGTAGTAGTGGTAGTAGTGGTAGTAGTAGTAGTAGTACTACTACTTAACTATATCATTCAGTACGTAGTTAGTACTCAATTACTCGCTGATCATCGGGTACTCACCAGGTACCTTGAACCTGGAGAGGCGAGTCGAAAAGCACAGGCCGCTCGGTCTTTCATGCATTCAGTACTCCGGACAGCCTAGGCTCGTAATAATAATCTGCAACTTACTGAATATCTCGACTGACCAGCAACTACGCCGACTACAGTACTAGCGATACTGGCAAAGGATCTAGTCCTCACAGCAGACAATTGCAATAATCCACAACACAATTACTTGCTTGACCATTCCAGTCCGTATGGACCCTAGCGTCACCTCGGCCGAAGGAATCTCAAAGTTGGGCACTATTGATGAACTACCTAAATAAATGCAGATTGGATACGCTTCGGATTCTTGACATTTCTACTCTTCTTAGATTGCGCAAGGTCACGTCTCCAAAATAGTCATCAGCGTGAGTGCCAGAGTACGGCGTACATACTACAGAGTACAGACTACTGTAGTAGACTACCAAGTACCGCGTACAGGCGAGTCACTGCACCTACGCAATTAACTCGACTAGCGTCTTCCTCGAGCGCACCCGCCTCGGATTCACTCTGGTTGAAGTGAATCTGAGTTTTTTTCTTTTTCTTTTCATGTTGTTTTGACGGAACCTTTGGGGGGACATGCTCGTAGTCCCCATTAAATTTCTTTTCCTCATTTCCCTTTTCTGATCTCCCGGGTCTTTCCCCCAGGCCCGCCCGAGAAAAACTTGGTCCTGTACCTGTCCGGACCTTGTTAAGCTTGAAATTTTTTTTTCTGCCACGGGTGTTCTCAGTGACCTCCTTTAAATCGGCATTGCCTGTCTCAACTCTGTCATTTTTCTCCTCCTCCTCTTGGTGTCTTCCACTCCTTGGATCCTTTCTGTCTTTCCTTCGGTGCCGCAGTTCCCTGTAAAGCGTCCTTTGTGAACCTAACGGGCCGAGAACGAGCAGTTGCACGCCTCACCGAGAGCTAGTCTCGTCTGACTTTCTCCGCTTTGGACCCTCTCCAGCCACCCATGGGGTAAAGGCCCCTCCGCAGAATCGTCTCCAGAAATACTCCAAAAGAGAAGCCCAAGATCCAAACATCCCAAGACCAGAAGACCGAAGCGCAAGGCGTCCGGGAACCAACCACATCCCCTCGACCGTGTCCAAGACCTGCTCCTTCGGCCCAGAACCAGAGGAGACGCAGACCCGACCAGGGCTAGCCGTCGCAACAAGATCCCGAGACCATCCCCCCCCCCCCCCCCCCGCGCACAGGCCACCCAGACCGAGTCCGGAGCTCCATTCCCCGTCCAGAGCTTCAACGGTTCGCTGCTGCGCTCAGACGACTACTTCTCTCCTCCCCTCGTCTATTCGCCCCCTCTCCTCCTCCGCACCCTCGTTCGGTCGGTGATTATCTTCTTCTCCTCTACATCTTCTCCTCCCTCGTAATTGCCACTCTCATCCCAAGTTGCGCTGAATTGGTGTCTACACCACCTGCTTTCACACTCATCTAATTCCCATCGGGCATCCAATCGCTCTCGAGCTTTCTGCCCGCCATGGCCGACGAAAACGGAACTGAGCCCATCAAGCGTGATGTGCGGAATCATATGCTCTTTGAGATCGCCACCGAGGTAGCCAACCGTGTGGGCGGTATCTACTCGGTGCTCAAGTCAAAAGCGCCCGTCACCACCGCCGAGTATGGTGAGCGCTACACTTTGATCGGCCCGCTGAACAAAGCGTCGGCGGCCGTCGAGGTCGAGGAATTGACCCCCTCCAGCCCCGCCATGCGCGAGACCATCAAGTCTATGCAGGAGCGTGGGGTCGAGATTGTCTACGGTCGCTGGTTGATCGAGGGTGCTCCTCGTGTCCTGCTGATCAACACGGGCACGGGCTACCGCTGGCTGGACGAGTGGAAGGGTGATCTCTGGAACACATCCGGGATTCCCTCCCCCTCGGCCGATAACGAGACCAATGAAGCGATCGTGTTTGGATACCTGGTCGCTTGGTTCTTGGGCGAGGTACGTTTTCCATCTTGGCGTTGTCGCACCTATCGTGGTGACCCCCGCAGTCGAGAGAATCTTCCCCGCCTGCGTCTGCGAAGATGGGGAACAGCGCTTGACTGACTCTTATTCTTGTCATTTGTATAGTATATCGCACACGAGCGTCGTCGCGCTGTGGTTGCCCATTTCCACGAATGGCTGGCCGGTGTTGCGCTTCCCTTGACCAAGAAGCGACACATGGACTTGACCACCATCTTCACCACCCACGCCACGCTGCTGGGTCGTTACCTTTGCGCCGGATCGGTAGACTTCTACAACAACCTTCAGTACTTTGACGTCGATGCCGAGGCTGGCAAACGTGGAATCTATCACCGCTACTGCATCGAGCGTGCGGCAGCCCACAGCGCCGATGTGTTCACCACCGTGTCTCACATCACGGCCTTTGAGAGTGAGCACTTGCTCAAGCGCAAGCCCGACGGAGTCTTGCCCAACGGTCTCAATGTCAAGAAATTCTCCGCCATGCACGAGTTCCAGAACCTGCACTCGCAAGCCAAGGAGAAGATCAATGACTTTGTCCGTGGACACTTCTACGGCCACAATGACTTTGACCTGAACAACACCCTTTACCTCTTCACTGCTGGTCGGTATGAGTACCGCAACAAGGGTGTCGATATGTTCATCGAGGGTCTGGCGCGTCTGAACCACCGCCTCAAGTCCAGCGGCTCGACGACTACAGTCGTCGCGTTCATCATTATGCCTGCCCAAACCTCATCTCTCACCGTCGAGTCTCTCAAGGGTCAAGCGGTGGTGAAGTCTCTGCGGGACACCATTGAGAACATCGAGAAGGGAATCGGTAAACGCATGTACGAGCGCTGCCTGGAATGGAAGGAAGGTGAGAACATGCCGGACGAGAAGGATCTGATCACAAGTCAAGACCGCGTCTTGCTGCGTCGTCGTCTGTTTGCGATGAAGCGCCACGGCCTGCCCCCAATTGTCACGCACAATATGGTGAATGACTCCGAGGATCCCATTCTGAACCAGCTGCGTCGGGTGGAGCTGTTCAACAACTCGTACGATCGGGTCAAGATCGTCTTCCATCCCGAATTCCTCAATTCCTCCAATCCCGTGCTCCCCCTGGACTATGACGACTTCGTCCGCGGTACCCATCTGGGTGTCTTCCCCTCCTACTATGAGCCCTGGGGCTACACCCCCGCCGAGTGCACCGTCATGGGGGTCCCCAGTATCACGACCAACCTGTCCGGATTCGGATGTTACATGGAGGAGTTGATCGAGAATTCCTCCGACTACGGTATTTACATTGTGGATCGTCGCGCCAAGGGTGTCGACGACTCAGTGAACCAATTGACCGACTTCATGTACCAATTCACTCTGAAGAGCCGTCGTCAACGCATCAATCAGCGCAACCGTACCGAGCGACTGAGCGATCTTCTGGACTGGAAGCGCATGGGTCTGGAATATGTCAAGGCTCGCCAGCTGGCATTGCGCCGAGGTAAGAACTCCCCGTTTCGTCAAATTTGCTTGCTTGATCCCACTTGTACTTTTTTGTTCATGACGGTGACTGACGATCATTCCTCCAATAGCTTATCCCTCCTCATTCGACGAAGCGGAAGATTACTTTGACATGATCGGCGGAACCGATCAGAAGGTCTCGCGCCCCTTGTCTGTACCGGGATCTCCTCGGGACCGCTCTGGCATGATGACCCCCGGTGACTTTGCCTCGCTCCAAGAGGGTCGCGAGGGTCTGAGCACGGAAGACTATATTGCGTGGAAGCTGCCGTAAGTTCGAGCTCTTGCTGCCCACCTAGGCTTTTTTTTTTGGTGCACGAGGAAAACTAACCGCCATGTTTCTATTGCAGTGAGGAGGAGGAGCCCGATGACCATTTCTACCCTCTGACCCTGCGTCAGCGCAAGCCGAGTGACCGACCCCAGTCCCCCCTGGACAGTATCTCGGTCAACGGAGGCCGTGAGAGCCCCAAGGCTTAGCTGTGAATGATCGCTGTCTTTCATAACCGTCCAGCTTGATCCCGTTGCACTGGACCACCTCGTTCTCAATTCCCCAATGCGCCTGCGAATGATGACTTTTCGTCGTTCTTAATGTCTCGTCCTCTATTCTTGCTCTTCGCTTCTTCATGTCGTGTCATTCCTCCGTCGGAGATCAATTATCTTGTTACTCTGCACTTGTTGTGCAGCCGATCTTTGGAGGGACCCAACTGGACGCGTCTTCCGTTGATCCCTGTCTGTTCAACCTCAACCCCCTCCCCGCTACTGTGACCTGATGTCCAACCACCTCTCCGTGTAATCTTTGTCCTTCTCTGGTCTGGTCTGGTCCCGCGCGTCGATGCATTTGAAGCCTTTTGTTTTTCCTACGGTTCTATTGGACAACACGTTTGCTCTTGCTCTGTATTTTCCCTGTCAATTTCAGTCCCAAAGAGTCCAATGTACCCTTATATGCAATGACTATGGCTATTGTCTTTGGCTGTTCTTCCTTTGTCGATTAGCTTCTGATCTCCAAAAGAAAAATTGATATCTCTGTTCATTTTAGAGGATCATGCAGAGGAGTTGTCAGTCGTAGGTAGTAGGTAGTAAGGTACTACGCACTCAGGCCATTTGCTTCTTCTTCTTCTTCTTCTTCTTCTTCTGCTGAGTATCGGTGCTCGCGGTTCAAGTCGGACGCACGAAAGTGGACTCCGGAGGGATAGACTTTCCAACCAGCCCAATCATGCCGACGGAGCTTCAGTATGCTCCGGTGAGTCTTTTGATAATATTGCGTACAACAGTCATCATCGGCTCCCCCCACCTGGCCGAACACGTCTTGATGATGTGCTCCGATTCGCAAATCCCTGGAAAGGGTCCATTCGGCGCGGGGCTCTCTGCTCCGATTGACAGGGCGGGGAGGGGAGAGTGTGAATCAGATAAGTACTCGGTCGTCGTTCGTTGAACTTAGCGGTGCTCTTGTTTGCATCTTCCTTCCCGACTGCCATTTCGTCTTCTACCATTTTGAAACGATCACCCGTAGTCGACAGAAACAACCTTCAAACACCGGTACGATTGTACAGCTGTACGATCATGAAGCCGCGCACGTCTTGACCCTCGCGCAGAGCAGCGAGTTGCTCCCGCGAGGCTCGGACCAAGTCCACGCTACAGGTTATTCCAACAATGGATTGAGGTATTGTACCAAGTATAACAGTCACTGCCGACACGCATGACAGGTGTTCGGTTCCAGTTGTGTCTCTGAGATCTGTCCGCTTGTTCAGTGTATCATTGAGAGATGCTGGATTCAAGAGTCAAGAGCTCGAGGCATGAGTGGGATCGTTCTGAGATTATACTGTCAAAACTTGATCTAGATAATACTAGCGAAAGGACATGCGTGACTCTTGATTGTTTGCCCCCCTTTTTGTGGTTGTGGGTGATTCCGGTTGTCGAATTCCAATACTTGATCTTCTCGAATGGGACCGTTTCGGTTCTCATGCGAAGAGGGCCGAGAATTGAATGGCAACAGGAATTACCTTTGATCTTTGGCATACTGACTTGTTTTTGGTCAAAGATTTTCGATAGCAAAAACCCGTCCAAGATGGCCACTGACAAGATCACCTTTTTGACCAACTGGTATGGCTGACCTGGGAAACAGAACCACTTCATTCCACTCAGGATCTTTGCTGCTTGGCTATGATCCCGTGTGAATTACCACGAAGCCGTAAGCTAAGTATGGTTTTATCCAGGCACGCTACTCCGTACCACGCACCGTTGTATCTCGCCCAGTCTCGCGGCTACTTCAAAGATGAGGGCCTGAAAGTCGCCCTGCTCGAACCGAATGATCCGTCCGATGTCACCGAGATTATCGGCAGTGGCAAGGTGGACATGGGATTCAAGGCCATGATTCATACCCTCGCTGTACGTTTCACGATCATCTCAAAAGATATAAAACCATACGCGCTCAAAAGTCTCTACCAGTGCACGTGAAAAGAGGAATGATTCAACTGACAATTTACTCAAGGCCAAGGCTCGCAACTTCCCCGTGACCTCGATTGGCTCGCTACTGGACGAGCCCTTCACGGGCGTCGTCTACCTCAAGTCCTCCGGTATCACCACCGACTTCAAGTCCCTCAAGGGTAAACGAATTGGCTACGTCGGTGAATTCGGCAAGATCCAAATCGACGAATTGACCAAGTACTACGGCATGACCGCAGACGACTACACCGCCGTCCGTTGCGGTATGAACGTCACCAAGGCCATCATTCGCGGCGACATTGACGCCGGCATCGGTCTGGAAAATGTCCAGATGGTCGAGCTGGAAGAATGGCTCGCTGGTCAGGGCCGGCCCCGCGACGACGTCCAGATGCTTCGCATCGATCAGCTCGCCGAGCTGGGCTGCTGCTGCTTCTGCTCCATCCTGTACATTGCCAACGATTCCTTCCTGGCCAGTAACCAAGAGAAAGTGGGCAAGTTCATGCGTGCTGTCAAGCGCGCGACCGACGCTGTCATTGCCGACCCCGCCGGAGCGTATGAGGAATACGTCGATTTCAAACCTGTCATGGGCACGGCGGTGAATCGAAAGATCTTTGAACGCTCGTATGCGTACTTTAGCCGTGACTTGAAGAATGTCGCTCGTGACTGGGACAAGGTCACGCGCTATGGCAAGCGTCTCGCGGTCTTGCCGGATGGATTCGAGCCCAATTATACCAATGCTTACTTGACGTGGGGTCTGGAGCCCGACTCGACTGATCCCGTGGGTGATCAGAAGCGCATGGTCGAGTTGCAGAAGGAAGTCGCTGAGAAGGGCGGTTTCAAGCGTTTGGAGGTCTCGGCCTCTGCTTAACTTGGCTGACAGCTGAAGAAGCTCACAACCTACTACTTGCTCGATCTGCCCTGACGCATGAAAGACAACACCCACTCTATTCATTCTTTACATGACTGATTACCTTCTGTGGCCCCTGCACTTTATTATTTGACTTGGGAGCCAACATTGATGCACACGAGATGGGAGAATCTAACCCGCGCGTGACATTCTTTAAACAACAAGATGAGATCGTTTCATCTCTGCCGGTCAAACTCCTCGTAGTCGGTAGACACGACCTCTTGACATGCTCAACCGGATGTAGAATTTGGCACAATGGTAGAACTCGTACTTTCAAATGCTCTTGAAGTCGGAACCCACGAAAGCGGAGCATGCCTACTTGAATCACCTGGCCATGACATACTTGCCCTCGCGTAGTATTTCCTATGCTATCCAAAGACTGAGCCGCTCTCGCCTGCTTCGAACGGAATACTCACAAAGGCAAGTCATCTGAAACGTGAATCTACAATTGACTCATCTGCAATGCCCCATTCACATGCCTGAAAAAGAAGCACCATAGATTCCTGTATACGAAAGCTCGACATTCAAAGCCACTACCCTATCGCCCCAACTTTCCTCGCCGTTCTCACTGTCGAATCAAGAGACTCCTTCTCCGCCAGTGTCAACTCAACCACCTTCTCCGACGATAAACACAGCACGTTATCCTCCTTGACCTCCCACGGACTTGGATTTTCGCTGTCAGCCGACTCGACAATAAAAGAGGTGAAGTTAACGGGTTGTAGCCGGGGATCATCGGAGAATTTGCTCGGAAGCAACCACCCATTGAACCAGAGTGGTCGACCATCCACGTCGAGGTGGAGCAGTTGAGGGGCGCATATAGAGAATGTCTTCTTGCTGGTGTCGACGATGGATATTGAGGAGGAGCTGGAATTGTCGTCTCTTGGGGTGTCGAAGTCTGGCGCGGGGCTGTACGTTGGTGAGTCTGGTTTTGCGACGCCGAGAATGGCTACTTTGCCATCGTGAAAGGCGTAGTTGGTGTCTCCGACGAGTTCGAAGCCGAGCCAGAAGGTCTCTTTGTCGCCTGTCAGGGAAAAGACGGAGATGCGTTAGATCGTTGCATTTATGATATTCAATGCCAGCACTTGAACAAGATGCACCCGACTCGGGAATGAGGAAAGCTTACCAAAAACCATGTCATAGACACCCACACGGCCTTCAAACGCATTTCCGTCACGATCTGGTCCATTCAGTCGAGTGATGACCATTAGAGGCACAAAATGCTTCCATTTATCCACCACAACGACCCCGGACTCCTGCATATGACTGCTTGTCCCGGTCCAGAATCGATTGCGTCGGATCTGAGCCGAGATGGGAGGGGGAGGATCCGTTTTAACCAGGCGAGCTTGGACGCCGGCTCGATGATTCGGTCTTTGAAGAAAAGTGCGCCTGTCCTCTGGTAGTCTGGGTGCAAGAACAGAATGGATGGATCGCGCAGAAACAACGAATCCGCATCGATGAAAATGGCCTCGCGGAAACTGGACAGCATGATTGCAAAGGGCTTCAGGGCCCAGCCTTTCAGTTTCCATCCTCGATCGTTGACGAGGGGACTGAGATCTCGCGTGATGACTCCCTTGATCTTTTCCAGTTTCCTCCGGTTCAGCCGGCCCAGATCCTCGTCTCCAAGATACATGACTTCAATGGGCAATTCACAGCCCATGTCCCGCAGAGATTGAATCGAGGTCAACAGGTAGGACGCTTGATGGTTTCCTCCCGTCAAGACGATCCCTTTCCCTCCACTCCAGAGCTGTGCATGCAAGGCGACCAAGTCTGGGAAATACGGCAACGTCCAGGCAAAGAGACGCTCTGATAGTGCCACGAAGTAGGAATGGAACTCTTCATACTTATGAATCAGAGCCGTGTGATCCATCTCCAGACGGGTTGCAATTTCCGGATTCTGCATGAGCTGTTGGAGTACATCACCTCGAAGACGGAGACGATTGTCAGAGGCGATCGTTTGCAAAGCTTCCCAAGCATCCAGCGCACTTTTGAACAGGCGCGCTCGAAGCCCTATCTCGCGAACCATGATTTCACCCGTACCTTCGATCGGGCCGATTGTGTCGATGATCTCAGGCGGGTCCGGTAGGGTCAAGAGCACATTCTCTAGAGATTCGACAAATTGGTCGAGTTCTTTGTCGACATCGTCGGGCCTTGTCTCTTTCACCTCGGCGTGAGATGTTGACTGATGAGTTTCCGAGGACACATCGAGCACTCGTGGCAGGGCGCTGTCTTCTTGCCCGGTCTTTATTGACCCGCTGTCAACCGACGACGACAGCGTCTCCTCTTTGCTCAAGGTGATCGAGTCTCGGGGACACGCCTGGCTGCGACTATTCTCAAGCGAGTACAGAGCTGTCCTACCCAGGTAGCCGAGGATGAATAAGAGGAGTGCAATCTGCAATGAGATCCGTTTTCGCCTGGGATAGCTCACGCGACGGTGATGGCTGGGTGACAGTGTCGGCTCATACATTTTGTCTCGTCGAAATGACATGAGCTTAGGGCTTGACGGTCGGTCCCCGGGAGGTGAATAGGACCCCATGGATGGCATGGGGTGTACGAGCAACTGCTTCAGAGATGAATCGGTCTTGTCATCAGTCTCGTGGTGCACAAAGAGACCTTGATGAAATGATTTTTATCAGTCCTGTCGATTCTGGCCTATACTCGAAAGGTCTCTGTACTGCCTTGGACGAACCTTGCAAGGACCGAGAAGGACGAGGAAAGACAGAAGTATGAACTTTACTACAAGGGTAGTGGAAGTGGCGATCTTCTCTCCAACTGCTAGGTCAGTTTTGGCCTCTGTATCGACATTGTGCATCCAGCAGAGCAAAGTCGGGCACGCGAGACTTGAACTCTCAATTCCCTCCCACTGGAATCGCACCGGACATATTAGACTTTATGGGCTGCGGACGAGGAGGGAAGAGAAAGAGACACATTGCCTGTCCGTTTTCTCCATCTCAGATTGCATTAGTACTAGTCTACTACAAGTGATCCAGTCCTTGTCATCACTCTACAATACGATTCATCCATCTCGCTCGGACCCCCATTTCCCCATTCTTTTCCCGCCAATTACTCTTTCAGGAAACGGAAGACACGCCGTGGGCCACTTCCTGACGGGGATGCCATCCTGCCTGAGGAGTGCGGGGAATCCGGGGATCAATCGGCGCCATGTCGTGTCCTGTCGAACCCAGCTTCCCTACAGATGTTGAACTTTTTTTTCTTCAGAGCATCTGCGACTAGTCGGAAGAAGGAAGTGACTTTCTGCACCTGTGATTCTTTCTCTTTCCGGACCGGTCGCCCGTTGCGCTGTGTATAAGAATTGATCCGGCATCGTTTGGGTGGAGTCATGCGATTTATGCAGAATGGGCAGAAACATGCATGGTCTAGACTCTAGAATGCTTTCCGAGTGTTGCTGCTCGAGTCTGGTTTCATGGTAAATAGCGTGTTTCGCCCAAGTATTCGGGCTGGCTCTATCGTAGAAATCAGTCCTCATGGTATAACTCGGGCAACTTCCTTCTGACTTGGTTTGCTGAGTAGAGCTCCCATTTGTTTTAGTCTGGGGACTTACGTGAATGATTCACCATCAAGTACTGTAGTAGTAGGCACTCACAACCCCAGGTCGGAGAGGCTATTGGATGCATCATGAAACATTCGAGGAACATTAAGCATGGATTTCCCCACTAGTCGATTGATTCTCAATCCGGGCGGAGTCGAAGATGGAAAGACTGTACATGCCGAGCAATTAGAATCGATCACGTCAAGACTTGTCCAGTCATTCTGGGCATCGAAAAGGTTCTTTTAAGAAGTCTCGAGTGGATTTATAGGACCATGCAGTTGGTTCTCTGTTGCGTATAGCTGTAGTATGCAAAGATCTGGCCATAGCACTTGGATGAGGTGTGGTACTCCTGCTCCTGTCTGTTGTCGTTGGCTTGGTCGCGGACTTTTGGTTTATCTAGCAATCCAGACAGTCTTTTGCGGAGAAAAGAACTCCCTCCAGCTCGTTTCCCCATGGCTGCCGAGAGTCCGAGACTGATTGTAGTGGTAGCAGTAGTTGTGTAAACCTGTAGTGAGTCTAGTCACTGTAGTCAGCAGTGTACGACTGTACGTACACTATTTTTCTTATGCCTGTTGTCAGTACTCAGTACTACAAGTACAAGTATCTCCTCATCTACAGATCACTTCCAGCTACGGGGAGCTGAAAAGCTTCCCTTCAAATTCGGTCCATACTCTATAAGTCCATAGTCCATTAATACGCTACTGGTCTACCGCTGACGTGATGCAAGGATTCCATGCAAGTCTCATCGCGCTGACAACCACCACGTCGATCGATTTTCATGGACAATACATTAAGCGGGCCGACATAACACCCCTATCTTTTAGCAGTGGCGATCCTCGTCCTCTCACTGCCTTCTTTTCTTCCCCACCCCCCTCTGCGTGACAATTGGGTATCTAATACATCTATTTGGTGCGCTTGTAAATCTTGCCAAGGAAGGACTCAAACACCTCCTTCTTCAGACCACTTTGCTCGTCCACAGCAGCGATCTTGGCCCGCAGCTCACCAACGACCTTCTCCTCGTACTCCTTGTAGGCCTTCTCCAGCTCCATCTCCTCAAAGATCTTCTTGACCTTGGCCTCCTGCACCTTGTCCTTGCGACCGTAGGCCGAGTCCAGCACCGCACGCTGCTCAGGGGTGGCCCGTGCAATGGCCTGGTTGATCAACCATGAGCACTTGTTGTCTTGGATATCCGTGCCGATCTTGCCAATGACAGACGGGTCACCAAAGTTGTCCAGGTAGTCATCCTGGATCTGGAAGTATTGACCCAGAGGAATGAGGATGTCGTGCGACTGCTTGAGGTTCTCCGGCGTCGCAAGCTGCAGGTACATCAGAGCCAGGGCAACGGGCAGGTAGAAGCTGTAGTAGGCGGTCTTGTAGGTGACAATGAACATGTACTTCTCCATGGAGAAGTTGTCCAAATCGACCTTGTCCTCGGGCGCAGTGATCAGATCACACAGCTGACCCAGCTCGGTTTGCCAGGTGGTCTCGTGGAAGAGCTCGACGAGGTCGATGTAGGCAGGGTGCGAGCGGAAGCGCTCTTTCAGGACCAGGTAGATGGACGATTCCAGCATGAAGGAATCGTTGATGGCGATCATGCCGACTCCCTCGTGGCGGTACCAGCAAGGCTGACCACGGCGAGTGATAGACCCATCCATCATGTCATCGCTGACCAGGAAGAAAGCCTGGAGCAGCTCCGTGAGCCAGCCGAGGATGCTCAGGTGTTGGAATTGCTCATCGGTCAGGGGCTTCTGGAGGAGGGCGAGACCCGTATCGGGCACGGACAGTCCGCGGTTGAGTTTGCCACCGGGGGTGTTGGCGAAGAGAGACTAGAGACAAAAGACATGTCAATTGCAATGTCCAATTTCCTCCCGAACATTTTCTTGTTTCGGTGAATTTGTGAAATTGGAGAAGAATTGGGGCCGCGCGGTAGCCTTACCTTCTCGAACCACTCGAGCGCATTGGCGGGGAGGTTATACTTCTTCGCATGAGCGAGAATATCCTTGGCCAGAGTGGGAAAGACCGCCTCAAAGTCGGCGCGCTTGGTAGTCGTAGCCATGATGAGAGTATGGATTGACAATTATCAGCCAGACAGCAGATGTCTCAGGAGAGGAGGGGGCCAGACTCGAACAAACAATCTACTTTTAGACTTTCAGCTCCCCGCGGGGAGGGGCGTGTTTGTTTCTTTTAGCTGGTTTGCACTGTTTGCCGCCTGTTCCATCGATCGCTGCTGCACGTCGATCTTGTTGCTGCCAGAATCTCTAGGCTGGCGACAGAGGAAGCGAAAAGTTTTGCGCAGTTGAAAACTTACCTCCCAGGAGGAAAAAGACACATACCTTTTGAACTCCAATCGGGTGACTTCAGTTCGGTGTGGCGCAAGTTCGATTGTGTCAACGACGCGCCAAGCCCGCAGTACTTGTTGATCGGTCGAGCTCCGCGGGAACTCAGCGGCACTTGCGTCGCAGCGTGTTCTGGAACAATATTGGGAGACAGTGCCGACCAGACGAGTCGTGCTGAATTGTCATCCCTCAAATCTCTGGATTGTGCCGCAAAGATCGATTCCGCTGCCCCGTGCATTGAGCCCTTGTGCCGAACACAATGGAATTCACCGAGGAAGACATACAAGAGCTGAAGCATCGATTCGAAGACGCTACTGTCAAGTGTTCCGAGCGATGCCTCTACCAATCCGCAAAATGGTGAGTACGTCTTGGACAATGAATGCCCGCGCAACAGGGACTCACCCTCAATCGCACACCAGGGCCGCAGAAATGCTCGATTCAATCGTACCACTTGATTCAGTCGACACCGATTTCGAGTCACCCATGGAGCTAGGTGACACCTCCAATGCGCCGGCGAATCCATACCTTAGAAACCCCGACCCCATGGAAGCGGCCCTAGAAGCCAAAGAAACCCACAAATACCTTCTGGCCAAATCCTATTTCGATACTCGAGAATATGATCGATGCGCCGCCGTGTTTCTGCCCCCGGCAGTGCCTCCAGTGCCCTTGTCCGCAGCCTCACCCAATGCAAAATCAAAGACTGTACGGAGTACCCCGCGAAAAGGCAAAGAAAGGGTGTCATTATCGCAACCTACGAAAAGCCATGCCCAGCCATCACGGAACCCTTATCCAAACATCAGCCAGAAGTCTTTGTTCCTCGCGCTCTACGCCAAGTATCTTGCGGGCGAGAAGAGGAAGAATGAGGAGACGGAGATGGTTCTGGGTCCTTCGGATGTTGGGACGGCTGTGAACAGGGAATTGCCCGATCTGGCTCGAGGTCTCGAGGGCTGGCTCGCAGAGCGCAGTGCGAAGGGATTAGATGAACGGGGGCAAGGCTGGTTGGAGTACCTTTACGCGGTGGTCCTTCTGAAAGGTCGCAATGAAGAGCAAGCCAAGACTTGGCTGATTCGAAGCGTGCATCAAAACCCCTTCCACTGGGGAGCCTGGCAGGAATTGAACGATCTGCTGGGCAGCATTGAAGACGTAAGGATGAGACATTCACCTGCACGAACGCTCCATCAAATTATGCCTACTGACATTGCATTCAGTTGAAACAAATCAAGGACTTCTTGCCGGAGAATATCATGACTCTCATATTCTATGTCTACTCAAGTCAAGAACTCTATCAAGCCACAGATGACACATACTCTACATTAAGCGATTTGCAGGCTATATTCCCCACAAGTGCCTTTCTGCAGACGCAGCACGCTCTTTTATTTTACCACAATAAAGGTGAGATTGTTTCCGCCTATCTGTCTTTGTTACGGACTTCTGGTTGACATTTAATAGACTTCGAGAGGGCATCAAGAATCTTCACCGATATCTTGACCACGTCACCACACCGTTTAGACAGTCTCGATCACTATTCAAACATTTTGTACGTGATGAATGAGCGGCCTCGTCTGGCTTTTGTGGCGCAGATAGCTTCTGCAACCGACAAATTCCGTCCGGAGACATGCTGTGTCGTGGGCAACTATTACTCCTTGAAGTCTGAGCACGAAAAGGCAGTCATGTACTTCCGTCGTGCCTTGACTCTTGACCGCAACTTCCTTTCAGCCTGGACCCTGATGGGCCATGAGTTCATTGAGATGAAAAATACCCATTCTGCCATCGAGTCATACCGACGTGCCGTTGATGTCAATCGCAAGGACTATCGGGCGTGGTACGGTCTCGGTCAAGCCTACGAAGTGTTGGACATGTCTTTCTACGCTCTGTTCTACTACCAACGTGCCGCAGCTCTTCGGCCATATGACCCTAAAATGTGGCAAGCGGTAGGCTCCTGCTATGCGAAAATGGGCCGTCTTGAGCAAAGCATCCAGGCTCTGAAGCGCGCGCTAGTGGCTGGTTCCTACTACGCAGATGACCAACCCGGCATCAGTGCTCGGAAAATCCTCGACCCTGAAACATTGCATCAGATAGCAACACTGTACGAAAGACTGGATGACGAAGAAGAGGCAGCAGCGTACATGGAGTTGACTCTGCAACAAGAGACGGGTGGTATCCCAGTCGGGGAGGCGCAAGTCTCAGATGAGGATGAATACTCATCAGCCTCGGAGCATCCCGCACACAGCGATGAAGAAGGCGATGACGACTACTCTGGCAATTCCGAAAAGACAGGACGACAAGGGCGCTCTCGTCGCAGTCATCGCAAACCTCGCCCGAGCGCATCTTCGTTCGGCATGCAACAAGACGACTCATCAATCGCAGAGCCTTGGCACCACCCAACCGCAACGACGTCAAAAGCCCGGCTCTGGTTGGCACAACATGCCTTGCGGAATGGTGATTTCGATCGTGCGGATCAATTAGCCAGTGAGCTCTGTCAGGACGGCATGGAAGTCGAAGAAGCAAAGGCATTGATGAGGGATATTCGTGCCAGACGAGATGACGTCGGCTAGGCTTTGAATTGGGCAAATATGACTTTTTCTAATCATGGGTTCTTGCGTATGCACCTATATACACCGGATTTTGTCCGCCGGGTGGGGGCTTCCTGTCTGAGCTGCCGCCGCTTTAATGAGGGCGATCAAGCTCAGGCTCACCGAGTAGTAACTGTCAGCATGCGCTCATGCTGAGTGATCTGGTCAAGTGTGCGTAATGCCCTAGTACCAATCCATCGATCACGATCTTTGTCAGTGCAGTCATGTGATCACTCAGTCAATGCTTACTCATCGGCTCACATTGTCCAGTCAGCGAGCTGTGCCTCTTCTTCCGTCCGAAGTGATTAGGGAAAGCGGTGAGAAGGGACTTTGAGCCTGGCTCCCTGCCCCCACCCAACTTTCCTCCAACCAGTCGCACTCATTCATCATCTCCTTTGCAAGGCTTCAACTAATCGTACTGATCGATCATCAATCAATCCCCTTCCCATCTGCCACAGCTGATTCGGCTGCCTTGCTTTTACTGGAACTGCCATACCCTTTAGGCTGGCCCCAAGCGCACCCCAACCTGGGTAATCTGTAGAATGTCATCATCCTCAAAGACGGTGAGTCCTTCCGTGTCTTCTAGTCTTCTCGATACTCATAATCAAGCTAGAAGCTGGATCGAAAGCTGAATAGTTACGCACCACTTAAACCCACGGACAAAACCAAGGAATTCCTCCGTGACTTCTTCAAGATCCTGTCTCCTGACGGAAAAAGAAATCTGGCCGAAGACGTTTCAGGGTGTGCAAACGATGAGAAGCTTCGGCAACTGGTCCAGAGCATCAGAAATGGATTATTGATTCCCATGAAAGCACAGGGTGGCAAAAAACCTACTGAAATCACTCCATCTCCGCGTTCTAGCGTTGAAGATTCAATCGAGAATCTCAAGAGCCTAAACATCGAGCAGGAGCCTATCAGTAGAAGCTCTCAGTCGCAACTTCGGCACCACTGTTTAGAAAGGGATGGTAACAAATGTCTTGCAACGGGGCAGTACAGTCACAGCCACGCCCATCCACGGAACGTAATAACGCCCATCTTAAAGCGGCCTATATCATTCTATTTGCACTTGGATCCTTTCAGGCTAATAACGGCGAGATTCCATTTATACTTGGATCCTTTCAGGCTAATAACGGCGAGGCAGTGGATAGATATACGAAGATTTGGGTTAACCTAAGACGCTACTTTCCAGTTCTTCGAAATATATCCTCTACCTCGGAATAGATTAATTCGGAAAAGAACGTCCTAATGCTAGACTCCCAACTTCATACGGAATTCGGTCAATTCAGACTTATTTTTGAAGCAACCGGAGTTACTCACCAATATCGAATCAAGACCTTTCCAGATACCGCTACAGGGCCAATACGAAATTTACCTAAAAATCGGCTTGTGAAGTTCAGAGTCCACAAAGGAAGTTGGGAACTTCCAGATCCTAGACTTCTCGAAATCCACGCTTGTATTGGAAACTTTCTACATATGAGTGGCCAGGCGGAGATAATCGACAAGGTCCTAAAAGATTTCCAAGATTGTGGTGGGCTTGCCCCGAGTGGAAGCACCAACATCGAAGACCTTCTTGCAGTGAGCGGCCTCTCACTGCTACCCCCGAATGTCGATGAAACGTCCGGTTCCCAAAAGTCTGCAGAGAAGCAACGTCCTACAGAGAAGCAAGATGCAGTGAGCGGCCTCTCACTGCTACCCCCGAATGTCGATGAAACGTCCGGTTCCCAAAAGTCTGCAGAGAAGCAACGTCCTACAGAGAATCAAGGACACCTGCGGGCGAAATTTTCTGACACTGAGAATAAATCATGGACATACTAACTTGGATAATCGGGAAAGCGGTTGTCACGGTCGCAGTTACAGGTTAGGCTAGGTGATAGACCGGGCCACTATCTTTAGATAGCTTCTTAGTCCTGAACTCATCAGCAGAAAGATCTGGTCTTATTGCTTCGGCTGTCCTCATTTTCCGTAACAGTCCCATGGCCTGTAGAATAGTCATGATCAGCTTTGGCTTTCGGTATCTCTCGGTATTATTGCAATCAAATATCACTATACTCCTATATTAAATTCGTTGAACTTTTTAGCCACAGTCCACTTTTTTGGCTATGTGCTCCTAATAGCGTCTCCCACCGATTCCAACTTAGTTTTGAACTAAAAATGGACTTATCTCTGCGTTGACGTTTGAGTAACTCAGGGCCGCTCAGTAAGTAGCTTAGGGTCGCTCGGCGGGCAGCTCAGGATGTCGGGTTAACCAACACAGACTGTGTGTGAAGGAAAGTGTGGAGGCCGCCCTCCCCATAGCTAGAGCACGGCGTTATTTCAAATGAGTTTCGATGCCACTAAGACATGCCCCGCCCTCACGTAACCGCGGTTGGTGTTTCAATAAAGTTTTTATTTTGAATTTTCTGGCCTGGAGTGTATGGGTATTCTTGCTGTGAAATTCATAAGGAACATGGCCCCTGGTGGGTCAGCTCAGCTCTCCAGTACACTATTCTCGCCGCAAACAAGAAGTCGTATTGACCAAGTGGAATGTAGAAAAAGAATATGACGGCCCTTCCCCAGATTTCTGAATATCGATGCGAAGCGCTAGAGGCATCATCCAACTAAGCAGAGTTCTGCAGACATGAGACTCGGAAATACCAAGTCATAGACACAGAAACGCCTTCGGATCAACGCATGTAATGTATCTTCAAGAAAAGAAAAGTCGTAAATCGTCAGGTTTGGTCTTCTGAGAGGGAACACAAGCGTTCATGAAGAGCATTCTAGCGTTTGGTGTCTTTGAAGGGAGGCATGTACCGGTCCTTTGAAAATTCGCCCAATTCAGCGAGATCGGCTGGATCGCTGCGGAGGTAAAACATGATGGGGTGCTCCCTTCCGAGGATCTTGGATCTTCTTTTCCAAGGACCGGCAGTATTATCTGACTGAGCAGGTGCCTCCGAACCTTCAACTTGGTCGTTCACTTTCCAATGGAAGCAAGCATAGTGGCATTTGTGAGCCAGCTTACGCCAGGTCTCTCCAAGGCAAAATCGCTTGTCGTCAGGTTCGATTCCAGAGTTGAGGAGAGAATGGTCCACGAAGAAGATACGACCCTTCTTGACTTGAGATGAGGGGTTGTTGGCGATGGCTCTCTTCAGGCCTCCTCTGATCTTGAGGACATTCTCAGCCAGGGATAGGACTTTCACGTTGATCAAAACGATGCCGTACACCGTCTCCTCAAAGGCGGCCCGTGGGTTAGATTTACTCAGCACTGCCAGCGTTCGCTCGGAGAGTAGAGCTTGACAAAACTGGGAAAAACTTGGGGAATCCTGCTCGCCAATAGGTACGACGCCATCGCCGGGTTGACCAGACAGGTACACAGGAATCGTCATAAGAGGAGACAAGTTCTTTGTGAACTTGTCAATACCGGGTTGACCTGAGTTTCCAGATTGTGTATTGATATTGCGTGCATCGCCAGGATTGTCAGAATTGTGATCGTTTGTCTCGGTGCCGGCTACTGTCTGAGGGGCTTCGTTGTCTTGCGGACCCTGGGCATGACCCTCAGCGGCTGCGTTGTCTTGCGGACCCTGGGCATGGCCCTGAGAGACCTCGTTGTGATGCAGACGTTGATCATCATCCTGAGATTCGAACTCGGGGCTCACCACTGCACAGGACCCCTCCAAGACTTGTTTCTTGGCTGGAGGGATATTTGGCGAGGGACCGTCCTCGGAGAGTGGGCGTTTATGAGTCGTTGCCTGGCCAGTGTTGTGGGATGATTGTGATTTTACGTGACCAACAAGTTCAGACGTTGGGTTGACGTTCTCATCTTGACTTTGGTCTGCCATGATAAGCGGCGTCTTTTCGGCACAGTCGTTCATTTGTAGGATTTCGATACCGGCCTTATGGGCGCTCATGGTGGTCTCGGAGTTGTAAGATGCAGTTGTGGTAGAGGTTGAGGAAGTGGTTGTGGTGGGACTGTCTGATTCATGCGCCAGGTATTGATTCTGCCCGTTGCCACTAACTTTGAGCTGCACGCGCCATCGGTTTTGTTCTTGCGAGAGCTCGTCAACTGGCACAGCCCGAGCATTTTCTGCCAGTAGCTGCAGCTCTTGAAAAGAAGCAGCTTCCTCTAACGAGCGGTCATCGTGGATCTTTAAAATTCGGGGAAACCGCAAACTGAAGTAGCGGGCCCCAGATGGCTTCTCAAAGCCACTGCCCATCACTTCGACAAGAAATGGCTTCTTGAAGACCACTGATACCTTTGGAAGGCTTACTCGACCCATCTCAATTGTCACCTCGTTGAAGCTGTCTGGATCGCGTGATTGAAATTGCCCAAGCTGATTGAGGAGCTGGAGAATCTTCCAGTGCATGCTATGACGATCAACAACGTCGATCCCACGAAAGTGTGGCCGAGTGCCGTGCTGCACCACGGCATCCTTATTCAACAGACACCCGACTAAGAAGTGTGTCCATCGCAGACCTCGTATAGAGGACAGTGCCGCCGCATCTTGAGCGTTGTAGCTCGCACCGACTATCGCCAGATCAACGGTATCACCTAACCCTGGAATGTAGTCCTTCTTGAGTTTGATCCATCGACCAAACTGCTCATTCATTCCAGCTGCATGAATCGAGAAATATGGCTCGTCGGACGCTTTGAGCACGAGGCCTTCCCACCTTTGACAAATAGCTTTGGCGAATTTGTCCTCCAGCCAAAACCGACTACTGGGTTCGCTAAAATCGATCATGTCTTGTTCAGCAAGATCGGCACGTCCGGGAATAAGTTGAACTAGATCTTGCAGTAGTAAGCGTCTCTGAAAGTGAGGGGCTCTAAGGCAGACGTTGTCGTCAATCAAGAGGATATCGAAAAAGATCACCATCAAGTGTTCGTATGGCTGCGGTCTGGACTTCGTTAGACCTGGGGATCACTCTGATTGACCGGGTAATACTCACGGAGAATCGCTTTCGGTCCCGATGTAAGCGCCAGACCGAGGCAGATGTCTTCGAAGCTTGTGGAAGTCTGCAATCCCATCAAGCTCATCACTCCAAACCACCAATTCTCCCTCGAGAATGCAACTGTGTTTGAACTTGCAGCCAGGTGCACCTATATCTAAACAGCGCGTCAAAGTCGGGACAACTGCTGCTCTGTCGGCTGTAGAATCTTTGCCACTTTTGGCAAAGATCTTGAATGGATTCTGTTTGTTCGTGAGGTCCACATGGAACTGACAGTATTCTCCATCATATTTTCGCTCCATGCTCATACGACGACCTCTGGCCATGTCGTGGCAATGCTTCGTGCTCCTTGCCTTGTAGTACTCAGGTCGTCCAATTTTGATACCAATTCGAGGCTTGAAGTGATCCAGCGCCGCAGAGCAGAGACGAGGTACAATGGACCGATCAGGATTTGGAGGGTATTTGTTCATCGGCTCCAGAGATAGCGTTTCTAGTGCACCTTCCAAGCTGGATTGGAACTGAAGAAGATGAGGCAGCAAGAAATGGAACTTTTGAAGTGCGAATTCCCCAGGCACTGTTACAGGCAAGTAAGACTTCAATATCATCCTCGTCAGCCACTTCGCGTCCCGGCTGCTTAGTCTTCGGTAGAGAGGCGAGAGAGCGCTCTCCACATCGACGGCTGCCTGCTGGCGACGAGCTTGAGGCGCCGAGAATCGGCTTCGAGAGGCGATTTTGTCCAGAGCTTGATCAATCTCCTCGGTTGTGACAGCCTCATTACGATCCACGGAGTTCTCCGTTTGCCGCAACACATTCTCGACGCATTGTCCGAGATCTGGGCCCCCAGACGAGCGCCATCGACCCAGCTCTGCGAGTCTTGAGGATCCTAGCCCTAAGCATCGACCAATGACACGCGCCAGTGAGGCAGCTTGAAGCCCATAAACTCGGTCTGAACGCTTCTCCGGTAACAGACACGAGAGAAATGCTAACGCGTCAGTCTCCGGATGATGAATCCGTGCGGCATGACAGTTGAACCACCCGGCGACTGTGTGATAATCCGTTGCGTCTCTTTTCACTGTGGTAGCTTTGACCACCTCGTTTTGTTCCAGCTGCGACAGCAAGTCACAGAGGAACGAGAATTTGAATCCCATGGAGAATCATTCAGAAGCCTCATCATTTCACCAAGCGGTCAGAACCCAAGAATCATTGTCATAAAATGATTGGCATCATTATGAACCTCATTCATGAACCGACCACGCGAAAACTCGCGCCTGCCCGAAACCATGGAACACGAAAACACGTGACGTTGATCCCGAGTAACTTACGCTTAGATGGATGTTAGGGTAGACTACATCATTGCTGCCATTAGGAGCTCTTTTTCAGTACCAGAAATCGATGGGTATTGTGCCTGCTCTTGTAGCGATATTACGCCTATGCAATGAAAAACGAAAAGCGAAGAAATGACCCAAGCCATGAAATCGCCATAACTCCCCCCATTCCTGAATTTTATCGACGATGATAGCACAAAGACCAAAGCATGTAGGCAGCACATTGCAACAACTGGATGTTCGCCTTCTAGAGAATACCCTGTTTTTGAAGACTAGAGATGAAAATGTCAGCATCGTCAGGTGAGCCAAAAGCGGGAGATGAGGAAACGTACTCCAAGTAGATTCTTTCCGGCATAACGTTGCCTTCGGCGTCCTCCATCTGTACGACGTTGTCCCGAGATTCGCGCTCCTTCTTGCGGTCTCGCTCAAGCTTTTCCCAGAGACGCACAGCCTCGTCAATGCGAGTGATTTCACGGAAGAGGTTAGTGTTGGACGTGATTCCCAAGCATTTCAGACCGTAGATGTGGAGACCCTCTGAGAAATGCTTATCGAAAGCACGGCGTCCCCTGTAGACAAAGTTGCCACAAATCTCACACGGATACTCCGTACCCAAACCATGCAGCTTGTACAGCCAGTAAGGAATGGGTTTTCCATCCCACGCAAGCGGCAGCTTCAATGGGTTGTAGAGTTTATCATCTTCTTCGTCATCCGACATGTCTCCATCACCAGCGTGTGCGTATTCTTCCGGGTCTGCCATCATAGCTTCATTATCAGCTCGGCGTTCGCGTTCCGTCATAGCCTGTCTACGCTCAACATTATCCCGAGTGGCCTTGCGGGTGGATTCGAGCTCCTGCGCCAAGCAACGAACACGATGTTCGCGTTCAGCCACTGCGCGCTCTTTCAGACTGAACGTAGAAACTCCTCTTTGTGAAGAGGAAGCGGTAGGTTGTTCCTCGGAATTTCCGGCTGACTTTGCCTCGGCGTTCCGAATGTGCTTCTTTCCGGTCAGATGATTGCGATACACGTTGTCGTTGCTGAACTCTTTCTCGCAGTCCGAGCACCAAATTCCGGCTCCCGTCCCTTGTGTCTGGGGACCAGGGGTATTGTTTTCTGTCTTCTCGCTTGTCCAACCCGGCACTTCTTTAGCGGCCCACTTGGTGTCAAATTGTTCGTCGAACAAGCCGAACATCCTGTCAAGATCCTGCAACGGTCGCGTCCGTTTTATAAAGCTTTCAAGGTAACTCGCAAGGTCGCCAACGTAGTTGAAGTACTTGTCTGAAATTTTGTCCTTGCGCTTGATGTTCATGACCGGTGGTGTAAACTCGTCAAAAATACCCAGATACTGAGTATACGCAATTCGCTTGACGCCGGGGAGGTTCAAGTATTGTTCGTGAATCATGGTGAGATCAAGGAATTGACCGAAAGCCTCCTCTCCGGTGAACATGGCGTCCACATCAACACGGGGAATTTCCCCTTCGCCTGGTTGGCGACGCTTGTATGCACGTTCCAGGTTCTCAACGGGCTCATTTGGATATCGCTTATGAAATTCCCTGATGTCGTCCAGCTGCTTGTAGAAATTCTCGAATTGATCGCCGGTCGAGATCGTCTGCGCTTCTTTGTCGAGCTGTCTATCGGTATCGTTGTAGATCTCTAGCAGGCGCTGTGACTGCTCCTCGATTCTTTTGAGGAAGTGCGCAACTTCGTGATCTCTTGCTAGGCTTTGTCGAATCTGAGGGTTTTAGTCAGGGATTGGTGGACAGAGCCTCGGCCAGATTCACGATTGTCTAACACTCACATTTGATGGATTATCAGCAACTCGGTCGGCAACGGCCTGCTCCAGCCGTTCCAAATCCTCATGGATAAATCGCACATCCTCAAATAACATCTTGCCGGTCTTGAAAAAAAAATTGATCTTCTTCAAGCCAATGCGCGATCAAATTGTAAGAATTGAGTGGCGTAACTGAAGGGAAAGACAAGCGGGCTGGAAGCCAGAGCTCTGCGAAACGGCACGTGATCAACCCGCCGTCATGCGCAAAAAGTCATTACGAACAGGTGCCGCGGAGGAACGATGGCTTGAGCATCCTCAGAATCACGCAAACCCAGCGCATTCAGCCAAATTGATTCCAGACTCTTCAAAATGGCTGACGGCATCGACAGACGCGCTGATGGTAAGCTTCAAATCTTGACTTATATTTTTGGCAATGGCCAGCATAACTGACTGCCGACCAGAGCGCATGGAGTTCAGCACCTCCAAGGAGGTGACGGTGGCGCCGACATTCGAAGACATGCACCTGAAAGAGAGCCTTCTGCGGGGTATCTACGCCTATGGGTACGAGTCGCCATCCGCCGTTCAGTCTCGGGCTATTGTTCAGATTTGCAAGGGCCGCGATACCATTGCCCAGGCTCAGTCTGGTACCGGTAAGACGGCTACTTTCTCGATCAGTACCCTGCAGGTCATCGATACAGTTGTTCGCGAAACACAAGGTAAGAGTCCGCACCATGATTGTTCTGCGCCTACCCGCTGACCGAGAGTTCAAATGTACAACAGCCCTCGTCCTTTCTCCGACCCGCGAACTTGCGACCCAGATTCAGTCCGTCATTATGGCGCTTGGTGATTACATGAACGTTCAATGTCACGCTTGCATTGGAGGAACCAATATTGGCGAAGATATTCGCAAGTTGGAGTACGGTCAACACGTTGTTTCTGGAACGCCCGGTCGTGTTGCAGATATGATCCGTCGCCGACACCTGCGAACCCGTCACATCAAGATGCTCATTCTTGACGAAGCTGATGAACTCTTGAATAAGGGTTTCCGGGAGCAGATTTACGACGTCTACCGTTATTTGCCCCCTGCGACGCAGGTTGTGGTTGTCTCTGCCACATTACCCTATGATGTGTTGGACTTGACCACCAAGTTCATGACGGATCCCGTGCGTGTGCTTGTCAAGCGTGACGAGCTGACCCTGGAAGGAATCAGGCAGTACTTCATCGCCGTGGAGAAGGAAGAGTGGAAATTTGATACTCTCTGTGATCTTTACGACACATTGACAATCACCCAAGCAGTCATTTTCTGCAACACCCGCCGCAAGGTCGATTGGCTGACGGACAAGATGCGCGAGGCCAACTTCACAGTCTCGAGCATGCATGGCGAGATGCCACAGAAGGAACGTGACAGCATTATGCAAGACTTCCGTCAGGGCAATTCACGAGTTCTGATCTCCACAGACGTCTGGGCTCGCGGTATCGATGTCCAGCAAGTCTCTCTTGTTATCAACTACGATCTTCCCACGAATCGTGAGAATTACATCCACCGTATTGGTCGCAGTGGTCGATTTGGTCGCAAGGGTGTGGCCATCAACTTTGTCACCAGTGATGATGTTCGTATTCTGCGTGACATTGAGTTGTATTATTCAACTCAGATCGACGAAATGCCCATGAACGGTAAGCCATGTTGCCTGTCTTTATGCACGCATACAAGGAAAGACTCTGACCTCGGATTTCACCATAGTTGCGGACCTTATCTCGTAGAAACAGAGAGCAGGTGCTCAATTTTACCGAATGTTTTGTTTTTCTTCATTATCGGGCCAAAAGCTACTGAAGCCTTGCCTGCCAGTCTTGTCCACGCCAGTATCTGTGTACTTGAGAATTTGGGACAAATACCGGTCGTCCTTCAATGGTCCTTTCTCGGTTCAAATGCGAAGCTAGGAACACTGCGAGTGGAGGAAAGGGAACACAGAATGACTGAGTGAGTACCAATAACATGTTTGGACACTCTCGTGGAGTCTTGCCGACCGGACACGCTGACAGGGGTCTCTTCTAAGGTTTCAGAATATTTAATGAAAATCGATGGTACTCCTTCAAGTGCCCTAACCCAACGGTACGCGTGCTCTAGGTCGCTTCTTCTCCACGCCAACAAGATCGCACTTATAGAGAGGAGATGACCCATGCTCTAATCTGCTGTAATTCTTACAGTTTCGGACATTTTAAGTTCAAAGCGATGGGAGTAATCCATGTTCGGCCGAGGAGGCCCATATCACATCATGGAGCGCCGTGTTCTTAGGTTTCCTATGTTGAATTGGTGCATTGAGACACGCTGAGCTGCTCGCTTAAGGCTTGCCAAGACGCATCCATGTTCACGGTGTTCGTCGGTGACATGCTTGGACAGGAGCGATTTTTTCCCCAAGGCTCGGACTCCCCCCGACGATCCGTCCACTATGTGTATACCGTCATGTTTTTCAACTCACACATCATCTATGAACAATTGAAGACACCCGTATGCAGCAGCAGCAAGCCAGCTCCTTATGATGTGACCTCTTGCCCGTGTCATTTCCCAGCAAAGCCCAATTGGCCTAGAGGGGTTTCCAGTGGCACCACGATCGAAAAGTTAAAAATTGTTTATTCAAGATATATGCGCCGCTTCAAGTTGTAAGTCGGAGGACGTCTGAAGATCTTGCCTTGCGCCAAGCCATGCGAGCCCCAAATCTAATCCCAACTAGGCTCGTTGGAGCGCTCCCCGTGGGGTCCAGTTCTTGACTCGACAGCTCTCTTTTCAACCTTTGTCTTTGAAGAGCGGTCTGTATGGCGGCTGATCAACCAAGCAACAATACACAGCTTGGAACATTGACTTTTTGGGCGTCAGAGGCTCATAAGCCTCCTTTGGAAAGGGTTAGATTTGGCTTGGCTGATGTCGTTGCCTATAGCTTCCACGGAACATCATGTCAGCAATCATCGATGAAGTCGAGCACACTGGATATAAACCCTCTGATCTCAGCCAGGCCCGGGCAATGATATGAAGCAGACAGATCAATCAACGCTTATTCACAACTATCTCTTGACTCCATTGTTGCAGGCAGAGATTTAGCTGCCATGCGGGCCTTTTCACTTCTTGTCACAGTCCTCTATGGATTTCAGGCGACTGCTGCTACCAAAATTGTCGCAGTTGCTGAAACTCCTATCCTCGGTCCGTCCTTCCTGTCCAACTTTGACTCGAGCAACTCTAGTGCCATCGACAAAGCAAAGACAGAATTGTCGCACCAGATCGGGTGCCTGTTCTCCAATGGCATACTCAACAGCACCGACTTGACCTTCCACATCGACGTCTTCTCTGCAGCGACAAACGGATCGATCTATACGTACTCGCATGTCGCCAATAATGCTGCAAGTGTCCTGACTGCTGGAAAATTCAACGACCAGACCATCTCGCGAATTGGAAGTATCACGAAGCTGTTCACGGCGTATGCCATCATTGCGAAGGGTGGTATGGAAGTCTTTGGGCACCCGGTGGTCAAATACTTGCCTGAGCTTGCGGGCAACTCGTCGACGAATCCACTGAAACGGATCAATTGGCAGGATATCACTGTCGGTGCTCTTCTTTCCCATCAGGCCGGAACTGGAGGTCCTAGGGGTCTGTACCAACCTGTTCCAACTCACCGTGCCGAGGATAGACCCTGGCTGACCTTGGAACGTCTTAGACTTCTTGGTAAATTACTATAACCCGAATACCACGGAGGCTGATTCGGTAAAGTGTAAGTGGTAATGTTGTCTACGACTGCAGCTCAAAATCACGCCGTACTAATCCTCATCGTGCTTTGTTCGCTGACGATTGTTCTTGAACAGCCTTTCTCAAGTACATGCGGGATGTGAAAAGGCCGGTGATTTCTCCCTATCGCACCGCGATCTACTCTGATGCAGGATATGCGGTTCTTGGTCAGGTTCTGGCTCGCATGGCAAACACTACAACGTACACCGAAGCTATCCAAGAGATTATTTTCAAGCCCCTTGGCCTGAAACACACGTCCACCAAAGTTCCTAAAACCAGTGATGGTTTGAATGCGATGGATCGCAAGACTGTCCAGCCTACCTCTTCCTGGGGCCTAGATATCGAACTCTTTGCATCGTACGTGCCTCCAAAGTTATCACCAGTTTGTTCCCCTGCAGAATGATATGGTTCGCTAATTCCCATCTAGCACGGGAAGCATCTATAGTACAGCTTCTGATCTGAGACGCGTCGGTCTTTCTATCCTCAACTCTGAACTTTTGTCTCCTGCCCATATCTCTGCTTGGATGAAGCCTCGAAGCGGAACTGGTTCACTCGTTGAACTTGTCGGGGCTCCCTGGGAGATTGAGCGGTTGGAAGTCCCTGCCTCGCCGGGTTCCAATCGGACTCGAGTCTCAGACCTCTACACTAAAGTCGGAGGCAACGGCGATTACAATGCCATCTTCGCGCTTTCCCCAGATCATGGAATCGGCTTTTCAATCTTACTCGGCGGGGAGACGTCGGAGCCCGCCCGCTGGACCCTGCGCGATGCCGTTGGCCAGATCATAATTCCTGCTGCAGAGTCCGCGGCCTGGAGTAACGCAAAGAAGAATCTCGCCGGAACCTTTGTCCTGAAGAGTGCTCCCGCTACTAATGTGACACTCACCGTCGATGAGGACAAGTCCGGACTCGGCTTGAAGTCATTCTGGATCAAGGGTCAAGACACCAAATTAAAAGGCCGCTTATATCCCAGTGGACTGAACTCAGTCTCTCGATCCCTGGCCTCACTCTACAGGAGTACTGGACAAGTTTGTTTTGCCCATCGCATTGGAGAGCCCCATCAACCCCTTCGTCCTCGAGCTGCCGTGGAAGGTGGAGCTGGAGGTCTATTCGATGACTCACTCACGTGGCAAGACATTGATTTTGCTGGAGACAGTACCGACGAATTCGATATTTGCCTGGCCGATAGAAAAGTGACCAAGGTCGTTTGGCCTTTCAACGGATTGGAAATGGAGCGATTGGAATAGGGGGGGGGGAGGGGGTTGCCGTCTCCAAATTCGCACTTTGAAAGACCAAGCCTGATTGATTCGTCTGACATGTGGAATAGTCAAGCTGTCGCAATTCAACTTGCACGACGAGCGAGGGCGGATCTTCTGGGATCTAGACAGCTGTGACTAATGTGTAATTCATACGAAGGACTCGTTCTTCAGGTTGAGGTTTCTGAAAATCGTTTATGTACTCAATGCCTTGGGTAGGTAGCCATTACTCCCACGCCAATGTACCACAAAGTGCTTTACCTATTAGGTAGTTATAAGTCGTGAAGAGAATCAGCTGCCACAACTAGAAAGCCTGAGGTATCCTCGCATGTATACACAATGACGGACTCAAAGTCATTCGCCCTGTCAGATGGAATGACCGCCCGGCCCACAGAGCTCAGTCTACAGTTGACATCAGGTTTGTGCCCGAAGAAGCCTGATGACGATTCAGAGAGGGAGCAGATCTCTTAGTATTGTTGAATGAGTTTGAGGTCAACTACCAGATTCACAAAACCAACTAGCATCTTTTTCTGGAATGCGAGGTCAAAGACCTCATTGGAACACGCCCCGAAAAAAGTAGGAAAGTAGACAAAGCGTCCAGATGGATTTATTCGAGTTATCGCGATTTGTAGGAGAATGTACAAGCAAGCCAATCGCGCAAATAATGTGTCTCCGTGGAATGTGTGAGCGCCTGATAGGAATGCCCCCAGATGGTCCAAAGTAGGTCCTCAGCTTCATACAAAAAGGCAGTGTGGCACGCTCGACATATTGTGCGGTGTCCATGATTGCTTTAAAATGCGGACGTCGTTCGCAAAGCACTCGTCCTCTGAGAGGTCAAAGATGACAAGCCTTGTCTTTGACTTGTCCTCCCGATCGCAATAGGACTCTCTAACTTGGTTGACCAACTGAAGCAAACCGTCAGTAGCGTTCTCATCTCAGAGGCTCAAGTCAGAGGGGTCACATACATGCGCACGGTCTTATCATCACCCGCAGAAACGAATATGCCTGGATTCGTTGGGCTCCACGATATTGAGTTGACACACTCTTTCGTGTGAGCTTCCAGGGTTTCCACGAGAGTCCCATTTTCCTTGTGCCAAACATAGATCTTTGAGTCTGCGTATGGTCAGTTTATGTGATATCGAAAAATTTAATTTTCCCGCATAGGTTCGAAGCGACTGACCTTCACTTCCGCTGACGACGAAATTCTCTGCGGCGCCACCAAAGACACTCCGGATCACGAATTTGCCCTGTTGATGTCCCCGGAACCGGCGAATGACAGTGGTAGTGTCTATGTCAATCAACTGGATCTCGCCATCGGCAAGGTTGACCAGCATGTGTTTGGAGTCCTGACTGATAGTGACGGAAGTTGCTTTGCTTTGAAGGGACAGACAGTATTCCTTTTCATGACTGTGGAAATCAAACACGTGGATCTTCGCGACAGTATCTGCAGCCACGACCCGTCGACCATCCGGACTAATGGCGCAATCTTGTGTGCGGAATCCCTCTTTCCAGGTATGCAAGGTCGTTCCCCGCATACTCCAGTGACAAAGACTCGAATTTGCATCAAGAGATGAAGTAATGAATGACTGACCGTCGGGCGCCCAGCCAGCTGCGGTGACTGGGTGGGAATGATGGGTGATTGTCAACAGGCAGTTGCCAGTCTGGTACGATCAATGTAATGAGCACAATGAGCCTAGCTCCCTGCGAATTCGAGGCCGTACACAGCCAAACGAAACATACCTCTGTATTCCACACACGGGCGGTTGTGTCCTTTGAGCAAGTAATAAGTTTTGAATCATCTGGACTCCAACTTGCAAAGGCAACTCCTTCTGTATGCCCAACCAAACGATGGATCACCGTGAAAGTGCTCGTATCGTAGATCAGTACATTGCGGTCTTGACCCGCAGTGACGAGCTTGGTCCCATCGTGCGAGAACCCACAGTGCCACACCTCGTCCACGTGCTGGTTAAGAGTGCTGCTGACAGCCGAGGGGAAGTCTTCTTTGTTACACATATGATCCGAATAAAGTGAGGGAGGTTCTGCTGTATTATGGTACAGACAATTGCTGATCTGTCCTTGTTTTACGTAGTCCAGCAAGATTGCCAGTCGATGCTGGGGAATCATGACTGAAGGCGATATGGATTCTGCACCTCCCGCGTCATTAATCTCCGGCTTGAGTTGCGGGAACGGTTCACATCAGCGCTGACTTACTCGACAGTGTGGCCAATAATCGTTCACGAGACGAGCTCGTCGGCCCTTCCCAGCCTGCCTGCTCATGTAGTAGCTCAGTGGGACACATCAGCAGACTAAATGAGGAGGGTTGTCAGACATCGTGAGTCATGCAATGAATACCAACACAAGTGGGGCAGAAGCTCACCTTGAAAGTGCATGAAGCCGGTCAACATCGAAATTGAGAGGGGTGAGTTCTTGTCGGAGAACTTGAAGCGCCGAGGCGAGGTCCCGGCTTTCCAAGAGCTCTAGGAACTTTTGCTGGCGAAGATAAAACAGCATCTCATTGCGACTTGCATCCTCGACCAAGACAATAGTCTCCTCCACCCCGTCCCTCTCCTCCTCGTTGAGTCCCATGTTGCGGAAGGATCGTATGAGGATCCGCTCCGCCTCTGACCACCGACCATTGAGAACGGCACTGCGGAACGTTGCAACTCCAGGTGTCTCCAACTGATAACCGCTCTCGGAGCTCAGACAGGATGCTGCTCTGTCGTACCCTAGCTCATACAGGCTTTGAATGAGAATCCGCGTCACTTCCTCCCGGTTGTGGCCAAAGTAGGAGCTCATCAAGGGCTTGCCGGCCCCATTGGACTGCGACCCTCCATTCGCAAAGGAGGTAGCTTGACCATTCAGACCGGCTTTACCCGATACTGGATCCATCAAGCCTTGAGAAAGACCATTTGTGCTTGAAAGCCCGTCCGGCCTCATACTTGACAGTCGTCTGCGCTTGCGGGATGGAGAGCCGGCTTCACTTCGGCCTGACGTAATTGTTGGGTTGTCCTGGGCCACGGTGCCGAGTGTCCCAGTGATATCTTCTGAAATCCCGGCGCCCACCGTCCTTGTGGTTGCAGCCTCCTCGAGAGCCACTGCTCAATCGAAGAAGAGGGTGGATAGGCGGGTGGTAAAAATCGTCGGTCGGTGGTGTGGACGAGGATTGGGTAAGATCGCGGCGTAGACCTAGGGATGCACAATCCCAAAGAGTGATGGCGGAGAAAGAAAAGGACTCGGGTCTGTGTCCCCGACACACGAATTTATGGCTCTCACCAAGCCTGACTATCGTCAAGATTGGAGAGAAAAGTGAAGAAGGATTTATGTTCTCGAGAGGATCGAAGGACGTGGAGAATGTACGATCGCAACGGTCGCCGGGGGACTGATTTGAGAGTGATTCGCTATTTGGCTCTGCAAGATGATAAGAGACTATCCAGGGCTCATCTCCTTCTGCAAGAGGGTGTCAGTCGGACCTACTACCTTTGCTTACTGGTAGCAGGTCAATCCTTCCTGTGAGTAGACGACCTCCCGGGACGTCGCTACTCGGAGGAGCTTATTGGCTTGTCTCTAGCGGGAAAGCACGGTGATCATGTGGAAATATTGGAGAATTGAAACTCTTATTGCTCAAGCAAAGGACAAATGATCTCCCTTTCTTAGCAAGTAGAACACTTGTAGCAGGCGCGATGTCCCCTGCGTGAGCGACAGTGGTGGATGACGAGGCTAGTGGTGATGATAAGTTCAAGTGATGTTGGGCGGAGGGCGGAGAAGTTGCTTATCTGCGGAGAGAGAAAGAACTCCACTGCAGTATTGCGTGAGGAGTACTATAGCTATCCTCCTCTCGTAGTACTCAATTCAGCATTCCTGCTTTGTACAGTAACAGCCTCATTACCCGCACTGTTAAATGTTTGAATGTTTCACCCAGTTCAAGGACCAAAAACATGGCCTACGTTTCTCTGTCTGTATTGAGTGGGCGGGCTATCTCAAGAACATGAGCTTTGGGGTTTGCAGCCCAAGCTCATCCGACATAAAGCCGCGATTGGGTCGAGTGGAACTGGGGTCGAGTCACCGGGCATCTCGTTGCTTTTCTCCAATTCCAGCCATCGTCACAATCTTGGCTGATGACGCCGTACGTGAACTTCTGCGGTCTCTGAGAGACTCAGCTGACATGAAGCCGTGTTCCCACGATCAAGTACTGTGCTAGTGGTTTAATCCCACGTAGACAGCCTCTCTAAGAAATTTCACACGATCATTAAAGGGAACAAACTCACGCTTTACAGGTTGGCCGACTAGATCTGGATTGCATTCAGTAGAATGAGGTAGCAGTAGTGACTTCTTCCTAGAATGGCAGTCATCTAAAGGCTACTGTTACTCGAGACAGTAAGAGCAGCAAGCGCAACGCTGTACTGTACATCTATACTGTTCGAGGACGTCGATCCATGCTCCGTATCATGTTGCATGTGATTTTCTCGTTCGTGGACCGGTGATAGCGGGCCGCAGTTCAGAGGGAATTGCGTGACAGAATTGGAGCCCCAGTAGTGTCATACCTTAGATACCTTATCTACCTATACCCAGGCACTAGTATCTTCAAATTGTGTAGGTAGTTACCAACCTGTCACTAGGTACCTAGGTAGGTAAGGTAGGTACCTAGTACCTATAACTACTACTACTACCTTTACTAGTACTACAATTTTCCTACTTACTACCCACTACTAAAGCAGTACAGTCGATACTCACTGGACGTAACGAATCCATAGGCCTGATATCTAGTATGGAATTTCGAACAAAGACCCCAAACGAACCAACATATCAGCCAGCCTTCTATCTCCGAAAAGGAGATCACCTTGACCATGCACTCCTTGATCATAGACTCCTATCGTTCACTGCCGCTCAAAGAAAGCCCGGGATCTTCACGCGAACTTGAAGCTCTACATGCAGCCAGGTTTCTGCCCAGTGCTCGGAACTTCAAATAAGAAGCAGATATACATACCTACCCTGCCCAAAGGCCCGTTCAGTCCTCTATCAGTCACTCGCGGGCGCCATCACAAGTTCTGATAGGTATCTATGTATGTACTGGTACCACTCCATGTGATGTCCCTCTCTAAATGAATATGACTCGATTTGAGGTAAGAAAGAGGTTTAGTCGAGTAATAATTATTGCTTCCGCCCATCTAAACAAGAGTATCCAGTGCAGGATGAGAGTATCCACTTAGGGGACGTTGGAATGCGTCTACCAGGCTACCAGGATTTTCTATGTGAAAATGTGAGAGAAAAGCTCATTGTTTCGAAATCTGCGCCAGTTTCAAGCAAGTTTCTCGAAAGTTTGGGTTCACAGTTGACCAAATTTGACTTCTTCAGCTTAGACACTGACGACATGATGATGCGGACGTGGTTGCATCTACCCACTGCTTCCGCCGCCGTGACTGGGGCAAAGCGTATAAATAGTCAGACAAGCCCCCGCCCGGATACCACTCTCTGGTATCACACACACCTCGCTGGTTTACGTTTGATAACAATCTGCACACGGTTTACCAACTCTCACCTTCATCATATACCACCTCACACATCACCATGGGTTGCGGCTGCGGATCTAAATGCACTTGCACTGGGGCTCAGGGTTGCACCTGTGACAACACCTGTTCCTGCCAGGGCTGCGGCGTAAGTTATCCACCTGAGGTTTGCGGGAAACGAAATGCGCTTCAAAAGCGAAGCTGTTTCTTAATTCTCTCTGAGATCTGTGACACTAACTTGGCTTGAAAAAATAAAGAAATAAACGACTGCAGTTGACCAGACCAGATTTATTTTCTCATCTCCAGTGCCTCTGAGGGGTACGAATGACCATGATTTGATACTTTCGTTCGAATGAGCTTGACAGAAGAGGTGGTGCTGAAGTGATTATCTTGAACACTGTACCTACTACGCTTACAATTAAATATCATTGAGAGATCTTCAAGAGCTGAAGTGATCGGCTTCCAGACACCTAGGACAAGAATTTGACGTAGTCATAAAGTGAGACACGCGAAATTCTTCTGCCGTCGTGGTACTATGTACTGTGTAGGTAAAGAGTTTCAATTGACTTATTGACAAGTACCGCTATTTCAGCAGAGTAGCTAGGAGACAGAGCAATAGTTGTCGGTCTTCAGTAGTGATTCAGATCTATTTCTGAGTCAAAGGAATGAGCTTATTGACACTAGTCTAGCAGCAAAAACCACGGCTATACCTAGAGTGAACGCCGCGCCGGAAGCAAACATGAGTCCCAGATGTCCCAGGTTCTCGAGTCCAGGACGCTTGATCATATTCGTTTTCCGCTGGCCCAGACGAGTGATTCGGTTGAGGGCTGGGACATACTTGAATTCAAAGCGAGCAATGCCTCCAAGGCCGAGTTTGTCATCCATCAGAACGCGCTGGTAGCGCTGACGACGCATCTGATTGATCCCATCAGTAATCTTCTGAGAATCTTTCTTTACCGTAAGGGTTACACTAACCTCTATCATGTAGCGATCCATGTAAGGGAATTTAGGTATTACAACAGATACCAAGTTCACCCAAACGCAGTAGCCCCATATAAGCACACGGTAGTACAGAGTCGGCCGGGGGATTTCGAGCGCGTCTGATAGCTGATCACCATTGAGGAGACGGCTCAGTGCTTCCAGAAATTCCTTGGAGGCGAACGACGGTGCTGTGTTTTCCAGACCAATGATGATATTCTTGGCAAGGGTTCGACCAGTCTCGGTAGGATGAATTTCCGAAACAAGCAGAGACTCCATCATTGCCCGTGCCTTTTTAGTATTCTCAAAAGGTTCAGTTGGTGCTCCCACGTAATGAGCGACTAAGCGCCATAGTGCAGTGTAGTCCTCAATGTCTTGCTGCTTGAGATAGACGCCCTGCCGAGGAAGACCCATCCAGACCACCGAGCTGCAGAATGTGTTGATTGTACCGATGCAGTCCAAATCGTTGATGGGTATCCCATATTGGACGACGTCGTAGTACTCAGGTCTTTCATCCACCAGTCTCAAAATTCTCATTCGCACACAGGCATGCAACAATCGAACTCGGATGGAGGAAATGTGACCTTCACCACCAGGTTTCAGAGCGTCTACCGAGTCATTCACTTGGAGAACATGCTGAAGGGTCTCAAGGAGTCGCCGCCGGACTGCGTTAGCGTTAAATCCGCCAGTGCGAGCGAGGGTCTCAACGACACGCTTTGCTCCCCTTCCAGCAGGTCAGTTCAGAACTCAAGAGACAGGTGCGAGTGTTGGTAGGACAAGGAACCTCATACATGCCACCAAGAAGACTCTCAAACCCGAGCTGGAAGTAGAAGGTCAGCAACTGTGAACTACTCAGTCAGCCAGAGATGGCACTTACAACATTCAATATGGGAAGGCCATATCGAAAGAAGACGTCCTGTGCTCGCTGGATCTGCTCCCAGTCGACCCAGTCCGGGACAGTATTGACCTCATCCCACAACTGCTTCAGCTTCGGGTGTTCGTCGGCATGGGCTTTCAGTAGACCATAAAGATCCTTCCGAAAGGGCTGTTCCTGACCTGAGCTGGCCGGCAGCCCATTCAAGATCTCCACACATTCGTCCGCAAGACGATCATAGGTGTGAATCATTGGATGAAGCTCTTCTGCGGTCTGGTGAAGGTCTGTCCAGTAAAATGAGTAGTCCCAGTAATGACACTTCGTGTCGCTACTTCGCCCGAGAAACTTCAGCGCCATGAGGGTAAAGCGAGGTACTTGCGGAGGCTCTGCGAGCACAAAGTTGGAATGAGCTACGCGATTTATATCGAAGAGCGTGGACTCCCCTCAAAGCTACTCTCAGGTCTTCAGCCTTGCACTCATGTGGATAAGGACGCTAGTGAGCAACTGCCGGGGCGAGGTTTTCCCCTCAAATAGACCTTCACAGCCAAACAGGCTCGATCTTGGTGCGTCTGGGGTCTCAACCATGGGCCGTGGGCGGAAGAAGGAATCGGAGAGGGGCGAAAGTATCATTTGCATGTGAGCTTCTCCGCCTTGATCGATCAGCATCGCCAGCCCCTACTAATCAGTGCCTGTTAGGCTAAATCGGGTTCCAGGCATTCTCTATCGATGTCTATCATCACCTGGCGCCTCGCATGCACCGTAATACCGCCGAATGATTGGCGAGATGGCAATACGGGCTCGGATGGGATCTTGAGGGATGAGGTGAGGTCCGGATGATTCGCCTTCCGATCGGTGGGGTTCACATGCGAGGCACGACATACAGTCTACAGATATATTCTCCAGCCTAAATCATCGTAATTTACAACGGTATGGCTAGTCAGTTCGGTAGTGATTCCAGACATGATCGACACGAGCGTCGGCTGTTGCACCAACGGACGTATTCACTGCTGTGATCTCAACTGCTTGCCAATTTCGCTATAACCGAGCTCACTCCAGCCAGGTTAGGTAGGGCAAGTAACAGCAAGGCCGGCTGGGCCGGAACTTTGTCACCCCAGCTTGAGTAGGTTTGACCTGCAGCTTGAAGCATGTCTTTCGACGTGTAGATCGTTGAATAAACTTCACTTGCGTGGAATGGCGGAGAGAAGGATGCACGAATGTTTGTCATATAGAGTTTGTCCTGTAGATTGTCGGAAGGCCCTGTTTGCGCATCGAACCTCGACGCTCAGGAAACACTATTTGCGACATCAATAGGTACCTTTCAAGCCAGATGAACACCCCTCTGATTAACACACAATAAGACCCTTTCATCTTGCCTTAGAGCATTTGAAGTTGGATCGACGATGTCTATTTGTACAAGACCTTCCAGTCCACCCTTTCTAGAATAGGGTCAATACAGCTGCCCATTACGTGCGTCATGCCTAGCGGCCGTGTTCAACGATAGTTCTTCCTCGAAACCAAACCCTAGAATGATCGCTTTGCCACGTTTGAACTCCCGTACAGAGAAGTCATGCTTGGGCTTGAAGCTAGGCGCGTGTATTAGAGAGCAAAATTTCAATTTCAACCCAAAAAGTCGAGACGTACAGGAACCGTAACTGCCTTCCTGCAGGAAGAACAATAGAGCGGTTGTGGGGGGTGGAGATGCCACCGCCGTCACCGCCCAAGCTACCTCCGCTTCCAGACTCGCCCACTTCCACCAGCTCGACCTCCAGCATCACCTCCGTGTCCGGATCTGTCAATACAAAGTAATCTACGATGGCACCGGCAAAAGATGAGAGCCATGCTCATGGCAAAGTCTTCTCGGTCTCCGGCCCTGTCGTCGTCGCCGAGCACATGATTGGATGTGCCATGTACGAGCTGGTAAGCTACCCACATGTCTCCCCCACGAAGCTTCCCTCGGCGTTGTCCCCAATAGCTCATCAGCATGCTCACCTGCCTCGCTATAACAGTGCCATGTTGGCAAAGATCTCCTCGTGGGTGAAGTTATTCGACTTGACGGCGACAAGGCCACGATTCAGGTCTATGAGGAGACCGGTACGTCCCCAATCCGCTGGCCGACGCGCCTCACCTGTCCCCCATGACGACCACGTCCACTGCGGGCACATGGATTGAAGCTAATTTTTGTGGCCCGTGTTCCTTCTGACAGATGGTCTCACAATTGGTGACCCCGTTGCCCGGACTGGTAAGCCTCTTTCCGTGGAGCTTGGTCCTGGTTTGATGGAGACCATCTATGACGGCATCCAGCGACCCCTCCGTGCTATCTCCGACCAGTCCAAGGGTATCTATATTCCCCGTGGTATTCGAGTCAATGCCCTTGATCGTGAGAAGAAATGGGATTTCAAGCCCGTCAACTTCAAGGTTGGCGATCACATCACTGGCGGAGACATCTGGGGTACAGTCTTCGAGAACAGCTTGGTGAACGACCACAAGATCCTTCTGCCTCCCCGCGCACGAGGTACCATCACCCGCATTGCCTCCGAGGGTAGCTACACAGTGGAGGAGAAGCTTCTGGAGATTGAGTTCGAGGGCAAGAAGTCCGAGTTCGGTATGATGCAGACCTGGCCCGTTCGTGTGCCTCGGCCCGTCAGTGACAGAAAGTCCGCGGATGCGCCGTTCATCGTCGGCCAGCGAGTGTTGGATGCTCTTTTCCCCAGTGTGCAAGGCGGTACTGTCTGTATCCCCGGTGCTTTCGGATGCGGCAAGACTGTGATTTCTCAGAGTGTGTCCAAGTTCTCCAACAGTGACATCATCGTCTACGTCGGCTGTGGTGAGCGTGGTAATGAGATGGCTGAGGTCTTGATGGACTTCCCCGAGGTGAGTCGAATACCTGATCTTCAATTCTCTCCCTCCTTACCCTCCATTATTGCTGTTCCTTTTCCCATTCCCCGTATGTATGATTGTATCATCCGTGTCTGACATGGCGCTATTTCTTCCGCAGCTTTCCATCGATGTGGGTGGTCGCAAGGAGCCCATCATGAAGCGTACTTGCTTGATCGCCAACACCTCCAACATGCCCGTCGCCGCTCGTGAGGCCTCGATTTACACCGGTATCACCATTGCCGAATACTGGCGTGACCAGGGCAAGGACGTGGCCATGATGGCGGACTCGAGTTCCCGTTGGGCTGAGGCTCTGCGTGAGCTGTCAGGTCGTCTCGGTGAGATGCCTGCTGACCAGGGTTTCCCTGCTTACCTGGGTGCCAAGCTGGCTTCATTCTACGAGCGTGCCGGCAAGAGTAGCGCTCTCGGCAGCCCCGAGCGTATCGGCAGTGTCAGCATCGTTGGTGCCGTCAGCCCCCCCGGAGGTGATTTCTCCGACCCTGTCACCTCCAGTACTTTGGGTATCGTTCAGGTCTTCTGGGGTCTTGATAAAAAGCTGGCCCAACGCAAGCACTTCCCCTCTGTCAACACCTCTATGTCTTACAGCAAGTACACCACCATCCTTGACAAGTGGTATGAGAAGAACAACCCCGATTTCCCCCGCCTGCGTGATCAGGTTCGCGAGCTCTTGTCCAAGTCCGAGGACTTGGATCAGGTCGTGCAGTTGGTCGGTAAAGCTTCGCTGGGCGACTCTGATAAGATCACTCTCGACGTTGCCGCCATGGTCAAGGACGACTTCCTTCAGCAGAATGGTTACAGTGACTACGATCAGTTCTGTCCCTTGTGGAAGACGGAATACATGATGAAGGCATTCATGGGCTTCCATGACGAAGCCCAGAAGGCCATTGCCCAGGGTCAGGCCTGGAACAAGGTCCGTGACGCCACCGCTGACCTCCAGACGTCTCTGCGTAGCATGAAGTTCGAGGTACCGGACAACCAGGAGGAGGTCACGGCCAAGTACGAAAAGCTTTTGCAGTCGATGACTGAGCGATTCGCTTCCGTTTCCGATGAATAGATGTAGATTTGGGCCCTCATGTCGTATATTTTTGTTTTGGTCTTCGTCGGCACCACATTTGTCTCCTCTGGTTTGCTCGCTGAACCTATTCATGTTTCTATCTAGCACACATTACCCTGTAGTTATTTTCGATTCAATACAGCTCGCATGGAGCGGATACATTGATGGCTGCCTAATCTCCCAAATCGTCTGGGAGCGCCGCACTTAGGTAGTTTGGTTGTGACTTGTTTTTGCGTACTTCCTCCATTGCGTCTCCCAGACATATTCGTGAATTGGCTAGTCGTCATTCAGATCCACTCAACAAGCTTATTGAGCTGAGAGACGCAGCGACGCTCTATCATACAGTGGGCAATGGTGGATGCCTAGTACAGTAGAAGGCTGGCAGCTGGCCAGGCACTGACTTGCCGCATTTGCGGCAGTGCCAAGGGGCAATCCTTCCCCCCGAAACGGCCCACGCCCACGTAAACCTCACATGCCACACGCGGTTAAGCTACTTCAGGCCAAGGCGGTGCACGGCCACTCACTTGGGCTGGACCGCCACTCTCATCACCGCCTTCGTGGGCCTCTCCGACCAACAAACAATATCCCCGAGGACTGTACCATCTTGCTCTTGATCGCAGACATCTTCCTCATCTCTCGAGCGCTGTTCGGATTTTTCTTTGTGAAGATCCTCCTCTCCTCCCTCAGGGTTCGATATAACATCACCATACCTGCCTGTCATGGCAAGCCCAACTACCGGTTACTCGTACGTGGAAACCCACCCCTCCCCTGCACCCCCCTCCACTCCGGTGCGGCCTAGAACTGACCTGTGAAGCAGCATAAACGTCAACGACCCAGGCTTGATTTCCCTCGTCAACAAGCTACAAGATGTCTTCTCCACTGTCGGTGTATGTGAATCGACCCTGCGCATTTCCGACAACGTCACTATCGAGTCTCACTTACACCGCTCCTGCAATTTAGGTCCACAATCCCATCGACCTGCCGCAAATTGTCGTCGTCGGCTCTCAGTCAAGTGGAAAGAGCTCGGTCTTAGAGAACATCGTGGGCCGTGACTTGTCAGTATCTCAAACTCGAATCATGTGGCCGTGCCGCCATTTCCTCTACGCGCGAGTCGTATGGATGTGGCGGGAATGTCGTCACCGACTACCTTCTGGAGCTATTGCTAACTGCTTTTCTTTCTTCGCATGTAGCCTTCCTCGAGGCTCCGGCATCGTTACTCGACGACCTCTTATTCTCCAACTGATCAACAAGACCCCCGCTCCGCAAGCCAATGGAGACAACAAGATTGAGACAACGGACGCCGAGAGTAACGTCGACGAGTATGGCGAGTTCCTACACATCCCCGGACAGAAGTTCTTCGACTTCAACAAGATTCGCGAGGAGATTGTGCGTGAAACGGAGACTAAGGTCGGCCGTAACGCTGGAATTTCGCCTGCTCCGATCAACTTGCGCATTTACTCGCCCAACGTCCTCACCTTGACCCTAGTCGATCTGCCTGGTTTGACCAAGGTTCCCGTCGGAGATCAGCCCAAGGATATTGAGCGCCAGATTCGTGATATGGTGCTGAAGTACATCAGCAAGCCCAATGCCATCATTCTGGCTGTCACTTCGGCCAACCAAGATTTGGCCAACTCCGATGGTTTGAAGTTGGCCCGCGAGGTTGACCCTGAAGGTCAGCGCACTATCGGTGTGTTGAGTAAGGTTGACCTCATGGACGAGGGTACCGATGTCGTGGACATTCTTGCTGGCCGAATCATCCCCTTGCGTTTAGGCTACGTGCCTGTGGTTAACCGTGGCCAGCGCGATATTGAGAACAAGCGCCCCATCGCCTATGCGCTGGAGAACGAGAAAAACTTCTTCGAAAACCACAAAGCATACCGCAATAAGGCCTCTTATTGCGGAACCCCTTATCTCGCTCGCAAGCTGAACTTGGTAAGCGATGAAGAATGGGACCCTTTTGTGGGGGGCGAAAAGTTGAAACACTGCTGACAGCTTCTTGTTGTAGATCCTGATGATGCACATCAAACAAACGCTCCCCGACATCAAAGCTCGCATTTCCTCATCCCTACAAAAGTACACTGCGGAGCTGTCACAACTCGGCGACTCCATGCTTGGAAATAGCGCCAATATCATTCTCAACATCATCACCGAGTTCAGCAACGAGTATCGCACTGTCCTTGAAGGTAACAACCAGGAGCTGTCTAGTATCGAGTTATCCGGCGGTGCGCGTATTAGCTTTGTGTTCCACGAGCTGTACTCCAACGGTGTCAAGGCTGTGGATCCCTTCGACCAGGTCAAAGATGTTGATATTCGGACGATTCTTTACAACTCTTCTGGTTCCTCTCCTGCTCTTTTCGTCGGAACTACCGCGTTCGAATTGATCGTCAAGCAACAAATCAAGCGCCTGGAGGACCCCAGCAACAAGTGCATCTCGCTCGTGTATGATGAGTTGGTGCGCATTCTCGGCCAGCTTTTGAACAAGCAATTGTTCCGCCGTTACCCGCAGCTGAAGGAGAAATTCCACGCCGTCGTAATTTCATTCTTCAAGAAATGCATGGATCCCACAAGCAAGCTCGTCAAGGATCTTATTGCGATGGAGGCTACGTATATCAACACTGGTCACCCTGATTTCTTGAATGGTCATCGAGTAAGTCTTGCCATATAAGTCTTCTTCCTAGTGATGTATACATTCTAATCGGATACAGGCCATGGCTATTGTCAATGAACGGCAGCTGGCTGCCAAGCCTACCCAAGTCGACCCCAAGACTGGCAAGCCCCTCCCGGGCCGTGCTCAGAGCCCGTCCCTGGATACCACAGCCGAGGCCCCCAACGGCAGTGGCTTCTTCGGCAGTTTCTGGGCATCCAAGAACAAGAAGAAGATGGCGGCCATGGAGGCTCCGCCTCCAACCCTCAAGGCTTCGGCTAGTTTGTCCGAGCGGGAGACTTCCGAGGTCGAGGTGATCAGTATGTTACTCTCTCTGCTGCTCACGCTAGGCTTGGTTGTTGTACTGACTTTTCTGTTCCAGAGCTGTTGATTACCTCGTACTTCAACATTGTCAAGCGCACAATGATCGATATGGTGCCCAAAGCTATCATGTACACCTTGGTGCAGTATGTGTCCTGGACCTTTTTTTTCTTCTCACCGAGATCACGCTAATGCCTTGCCTAGATTCACCAAGGACGAGATGCAGCGGGAGCTGTTGGAGAACATGTACCGCAACAACGAGTTGGATGACCTCCTCAAGGAGAGCGACTACACTGTGCGCCGGAGGAAGGAATGCCAGCAGATGGTCGAGAGCTTGGGTCGCGCTAGCGAGATTGTCAGCCAGGTTCAGTAAACAGGAGGATAGTGCAAGTCTGTGTGGCCTTGCATATCTTCCTTTGAAGAAGATAATCCGCTCGAGTCAAGCCAGTTTACGACCACGATCGACTCAATCATTCATGTGGCTGGGACTCTGAATTCTGTTCTGGCAACTTGGTGAGGGTCTCGAACGACCCACTTGCATCAAGTTGCATATTCAGAACCGACATTCGGCTCAGTGCGACAAACTGACAGCTGGTCAATATCTGTCCCCCCGAGAGCCTACTTACTCCGAAGATTGATTCCAAGTACGTGACTCGTTCGAGTTCATATGTATCTGACCAGCGGGGAGTTGTATCCTACTGCGTAGGCCGCATAATTCCTGTCTGGGATCTGTTGTTCTTCATGTTTCCGTTGTTTCTTGCTTTCCAAATTTGGCAGCCTTATACCGCCTTTTGTTGTCTTTGTGTTGATGCTTTGTTTTCTTTTTGGCTTTGAGACCCACAAGCTTTCCCTCAGATGACGACTGTATCAACTAATGATTTAAACCTGTGTGCTGAGGATGCTTTTCTTTTCTACTAGAGATTATGTCCAATTATAAGCTTTGTTCCCTTCGATACTGTGATATGACTACCCATGTCTTCCAAAGGCGGCATTGTCATGCTTTTCTATGTGACTAGTCGAAAAGCAACTTGCACGAATCTAGTCTCAGGTGTCTAGTATGCACGAAAGCAGCCTGATCAATGCGAGATCAACAATGTCGGATGACCCTTTCAGCTCCTACATGTGCCCCTGTAGTGCCTGTGAATTCGCTAGGTGGCTGAGGTTGATAGATACTAGAGACAGGAATGAATCACTAGCGTCGCTCTGTATGAGTTACAAGAGTATTCTCTAGACGTCTCTGGTCGATAAAAGAAACCAGATCAATAGGCATTTAAAAGGCCTTTCAATAGCCTTTGCCCGCTATGGTCATCAGTCATGAAATATTTCTATTCAGCAAGTCTCAAGCTGGGACAGGGCATACACAACTGGCCGTCATCCACCAATCCCGTGACCGTGAGCTATGGCGGTTATTTATCCAAATAGTTGTGTTATCACCCAGATGTGTCGTTTTACAAAGCTGTGGAAAGTGCCGGTCACTTTCCATGTCGTCTACCTCCCTGGGTCAACGTGATTATCACAGACTCACAACGACTTCCATTCAAGACAACCTCTCTAATCCATCCCTGATCTCATTGTTCGCCAAAGTTTCATCTCTTTTCATCAGTCTCACAGCAGCAAATCTCCTCGAGGGAGCAGGAGACAGCCAAGATGGAGTTTCCTGTCTCTACCACTCGACCTAGATGGGAAAGAGATGCCGGACAAGTCACCACCTCAGTTCGACCCAATCTTGGTGAACAGAGAGACCTCATCAGACAATCTGTGACTAATATCATCAGCGTACTTCGCACGTTCTCCCTCATGACGATGAAGATCGACGACCTTCTTCGCTTTAATATCGAGATCACAGAGTTTGATCCCCTGAACCCGTTGGATCACACCATCTTCCAGCCGATGCCGGTGTCTGAGTTCAGTAAATATGAGCTTGAACAAGAGCTCTTCCATGGATTGATGACGGATAATGTCAAATTGACGGATTTGGAACTTCCTGATCCTGCCAGCAACTCCGCTTCTCGCTTGGACATTGAGCGTGCGGCCATGCGAGAGAGTCAACGTCTGTATCGCTACATTGACTTACTTTACACTTGCCACTCGCAGATTGAAGAGCCTAACGACCCTATCTCTATGGCAGTGGGTTGGATCAGCATTCCGTAAGTGGTAAACTTGCGCACAACTTGACTTGTGTTGGCCTGGGTGACGATCATTCTAACAGTTTCTAATACACCTTTGATAGTGTCCCTCTTCCACAGTACACTTGGCCTCGAGAGCTCGGTCCGAATAGCTGGCCCCGTGATCATGGAATGTTGTCTCACGATCTTGGACCAGAGCATGTTGGATGGAAGTGTGAGATGGTGAGTGAATGGAAGGATCGCTCGGGACGGACCACCAAGGTCTGGCCTCATGTTCGAATGGCCGTTTGTCACGGGCACAGCGGCGATCCTCACGGGATTTTGATCGGTGAGCTCGGTGCAATTGCTCAAGTGATTCTCAATCGCCTGAATCAGCCACAGTTCGACAATGAGTCCTACTTTCCAGTGAGTGGATCTTCTTTGAAGGAAAACACTGATGGACACCAGGGCACATCTTTGTTGCTGACAATACCCAGGTTCTCATGTTGTCATTCTTCGGCCCCCGTCACATGCGTTTTCTGCAGGCCGTTTACAGACCGGCTGGGTATTTGGAACTTCGAGCGAGCCAGATCTTCGACTTTACCACACTGGCAGTCTCTCGACTTGATCTGATGCTGGAATACCTTGCTTGTTCTCCGCGCCGTGACCATCACTAATTGCGGAAGGAGTGAAGATGCTTTTCCCTTCCATTGAGCCGTCTGATGATTGTGGACTGATGATATGCTACCGTGTCTGACTTGAGCTCAGTGAAATTTTGAATTTTTGATCTTAGCATTCCATCTTATCATTTTATCCATTCTTCCATGTTAGGTATTACAAATCACAGAAATCAATTGAGAAATGAGACATGCAGAATGCAAAATGCGAAATGAGAAATGAGGAATTGACGAGGACGCCTGCGATTTTAATGGAGCAGGGAACAAGGGTAACGGCGAAGAGGTACCTCCTTCTCTCTCTGATCGAGTCGTACCAAGGCCCGAGGGTCACTCTCTCGAGTACCCAGGTAGCACGAGCCGTCGAGGTTGAGAATGTTGAGTGGTCATCAATCTCCATTCACGATCTCGATCTGTTCATTTAGAGATGCTGGAGTGTCTGTATGAATAGTGCCAGTCTTCCGAGCCAATATCATACCTCACCTTATAATTTCTTTCGGCCATGTTCAAGATATTCAGATCCATATCCACCACGCGCAGCCCTTCCTCGTTGCCCATTTTCGTGATCGGTCCCACAAGAGGAAGGGTCACCTGGGATAGACCCAAAAAGTCCTCCTTTGGACCCGCGGCATTGACAAAGATAATACCGCAGGTATTCTCAAAGCAGCGTGCAGTGAGCGTGGATTCGAGGAAGAGCGCTTCTGAGTTGGGATTGACGCGAAGACACTCGGCAGATGCATCATGAGGGGTCCCTGTGGGGTCCAGATTCGTTAGTCAGGCTTTCTATCCCAGGCCGAGTGGCTGAGTGGCTGGGTGGCGAGAAGTTTCGTACAGAAAGTAGGAATGATAATCACGTCTGCTCCATCGGCAATCAGTTCACGGAAGGCCTCGGGGAAGGCCAAGTCCCAACAGATCAGTAATCCGATTCGTCCGAGGGGTGTCTCAATAGCTGCGTGTTGCTCATGGGTGGAAGAGGTCAAATGAGGTCGCTCCGGATGCCAGATATTCTTTTTGCGATACGAGCCCAGGATTGTGCCGTTGTCGGAGATGAAGTGGGCGACATTGAAGAGGCGAAAGTCTTTCTCTTCGCTGGTCGGGTTGGATCGGGATTGTTTCTCGATGAGAGTGCCTGGTACAAGGCAGATCTTCAGTTCTCGGGCTAGGGCTTTGTAGTTCTCGAGATACGTGGTCGACTGCCCTGCCTGCTCGCTCCAGCGAGGATCGTCCGGGACCCAGCCACTCAGATGATATCTGGGTGAAATGAGAGTCAGTTGGGTACAGGGATCTTTGGGACGTCCGGTAAATCTTTCGCTTGTTCTTGATGTTTGCGATGGCCTTTTTTTTGTCTTTATTTTCCGGTCTGCGAGGGTTGATCGGGATGAGATTACTCTGGTAATACTGCCAGCTGTGCTCCGTCTGCGGCAGCTTGGCGGATATAATAGCACGCTGTTGCGTAGTTCTCCTCTGGGGCGAGTGGCTGAAGAATTGGTAGTCAGATGGATTGTTGGGCCCTCCTTTGTATACGATCGGTGGCCGCAGCGCGTACCTTGATATGCCATTGAATGATGGCTACCCGGATAGATGACATTGCGAGGAATTGGGGTAGATCGGGGCGCGAAAGTCACGACAATAATGGGCACCGTCTTCTCGATCGACTTGACCAAGTAGAGTGCGGGCGATGGAGAATGAGACAGATATACACGTTTTTCAGCGAAAGTGCAGAAATAAAGGCAAGTCCAACTCTCCGAGGGTTGATCAGTGGTGAAGAAGTGCTGCCATCTCCTGACTTCTCATGACTTCATGAGCTCCACTCCCCACCTTTCTCCAAGAGAATTGGAGGTTGGAGACCTTTGGGCGGGTTACCCCGCGTGGCAGAGCTCCCAAGTTCGAATGGAGTAAAATCTCCCACGGCGACATGATGAGTCTATATCGATCAACATGGTATATTCGCATACGCCAGTGCAGTCCACGTCAAGATTGGAGGATAGAGTAGGTGTAGATACAGCTAGTCGTCACTCTCGTCGGCCGAGTTGTTGATCGTGTGTTTGACACTCTTTTGCTTGGACCATCCAGCAGATTTCCATTAGATGGCCTGGTCCATGAAGTCTCCGAAGCCACATTAGATCGAGGCTGAGAATAGACTTGTCGCAGTGACGTAGAATGTATCAGATTCATAGGGGGTCATCGGCCAGCTACCTACCCTGAGCGTGGATATTTGCTGTAGGGAAGATTCAGAGATTGAAGGGTCATCTTGAAGTGTACCACTACGCAGCTTGTATTTGAGCATCATATATCCGTAGCGATTATCACATGCATCAATTCAGGTTCTGGATCACCGGTACCAATCTAAGACGACGATCTTGATCATCTCCCGCGACTCAGACCTTTAGAGTCATATCTTGCATCCACGACTTGCTTGATCCTCTCATCACGATAGAGTAGTAGTTACCCGACAAAGACTAGGTAGCTGAAGGTCAGCGGTACTATGTCTGGTACTCCTGCTGAAGGAATCGAGTTGTTCTCGAGACAAGTGACATACTTTTTCATCATACATCATTGAGTTCAATGCCTCTATTCCACTCGGCTCCTCATCCAATGTCATGTATGAATGGAATCGAAGTGATCATTGCATCCCTGAGTCGCTCCAGGCAAAAGATCTAGATCTCCATCGTAAACATGGATACTCCTTTCAAGCCTCGGTGTCGGCGCCAGACATCTGTCATTAGCCGCAATCACTGAGTCAGACAAGAGACTCAATGATCTCAGAATCGCGTCTACAAGTTTCGATACGCTAGCTTTGGACATTTATGGCCGAGTCTTTGCTCTGGAGATTCTTGCAACTTGATTTCACGAACCCTCTCCACTACTTCGAGCACCGTATCAAGAGACCATTCTTCTACCCACGGTCCTAAGCCGCCATCTTACGCAAAGACTGTTACGATCTCTTCTAAAAGGGTTGCCAGGGGAAAAAAAAAAGGGTTTCGATATTTCTCAAAAACTGTTTCCATCATGGGAGCAATGACTGCATTGGTAGCGACCCTGATGCTGTGGTCCAGCATGGCCTTGCCAGCACAGGCGTATCCCAATTATGCTCCTTTGCAATACCGACTGCGTGATGTCTATGACGGACCTTCGTTCTTCGATCACTTCAATTACTACTCTGGGAAAGATCCAACTGATGGATATGTCAGGTGAGACCATGCTCATCTTCCGAGATTATACCTATTTATTACCCAGTATATATGGAGATGGAGACAGAAGACCCAAGTTCGAGCTTCGCTTCAGTCACATCCAACCCCAACTTGCACACCCCCGTTCTATTTTCTTTCTATCACACACACATACTCTCTCTCTCTCTCTCTCTCTCTCTCTCTCTCTCTCTCTCGATCTCCCTCCATCCCAATCTCCTCCATCTACCTTCAGAGGTGTATCAGTGCACGATGATGTGATAGCTCACTATTTCCCTCCCCCACCACCAGCTACGTCAATAAACAATCTGCCCAATCCCTCAACCTCACCTACGCAACCTCCAACACCGCCATCCTCCGCGTCGACGCATCCACTCCCAACCCAGGCCCCAAAGGCCGCCAGTCCGTCCGCATCGAGTCCCAAAAAGCCTACGACTCCGGCCTCTTTCTCTTCGACATCGCCCACACCCCCCACGGCTGCGGCACCTGGCCCGCGCTCTGGATGAGCGATACGCTGCATTGGCCGCAGAACGGCGAGATTGACATTATCGAGTCGCATAATACCGGCGTGCAGGGGAATGAGATCTCCTTGCATGCATTGGGGGATTGTAGTATGGGAGGGGAGCGGAGACTTACGGGGACTGCGGTGTCGATGGATTGTGATATCGCGGTGGGTGGGAATGCGGGCTGTGCGGTGATGGGAGATTCTTCCACGTATGGCGCGGACTTTAATGCGAGAGGCGGAGGGGTGAGTATCATCGGGCTTCCTTGCGAGTGAGATCTGACCGTCAGGCTCTACGAGCTTCGACATACACAACCAGCCTCCCGGTGGCTGCTCTGAGATACGCGAACTAACCCACCGATTCCCAACTATCCAGGTCTACGCTCTCGAAATCCGCGACGCAGGCATTCGAATCTGGGTGTTCCATCGCGATTCCATGCCCTTGGACATCGCCAACGGCCAATCGCCCAATCCGTCGTCCTGGGGTCCTCCTCTCGCGGATTTCCCCAGCACAAACTGCAATATCAAGAGCCATTTCCGCAATCTGAACATCATCGTCAATATCGATCTCTGTGGAGAATATGCGGCCATGGCATCGCATTATACGCAGATGTCGGGGTGTCCTGGCTCGTGTGCGGAATTTGTGGCGACGAATCCCAGCAATTTCAACAATGCGTATTGGGAATTTCGCAGCATCCGAGTGTATCAAGCGGTGTAAAGGATTAAAGGGTTGAGACAGTCAGACAAGGGAGATGGCTCAAGCTGGGCAGGAAGTAGCTTTGGCTTTCTTGCTTGATAGCGCATGCTTGGCTTGTGGTTGACCGAGCTATAACTTACTTCTCGTAGCTTGAAAGATGGAGCTACACTCAATCAATGGATTATTTGCTATTTGAGATCCAAGCGCTTTCTCACAACGCAAGTCTCAATGATCATGGGGTATCTGGGCGTGAACAAAGGAAAAGGTCAAAATAAATCTCCGAAATAACCCAGTGAATACAGTAAGTCATGTCTGCCCGATCACCAGGTCTCGCTCAAATTGACGGCAGCAAAGCATCCAGCAGGCAACATGCCCCTTCATCTAGGTATCAGGACCAAGAAAGAACAAGAACAAAAAACATGGATATGGTGTGAGATCGGCGTAGGTTTCATAGATTCGAACCAGAAAAGTCCCCATGTCCACGCCTCATAGTGGAGAGCCGCGCTATAACTTCTTCAACAAGCTGCCTTCCGCAAAGGGATTCTCGTCCGACATGTCGAGCAGAGGCCGGGTCGCATCACGATCTCCAGTGGCGACGCCCCGGCCAAGGGACACTTTGCCGTGATGCGGTTGCGTGCTCGGATTGCGGTCCGCGTTCGCAAGTAAGCTATTTGCGATGAACGTCTCATACGAGGAAGAGACAGGGCCTGCCGAGATGGGTCCTGCATTATGTGGCGCCGCCCTGTTTGAAGGACGTCCGCTCTTTGTCGTATTCGAGCGATGGGGATGTGATTGCGAGGGCGGCTCGACAGTCGGTCTTTTCCAGGTCGTCGAAGATGGCACACTCGCAACTCCGGGAATCGGCTCAGGTCCAGTGGCCGCCTCAATCAATTGTCGCCCGGGCTCGACTCGGACTCCACGGCCCTTGCGCAGATGCTGCGGTTGTTCTACAAACTTGGGTGTCAAATCAACCAAGGGCTTTTGGGCCTGACCGATGGACATCGATCGGTCGCCATGGTCGGCGCGAGTGAGTGTGTTGGTACGGCTGTTCGGCTGAGTACTGGAGGCGCTCCCGGAGTTTGAGCCAATGAGGCCCGCGTTAGTGAAGGGATCTTGGTGCGCTTTCTTCGCCCGGTCTTCCCGCTCACGCATTGCATGCTGCCGCTGGGTGTATGTTTTCCCTAGAAGTCCGGTTGATGCAAAAACCTGTCCCTGGTCTTCCTCTGGTGATGATTGTTCATTGATGGAGCCCGCCTTCTGGGAAGGCAACCTCGTATCCAGGGTGAGGGTCGCGGGGAAGGATGATGGGGGCGAACGGTGCTCACGAGTGGTCTTCCTGCGAGACACAGACGCTTCGGCTTGCTGACGTTCCACTAAACGCTGAGCAGGCTCCGGCTCGCTGTTCTGACGGTTCAAGGGAAGAATGCGCGGGACATCTTGGGCGGGAGGGAGATTTCGCGTCGCAGATTGAATGAGTGATGGCTTGCGCTCGTAGTTATCGTTGGGGGCCACGGGCTCGTTTATGCGTACTTTATGGACCAAGTACCAGCTCCGCCACCTTTGGACTGCTTGGTACCATTGGTCTCCAAGGGCGCGATCATTGGTGCTGAAGAAATGAACAAAGCTGTCGGTGGAGAGAAACATGGAGGATTTTTGTTGGCTTTTGATCGCAAAGCAGATTTTCTTCGGGGCCTTGATGTCTTTGGCCGCATATCGGGGTAAAGGGGTGTATATGTCAAAGTCTGACAGGTGGCAGACATTGGCAGAGTCCTTGGAGCCTTCTTTCTTCGATATGGTCACTTGCCCGTCACTGTGCAGCGTCACAAATCGCTTGTCCCACTTGCGGGGCCGATGAGAGTAGTAGCAGCAGACGGTGGTATGGGGAGGCTTTTCACACAATACGCTCGACGCTTCAAGCGGAGTTACGGCTTCCCGACTCGATGCGGGGACGGCGAGCAAAGCACCATCGTCGTCTGCGGCCCAGGAGTTCAACACATCGCGAACACGCTCATATTGTCGCAATGGCCGCTCCAAGCCAATCTGCTGGAAAGATTCAATCAGAAGAAATGCGTTCGGGTCAATATGCCGTGAGATGCGCGCTCTAGCTATATCTAGTAGATCCTGTACATTCGTTGAGGGTGTCACTGGTAGTCTTGCGCTCTTGTCGCCATATTTGACCATCACCAGGCGTTCTCCAGCATTTACGGCTGAAACTGGGGCATCTGTCCCCGGCACAATACCTCCCCCTCCAGTGCCAATATAGTTGGGTTTTGCTGGCCCGGTCGGAGGAACTTTGATTTGTGGCTGACTTGCTTTGGCCCGCGACAGACCAACCTTTTGAAAGATTGATTTGCGATTTTGATCCGGAAGGGCTGCCGGATCTTTGGTCGGTGACCATTCACGCATCGGGTTGGTTCGCGATGATGCATTCTGGACGGGCTTTTCACGAGTCGACGTCTTCTCTGTAGGTAGATTTGGCCTGGCCGATCTTGCCTTTGATGGCGACGTTGTTGATAGTTGTGGGGGTGGGGGTTTGTTGGACTTGGCTTCTCCAGTCAATTGGGCCATTGCATTCTGTCGGTGCTGTTCCTTTTCTCGCTCTTGATTCCCCTTGGAGGCCAAGGGTATCCTCTTTTCTTGCTGCTCTAACAGACATTGCGCCTTGGAGCGCTGTGCAATTGCTGTTGCAGATGATGGTGCAGTCGGTGTTGGAGGTGCAGCCGGGTCGACAGCAACCACCGGTCGATTGCGACGATACCGAGACATACTCCGGGCGATTGAGGGATTTTGTTGCTTGTTCCCAACATCCTCGGCAGCACGAGGCGGCGCATTTGACGGCGGTGCGCCTGGTGCACTGCGCTGGTGATCCCCCATTCTTTGGGTCCTGTGAGGAATGGTACCGAGGGGGTACTCAGGGACGCATGCGACCTGGGACTGCTGACGCTCCACTCCCGCGTGGACTCAAGGGGGACAGAAAGGAGCGATGGTCAGGGACTCGCGGGGCACATTCCTCTCAGGGGAGCTTGATCGACAATCGATCTTGACTGTTTGTGTTGACACCTCCGTCTCTTTGCGCTTGCAGCCAACGGTTGCATTCTGGGGGTGGGAGACCCACAAGGAAAGGTAGTAAGGTGGTGCACGCCAGGGTTCCCCCCTCGATCGAAGTAGGGACTGCGGTACTGAGCTGGAGGGACTCCTAGTGAGTAGTGAAGGGAGAGCGCATGAAGGGTGTCGGGTAGTCAAGAGGTGGGAAGCACGCAGTGAGGCTTCACTGCTGAACAGGCCTAATGCTCGCCTCTACTTGTCGTGCGCCCTTGGGTAGAGATGCACGAAATGAGTCGGGGTGCTCCAAAGCCCACGATTTCATCAAGACACGAAGCACAAAAGCAGGGTGATAACAGAAAGAAGAAAAGAAATCACTGGAAAGGAAGAAGCAGAGGGGATGACAGTAGAACCAAATTTAGTCTTGCGGGCGACGGCCTCGTTTGATATCAGCGCCACACAGCTTCTGACCAGGCCGTCAGAGTAATCGTGTGACCGCCTTCAAGGGAACTGGCTAAACTCAAAAAAGGGGGGGCCTGGGGTTGACTACTGTCGTCGCGAGACTGTCGACCAGCCAAGGCGTCTGTCGCAGGAAAGGAGGGTGCAGCGCGTACGAAAGAAAACCAGCAGAACAATGTCTGAGGTACATGTGGTCTGTCGAGATACAGCTGAGTTGTGAAACTGAAAACTGACTCGGGTCAACTAAGTAATCTGACTCGGGCAGCACAGACATCCAACTTGAACCTGGAAATCTCCAAAGAAAAAAGGGCCTGACAGCGGGGCGGGGGAAGAAGAATTGGGGAGAACCGAGTGCAGTGCTGCAGGGGCCGCATTTGTGGCGCAAAACGAGCTCCACTTGCTTCCTGCGGTGGACAAGGAGGACTGGGACACTGCTTGCAGTGTCCTGCGAATTGAACAGTATCTGACTCTCTCAGTAAGAGAGAGTGCGCGAGTGAAGAGAAAGGTAATAACCATTTATCCGCAGTATGGAACGGTTCAGTTGCATTTTGAACGCGACAGTCGTGCACTGGGGCTCTTCGAAAAAGTCAAAGCGGATAATTCAACTTCCACTACTTGAGTAGAATCGCGGCTACTCCCCCAAAAGTCCATATAAGGACATGGCAGTACTGTGCCACTTTTACCCTGATTACTGGTAGAGTCCTACTTTTCTAATAGTATGGGCCTACCTGGTACTGGCTGAGCTGCTTATACTGGATGTTTGCATCCCAACATGCGCCTAGTTAGTCACATAAAGCCCTTGTTCTACGGACATCCAAAGAAGTGGCATGGACAGGTAATCATTATAGACTCGAAGAGAGTTCAAAGAATAAAAGTGGGGGAAATTAAACAAACCCTTTGACAAGCTAGCGCCCAATGAGCCGAGTCCAGAAACGCCGATCGGCAGAGCCCCGGAATCAAAGTAGTTCAAGGCTCGCAACTTAACAGGAGACTGATTTCAGGAGTATGATTTCAGTGCGTACTGCAAGTAGTAACTTGGTTGCTAGTTAGTTAGTGACTAAGTAGTTACTAGTTGCAACTTACCGTCAAGGATACCTTATTTACACGAAAAGTGCTTAGCTGAACATTAACACTACCAAGAATCGGGGATAGGATAGTTAATCTGGTCCAAGAAAAAAAAACCTTCTAGACTGATGAGGAGTTCGAAATGGTGAACTCCTATTTGACAAAGCATCAGGAAAGTCCCCTTATGATATTGCTACTACTGATCAGGCTCATCACGGATGATCTATGATCACTTCAATATGAGCTGTCTCCTCCGTCCGTAGCTACCACCAACTTACACTAGGTACTGGCCTACATAAGGTAGTACATAACTACCGGGTACATAGTTGATAAACCCTATCCCTAGTCCCTACATATAACCGTGGCTACGAGCTGAATTTTCAATCCCGTCTAATTTGGAGCGACATCGTTATTGCTGGCATTGTCTGACTGGATCCGTACCGTACAAATGCGCACTATTCACTGTTCAATGTTGATTCACTGCGCGGTCTCTGTTTTCGCCATGTCCATCTTGGTCGAGTCATTGGACCACTTAAACTCACCGAGTGAGACGCGCCTCACCCACATACACATTACACAATACACATTACACATTACACACCATCCTTCAAATCTCAACATCTCCACTACCAGGACCAGGACCAGGACCAGGACCACCAACACAGTCCAAATTGCTAGGCAGAGAAAGATCCCTGCAAGCTCACAGGCACCCGCCGGGCGCATACGGGGCACACGCGCAATCTCCCCTGGAGTCCAGTTGCTCCACAACCGGGCGCGTCCTGAATCGCAGGGGCGGAAAGGTCCACAGCTCGATACAATGTGAAACTCGACGGTCGGACGAGTGTAGCCTGCTTCTTCGATTCTTGTTGTCGGCTTTTTGGTGGTCCTCAGGTTAGAGATATTAATAGGATTGGTTATTGACCTTGCCCATCATTTGGTGAATACCTTATTTACAGTACCGGGTACGTACCGACCATACGGAACAATGGTAAGAAAATCATGTTCTGCTCCAGTAGTGTCTATAGGAGTGACCTATGACTCTAGTCTCTACCTTACTGAGCTCGCTGCCCTCGATGGGAACCGTGACTTAAGCCGAGCTACGCTCACTTGGAATACAAGTGATAGCTAGAAATCAGAGACTTTGGAGCAGATGGACTCTTTTTTTCACTCTTCGTCATTTCTCGTGGTATGATTTCTCTATACTTCATTTTCTAAGTACCGAGTGCGGCACAGATCAACCATCTAACCGCTGACACGACCCATCACCACTCTAGTGCTTCACAGCACCCAAGTATTTCCGCCTGGGAGAATAACAAGAATGAATCGATCAGCAATTGCCCAGTCAGAATAGCACTAGAACAGAATCACTTACCACCAGGCAACAAAGTCCATGGTTCGCACATCGATTCCCAAGTCAACCAGCGCCTTGGTGGAGAGATGTGTGTCATATGGCCGTTGAACACCACCGGGCTCATTGCCCTGGGAATTGCGGATCATGCCTGGCAGAGACCAGCCCTGCACCTCGGCCAGCTTCTCACAGATCTGATACTTGGTCATACGGTCTTCAGAACTGAATTGCAAGATGTGTGGGAGGTCCTGAATCTGATCCTTTTGCTTCAGATACTTGATGACAATGTCACGGACCACACGAGCCACGTCTTCCGTGTTGGTAGGATAGCGTTGGGCCCAATCGTCCATCTTCACGCCAGCAGTCTCATCCTGTGCTTTGTTGATGGCATCGAGCAAGACATTCACGGCACTCTCCGAGTTCTCCTTGGCGGCTCCATACAGCACAGGTACGCGCAGCACAACTCCAAGCCCCGAGTTCTTGGTGGCTTCGAGGACAGCTAGTTCACCATCGCGCTTCAATTGACCGTACAGGTTGGGAGGATCGGTCTTTGCGTCGGCCTCGTAGGGAGCTTCGCCTTCCTTGCCGGGGAACACGTAGTCGGTGGAAATGTAGACGAGAAATGCACCGCGAGTCTGGCATGCCTCCGCTAGTGTGCGAGTGGCCTCGACATTCACCCTGCGTGCTTGCTCAGGATCTTTCTCACATAAATCTGGAGATCGGTTGGCGGCACCTAAAGTTTTATTGCTAGTCAGCCTCACAGCTTCTCAAAGTAGAACACTGTGGCTGGGGTCTCTGAAGTTCCGAGAGATCTGAAAGTGCGGCTTGGCTTACTGTGAATAACAATCTGAGGCCTGTATTGTGAGCAGTGCTGGTCAGCAAGGGGCCCATTGGATTTAGGAAATAATCAAGCAAACCGGTTCGAGACTCACTTGACCTCATCGAGAAGAGTCTTGATATCCTCTGGCTTCTCGAGATCGGCCTTGAGGATGGTGGGAGGAGCGGCACGAGTGAAACCCTGTCCAACAACCAGGACTCCAGCACGTTGAAAAGTGTTGAATAATTGGCGACCCAGCAAGCCCGTGGCTCCTGTGACTAGCACTGTCGAACTCATTTCTTTTTCTGGGATGTCTGTACGAAGAGAGTATGTACCTGTTCAAACTACCTTTTAGTCGGTGAGAATTTCACAGGTGCTCTCCCCGCCAGACCTCCGGTCTTGTCAGGTTCCGGCCACTGCAGCGGGGCACCGACATGACGTAACTAACTCCCATTCTGGACTCTGCATTGTAACCGTCCAGTCGTCACGCAGGTTTCTAATCCGGCATCATCAGAAGAGAACGTGCTTTCCTGCCAATTTGGTGGGAGTCACTTCTCGTGGAGCCGCTCGAGGCATCCGTTTGAAGACCGCTAGTTGTATGCCTATGATCTACTAGGCACATCAACCTGGTGGCTCAAGCCCAAAGCCCCGTCGCCCGGGCCTCTCCTCCCTTGTCCCTAGAATGTTCGTCAAATCTGGGCAAGACCACCCCAGGGCCAATTAAGGTTGTTCCTCCCTAAGCTTCCATTCCTCAACCTGTCCAAGTCTCCAAGCTGACCAGGGCCAAGCGATGTGCCAGATCCCCAAGGCCAGATAAAGTGCGGAAGATGGACGGTACCTGGCTTGAACTGGGCAGCGATCGATGGCCCACCTATGTATGACGTGAGGCTCTTGGTCCTACTTGAGTCTGGTCACTCTAGTGGGCAACTCCGGCTGCTCTACATTCCACCTGCCTCTGTTCTCCCCTGCTTCATGTCTTCCCCCCTGCTTCATGTCTTCATGGTGACGCCGAATGGGTATGCTGGGGGTCTCCGCCCGTCCGCAGTATAAACGCCAGCAAGGACCTCAAATCTTAGTAGGTCGAGCCATAAGTCCAGCGCAGCCTCAGCATGCGCCTCCCAGAGAAAGTTGGACCCAACTATTTGAGTCTCCGACCCAGCTTGAAAATGTTCGTGTCCAATATGCATGAAGTGTTGATTTTCCCAGGCTCCAGAACGTGTTAAAGAGCAGCTTCCATTGGGAAATCCCTAGTGCATTGGGTGCATGCTTATTAGGTCACAAAGCTACCTCTAATGGATGCTCTGTACTGACACATGACTCGAGACTGAAACTCACTGATGCGATATACTTTCGACTCCGCGTAGCTGCGCATGACATTAATGTACGTATACCCTCTTGCAGGTGTATAACTCAAGCTTTTTCTTAAACCTCAAATGTAGAATTTCTTGAGCAAGATTACTATTCATCCACTCATAACTAAGTCACTTGGGGATGACTACTTTACATTTAAATCTGGGCAAAGGGTTCGCCGACAATCGCCGAACGCATACTCGACGGAAGAATTACCGACCGCCTGGCAACTACTGCAAATGGTGCAATACGGATTCCGTCGGGGGAAGATCGGAGGGTGGATTCTCCACCCTCAAATTGTCCGCTTTAGTCCATCCTCTAAATTTCGACGGCGTGCTCACTTTTGCCCTTTCATGACCACAATCGGTCCCATTCTCGCTCTGGCCCCACGATGTCTAGCGCTCGCAACTTGTCAAACGCATTGCGGCGGGCACGCGTGCCTCGACCTCGCATCATCCTTCGATCCGCTCTCCCTCACTCCCCGGTCGCGACCGGTCTCCGCAGCTTCAGCGTGAGCTCCACCGTTCGAGCGGACCGACAGATCAAATACACTAGTGACGCCTATCCCAACGTCAAGCGCGATCCCAACTTTGGTGAGCTGACGGCCGACGATGTCGCCTTCTTCAAGCAGCTCTTGGGGTCACAATCCGCCGTTGTGGATGGCGTCACCGCCGATGCCACCGACGATATCGAGCCGTTCAACAGTGACTGGATGCGCAAATACCGCGGTCATGCACGGCTCGTCCTGAAGCCACAAAGTACAGAGGAACTGAGTAAGGTCATGGAGTACTGCAACCAAAAGAAATTGGCCGTGGTGCCTCAAGGAGGAAACACTGGTCTCGTCGGGGGCTCGGTGCCCGTGTTCGACGAGATTGTCATCAACACCTCCCGCATGAACAAGATCCATTCCTTTGATGAGGCTTCCGGTGTACTGGTTGTGGATGCGGGTGTCATTTTAGAGGTTGCGGATCAGTACCTTGCAGAGCGCGACCACCTGTTCCCCCTCGATTTGGGAGCAAAGGGATCCTGCCACATCGGAGGAAACGTCGCAACCAACGCTGGAGGTCTGCGTCTTCTGCGCTATGGCTCTCTGCACGGCAACGTGTTGGGGTTGGAAGCAGTCCTGCCGGACGGGACTGTTGTTGACTCGCTTTCGACTCTCCGCAAGAACAACACCGGGTATGACTTGAAACAGCTCTTCATTGGCTCCGAGGGCACTATCGGTCTCATCACCAAGGTGGCCATCATCTGCCCACCTCGACCCAAGGCCGTCAATGTTGCTTACTTTGGTGTGGAGAGCTTCGAGCAAGTGCAGCGGGCCTATCGCGAGGCGAAGGGCCAGCTTTCCGAAATTCTCTCTGCGTTCGAGCTTATGGATGGTCGCAGTCAACGGTTGGTGCATGAATCTACTGGCAACAAGCTTCCTCTTGAGAGCGAATACCCATTCTACTGCTTAGTCGAGACCAGTGGTTCCAACGCCGAGCACGATATGGAAAAGCTCGAATCCTTCCTTGAGCATGTCATGGGCGAGGGGATCGTGGCCGACGGTGTGCTGGCGCAGGATGAGACCCAATTCCAGTCTATCTGGCGCTGGCGTGAAGGTATTACCGAGGCCTTGAGTCACCTGGGTGGCACATACAAGTACGACGTGTCAATTCCTTTGCCCGAGTTGTACCAGCTTGTCGATGACTGCAAGCAACGATTGACTGAGAAGGGTCTGGTTGGCGATGACGACAGCTTCCCGGTCCGCGCCGTGGTTGGGTACGGGCACATGGGTGATTCAAACCTGCACCTGAATGTGGCCGTGCGCCAGTATAACAAGGAAGTGGAAAAGGCGATTGAGCCCTGGGTATACGAATGGATTCAGAAGCGAAAGGGTAGTATCAGTGCTGAGCACGGACTGGGCATTGCCAAGCGTGAGTTCATTGGGTACAGCCAAAATGACACCATGGTGAAATTGATGAAGCAGCTCAAGGCGCTGTATGATCCGGTCAGTAGTGTTCCCACATCTCATCTCCCAGGCGCAAATCTCGGACAAAGTGTGACTAACCTCTTCCTTTCCAGAACGGTATCATGAACCCGTACAAATACATCTAAGCGGTGCGACCGACAAGTGATCTTAATACTGCATGTCGTTGGCTGAGTACTAGTGTACGGTAGACCTGTATATATGATATTGGCCCCTCCAGAAAAACACCAAATCTAGACTTTTCTTCACCTCTCCCCTTGAACCCAATTGCCGTTATGCGAGCCTCAAAAATGGGATCATGCCCCTTGGACATAGAGTTTTGACTTCTCCAGGTTCCAGGGCGCATGTGATGCAGGTCCCGTCACTTTCCTTGCGTTTCAGGCACTCTCGATGAAGCTTAGCGTCTCCCCCACTCTGCCGCCTCTCAGGCTTCCCGGTTGCCATGCGAAACGCTGCTGTTGTTTGGACAATTATCGTTAGCTGAGCAATCGATGCTCCACCCCTTTAGCTGCCCGACTCTGCTTCACATCCTCTCTTTTGACTCTTGGTTGCCGCCCCAAAACTTAGAGTTCTTTTTTGTTCTCCCAGCTCAGAGCGGACCTTTGAAGATTGCCCAGTTCCGTGCATCTTCAACAGTGAGCGTCGCAAAATCGGTGGTCGCCCTGTCTGCTCGGGAATTTACGAGATTCGACCCTGACATCCGCCAACAATGGCCGACGACATGTCTAACCGCTATCAGGTGATGGAGGAGCTGGGAAGTGAGTCGCGACTGTCAATATTGAGATCCCGGCGATTCAATCGGCTAACTTGTGATTTCTGTTTCCTTGCTCGCCCACAGGCGGAAGTTTCGGTACCGTTTACAAGGCCATTGACAAGCAGACGGGCGAGATCGTCGCAATTAAACATGTACGCTCCCGATCCCTCTATCGCTGCCGATGGGGCCCACTTTGTTGACACTTTTTCGTCTTCCCTCCCGATGCTAGATCGATCTCGAATCCAGCGAAGATGATATTCAGGAAATTCAACAGGAGATTTCTGTCCTCGCGACCTGCGCCAGTGCATTCGTCACGCAGTACAAAGCGAGTTTTTTGAAGGGCCACAAACTTTGGATTGTGATGGAATATCTGGGAGGCGGGTCATGCTTGGATTTGGTAGGATACTTGGACATTTCCACCCTGCACTGACGGTCCTTCAGCTGATGACAAAATCCGGCAGCTAAAACCGGGCGTATTCAACGAAGCCCACGTCGCGATTGTCTGCCAACAGTTGCTCCTCGGATTAGATTATCTCCACGCGGAAGGAAAGATTCATCGCGACGTCAAAGCTGCGAATGTTTTGCTCTCCAATACCGGAAAGGTCAAGCTGGCGGACTTTGGCGTGGCGGCGCAGCTGGTCAACATCAAATCGCAACGGAACACTTTCGTCGGGACACCCTTCTGGATGGCACCCGAGGTCATCCAGCAGGCAGGGTATGATTTCAAGGCGGACATCTGGTCGCTGGGGATCACAGCAATCGAGATGATCAATGGCGAACCGCCTCACGCTAGCACCCACCCGATGAAGGTCTTATTTCTCATCCCCAAACAACCAGCGCCACGACTCGAAGGCAACGATTACAGCAACACATTCAAGGACTTTGTGGCTCAGTGTCTGACCAAGGATCCGGACCGCCGCCCAACGGCAAAGGAATTGCTACGCCACAAATTCATTCGAAATGCTGGAAAGACGGAAGCTTTACAGGAGCTTATCCAACGCAAACAGGAATGGGACGCAGGTCGAGGGGTCGGCAAAGACGTCAAGTACTATGCCGAGTCACTGTAAGCATTTTGACGTTTTGGGCAATCATAAAACGTGACGAACCAAGCTAACACCAAAATGTTTTTAGCAATACGCTCACCAGGGCACCTTCCACCGAAGACGACGAAGATTGGGTGTTCGACACTGTCAAAGCGCCCACCATGTGGGTGCCGAAAGGGAAGGACTGGTCGACACTTGACGAAGAAGAGGATGAATGTGACCCCTCTGAACTCCTCCAAGACCTGCATATTTCCCCACCTCCAGCGCCTCCGAAGCACCAAAACCAACCCCCTATTCAAGCAAACTCGACGGTGCGACGGACGCCGACTGTCGAACGGCCAGCCGAACGATCTCCTTCCATCCGTCAGACGAGCACCAAGCGCAGGTCGAGCGGTGTGAAACAGCCCCTTGGCTTAGATCTCAGCTTTGGAAATACCCCATCCACAGTCCGCCAATTCCGACGTGTCTCAGACAAAGTGTCCAGTGACCCTGCTGCGCCCAGAGTCCCGCCCGGGTTCGACGAAAACACCAGTCCCAAGCCATACTCGCCTTCCGAATCGACGAGCAGAGAGGCTCAACTGGGCCGACGAGTATATAGCAAGGCAGTTGGCTTATCTTGCCAAGAGGTCCTTGCCAATACTGGAGATGGAGAGAAACGCGAAGCGATTTCTCGACTAGCGGAAGCCTGGAGTGATTTGGAGATGTGCGACCCTGAAGGCCTCTATCAAATCATTCGAAGCATGAACGAGCGAATCTCAGCCGATCCGCGTCTCGCTTCCCTCATCCCCGCGGCTCCCGCACAGCCCGACTCTCCATCCCGCCCTCGCCTGGTGCTAGCGCAAAGTAATCCTCATCTAAAGAGTCATCGTCGACGACAATCGACGCACACGGTTGAGTGCCTTCCTCAATCTCCGCCTCGATCCACCATGCCCGGTCAAAATGTGCCTGGCATGGAACACACGAAGCAATTATCCGATGTGCTATATCAGCGCTGGGCGGAGGGACTCCGCAATCGATGGGGGATTTGAAGAATTCCTACGAGTCGATTTGAACGACACATTTTGCCTCTTTATTCATTTTTCCATGACCATTATCTTCTCTCCCCCTCCTTCTCTCTTCAACCGCCTTCCTTGTCCTTCTCGCAATCATTTGCTCACCTGCCGAGGATCCATGTCCGACATTTTACATTCATTGTATAGACCATCATGGCGTTAACTTCCCTTCATTTCACCCTGGATCATGATCGCTATTATATACACCCCTTTTGCGATTGATTCCTTCTGCTTTCCGAGCTTGCCGCTGGCTTTGCATTCTTGGTGTCCCTTCGTTTCATCTTTTAACTTTTTGTTCCTCCTCCCAGAGTTTACTGTTGATACTCTGTGCGCTCCTTTTCGTGGCGGGCTTGACTTGGAGTTTTCTGTGTATGATCACGATCTGGTGTAATGTGTGTTCCAAATTTTCGTTGGGATTCATTTCGAAGTGGACTGTTTTTTCCCCTTCTTTTTTTCTTTTACGTTTCGCAGTAGTATTACGTACTCCCCATGGTGGGAGTCCGGTGTTGTGGACCCTGGATCTGTGAGACCAGGGTCAATATGATGTGGATTTCATTTACCTTTTCCTGCGAAGGTTCCAAGATAGACTGTTCAGTGTTCACTGGTAAGGTTGCTACCCACCATGGGATTTCCAAGAGCAGGTGGGCGCTGTCAATATCCCTCCATGTATTACCTTGTTGCGGGCCTCTCCTTGACGCATGAAACTTTCTTGAACATATAAGGGGTCTTTCGGGCGTCTGGGGTTGGGATCTTCCAAGGAATTTTGGATGGGATCAAGTCTTGGTGATCGGGCGCGAGTGCCATGACCCTATCTTATGCCAACTCCTCGCTCAGTCTGTCGTCCAAGGCAGGACGATCGCGCAGTGTGACACGATGTTTGAGCTTGTATAAGCATCCTTTGGGGACCTGGGCTCGAATCTGACCTTGATCCATTTACCTTGTTCTGGGACATAGTTCATCGCATATTCGATGATGCATAGTTTGAGACAGATAGAGCTGCTCTCGGTAATTGACTTTATGGGGGGAAAGGGTTCCTCGTGAGACCCTGGTACCCTAGTAGTGCCTTTCAGGAAATCTGGAGTACCATCTGATGTCATGTCCAGAGTTGTTAGGCCAACACCCAAGGCACTGCCTCGGGGCATTGTAGATACGGTACGTAAACTACACACTTCAAATTGTTTGGGTAATTAGTTACGTGCATTGAATATTCTCCAGAAGCCTGGCTGTGTCCAAGTACATCGAATGGATTCCAGATGCCAGTCCAGTAACCAGGGTAGGGTAGTGGCAATTTGCGGGGGATAAGGTCACCTACGGTAATATTTAACTAAGCCCCGACTGTACCTGGATACCTGGTATGTATGTCTTGGAGGGACGTCTTCCCACGTGCGCCGCAAGACCCTATTGCACATTCGAAACTCTTGCTATCACCGTACCTAGCTAGCTAAGACGAGATTAGAGTCCAGTCACTCGGACTAGCTGGAACATGCAGGTGGCTGATCCAAATATGTACGGATCCATTGACTCGTCAGGAAAATAAGTCAGGGCCGCTTCGACGTATATCTAGCCGACGGTTAGGGGGAGGGTCGGCCGGTCTATGCTTGCTCTGTCGTATTCTGAAGCCTCAACGACCAGGCCTCTCAAATATAAATGACGTTGATCTCAATCTGCGATCTCGGGGATCGTATGCCGTGTGAGATGCAAAACGTGCCACGTCTGCGCAATATTCAGGTACTCACAATTCATCGAAAGTACACTCTAGTGACTCTAGTGACTCTATTAGCTGCGTGAGGCTGTGGACCGGAAGGACGGTGTAGTGTGTACTCGATGCCCGCCGTACCTGTCCCGGTGGGTCCCGTGATGAAGCGGCAATTCGACGCGTCTAGACCGACGATCCCCGGAATCCAGGGCTCTGATTGGGGGGACTGAACGGAATCCAAATCTGTCCGTGTCCACTTGGCTACTAAAAGTAAAATGATGTACTACAACAACAGACAACTACACACGACTACTTACCCAGTAGTGCACACACTGACAGGCAGGAGGAGAGCCTCCCCTTGTCAACGTTGGAAGTTCTTACATGGGAGAAGCTAGCTGCAGTATCTCTCTCCTAAGTAACGATCAATAGCAGCCTTGACCACGTATCATATGGGTGGTTTGACTGGGTTCTACAAATTGCAGATCGAGAAAGGGTCATGGAGCTCGAATGCAATGACTAAGGATGTACTCAAGATTGCAAATGACTTGCATATTGGGGGTACAGTAGGTATACAGTATAGTAGTATACTACAGTGATGCACTATACACCAGCTTGAGTACATTCCTGAAGGTAGTGATGCAGTCCTAGCACTATCAAGCTTCGTCGGTCCGGGCTGTACCGCATTCAGACAATCGATTGGGATTACAAGTTCTCGACGGGGAAGATCACTAACGATTCAATGTATACTTTGTAATCTTCGCCACGATCTGGCCATCAGTCATGATGGGTAGGTCAGCTCACATGGGAGTGTTCTGCATTTCACATCTTTCCTGATCCCGACAAAGTCAGTATTCGGCACTTGCCTCTCCTGGCTGACTACTGTGATGACCTACTCGGTTGGAAGGGAAGGAGGATATGATGAGCCAGACTCTACAGCATGTCTCCAACTGCTCGAGGCGGTGTTGTCCAAACACACACTCGCCAAGTTGTTGAAATCCCGTGCCAGACGAAATTACGACAGGCCAGCCTCGGGTCTCGCCCCCTGAAACACTCGTGGCAAAGTTGGGCCGGCGTGGAGAGTGGAGACCAGCACACCCGAAAGAGGAGACAGACCCACTCGTCCTCTCAGGAGAAATCGACCATCACCGTCGACTTCAACCTCTTCCTCTACGCTGCCCGGTCACTCACTCCCTCGCTCGTTTTCCTGTTATTTTTGTCTTGTGTCCACCTTCCACTCGCCCTGCACGCAATCGTCACCCTGAAAGCTGGTCTTTGCACATGCATTGTAGACGATAAACCCTTCACTCTGTGGACTTTCTCTGTCGACACGGCTCTCATTGGTGGCTGGTCCACGCTCATTCATGGAGCTTTCCCCGGGAACGGGTGACAACCTCACCCAGGGTTCTCATCCGCATGCGTCCCCGACTTCAACGGCGGTGGCCTCTGCGGGCACTGCCGAGGCGGTCGACTCGTCGTCGGGCTCCTTTGCCACGCATCAGCAACCTTCTCCGTCACTTTCAAGGTCCGGCTCGCTTCTCCAACAGAAAGGGTCATCGCTTCCGTCCCGCGCGCACGCCGCAGCGCGCCATACCAAACGACTCACCCTCAACTTTCCCATCAATATCCCACTCGAGCAGTCCCCGATTGCCGCGCCTGATTCGGCCGTTGCCTCGCCCGGCTCCATGACTCCGTTGACACAAGCCTTCACCCGTCCGCCCCAGCCGCCCCATCCCACGGGGACCCCCATGCCATTTGACGTCGAGGACGATGGGTATGACTTCCTGCGAGCGATTGCCTCCCAGGAACGAAAGGTCCTGGAGCTGAGAGAGGAGCTACACCGCGCCGAGGAGGACCTGTCCGCGCTGAAGAAGCAATGGGCACAGTCGGAGAAAACCAAGAAACAGACTCAGGTCACCCTTCATGCCGAGCCTCTGTTGCCGTTCCGGTCTTCTGAGGCCGGCGTCTCTGAGACTCCCGCGGTCCACCGCCGTGACCAAAGTTTGAGCTCCGTCGCAAGCTCCTCCGTCTCGCAGGGGCGAGTCAGCCGGGAGCTGGACAGAAGATCCAGCATTCGGGCGACACCTCCTCAGGGAGGCACGACCATCTCTGCGAATGGGCGCCGGGTGTTCCGAGGCTCTCATGCGCGGACACTGTCGTTGTTGTCACCAGTGACGGCCAACAGCCCGGCAGGTTTCGGGGCTCAGGCCACTGAGGGTGAACGCATTGGACGTACCCCACGATCAGCGACCTTGCCGTCCGTGGAGCGGGGCAACGTGTCCCATATCGGAAATCCCATGGACGACGGCCAGGTCCCTGAGCATGTGATGACCCAGTGGCGGAAAACAATGCCCCCGCCCTCCAGAGAAGCCTTGGTGCGCACTGGCAAACAAATGGCCTCCGACCTGCGGGAAGGACTGTGGACGTTCTTCGAGGACATCCGTCAGGCCACGGTCGGCGAAGAAGGTATCAATGCGACAGAGTCGCGCACCATGTCAACATCATCCGGCTCGTTGGCTCCCGATGGCGCTCGCAAACGTAATTCATTAGCACAGTCGAGAAGTCGGGAACGCTTGTCTGCGAGCGGCGTAGCCTCCCGATCTTCATCCTCGTCATCTCAACGCGGCAAGGGAACAGCGGCGGAGAAAGCTTCTGGTAAAGATACCAAGTCGGCGGACATATCTACGTCTTTCTGGCATGAATTCGGGGTTGATTTACCAGTGCAGACGCCCGCTCGGCCCAGCGCTCATCGCAGTCCCTCTTCCAGCAACACTCAACCGAACGAGTCCGACATCGCCGCCTTGAGCTCCCGCGACAAGAACCAAGCCAAAGAGCCCATTCACCACTCTCGCAATCCAGCCGAAACAGATGACGACGGAGTAGACAACTGGGACATGTGGGACACACCGTTGCCTGCGTCCAAGGCGAGACATACTCCCTCGTCGAGTCGATCAACGCTGGAATCCTCCAAGATCGACCAGTCCCCTTCGACACGGGACAGCAGTCCCCGCACGAGCGCTAGGTACCGTTCGACCTTTTCTGATTTCATCTATGACAACCTCGTTATGCGCTGACGCCCGCCTCCCTATAGCTTTAGCGAGTGGAGCCACACAGTAGACGCTCCCGACCCCGGGGTTACCGAAGGTATCCCCTGGCCCACAATCTCCAAGTTGGCGCCCTCCAAACTTCAACGCACTGCCTCCAATCTTATGGCGGAGTGGGAACGAAGCCTGTCGCCATCCCCGTCATCATCCCCGCACCGCAAAGACTCCAAGGATGACAAGAAAGATTGAATGATTTGTCTCGAATTCTTGACCACGAAATTCTTCTTCACATCTTTGACCCCAGATGGTCACTTTTCTTTTGACTCCCAACCCTACAGAAGGGGTTCTCCGTTGGCTGACTCGGCACGTCACATTCCCCTCGACCGCGGATTTACGTTCAGTTACGATTTTTCTTAACGCAAAGCGTTGTTTCTTTCTTCTCCTTTGTTCGCATATACTTTACCACTTCTTTTCTGCTCAACGGCTCCATCTGGGGAAAGCGTGGGTGATTGATGCTTTACTTCCTGAGCTTCCTTATCGATGCCCGTATATTTAGGATATCCCATACTTGTGTGACTTGTTCGAATCGATGTACATAAAATCAAGTCAAATACCACTCATCGCTTTTTCCAGTATTCAAATTCGAATGTGTATCATTTTCCCCTGGTCAAGTTTCCCTTCCTATCACTTAATCGCCTTACTTAATCGCCTTCCGTTTGGTCGCAATTTTAGTAGGAAATTGGGTACAAACGGTCGCCCTCACGCCGAGTTGACAGAACAAGGAGATTTCCAGTCGCAAGTCCAATCAGCCATAGGAGGGTTCGAAGTCTAGGCAATCGTCAATTTTCATAGATGGACCTGACGCATATTGTCCCTCAACTTGAAAGCGCAACGGGCTCGAGCATCCGAGAAGACAGTACAAAGCGCTTTTGCGGGACATATACGGTGCATATATGCGTGATTGGCTCACGTCGCCATCCGAAAAAATAATTTCACGGAAGTCGCCGCCTCCGCAAAGTCTCCGCTTTCACGGCTTACAGACTGTCACTCGGACACAGAGACCCTTGACGCGCAGTTTTTGTTCTCGTGTGTCTTGGTCAGAATCATTCATCTGGTCGGAACAGTGTCATTGCGACTTGTTACGGACTCAATCTCCTGACGCATCGGCCTGCACAATCCATCAACATGAGTTTCCCCGGCGCGACACCTGGTATGGGGGGTTTGGGAGGAAACCAAACAGCAGGAATGTCCGAGCAAGAACAAGCCATGGTCAAGATGGTAAGTCTTGAATGAGAAGTACATTGTGGATGGATGATTTGCTAATTCTGCATTGCGACTAGATGCAAGCTGGCATGGAGTCATGTCCTGTCAAAACTGTGATCGCTGGTGGAATGGGTTTCGCACTTGGTGGTGCTTTCGGTCTCTTCATGGCCAGTGTGAGTCAAAACCTCCATTTCTCCCATCGCACACCGGTGGATTATCGACTGACCCAATTCTTCTCGTATGCAGATGTCCTACGATTCGCCCTTGACGCCCCAAGGTCGCGAAATTTCTCACCTCCCCTGGCGCGAGCAAGTCCGCCGCGGCTTCAAAGACATGGGAAGCCGCTCCTTTTCTTCTGCGAAGAACTTTGGCATTGTTGGTGCGCTGTACTCTGGCACAGAATGCTGCATCGAAGGTCTCCGCGCCAAGAATGACCTGACAAATTCGGTTGCTGCCGGATGTTTGACTGGTGGTATCTTGGGTGCAAAGGCGGGACCTCAGGCTGCTGCCTTCGGTTGCGCTGGCTTTGCGGCTTTCAGTGCTGCTATTGATGCTTATATGCGTATGCCCTCGGATGAGTAAGCAACTCGCGAGCATGAGACTTGTCTTCAATCGAGTCAGCAATGATCCCCCCGGCTGGCTTGAATCCTACCATCTGTACTTATATCGACGGCGTTCTGGGCTTTATTTTTTGGACTAGACTTCTGGTGCATAGAGGGCGTTATCATTATGTCATTTGGGTCATGTGTTGCTTGGTCAACATGGCGAATAACTGCCAGCATTGAGCGATGGCAGATCGAAGATTCCTGTGGTGAGAAGCTGCACCCTGCCAGACGGGCGATCTCTCGAGGACATCGAATAGGTCGTGCTTCGGTACAATGTGTATAGTAGTGTTGTTGATTCTCCATTCTATTAATCACACGATTCAAGTTGAGTTGAAGTTTTACCGTTTGTCGTCCACGTTTCAACTAGCATCGCATTCTGTTGTCCGCAGGGTCGTCATAAACCGCGAATGAAATCTGAAGAGCAGGTAGGCAAATCACAATTGCTCCAGATTTAGTACAGTACTCTAGGCGACTGGGAACTTCCTTCATAGAGACCATCTGCGTATCAAACCTACCTTAGCCTGGTGGAACCTCTACATGACAAACATCTGTAGCCTCAGGCATTAAAGCGAGCACATCCCACCAAGGTCACGTGTAAATCTTATCGCTGGTTCCCCGTTTGGGCTGTTTGTTTACCGCCCGCCACTACTCTCCTGTCTTTCAGATGTGGATGCCCGCCCGCCCGCCGATGCTCTTTTGCTCCTCGCTAATCGAGACTCGACAAACTCGCGCCCATCATGCCTGGTCGAGTCGCCGCACGTTCGACATCGTCAGCGACCCGACGGTCATCGGCGCAACCATCTACTGGCCGCGCAGGCTCAGTGACCCCCGCGTTCACCATTCCCGAGGAGCCGGCTCTTCCCTCATCATCAGCCAACCTTCGCAAAGACTTATGTGCCATATTCGGAGACGCGCAGCGATCAACAACCGGACACCGAAAGCTCGTGGTGCGCATGCGTAAACTGCAAGAGATTTGCTGCGGGATCTATCAGCGAAAGAAGGATTCGGATCGAGAGCAAGAGGAAATTGTTCTTCCAGATGAAGCGACTGTCGCGGAGCAAGAATTCAACGTCGAGGTCGGCCGTTGCGTGCTTCGAATCCTTCCCATCAAGAAATCGGAGCCCGTGGGAGATCGCGTTCTCCGATTCTTGGACACCTTCTTGTCTCACGCCTGCGAGAAAGACAATGAGTTGTTCGCATCCAAAGACACGGAGGATGAGGATGGACTGCAATCCGCGGTAGAGACCCCAACTTCTCGGCTCTCCTCTTATCTCGTGGATCTCATGATTCCGATCCTGGCGACCAAAGACAAAGTGGTCCGGTTTCGTGCCACGCAAATAATCGCGCATATCGTCAACACACTCGACTCGATTGATGACGAATTGTACCATACTATCAGACAAGGCTTGCTGAAGCGAATTCGCGACAAGGAGTCATCTGTCCGCGTGCAGGCTGTCATTGGGCTGGCACGTCTCACCGGCAATGAAGATGATGAGGACGGGCCGGACGACAACTCTACAGCACTACTCGAGAAACTGATCGAAATCATGCAAAATGACACAAGTCCAGATGTGCGAAAGAGTCTTCTCTCAAACTTGCCTCTTTCGCAACTAACTTTGCCCTTCCTGTTGGAACGAGCTCGCGATCTCGATGCGGCAACGCGACGAACCTTGTATGCACGGTTATTGCCCACGCTTGGCGATTTCCGGCATCTTTCTCTGGGTATGAGAGAGAAGCTGCTCCGCTGGGGCTTGCGCGACCGTGACGAAAGTGTGCGAAAGGCAACCGGCAAATTGTTCTTCGATCGTTGGATTGAGGACTGCGCTGGCACCAATCAAGGCGAAAACGCCGGTCAGCGCTCGCCGCCAAATCAGAGCGCTCTACTGGAATTGCTTGAAAGAATTGATGTCGTGAGTTCCGGTGTCGAAAGCGGTATCGCCCATGAAGCCATGCGCAGCTTCTGGGAAGGTCGTCCAGATTACAGGGAAGCAGTCGTCTTTGATGAACCCTTCTGGGAGTCATTGACAGGAGAGTCTGCTTTCATGCTTCGTACATTCAACGAATTTTGCCGTGTGACAAATGAAGGAAAATACGACGACCTCGCCGATGACAAAATGCCGACTGTGACCGCGCTCGCATACTACCTTTCCAAGTACATGACCACATTGTTGGAGCGAAAGAAACTCGGCAAAGGCACAGGAGACGCCAATGACGAAGACGCCACTGAAAATGAATTCATTGTCGAACAGTTGTTATACATCGCTATCACCTTGGACTACAGCGATGAAGTGGGTCGGCGAAAAATGTTCTCCTTGTTGAGAGAATCGCTAGCTGTCCCAGAACTCCCCGAGGAGTGCACCAAACTTGCCATAGAGGCTCTTCGATGCGTCTGTGGTCCGGATGTCGCTGGCGAGAGCGAGTTCTGCAGTGTTATCCTTGAAGCTATTGCTGAAGTTCACGACACTATCGCAACCGAGGATAGCTTCGTCTCAGCCAAGTCTGAAATGAGCGATGATGCCAGCAGCAGGGCCAGATCTGAGACCCCGGCCACCGAAGATGAGAGACCGTTCAACAAGGAAGAGGCCAAGGCGAAGATTCTCCGGGAGATAGTCGTCAACATGAAGTGTTTGCATATCGCACAGTGCATGTTGCAGAATGTTGAAGGTAATTTGCAACAGAACATGAATCTCCGGACCATGTTGAACAGTCTTGTGGTTCCTGCCGTACGCAGCCACGAAGCCCCAATTCGCGAGCGCGGTCTCCTATGCTTAGGTCTCTGCTGTCTTCTCGACAAGGTGAGTTATATTTAACATCAATATTGTACCCCATCTGTGTATGTATTAACCTGGCCTGCCAGAACGTCGCCGAGGATAACATGACTTTGTTCATCCACTGCTACAGCAAGGGACATGAGGGACTCCAAGTCACAGCTATTCAGACCATTTGCGACATGATCACGACACACCCCTCGCTTCTCGCTCCAGTCACCGAGTCGGACGGGGAAACAGTGACGACGCCTCCCATTCAGAAGCCCATCTTGAAGGTGTTTTCTCGTGCGCTCAAGGCAACATCTCCCGCGCTTGTTCAATCTGCCGCTGCGACTGCCCTTTCAAAGCTCTTATTGACCAACACGTTTACACCATCGGGTCCTAATGTGCCACCAGCTATCCAAGAATTCAATCAGAATGCCGTTGAAACCCTGCTCCAGAGTCTTGTGGTCGCCTTCTTCCACCCTCGCACTCGTGAAAACCCCGCTCTTCGACAGTCTTTGGCGTACTTCTTCCCAGTCTACTGTCATTCGCGTCTAGACAACACTCAGCACATGCGGCGAGTTGCTGTGCCTGTGGTTCGGGCCGTGTTGAACGCTGCCGAGGAGTACTATTCGCTTGAAGCCGAGGAAGACAGCGACGGAGAGATTGATGAGAGCGTTGGCGAACGTGAAGTGAAAGCTCTGATGGCTGGTGTCATCGGTATGCTTGCCGAGTGGACCGATGAACGCCGCGTTGTGGGCTTAGGAGGCGAGCGAGTACTGGCTGGAGGCACCGCCAGCTCGAGTGCCTGCGGTTGGGTTCACCTCGCACTCGTGAGAGACATCATGGAACGTACGTTGGGTCTCACTGCCGGACCCAACCGCTGCTCGCGAGAAGAGCGCAAGCTCCTATTCTCCTTACTTAGCAAACTTTACATCTCCGCACCCACACTGCCTGGCCGCGCAAGCTCTCGTGCCCCCGAAGGCGAGGACCAGTTCCGCACCAGTGTCCGAAGTGCCACCGGCCTTGAGATTGCCCCGGACAATGTTCAATTGGCTCAGGAGGTCAAAGAACTTTTGGACCAGGTCATTGATGAAGGTCTTGCTGGAGAAGCGTCGAGTCGCAATGCCTTGGTGAAGACCAAGAACTCCATCCTCAAGATTTTGGCAGTTGCACAAGATTCCCGCGCCGCCAGTGTTCGTCCGCGGGCCGGTACGGAAGACTTGGAAAGCGACGCGGGAAGCGTTCGTTCTTACAGCGTGCGGCGCTCTGTGGAGCCAAGTAGCCGTCGCCATGTCTCTGTGGAGCCCAGCATCATGGAGGAAGATGAAGGTGACAGTGGCATATTATCTGGCCGAGTGCGGCCGTCTGTCGAGGGCGGATTCCCCAGCCGTCACGTTGTCTCTATCGAGCCTAGTATCATGGAGGAGGATGAGCCTGACGAGCACGACACCAGCCGCAACACCATAATCAAGGAGGAAGCTGATGATTGACGACACGGATCATAGTCTGTCCTTCATCTCGGGAGGGGTTTTTGTCATTCTTCAGCTGGGCTTGGATACCTCAACGGCGTTTGTATTGGTCATTTTTGTGGCGTGGTATTGAATACTCTTTATGATTCCTGGACAACTCAACGGCGCCTGTGCTGGGACTATAGCACTCATGATCTGTTGATCTGGATTTTATGTGATTTTGTGAGACCCGGATTTTGAATATATGCCTATCTTTTAAGGTTGCGCTCCCGGACCTGAGGTAGCTGCCTTTTTTTTGGGAAAGTACAGAACCCTCATGATCAACCAACAATCACCCTCCACGGGCCTAGGTCCGTGACAGAAAAATAGCATTCCAAGGGTAAGCGCTGCGAAGGCACCTGTACGCGCTGAGAAGGCCATCTGCCGCATCTGTAGTACCGTACCATCCCAGGCCGTTGGCGCGCTCATCCATGTTCTGTGGCTCTTTGGAGAAAGCACGAAGTTACTGTACCTTGACTACCTTCTCCTTACGCTTGTGTTCCTCCACATTCCTCACCGACTCACAACTGCGATTCTCCGATCACGAGGGCAATCATGTGACTGTCATGTGATCAGTAGCTGTAGTTAGTTTACTAGTCGGTTGTTGATCGGATGGATGTGAACTTGTGCAGTCTTGATCACTCCGTTCTAAATATTCTCATTGGCATCGGCCTCTGTCCTTGCTGGATGAGAAGCCTCAAGGTTCGATCTCGATGACGCCCTTAAAACAAACTTTTGTAAAGATCTCCGCGTCTGATCCTGTAGAGCTGAGTCGCTGAATACTGGGGAATTATAATTTCTGACAGGGCTCCACTCGCCTGGTTGCTGCTTGCCCGTCAATTTCCAGTCGATCGTAGTTTTCCAATATTACGTACACTGCGCCATTGCAACTGAACACTACCGCGACGGCCATCAAATGATGTCCTCGATGGGCAGCGTTGAAGCAAATACCCTTCTTCTCCAGATTATGTGAGACTCAATTGCTGATGATACAATCAATGGGGGTTGCACAGCACAGCAGCAGGGAAAGGTGAATAAGAAAATTACACGATCTGCCGTTGTATAGCGAAACGTCGGGGTTTTATGGCGAAATTCTTCTCTGTCAACAACAGATATTGACCTTGTTGCCTCGTTCCACGAGTAGTAGCGATTGATTTAGCGGTTATCAAAACCGAACAAGAGTTGTCCAGTATCCCCATCCCATACGAGACATACAAATGGGCCCGATACGGCCATGAAATTGTCGAGTTCTTACTACCAAGTCTAACTACCCGTGAGCCCCAAGACTTTTCTTTTCTCGCAACTGAACTCCACACCTTCGGCGCCAGTTAGGCTTCTTTTCGTTCTCCTCTTCCTTCACCTTCTTTCCCCTCCTCTCACCATCTCTCCTCCTCGGCTCCTTGGGTGCTTTTCTCCATCCGTTTCTTCACGACATCTACGGACTCTCTCCTCCCCTTCCTTAGACCTGGTCGTGTTGAAATTGTTTCCTGCATATTTCCGCAGAGACATTCTCCTCCCCTCCCCAACCCCCCCCCTTTTGTCCCCCCCCCCCCCCCCCCCCCTCCTCACGCCCTTCTTCCCTACCTCGGGTTGCTCTGCCACGCCATTGGCAGCGATAAATTGAGCAATGGCCGCCGTATCAGCACCCACGCCCAAGCTGGATCGCTACATCGTGATTCACGTTGCGACCACATGCGATGAGCACGGCGTCTACGTGACCAAGGACTCCGCCGAGGTCATTGAATTGGGCTGGATCTTGTTGGATTCCAAGACCTGTGAGGAAGTATGTTCCCCTCCCCTGACGCCGCCTGTATCGCCTTTTGTGCCTGTCAACCTCAAGCTTTCTGCGTTGGACGTTCGAGGGTAGGGAAGGAAAGTGGAGAGTGAACAAGTTTATTCATGACAGCTGCCCTGAAACTTTGGCTTCCATGGAGCAATTTTCGCTAATTTCTCGTTCTTGATAGCTCCACCGAGAGAGCGTCCTTGTCAAGCCGGTCAACACTCCGATCACACCCTTGTGCAGTAAGCAAGCCTATACCACTTGGATCGTTCTGCTTGTCAAAGCTCCGACCACCCGCAGTTTCGAGCCGAAAACCCTTGGTGAGATGTGACCAGCAACTGATTCAGTTTGATATCCACAGCCAGTCTGACTACTCTGACATGGGAGCATGTCCGCTCCGCGGGCACCTTCAGGGATGCCATCTCCCGGTTCGATGCGTTTGCTCAGGAGCATCTGACCAGCAAACAACTCGAGTTCGCGTTTGTGACCTTGGATTCCTGGGATCTTCGCGTGCAGTTGCCTCGCGAGGCCCGCGACAAGGCTGTTGTCTTGCCTGCTTACCTTCAGCATTCCCGGACCTTCGACCTGCGCACAGAGTATCAGCGCTGGCAAACTCATCACCCGGAGTCTCTGCCTTTCGGCCCAAGCTCCCTCTCCAATATCTGCGCTGCTCTTGAAGTTGAGCCCGTCCAGTCATCTGCACCCATCAAGCACAACCTGCCATTCCACTTGCAGGCTTTGGCCCCTGCTTCGCCACGCCGTGCGATGGAAGAGTCCATCACCTTGGCTCGTGTGCTGCGCGGCCTCATTCGCAAGTCCCAGCCTCCCCACGAGCACCCCGAGATCTTGACTCGCCCGATGGATGCGCATGCTGATGTGCGGGCTTTCCTTGCCGAGCGCAGCAAGGTTCTGCACCTGAGTGGCTTGCCCCATGACACCACACAGTCCGAGTTGGAAAGCTGGTTTACTCAGTTTGGTGGTCGCCCAATCGCATTCTGGACTCTACGGACGCCGGACCAGCACAAGCCCACGGGCACTGGCTTTGCCGTGTTCTCATCCCATGAGGAGGTAAGACATCATCATATCGTGCTTGCGAAGCTAGTCACTATCTGCCGGGTTGCTATGTTTTCGTCTTCTCTGGGGTTGTCACATATGATGAGTAGGTGAAACTGACTTGAATCGATAGGCTGCCGAAAGCCTGTGCATGAACGGCCGTGCCCTCAACGAAAAGGCCATTGAGGTCTCTCCTTCCTCGAGCAGGGTGCTCGATCGCGCCGCCGAGATCTTGACTCCGTTCCCTCCTTCCAAGAACCGCCCCCGCCCCGGCGATTGGACTTGCCCTTCTTGTGGCTTCTCTAACTTCCAACGCCGTACTGCTTGCTTCCGCTGCTCGTTCCCCGCCATGGCCGCTGCCCCCGATCCGATGGGCTACGGTTACGGCTACGGACCCCCAAACATGATGCCTCCACACATGAGCCACGGCCACGGCATGGGCGGCCACGGACGTGGTATGGGTGGAAACGGTGGTGTGGTTCCTTTCCGCGCTGGCGACTGGAAGTGCGGCTCCGAGGGCTGCGGCTATCACAATTTCGCGAAGAACATCAACTGTCTTCGCTGTGGTGCGCCGCGATCGGGCGCTGCAGTCGTTGCTGATTCGGCATTCCCTTCTCCCATGGATCCTCCTTCACAATTCGGTATGGGTCCTAACTCAATGGCGAGCACTCCGGCTCCCGGCCCCTTCGCATCGACCGCCGGTGGATTTGCTGGATTTGGCCAACAATTTGGCGGCCCGCACAACAACTACATCCCATCTGGCGGACTGAGCAACACCCCGGGAGCCTACCCGCCCATGCCACAGGTAAACTCAGGCTATGGATCCTCCGGCTCCCACTCCGCCGCCTCCTTTGCCAATCCCGCAACTCAGGCTGCGTTCAGCGGTGCTGATCATGGTGTCCCGCCCACCAGCACCTCCAATGGTGCTTTCTATGGGGGCCCCGACGGATCCAGTGATCCCTTTGCCTTCTTGTCCTCTGGACTTGGCGGATTGACTGTCTCGGACGATGCGCACTCGCGCCGCAACGGCAGCAGCGCCAACAAATCCCCGGCCTAAGGACCTCGAGGGACTATGTTTATCTGTTTCTGGACAGTCCGCCTTGTGGGAATTGTCCCACATAAAATGTTCATATTGCAGCTCTGCGCCCTGGCAGGTATATGCGCTGGTTGATACTCGTTGATACGCATTTGTATAAGGGATTTTTTGCGGTTCCGGTGCATCGGCTTGGAAGGAGCAGGTGGGTAGCGTGTTGATGATTTCCAATTTCTGTCCTGCCGTCTTCTTTTGACATGAAGTGCACTTCGAAGTGCGCCGCGTGTCGCCCATTCGTCATTCTTGCTCTTCTGCTCGACTCGATGATTATCTCTTGTCATTTCTGTCCTTTTCTATCTGATTTTTGCCATTTCCTTACATTGTCACTATGATATGGTTGACTGGTTTTCCTGTCTCTTTGACCTCTATTCACATTCAGCGGCTCCATTTCTCTCGCCTCGAGTCAATGTCGTGTTTGGGCTGCTTCTCTAGTCTTGCATTTTCAAGGAATATGGCGGCGACCTGGATCTATAGCCGCGGCGTGTGGTGGTGATTTTGGACTGGAAGCGTTGAATTGAGTCTTCCTTGTGACGCAAACACATACTTGAACCCGGATTGCCCACTTGACCAACTTTGCATCTTAGATCTGTGGTCATCCCTTTTTTCTGCGTTGGATCATGGCAAGCGTCGGAGAACTCGTGGTGTTGTTGATCTCACCGGTGGGGTACACAAAGGTTCGGACTTCGTGGCAGGTGTTAGGGGATCTTCTTTTGCGAACATATGCTCGGAGGCAGTCAATGGAGATGAATTCTCTCCCCCTGGTGACCTCTGTGAGAGGATGTTGTGGATGTCTTCCAAAAAGATTGTTTTTGTGAATATTATCTTGTTTTTTTTTTTTTTCATCTAGTCTAAATCCCGGGTCGACCGCTGCACCTGAGTCAAAAGTCGTGCTCACTCCCTCTCTCATTGATCATCCAGAGGATAACGGCAGTTCAATTCCGTCATGTACCCTGTGGCTGGTGATCATGGACTACTGTCGTAGCAGCATAAGATAGATGTAACTCCCGAGAAGAACCCAGTGCGCCTCATTGCTTTTTTTCAACAGGGGTATCCCTCAAAATCCTGTGGCATTTGTTCTGATCGATCAGAATTGACATGAAGATCCTCATTGCCTTACTCTGGAAGAGGGGTTGATTTTGAATACGAGCCTAGTTACTGATGGGAGACTACTTGATCGTCGGGGTACTGATACTGATGTTTCCAAGCTTCCAAAGCGGACTTGGTGTGCCGCAGTGCCAAGGCAACCGTATGCTGTCGCGTCCACCGCCCGCCCGAAACCCCCGTCATTGCTTGCTCCCGAGCCCTCCATCACCGTCAACCCAGCTCAGAGCCCCAATTCTTCGATTTCATACCCTCCTCATTGAGTTCGAAAGAGCTCTCGCCAGATTCGCTTTCTCTTTCTTTATCTCGAGCTCTTGTCTCCCATATCTCCTACATCATGTCCGGCTACGACCGAGCTCTTTCAGGTAAGCCCACCAAGCTCGTGATTGAATAGCTCCTTGGGTGCTCTTTGGATCTATTAGCAACATTACTGACAGATCACAGTATTCAGGTATGATAACCGTTTTCCACGCTCCCGGCTTGCGCGCAGTTCTAATGCAGCTTCTCTAGTCCCGATGGACACGTCTTCCAGGTTGAGTATGCCATGGAGGCTGTAAAGCGAGGTGAGAACATCCGTCACCCTTACCACGCCGATGGTACAATGAAGTCGTTCTTGCAAATCTCGCCCGGCCAAATGCGGATCTTGAAACTTCATGACTGATTGGGGACATTGGCTGTAGGAACCTGTGCCGTCGGTGTCAAAGGCAAGAATATTGTCGTTCTCGGATGCGAGAAGCGCTCCGCTCTCAAGCTTCAAGATACTCGGATCACGCCCTCCAAGATTGCGAATGTCGACGAGCATGTCTGCCTAGCATTTGCTGGACTGAACGCCGATGCCCGTATTCTCATTGACAAGGCCCGGCTAGAGGCACAGTCACACCGTTTGACGGTCGAAGACCCGGTCACCATCGAATATATCACAAAGTACATTGCCGGTGTCCAGCAGCGCTACACACAAAGCGGTGGTGTTCGTCCATTCGGTATCAGCACACTCGTTGTCGGCTTCGACAAGAATGACTCTACACCACGCCTCTACCAGACCGAGCCCTCGGGCATTTACTCTGCATGGTTAGTGGACCGCGTGCAGCGATTGATTCGACTGTGAACCCTTGTGCGATCACTAGCTAACTCGGCAATTCCACGAACAGGAAAGCCAACGCTATCGGCCGATCTAGTAAGACGGTCCGTGAGTTCCTTGAGCGCAATCACCAGGACGATATGGACCGTGAGCAGACGATCCAATTGACGATCAAGTCATTGCTTGAGGTTGTGCAAACTGGTGCAAAGAACATCGAGGTCGCCATCATGACGCCCGGGAACCGCGTGGAAATGCTGCCCGATGACCAGATTGAGGCTTACGTGAAGAGCATCGAGACTGAGAAGCAAGAGGAGGCGGCTAAGAAGAAGACCAGCCGGACTGGGGCTGCCACAGCTGCTATCCTGACTCGGCCCGGAGGTGGTGAGACAGCCGAATAAATCAGCTGAATGAGATGTGATAGACAAACCGTTTGCGGAGTGGTCAGCTCCATGTCTTACTTTATGTTCTATTCCCCGTAGCGCTGGGCTCTCATTTTTAAAGAACAATCATGAAGATATCCTTTCCACTTGGCTCTATTCAGTCGACAGCCGATGCGACTTCCTGATCTAATAATCAAGGTGACAATCTGCGGAAGCCACAGACGTATTACACAGGCCGGCTGCTGTTTGATCACAGGCATTGTTGGAAAATAAAGGGTTTACGAGCGCATGAGCGTATAAGAGATTCGTAGACTTCATTACTTGTATAAATAGGGTCGAACTGGAAATATTTAGCCCATTCGGTGGGTTGTGTCTCGGATGTTGAATAGGGATTTTTCTTCATCGCCGCGCACTCGTTCATCCTTAAGCATGCTGTGTCCACGTCAGTACTCCTGATGATATTGGTTTGCCGACAATCCTTTGCGTACCGATTATCCATCCGCACATCTGCGCCTTCGACCTGCAGTGCCGCTTGGGGAGTTTTGGCTTCGAGAACGAAGTGATTATCACAATGAGGGCAGTACTCGTCGCTGAAGAGCAGCGTACATGTTAACCTTGCAAATCGCCTTGATATATTCGTCGATCCGTTCTCGCAGAGCGTACCTTTCCTCAAATTCAGACGCATCCTTGCGGAAACACTTCTTGCATTTCTTGCACGCGAAGATCTATGTGCAAGATGTCCCACAGTCATCAGTATACCTGCAAACGATAGCCTCTCACCGTGAAGCAGTCTTTTTTGCCATACCATCTCTTGTGACTTCTTGAGCGTATGCGATTCTTGCTCCTGATGGCATTCGGCGCAGTCAAACCATTTCCGGCCTTGGGTTGGATCAGAATCAGTCTTCCTGGACTTTGAGAGTTGGGAGGAGCTCGGGTTCAGGCGTACAGCAAGGTGACCGAATGGATACTTGCGCGTTGAGGATATGTTTGCTGCATTGCAACGCTATTAGTCCGCGATATTCCTCGGCCAGTCTGTTGAATCATGTCTTGAATCTCGAGGGCTTGAGATGCAACGACGACTCACCACATTATTAAGACAGAGAATCTCGACGTGGAATAATGGAGTGGACCGCAAGTAGGCAGTCGTCGGTGCCTTTCCGTGTTGTCGTCAGCAAAACCCCAATTTAAGAAAAGGTTTACGAGGCCTGGTCCGTTATGATATGCCCACTCCCGTGATCGCCCTCCACTTTCCTCCCCGCCACTCCAATTTACCATTCTTCTAAACTTACCTGTCCGTTCCCCTTTTCGTTCATTGTTCTATTACATTTCTCTCTCTCCCCCTCCGTCTCTCTCTCCCTCTCTCCCCCTATACTGGCGCTTACTGAGACAGTGACAATAAAACCACCCTAATCCTCACTCTGCCAGCGTTGTTGTTCAGCGATACGCCGTATTCGTACCGTCTTCTTCCGGCATCCCTGTTGCCTTGGCTCAAACACCCCCACCTAAGCTCTATAACGCTATACCTGCCGCCGTCGCAAAGAGATTGTTCCTGCATTGTGAAGCTTTGAGCTTATGATCGCAGTCCCTGATTGGTACTGGCGACGGTCCTGTGGTCATGGTCATGGAGGGAACAGGCTGGGAACAGGAGAACCCCGACGAAGCCCGCATTGTATGCGTCCGCGGCCGATCCGAATGTGGCAGACAGATGCGCTAACATGGAACTTACAGAGACCCGTCTCTTCTTTGCTCTCACACTTCGAAAAGCTCTCCCACAATCAGCCCAAGCCCTGCAATGCCTTCGGTACAAGTCCGCGGGACTCATCCACTCGCTTCCTACGAACTCCTGAACCTGGCGACGAGCCCCGGTCAAGCCGCGCCTCCTTGGATCTACCTCGTCCAACATCACCTTGGAACACAACAGATGAGAAGTCCAGAACATTCAACCATGCAAGGAATACCGGTGATTCGCAGCGGACGAAAGAGTCCCCTCGGAGCCGATATGGTCGGCCCATTTCAATGAGCATCCACCACTCGTCGCCGCAGCTCCCGCCAACGTTAACAGTCCAATCTCCAAAGTCCCCGCCGCGGAAGATTGAAGCCCTTCGACGAACTCCACCCAAAGAAGACCACCGATTATCCCGGAGCTCCATATTTGTCCCACGAGAATCTGTGTCAGCGGGTGTCTCACCGAGACCCAATCCCCGGCCGGTAACGCCGCAGCACGGATCCTCCGGAGAGGCATTGGGGTTGGGACGGTTCTCGCCGGGTATGCCCTTGGCAAATGGCCGTACAAGCCCGGTGGATCATCGAAAGTCGAAGAGCACATCCTTACCTCCACCTGCCAATCGAGCTGAAAAGCCCAAGATCCCTGCCAAGCCAGCGGCGTTCTCGCATCCAGATACTTCAACTCTTGCTCCGAAGCAAGAAAATGCATCAGACTACCATATTTCGCCTTTCAGTACACCTCCCAGCAGCCCTGAGAAACCTTCCTCCAAGCCGGTATCTACAGACAAGCTGCCTCCTAAACCTCCGGGGCGTCCCATTACGGAGCCTCCACCGCGCCGCTCGTTCGATGAACGACCACCTGCACCTGTCCCCGCACCCGCAGCTCCTATCCGGAAGACAGATGCTAGGGATCTTGGCTTTTCGCGATCTCGACCTGAGCCACCGAGGCCGACAAGGCCTCTTCAGGTGCAGATCCCGACATCCTCAGGCTTTTCCGATCCTCCCTCAATTCCACACTCGGCGCATCCAAGCCGCGCACTCGACAGTCCGCTAGCTCGCCCAGGCTTTCCACCGAGGTCAGCGTCCACCGCCAAACGCCAAAGATGGCCCTCTCCTGGTAGAGATACTTCGCAGCCAGCGAGAATTCCAGGTCACTTGACCCCTGTCGCCAGATCTGAGCCTGCGGCTCCAGTACTTAACAAAGAAACCAAGCCACCTCGGCAGCCCGTTCGACAGCAGTCTTTGTCGCGTGATTCGAGTCTACCTTCTCAGTCAGAGCGACGGATAGTGCGAACGGACACTGAAGAAGAGGAGCTAGTGGTCGACGAAGGACCGGTGTCTCGAACGGATTATCCTGACGCCTCCCAGGCGAACCGGCGGCCCCCACTCTTTAAGACAGGCCCTCGAGAGATATCCACACGATATGACACGCGGCTGTTTGCTGTGTGTGGTAAATATGTTTGTACAGCTGGCTATCTTACTCGTGTTTGGGATCTCACCACTGGCGAACAAGTCATGAGCCTCAGTCATGGTGAAACCGTGAAGAGCTTGTCTCTCGCTTTCAAACCTGGAAGCGGCCTTGAAGACGAGGGACAGAAAATCTGGCTTGGCACCAGCGCTGGGGAGCTGCTTGAAGTTGATATCCTGTCTGGCAGTGTAGTGACCTCTCGGTCTTATCCGTCTCGCCGAGAAGTGATACAAATTCTGCGCCATAGAAAGGAGATGTGGACTCTTGACGACGAGGGCCGACTGCTTGTGTGGCCTCCAGATGAAAGTGGCTCGCCCAATTTGCAGTACAGCTACCACAGTCCGCCAGAGCGAGTGGCGCGTGGCCACACATTTTCTATGGTCGTGGACGATACCCTATGGCTCGCGACAGGGAAGGATGTCTTCATATATCGCCCCAATGCACGCGAGGATTCCGCTTTCAAAATTTTCAAGAAACCTCTCGGCCAGCAGCACACCGGAGAGGTCACATCTGGCACATACACTACACAGCATGGAGGGCGTGTCTATCTGGGACATGCTGATGGCAAGGTCACTACATATTCTTCCACAGACTACTCGTGTTTAGCAGTCGTGAATGTGAGCGTATATAAAATCAACTGTCTCGGCATGGTCGGCGACTACCTCTGGGCAGCCTATAAAACAGGCATGATCTATGTCTATGACGTGAAGACGAACCCATGGATAGTGAAGAAGGATTGGCGGGCCCATGACAGTCCGGTTTGTGGATTCATTCTGGATACGAGCAGTGTATGGACAATGAATCGCCTTCAAGTGACATCGCTTGGAACAGACAATTGTATCCGGCTTTGGGATGGGATGTTGGAAGACGATTGGATGGGTAAGTACACTACAGTCGGTGTTTTTGTTTGAATTTCCCTTCTGACGAGGAAGCAGAAAACCGGATGCAAAGCAGAGACGTTGAATTCTGCAAATTCCGCGAAATTCGAATTGCCATCGTGACTTGGAATGCGGGTGCCTCTACCCCCGGCAGTGTGCGCACATCGGATTTCATTCGAGACGCTGTTCATCCCGAGGATCCACCGGATATAATCGTCTTTGGGTTCCAAGAGTTAGTCGATCTAGAGAACAAGAAGCTCACAGCTAGTAAGTCGACCTTCGAAGTGCGGCTTCCACAGCACTATTGCTAACACATCTGACGTGACAGAGAGCCTTCTGCTTGGAAGCAAGAAGAAGGATCATGGGGAAAAGGAACACATGAGTCGGCAATACCGAGTCTGGATAGAGCATCTCACTCGGTCACTCCATGAGTGCATGCCTCTCGAAGAGTCATATGTTCTCTTGCATACATCGAATATGGTTGGTTTGTTCACGTGTGTCTTTGTGAAGCACAAAGAACGACATAACATCAGCAAAATCAATGCCTCTGAAGTCAAGCGTGGCATGGGTGGATTGCATGGCAACAAGGTACGTCGAAGTTGACTCTTCGCCGAGGCAGATCTCGCTCCTCGACATCGCTGACAGAAATCCAAAATTATAGGGCGCACTGATTCTTCGATTTGTTCTCGATGATAGCTCATTATGTTTTGTCAACTGTCATCTAGCAGCTGGCCAGACGCAGACTGCCCATCGCAATAATGACATTGCTGCAATTCTTGAAGCCGAAACTCTGCCTCCAGAGAGTAGTCTCGTCACACGCACCGATCATTTCTCCAGCGGTGGAGATGGATCCATGATTATGGACCACGAAATCTGCATTTTGAATGGAGATTTCAATTACCGTATAGATGCCATGCCACGTAACGTCATCATTGATGCAGTTCGCCAAAACAATCTCACAAAGCTTCTGGAGCGCGATCAACTTCTGGCGTCAAGGCGCAAGAATCCAGGCTTCCGACTCCGGAGCTTTGTCGAAGCGCCCATCACCTTTGCACCGACCTACAAATATGACGTTGGCACTGACCAGTATGACACGAGTGAGAAAAAGCGCTCACCTGCCTGGTGTGACCGTATCCTCTATCGTGGACTAGGTCGGGTCAAACAACTTGAATATCGCCGGCATGAGGTTCGCGCCTCCGATCACCGGCCCGTTAGTGCGGCTTTCAAAGTTCGTGTGAAGACAGTACTACCCCAACAGCGAAATGTGGCGTGGGAAGCGTGTCTGCAGGACTTTCAGATTGAGAAGCGGCGGCTTGCATCTGAGGCTAGGTAAGCCATTGCCCCTTCAGGTTTTCACGATCTCAAGTACAGAAATCCCGTGTAAGAGCGCACGCTAATAGGAACTCTGCAGCATCGAATATCTCATTACAGTTCTGGGTACTGACCCCCGCCAGGCTCGCAGCTTGATTCTGGGCAAAGCCACGTGAATGTCGCAATGGCTCCATCTTCTTTTCTTTGGGCTCTTCTTTGCATTCCCGAGCGAATCTTGTCCTAAGACATTGTGATCAAACTTTTCTCGTTTCTGGCCTTGCGATGCACAATTGTACGATTAATGATTCCACGATAGAAATGTTCTCATGAGCGAGAATTGCGTCTTTGATCCCACATTTGCCATCAAGGTAGTCGGGTGCTTGCCCCCCCTCCATGATGACTCCAATATATTTATAATTCCTCACATCCTGTGTCTCATCTCCGGCTTCGCGATAGTACATGGCGGTCACTGGGATTTCTCCGTCGTAATCAGCTGTCTGGCAGGTTCACTTATTGTAAGCCTACGGCTCGATGTGACGGCGTTCTGCGATTCAGAAATTCAATCTGCACCGAAATATCCATGTTACATGATGAGATGGAGGCCCGCATTCTGGCAGGTTCTCTACCCCTTTCCTGCCGGGCATTATATGAACAATCATCGCTCCTGAAAGGAGCTCACATCTTGAGGGACGTGAACACCGTCATTTCCACGTCAAGGCAGATCTTGGTAACTGTGAGCTTGGCCCTGTTCGTCTCTACATGTTCGGTAGATGGTGACGGTATTGAAACTAGGATTGTCAAAGGTTGGAATACAAAGTCCAAGATACTGTAGTTCGGAGAGGGAATTACAGGTAAAGGTGCCGATTGCCAGCTCCGGCACATATCTTGATTTCATTAACACATCGCCGTTGTCTTTGGAACAATTCACAGCCGGAACAATCTCGCAGGAACATCTCTCGGAGCCATCAGCTTGTCCAGTCTCTCGTTGGTGATCTGATATAGAGCAGGAAGCTGACCGGTGACATCCTCACCCGCAATCATAGCGCCCAGTAGTTCGCCCACCAACCAGCACTTATCCATTCCGTAGCCGTTGAATCCAACCGCGGCCCATTCTCCATCATCGGGTCTCCCCGTGAGTCTCTTTCCCAGACGACCAACCAAGGGCATGCCATCTGGCGTGAACCCCATGATTCCAGACCAAATACGACGGGGAGTACTTTTCACAGCTTCTCCCGTGGCCGATTTGAATGTGTTTTCCATGATGGAGACGAGATTTTGCGCCGGCAGGTTCGGCACAACGGTATCGTCACTGATCAGAATCTCCTCGAGTCGTTGCTTCTCGCCGCCGAAAAAGAAATCGCCCGTCTTTGCATTCTGAGTCATGTAGTACAGGCCGAATGTAAATGTGCCCGTGGCGGGGTCGTATCTGGGCTCGTGGTAGATGCTCCACGAATGGCGGGCGCCGTGGTTGGGAAGGGACGGGGTGACTGATTGCGTCGACATGGTGCCTCTAAAGGGGAAGACTTTTCCTCGGAGCTCAGGTAGTAGATGTGAAGTGTATGCATTTGTACAGTAGACGACTTGGTCGGCGTAAACCACGCCTCTAGAGGTCTGCACCCGTCGACGGTGGGTTGGTCTCCCCGCCTCATATGTCACCGCGGTCACGGCGGTGTTGGTGTCGATGGAAAACCGAGAGGCATGCTCTTTCATCAGCTTGGCAAGAACACCAGTGATGATTCGATAGGGCCAAACGGCACCTGCCGGTTGCTCACAGGCTCCGGCGGAGTCAATGAACTTGTATTTCTAGTGCACTATTAGCAAGACGGATCTGATTCACCCATGGCTGGTCGCTCATGACGCGCACGACTTACAGCTTTTGCTTCATCCGCAGAGAGAATCCTGAATTGATCTGCAAGCTCCGGACAAGCATTGGAGAACTGAAGAAGCGAATCTTTGAAATGCACGAACGTGGCAGGTTCCAGGAAGTTCATGACTTTCTGAACTTTGCGCGCCTCTGCAGCATCCTGGAGAATCGGGTCCAAGGTAGACACAAATTCATGGAATCGCTCCAGATTGCGAAATGAAAATCTCGTCACCTCTGCCGCTTTGTCTGCGCCGAAGAGGCTTGCGACAGCCGCAAAGTCCACCGCCGATGGCGAGACCAGGTGACCTCCGTTTCTACCCGTGGCGCCACTTGTCAGGGCGCGAGCCTCGAAAAGGGCAATTCGTTTGTTGCGCAGCTTGGGATTCTCCAACAGGGTTCGCGCGACACTACACCCTGTAATACCCGAGCCCACAATGGCAATTTCCACTTCAGTGGGCAATTGAGCAGATTGGATATTGGCAATGGGGTGCGTTGGCTCCTGCCAGAATGCCACCGACGGTCCCTTGCGAGGAAGACCGGGGTCCTGGCTGATCAAGGACACAATCCGGTCGTGCACCATTCTGCGTTGGTTATTAGCACCCATAATGATCACAGGCAGAGTGATGGCAAAACAATGCCCAAGATAACTGTGTAATTGACCAACTGGAGAGTCTTATGGAAAGGGAAAACACACCAGCAGACGACGAGGAGAGCCGCTTCAGCTCCAATTTATACGGGCAACTGTCGTCACCTCCCCCGAATCAACTCGTGCACCTATTTTCCATTGTGGCCAATCAAACATGTAATGCAATACGATAAGCGCAGATTCGATATCCCCCGCATTTCGCGTGGAGAGAGTCCTCAAAAGGGCATATCTATCGCAGCCCAGCGGGGCGATATGCTTGGCCGAGTGTGGGAGTGGGACCCCCAACCCTGATGTCAATTGCCTGTTACGGCAAGTCCATGCGATCACCAAATATATCGTGAGACGGTCTGGAAGGTATCATCTTAGGGCACTCGTTGATGGAGTACCTGAAAGGCACACTGACACAAGGGTTTCCCGGATCGAGTGGAAGTGGGAACATCAAGGGATCACATCGATCTGTTGATGGAAGGCAGCTCCCCAAAGAGGGCCATGCTGCCGGAGCGGCATCCGTCAGATAGTAGTATCAGCACCGGCAGATAAGACTGTCGCCCCGAATACGCTTTGTCATTTGCTTCGTGAGTGCTAGCTACGTAGCGTGGGGGCTGGGCCGTGCCGACTCTGGAAAAGCTGAAATGATTGAGATGGGAAAGTGAAGAGGATGTTGACCCAGGCCGAGGAGGAGAGTGTTATCTGCTGCTGCGGTGGCATGATCAGATCGATTGCAGATAAGATAAGGAGTCGGCTCCTGGTCACCTGAGAGAGAAGCTTGCAAGCCTCGCCGAAGAGGGAAGAGTAGGTGAAGGTCACGCGACCGACTGTATGCCATCAACTATATCGGAAGGCGGTCTGATTGAGAACGCATTGGATGTTCTACATATCCGGCACCAGAGTCTTTGCATCCCTGAGGCTCACTACTAACTACTATGATCTAACTCAGAGCTTGTTTAGTCGAGTGTACCTGCTGTTTCCTGACGGTGTTGGATGGCTTCTCTGCATGGGGAAGGCAATCGAAAGAGGTCTTGCCTGCATACTTCCTCGTTCTATTGGTTGATCATGTTCTTATATTCTGAGGAGGTTCTGTCTCCGTCAACATGAGCGAAGAATATCAGCATATCGACAGGATCGATCTGCAGCAATCTCAAGCTCTCTCGATCCGAACCGAATCGCGAACTGGGGACTTGATGGATCCCAACTGGAGTCTGAACCGTGACAGCCGAGTGCAGGTGGAACGTGCCGCGGTCGGAGATCCTACACAGTACACGATCGTTAGGTACAATACATATTTAAATAATCTTTAACAATCAAGACCGGGGCAAAGGATTGTAATTCCTACCACATGGCCCATCCCGATCTATTTAAAGATGCACAATATCATTCTTACTCTACCTTGTTCGTCCCGAGCGTACCGAGTCCGTGGCTCGGCGTGAGACCGCCGCACGGTTCAACTTTATGCGGCACGCCGTATCCGGGAGGGCCACGCAATGAAGATGGGGGGAAACCTTAAGTCTTTCTGTTTGCCGGATACGTACTGGAACTACTACTTTTGAATCGGCTGAGAAATGGTTCATGACCATTCAAGACTCGGTTTGCGATGATGAGACGCTACCCTTACAAAGCTATTGTACAAGATTTGAAGATATACAGCATATACAATGTACGCTGTACGGTGTTGAGTCTGTTGATGTACACGTCAAGTCTCCTCTTTAGCGCCCACACAATCCGGTTATCAACTCCCGTCATCCCCACTCTGCGGTTGAACCGGGTCCGATCCGAGCAGTAAAGATTACCACATGCTTGTCCGAGCGATCATCATTGGGTCACACGTTTGTATTCTATTCCAGAACAGAGAACCGGCCATCGATTGTACCGAACTTCAGTCGCGACGCGTACTCTTGTCCGCACTGATCACGGACATGTAGACATGAACCCTATGCTTCAGCTACTTGCACTTGGTCACTTCAAATATTGTATCGCGTGCGACAGCATCGTGGTTAGTACTGGACCGAGGACCTATCGACCGACTCCACTGATCCACTCGACATACCTCATGATGGCGCAGGGGAATTCTAGCGAACGGACGCCCCCCTCCAGCAGTAGGTGGTGACTCGTGGGACCATCAACAATTCTCCGCAAACGGTGTTGGATACATATCATTACAGGCCAGTATAGGGAAACTTATCCGACCTATGCCTGACCCGCAATCCCATACCGCATCGGCACGTACTCATCGTCATGCTGTTCACGGGAGTTTCCTCTGGTCGGTTTGTACTTTGTAGTACAGTCGTCACTATGGACGATTGTACGTACTTTACCTCACTGGATCAGTGGATAGTGGATCACTGGATACAGAGCACGTTTTTTTTTGGATGAAGTGAGCAAGTCAGACTTTTCCTCGCCCTTTCATTTACATCCAAATCCAGGTGAACGTCCATATCTTGGACGGGCCTAGCTGTTTCTCCACGCTGTTCGCGGGGTCTGGACCTTCCCTTGATTCTGGATTGTGTTTTGCCTTCCCCAGAAGTTGCCCGGAAAAGGTGCAGTGGTTCCACGGATTCAACGAAACAGCAGTCGGTAAGGTACTTCGGTTAAGAACACTCGGTGTCTCTTACGTCAGGCCTTGGCTTCCCACGAGACTTGGGTTGAACGACTTTCGTGGATTTGGACTGGACTCTCTTCATGGGGTTGAAGGTACCAATGAGTTAGTACGTCCTCTCCCATAGTACTCGATTATACGGGGACGCTCCCTCCAACGTTCACCTCATCTTCTTGTCCTTTTCCGTCCTTCTGTCGATGTTTATGAACATGATCCTCGCACCATGAGCCAATTCTCTCATCTTTTTCCAAGTCGACTCTTTTCACGCGAGGCAGGCTCCTCAACCGGTCCCAATCGAAATCGGGCCTTTCTGTACATGTCATTAATTGTATTCGTCCTACTCTTAACATATCAGCTGGTCCTGAGTCGCGAATCGTTCCAATCATCAATATCCAAATGGAAACTTGGTCCATCAGCAACCAATTCCAATCATGGTGTCCATTCAACCGGCAACTCCACGACTTCCGCCTCAGATAGACCGTCTGGGCAAGCGTCACAAGAGCAGCCGACACCGTCGGCCCGGCCGAGGCAGAAAGAATTGGTCATTGCAGCCATGAGCCATGACAATATGTCATGGGTCGAAGAGAATGTACCGGATTGGCATGCGAATATCTACCGTGCGGATGTCGCGCCGGGCAAGGCTAGTCTGACCGTCCCGGTGAATAAGGGAAATGAAGCGATGGTCTTTTTGACGTATGTTGATCAACACTGCACCCCAAGTCAATGCGCATAACTTCTGCCAGAGATGAGAGTGTCACCCGCTGAAGTTTGATGCTGAGAACCTGGATGCAGGCATATCATCGATCGCTATGACAGTCTCCCAGACGTGTCCCTGTTTCTTCACGGGGGACGATATCAATGGCATAATGATAATCCACTCTATGGTCCGTTTGCATTGCTCAATCTCAGGGATTTGGAGCTTCTCCGTCTTCTCCTCTTCAAAATGCATGTTCGCAAGCTTATTCCTCATCGATGACAGATTCCGTCATCTCCATCAATCATCTCCAGCTCAACCACGTCCAAGAAACCGGCTACGCCAACCTCCGCTGCACCTGGATCATCGGCTGTCCCGCCGAACTTGAACCTGCCCGTTACTTGCGCGACAGACCGCAAGACCCCGAACATCCGACAGCGGTCGAATTTCCAGATCGATTCATGGAGCTGTTTCCCGACGAGGATCTTCCCGACGTGGTGGGTGCGGCGTGTTGTAGTCAGTTTGCCGTGTCGAGGGATCGTATCCGTTCCAGGAGGAAGGAGGATTATTCTCGGGCGCGACAGTTTCTGATCGATACCTCGTTGGATTCGCAGACCAGTGGGAGGATTATGGAATATGTTTGGCATAGTAAGGGTCTCCCTTTTTTTTTCATGAAGTGCATGTGGACCTTGCTGCTGTGCAGGGGCTCCTTTGGGGCAATTGGTCTCATATGCCGGGCATATGACCATTGTCTGCCCTGATCTAGCGACCCAGTTGATGTTCTTGTCGGAGATAATGAGACACTGACCCTTTTCATTTCCAGTCATGTTCGGAAAACCCGCACAGTATTGCCCCGATACGAGACAGTGTTACTGTCAGACATACGGATATTGCAACATGACAGACGAGGATCTGCGCAATCAGTGGGTCTGGCGCGGTCTGAAATTACCAGATGGATGGCCCGACTCGGAGGAGAACACGAAAAAAGTACAGAAACGGAGAGGCCTGCCGTCCTCGACATATTGGATGTCACAATGATTTTGTTGGGGTGCAAACCCAGACCTGGGTCAATGGCACTACTGCGACGCGCATGCAAATAGACGGAAGATATCAAATGAGCAGCTGCACCGACGAACTGACTCATTTCAATCGGGCCCTAAGCTTAGCCTGAGGATGAGTAACGGGCGAGGGAGGCGCATCCATGTCACGTGTACAAGGACTTAACATGGACAACCTAATAGCCTTGCTAGAGTAGACCGTATGGCAATCATTATATCGATTATTATTCTTCTCGCTCGGGTGATGCAAACTATGTCTTTCTTGATCCAGCCGTTCAACAATCGTTGATCATTCATCCCGGATCACTCATCACTCTTGAATCGTGACGCCCACCATGCTGGTTCCAATGCCTGGCAATTATTTATTGATCTTCCTCCGGATGTGTCTGTCAACGCCATAAATCCGACGAAGTTCGTCGCTTATGCGCAACCCCCGTCTGCGGCCGTTGACCCTCATCAGCAGGTACGGCTAGGAACCCGCCAAAGCCATTACCCACTAGCACACTCTTCCGCGCATCCCCGCCCCACGATCGACTCAATTGCGCCTCGTGAAAACTCACCGGTCTTGTCTTGCCGGCCGATCGTCCCGGTGCCGGGTCAAAGGGGGTGAAATTCCACTCGAACTCATCGAGACCCTTGCTGTAGACGTTGAGTGGTTGTGTCAGACCCGTGCCGGCGAATTGAGGGCCGCTTTCACCGCCGCCGTACAGCCGAGGAGGGGGTGCCAGGAGCAGTGTGTCGGGGAACTGAGCGTCTCGAACGTAGAGATCGCGCAGAGCGGGTAAGCCGTGAGCCATAAGAGAGGAGATGAGATAGGAATAGTAGGATCGGGCCATGGACGGGAGGCCGTTGGCCCCGACTTCAGAGGTGATCTCGTAATGCAGCAGACGGAGTGATTTGGAGAGTAAGGGCGGGACTTGCTCGGTAGGAAATGAGCGCGTGGCCTCTTGCACAATGGAAAGACTGTGGAGTTGCGGCGCCACGGGGAGAATGCGATGCAGGGTCGATGGAAGAATGCCTGTTGAGGCCAGGGTCAGCGACCGCAAAGTCTTGCGAACAATGGGGACCGAGAGCATGGCGGCGAGCCCGCTCGCCGTCACGTTGGGCGTGTCCCGCAAGACCAATTGACTGAGCGCCGGCCAAGGGGGTAACGAGTCATTGTATGCAAAGGCCGAGTCGTCCAGCCAGGGAAGATCTTCCAAGGTCAAGTCGTGCAACCGAGGGAAGGAGGCGAGACCGTCACGCAGGATGCTCGCCTCGATCTGAAGGCCCGAGAGATGTAGCTTCTCCAGGTTCAACCAAAGCTGTGAGCCCGGCAGACGTGCAAAGCTTCCCTCGGACCCGTGGCAATAGCTCATACGTCGAATGTTTGGGCATCGCGCCATCAGTTCTTGTTTCAGCGCGGTACAAGAGGGTTCGTCGCTGAACAATCCAGACGGGAGATCCACGAAGCGCAGATTCGGCAGCACGGAGATGGTGCGGGCGATGATCGACTTATTGGCTTCACGAGTCATGTAGGGCATACGCAGGGAGAGCACCATATTGCCGAGCCCTTGAGCTTCACGGACCGTTCGCATGAACAATTCCATGCGAACCTGGGGTGCATCAATGGGATCGCCATGTCGGTCGAAAAAGGACGGACGTTTGCGCTTGGCGGCAAGCTCAAATTCGAGCTCGCAGTAATGGACGGGGTCGATGCGAACATTTGTGTATCTGGAGATGAGAGGCGCGTCTGTCAGCCTACTACTCATGCTTTCAAATCGATAGATTGAGGTTGACCCAGCCCATGGAGCGACAGCTGGAGTAGTTCGAGACCTACAGAAGAGCGCGTGCCTCTAGATACCAGCGCTTGCAGACCTGGGCACAATGCGCCAGGTCGCGCATGTCACAGAGCATGCAGCCATCAGTAGTGGATTCCTCCGAGGTATCGTAGGAATCATCGAGGGTATGTGGACAGACGAGGGTGAAGATGTAGGCCAGCACAGGACGAGGCAGCTGTTTGGTCAGATCGTAGCCAGGGTCTCTCCTGGTCGAGCGGGGCGGCGTGTGGTACTCGGTCGCAGCCCCCGCACTGCGCCGTGGACGGGCCCGGAGGCGGTCCAAAAGGCCCATCGTGGAAGGAAAGCTCACAGGGTCGGGAGCAGAGAGAAAGTCAAGGAGGGAGAGATGGTGGCGATGGAAGGCAGGAATGAGCGAATATGGAGAAGGGCGGCCGCTCCCGTTAGAAAGGACAGAGAAGTGTATATGAATGAAAGAAAGGACACGGAGATGAACCTGTCCCCTCCGCGTCCAGTCAGCGAGATGAACAAGAAAAAAAAAAGGCACATGAGATTCAAATCAATTCAATTCCCGCCGATCGCCTCTTTTGATGGCGCCCCGCCAGCCCCATTTCCCCCTTCCGACTTGTCCTCCGCCCCAGCCAACAAGAAACACGCGACGCTGCAAGCTGAAACACGCGAGGTAAATGGGGAAATGAGCAGAGCCGCTGGCCGGTCGGCACGTTCAGACTTCATACTTCACACTGTGACACTACTGTATCTGAGTGAATGGTGTCCGCCGAGTCCAGTCAGTCTACTGACTGAACTGGGCTAGTGTGCAAAGGTGGAGGAAGCACAGTTCCTGGCGGTCTTTTGCTGATCTGACCTCTGAGTCCATGTCATTGTCGACAGTCGATGCAGTTGACCGTGGGCCATTCAATGCTATGTATAGACTGATAATACATCCAGGACGGAGGCTACCATGCGTATCAGTCAGAGAATCTTATTTGTATAGTACCTCACTACGGTCGTCGTCTCTGCAAGCCAAGCGACAACTCACAATGTAATCATAGACGTAGGAGAGTTGATCTGCCTCCTCACTCCAGCTCTCAATGTCTGGCAGGACGTTGGCTCGGAGTTCCTGATTCCCCTAGGTCTCCTGATTCATGGATCAGCCGCTGCAGGTCAAAGCCACGCCCGTCTCCATCCATCAGTACTGATTTCAATAAGGGCCAGCCATGAACCCATCACGGATCAATCAACGATCCCAACTGAGCTCCTTCGCAGGGGTTATGTCGTTGTCAGTGGATTCTCGGGTGATCTTTCGCCATCGTGCGCTTTGTGCTGGTCGGTTTTTTTACGTTGTCGGTTGCCATTGGCTTTGGTGATGTTGATGGTAACGAATCGGACGCCTTGGCCTCGATTCAGACATAAGCCGAATCCTAGTTCTTTGTTTTCTTATGGAAAACTGGGATATGAAATGGTGTCCAGGCACACATTAAATTTAGAAGCATAGTCAAGCGAGTGGCATCAAAGAGGGTGTAGGAACGATGTCGTGGGAGTCCGGAGATGGATGGCTCCATTTTTGGGCTTGGCTTCTATGGATTCTTGGGTCACGGGTCCAGTGACGATCGACCTCCAGTATGGTTTCACCTCCTTCCAGTCTCCAGTCTACCCTTGGAGATCATCTCTGATGAATGTTTCATGTGCATGACAAAGATCGACACACGACCACCTCAACTATGTTGACTCGTAACAATAAAAAGCGGTACGAATATTTGCGTCGGGCCAAATCAAAAGAGAGTCTCCTATCAGTAAGATCACGAGGACGATTTTCGAAGGAAGATTTAAAGGAGATCCTCTACAAAACCCTCTACAAAGGCTATCTATATAAAAGGCTTGTAAGTCTATCACGTGGCCTACTGAATCTGGATTCATGCTCATAAGGACTGTAGCTACTCGCTACTAGCTACAGTGCACTGGTGCAGTAGCAAAAACTACTGGACGTTAGTTGTATAGGTATATCAAGTAAGATTCGCTCGTTTCTGGATGCACTCATCTCTTGCCTAGAAGGACAGGCGGTACAATTGCGGTCACAAAGGATAAGTAGTCAAGTAGTACTGTCCCATGGAAACTAAGTTACTACTACTCAATGTTCAGGGACTGTGAGTTCAAGTCCAACAAAATGCACAAAGTGGATCCATGCTATTCGATCTTGACGGATTCCCGCCTTTGGTCATGACATCACTGCAGAGCTTTTGCAGTCGAGACCGAGTAGGATGTTCCACTAATCAGATCATCCAGCAGCGGATAAGCTTGATACTATCATAAGTATTCCTAATCTCTTCGATTTTCCAATTTGGAAGGTATTGGAGTATGTTGTTGGACATAGAACTGTGGTAAGTTACATTCACCAACTTACAGTATGACTCCGGACGGGGCCCGCATCTGACAGACTATCATCTCCAACACCAATCGTCATCGTGCCGACATGCGCTCCATGGGACCATGACAACCAAGTTCATCCACAACCACCTCCACTCTCAACTGTGGAGTTGGGCGAGCAGACTGACATCATGGTCCCTGAGCCAAATATAAGAAATTTGTGGGTTCCACGAACCAAGAGGGGAAGGGGGAGAGTTCAAACCAACTGTCTCCGTTGTCGTACAAGATCTTCTCTTCGCGTACCCCATCTTCATTCCCTCCTCTCGCCCATCTTACGCCCTTTCAGGCTCGACCCCCCCAGCCTCACACCCCGTCACTACCGTTGCCATGGCCGAGATGGGTGAGTCTCTAGGAGAAGCACCTCTTCCCAATCCCGCTTTCACCAACAACAACCACGAGCACACCTTGAAGGAAGAGTCCTGGAAACACCGTGCTCCATATCGAAGCCTGAGTGATGAAGAATTCGGTCCCATCAAGTGGCGCGGAAAGTGCAAGTGTGGGAATATTACCTTTTCCATTCGACGCGAAAAGCCCGTCAATGCGAAATACTGCCACTGCCGAGGGTGCCAGGTCATGCACGGGGCGCCCTTTCAATGGGCAGCCATCTTCCACAAGGAGGATGTTAACTTCAGCAGGGGGTGCAGTGACTTGGCCTTCTATTCATCATCTGGCAATACCCAACAGTATCAGATGCCCACCAAGGTCTCCTGTTCCTTTTGCCATACTTTGATCATGGACGAGGGGCGCAATATGTGCCTGCTGTTCCCTCAATTGATCGAATTGGAGGGTTCATCGGATGAACAGAGAGAGCAGAGGAATATCTTCAAGCCCACGTATGTGCATCCTCATCCCGAGCCTGGGTTAAACACATGATTTTCTTAATGAGGACTGGTTTTGTACTGACCATCAATGGGCGTATCGCAGGTGTCACATCTTCTATGAGCAGCGAATGATCGATATTCCCGACGGAATCGACAAATGGTCTGGGATGGATGGTCACAGTGAGCGCCTGGATGACCAAGGCAACCCATTGAAGCACTAGAGAAGTCGAGTGCTTGAGTTCAGATGAGGACGGGCAGCCTCATCATGGCGAGAATGACTCCCCTCTTGCTAAGGGGGACAATGCTTGACGCATACCTCCAGGTGAGTGCCGGTCTGGACCGGTAGGGGTGGCGGATGGGGTGAAGACAGATCTGAAAGTGCCTGCCTGCTTGAACCTCGCGATGGGTTTGGGGCTGCTCGTTTCGTAGGGATCTCGGCCAGGCTCAAACCGCACTAGAAAGTACAAATCATGTTGCTGCATCTTTCCGACAAGTACACGAAAATAGAATGCCCTATCATCAACAGACTGGATTTCTTCCAGTATTCCACACCGGGAATTACCAAGGTAATTGCACCTCTCGAAGGGCTTTTATTCTTCGCCATGTGGATTCTGTATATCTTTTTGACAGCTCTCGAATGTACCACGGCCGACACAACCCCTAAAATCCTCGCGGCAAAACCGGAGCGGTTCTCTTCATTGAAAGACCTGCCTACCTGATGCTCTTTCTGTGCTGACTTGATCATGACCGGATACCTTATACATATTTTGACAGGACTCGTATACTATCTTTTCGAGACACCCGTCTGATGGATTCGAGGTATGGTTCAAATCCTGTCAGCATTCGTGCGCTCGCTGTACGATATGTCTACTACGGGCAGATCTTGTCTTCCTGCGACCAGCATATAATTCGTGCCTTCTTGAGGTACCGCACACCGTACCCCGTCAGCCATCAACGAATTAGGGAACTGCCTAGCATGGTGTCATCCTGTTTCCGTCCACAGAGCAATCCTTGTCAGCCAACCGTCTTACGCAGAAAAAAAAGCCCAATCATATAATTCAATGCCTGCAGCGCGCCAAAATCTCCCGGGATTACTTGGAGATCTCCGGGGGCCACGGTGCGGCCGGAATGGCCACGCCCGCGCCGATGCAACCCTTGATGCAGCTCATTGCCAGATTAGGAAATTCGTCAACGATGGCCGTCTCACTCGGCATATCGTGGAGAGAGGGCATATAAGGAATGCTGACACCCCTCCGCATCGAGGATTATGATAATTGGCATGCCAATTGGATTTGTAACCTCTAATCTCCATTTCCTCTTCTTTTCATCTTCCTCTCGACACGGGCGCAATGGTACAGCTCTGTATATCGACTCAGCTCGCGGCGCTGGTCGCTCTGACGGGCCTGGTCAATGCAGTCACAAAAGTCACCGACGATGAGATGAGCTCCCTTTTGAATCTTGGGGGGTCGACCTGGCAGATCGCTACGCTCCCATGTGGTTTTTCGGGCAAGCTATGAGCCAGCCGCCTTGCTATCCCACATGGGCCTTTGGCGGTTCACCCACGACAGCAGACATTTACGATAGCGCTCATCAGACCCCAGCGGCTCCGCAGTGCGAATACCCCAATGTCGGGTGTCACTGCAGGAATCCGGGCGTGGGTATTGGGAATCGAGGTCCTGCTTTTCCGGTCTATTACACCTATCAGCGATGCAGCGACACCGAAGTTCGAGTGGCCTACAATCTCTTCTATGAGAAGGACGGTGCGACCTTCGGAGCCATTCAAACCGGTCACAATTAGTAAATATCCCGCCCGTGCCAGAAGCGAGGCACACCCAAACGGAGGGTTATCAATCATTCGCAGCAGATCTCCCATGCTAACCAAGCTCGTAACAACAGCGACTGGGAGCGAGTCATTGTCATCCACTCGCGCGACAGCAGCAACATGTGGTCTCCCTCTCGTGCCCTTCTCTCAGCACACAGCGGCTATCACAATCTCGCTTGGGCAGATATCCAAAACACCCTGACCACAGATGAGATCAACGCCGGCGACGCCAAAACACCCAACGGTGTGCGCAACAACGACCATCCCAAGGTGTATGTGTCGTGGTCGAAGCATGCCAACTTTGATACTCGCAACACGGGCTGGAACGATCCGGCCAGTCAATCGCTCGAGGATGCTTTTCGCAGTCAGGATTGGTGGTATTTTGTTGATCCGCAGTATTACGTATGTGATGTCGACTGGACGCACAGGCTCGATGCTTTTTCTGCAATTTTAGATTGATCTTATGCTAACACTCAAGTTTTAGATCCGCGCTGACCTCAGTACAGATGCTGGGAAGGCTTTGGCTGCTGCCAATTGGGGTGATGCCACGAGTAATCCGCCGTCTGTGCATGCCGGTCTTTGTAGTGCTTCTTGATTATTTGAGCATCCAGTACATATATGTGCATATACTATATCGGTGGCCGGGGATGTTCTAGGGAGAGACCTCTTTTAGTCCGGATATATCATATACACTAATCGGCCGTCCGTGCATGCAGGTGGAAGGTAGATGTTCTCCACTACAGTTGGGAACATTGAAGATGTATCTAGTATCAACGGACTTATACACCTACACCTATTGACTTACTCAGTAACCGAACCCGTAAGCATCGACGACCCACGTTGAATGGAACCGCCCTATAACCTAATTATGACAGCCCAGTCAAATGAGTGCCTAGGTACCTACCAATGTCGACCCACGTGATGCAACTTGTTTCAATACGAAGGTGCGAGAATTTCATCCAGCCAAATTGTGATATATCTGATACATCAGTCTTACGTCGGAGTCAACTTGAATCTTTTTTTGTCGTCCGATGACTTATCTGTCTTGTCAATTTTCAATGTCATCAAGGGTGAGGGGTTCGTGACGACCACGAAGCGGGGACGTAGCTTACTGTTCAACCATCAAGCACTGGCAGTCAAAAAGTTCCTCTACTCAATAACCCAGTCCTACCGTGTGGCATTGAAGAAACTCGAAGTAAGTTGGACCGATTCGACAAAATTTATCTTCCTACTCTGTCGATTTTTCAGTTCGTTTCCATTCCTGTCAGCATGGATTCAAATGTTCACACTCCCAAACCCTTTCCCCAACCGGCTGCGGGGTATACTCAGCCATTCTGGCGGACAGAGTTGGATGATCTGGATAGCCACCAGAGCTCAGCGGATCTACCTCCAGAGACTGAGATTCTCATCATCGGCGGTGGCTATGCTGGAGCCTCGGCTGCGTATCATCTCTTCAATGACGCACCTCAAGACAAGTCACTGGGGGTGGTGCTTCTCGAGGGGCGAGAGTTGTGCTCTGGTGCAACTGGCAGAAATGGTACGCTTCGCATGAAGTAACGGTCGACGACATTGAAAAGAAAATACAGAGCCATCAAATGCTAAACTATCTCGATCAGGAGGCCATCTAAGACCCGATCTATACGCAGCCACCAAAGTGTACCAAGAGCGCTATGGTCTCGAAGCCGCTGCCGAAGTTGTCCGATACGAGATCTCCCACATGAAGCAATTGGAAGAGACTGTGCGGAATGAAGGAATAGATTGTGATCTCACTTTTACTCGCTCCTATGATATTTTTCTCGACGCAGATCATCTTGCTGCGGCAAAAGCCTATTATGACTCTCTGGTCCAATATGACCTCGACTTCATGAGCGATGTCGAATACCTAACCGAGAAAGAAGCGCAAACGGTGAGTCCATGATCGGTGTACCTCAGCATCACGCACCATTTCACCATTTCACCATTTCACTGACTAGGTAACCTGAGAAATGCGACAATCTAGATCGCCAAAGTTAAAAATGCAAAAGGAGGCTTTAGCTTCTCTGCCGGTCATCTATGGCCCTACAAGTTGGTCGCTGGCTTGATTCGTATCGCAGTATCTCGAGGCCTCCAACTTCACACCAAGACCATGGTCACTGGGATTGGCCAAACCCCGTCACTCGAGGGCTTTTGGCCCGTCACCACCAGTCGCGGTGTCATTCACGCCCGAAAGATCATTTTCGCGACCAACGCATATACAAGCGCCCTGGCTCCGGAGTATTCTCGAGCCATTGTCCCTTGCAAGGGACTTTGTACTCAGATTCAGGCTGCGCCCGGAGCTCCCTATGAGGCGATACCAGAGACCTATGTTATTCGGCATGGACCGGGATGCTTTATTTATCAGATCTCGCGCAAGGACGGATCCATCATCGTGGGCGGCGCGGAGTATACGTACAGGGATTCACCTGCACAGTGGTACAGCAACTCCGAGGACGGGTCCGTGATTCCAAATGTGGAAACCTATTTTGATGGATATATGCAACGAACCTTTCATGGTTGGGAGGACAGTCAGGCTACCGTGAAGCAAAAGTGGACCGGAGGTGAGCTTGAAACCGCCCTCCAGATTGTTTCATTCCCAAAGAATTTGACTGACATGCTTTAAACATTGTTCCAGTCATGGGATATAGTGCTGACTCTCTTCCTCACATCGGAGCCATTCCCAACAAACCAGGACAATTCATCGCCGCCGGCTTCAACGGGCACGGAATGCCGGTGGTCTTTTTGGGTGGCAAGGCTGTCGCTGAAATGGCGCAAAAATCCATCTCTTTCTCGCAGACCGGTCTGCCGAGACTGTTTGAGACGACTGCGGAGCGCCTCACCCCAATCTATGATGATACGATGGGGTACCCTTAGGTAAGCTGGTCAAAATGCCAGTTCATTTCCACCCATCTGTCGACTGCTCGAATAACGAGGTCCTTGACACATTCGAGTTCACAATGCGAATTGAATGCAAATGTGGATTGACGAAGGAGGACGAGGCTTTGCGATCTCTGCAGTGGTCAGGACAGGATCTTATTGAGATTTGGGAACGAACGACTGTCAAGGCCCACTGCGGGCCGGAGGCTTCAAAAAAAAAAAAAGGGTTCGCCAGTGCATCGAAATAGTCTTGACAAATCAAAACGATATCTCATCTGCAGGTCCTCTGAGCCACGAAAAGAGAGCATTACCGCATCGGCCCGCGATTGATGACTCCCCAGAACCCATGTGGCTCTACTTGGCTGAACTGTCAAACACGTGAATTAAGAGTTCTTAGCACTTTGAACGGAAACAAAAAGCTTCAAACACCTTTGAATTAAGGTTTCGGCAGTCACCCGAGTCCAGGCCCATCCCGATCTGGTTTCGCCAATCAGCGACCACATATGACATGCTCAACGTAGCCAGTCATTTGCGGGGAATCGTGCACATGTCAAGATGATAAATGCGCAACGAGGCAGGAACTTGATGCCTGATTATGTTATCATGAAAAAGATATGAGATCGAGATTTGTCAACATACAAATCTGCCTTCGGAAAGACCATTGGACTGACTGTTGATCAAATTGAGACCGTCTCAGGAGAAATTTGACCCGCCACTTGTTGACTGGAGTCTGGCCAGGAAGTTGTAGAGCCTCAACAATCCCAAGTCCTCACATTGCGTGAACATGTTGCTGGCAGCGCCGCTGTCCCGCTATATGGGATCGATTCGATCCCTCAGACAAAAATGGCGAAGTCATTCAGAGTCCCAGCAAGCAGCCGGTACACCCGTATCTCTTGCCGAACGTTTACTCGATGTGTTTCTACGAACCTGGGATCTCGGTTTCATTGCATTCGGAGGACCCCCGGTTCATTTCCAGATTCTGCATCGAAGATTCGTAGAGGGAAAAGGGGGCAAGGAGAAATGGGTCGATGAACAGACGGTCAGTGTGATCTCGTCGAGCTTCTTTGTGAAGCCGAGACCAGGGATGAACCCCTTCATCAGTACTAACTTTGATATCCAGTATCAAGAGCTTTTCGCCATCTGTCAAGGTCTGCCTGGACCTGGCAGTACCAAGATGCTATTCTGTCTCGTTCTGCTTCATGCTGGATTCATTCCTGCGGTGATGGCGTTTTTCATCTGGTGGTATGATCCCTCAACAGCCCTTTTGGTTTTAGGTTTCTTTTCCAAACTCCCGTGCCATCGCGTTGACGCCCCGCCGATAGTCTTCCTGGTGCAGCCGGCATGTATGCCATCTCCTTGGGTATTCAAAATTTGAGCTCAACCTTGCCTCTACCCGTGTATGCTCTTCTCTCGGGTCTCAATGCTGCTACCGTCGGCATTGTCGCGGTCTCGGCCGTACAGCTCGCAGACAAAGCCATTAAAGATCAAATTGCGCGGATTCTTATCATTTTTGGAGCATGTGCCGGTCTGTGCTACAACGCGTTGTGGTACTTTCCCGTTCTGATGGTGATCGGTGGCCTCGCAATTGTGACCTGGGAGGGTTGGCTCTATGCGCAGGTTCAGAGGGCCAAGAGGGCATGGCGAAATAGACATGCTCGCCCAATCGAGCCAGAAGATGCAGCACCAGACGATATGGAATTGGAATCAGCTGCGCCGGCCACCACTCAAGCAAACCAGCAGATACGGTCCAGGAAGCCTGCTCCAGCTGCCAATTCCTCGCAGCCTGCAGGGTTGGCGCAGCACTCGATCCGGTCAGCGGAGAGTGAGCCCAGTATACCACAATACCATCGGATTCGTATGCGCACTGGCGTCGCGATCATTGTCTTGTTCTTTGGTAAGTCGCACACCAGATAGTTGACAATCTCCCACGCTCGGACCTGACTCTCCGTGCTATCAGCTTCTTTTATCGCCGTTCTTGTGGCACGGGGAAAACTATCACCCCCACCGCTTGCATTGGATCTCTTTGCCAGCATGTACCTGGCTGGCACGGTCATCTTCGGTGGAGGTCCCGTGGTGATCCCCCTTCTTCGCTCGTACGTTGTCGGTCCTGGATGGGTCTCAAGTCGAGACTTTTTGATCGGACTGGCCATCATCCAAGCGTTCCCAGGCCCCAACTTCAATTTTGCAGTGTTCCTAGGCGCCCTGGCACTGCAGTACTCGCAATATCCCACCATCTTGGGCGCCTTCTTGGGTGGACTGGGTATTTTTTTCCCGGGAATCACACTGGCCGTTGCAATCCAAAGCTTCTGGCATGACTTGCGCAAGCGACGATCCGTCATTCGATTCCTGCGCGGTGTCAATGCCACTGCCATCGGGCTGGTATTTACGGCCGTCTATCGCCTCTGGCAGATTGGGTACTTGACGGCGGAGGACAGTGCGGGACAAAGTCTTGGGAATGATCCGTGGTGGTTGGTTGTGACGACCATTTCATATGCGGGGAATGCATGGTTTAATGTGCCCCCGGCCATTTCGATTGTGATCGGTGCGGTGCTGGGGCTGTGTTGGTATGGAGCTGTTGGTCGTTAAGAGTCATCGAGCAGTTTGTTGTGGTGTTGCGATGAAAATAGATTCAAATTCGCTCGCACCATGGCCGAGGAAGAAACCCTGCCACTTCCAATACTGCTAGGATCGCGGATTTTAATATATGAGTCCATTCAAGGCCTCCAATAGATCACACCGAATCACACCCATTTTGGTGGCAGAAGTCAAAGGCGATGGACGCTTTATCAGTTCAAGTAGCTCCGTGCTTGGTCGCATCTATCGATGCTAGATCGTCACAATGCTCCCACATAATCGCTGTTGTTGTCGTATACTCTCCTCTATCACCTATCATACTACCGAGCTCAAAGAGGATCATCGCGACCCGAGCTTGACAAGTAGAGTATTCTTCTAGCATGTCATTGAACTTCTCAATGTCCCTAGGCGGCTCTTGATGCCTGACAACTTCAGTCTCGAAATGACATCAGAGTCCGTACCAAAAGTGTTGCCCCCCCCCCCCCTTTGAACCCAACTGAAACGGAGCCGAACATCCCCACCAGCACAGCTCAAACGACCAGATGAAGCAGAGTAAGCCTGTCTATTAAAAAGCTATTTACTCCCTCCATTTCTCTCCTCCTCTATACCTCTCTTCTTGATCCATTTCCTCGCAGACCCCTGGGAGCAAAAAAACAAAACACTTCACAATGTCCTGGTTCCAAAAAACCTTCACCCTCCCCAGCCGCAGCCGCGGCTCCTACCTCATCACCGACGAGGTTGTCTCCGCGCTGCCCGAGCTGCGTGAGTACAAAGTGGGCATGTTGAACCTCTTTGTGCAACACACCAGCTGTGCGCTGTCATTGAACGAGAATTGGGACGAGGATGTGCGGGCCGATATGAGTGATGCGCTGGATCGCATCGCCCCGTTCGATCGCAAGGGAGATTTGTATCGTCATTCGGCGGAGGGGGAGGATGATATGCCGGTGAGTGAGAAACGTTTAGGGGAGATGGAAAAGATGAGATGTGTGGAGGCGATAGGAGCAGTCGCATAAGCATATGTTTTTTTTGGGTGAAAAAGGTGGAAGAAACTGGAAGACAGTGAATGCTAATTGCTCTCTGTCTGATTTTCCAGGCCCACATCAAGTCCGCGTTGATCGGTGCATCCGTGAATATTCCCATCTCCAATGGTCGTCTGGCTACGGGAACGTGGCAGGGAATTTGGCATCTCGAGTTCCGCACCAGCCGACACACTCGCAAAGTTGTCGCGACTATTCAGGGACAGAAGGCCTGAGCCAGGAGCATTCTCGACCTACGAAAGACCATGGAACTTGTGAGCAGAGGACCATTTTTCAGTGTTTATGCGCAATGCCTCGATCTATAAAGTCGAGCTTGAGTGCTAGAAAGACTCAATCGATCCTTTGAAAAGGGCAAAATATCTGCGTAAGGAGCCCAAAAGCATGCTCAGCCTCCGGTGTTCCCTTGACAATGTCAATGCGCAATTTCCGTGACGACCTTGAAAAAGTAAATAAAAGCAGTGTAAAGATGCGCCATGATTCTTTGGAATCACTCATACAAACAAAGGGCAGATCCATTGATCAAGATTTCTGTACACGGCCTTGGGCCCAAATAGAAAAACAGAAAGAGTAGGAACCCCCAATAAAAAAGGGATAGTAAAAGATGTGATCATGCGTAAGGGTGAGGGAGGCAAAAAAAGGGTGTCATCAACGCCGACGAAAAGAAAACGCAAATTACTTGTCGTCTATCGTTGCTCGAGACTGCCATCCGTCACACGCTGAGTCTCGTTGACCTCGGCAGGATCACCCAGCGATTTCAAAGGGTAGCTGGTGGCGGGGAGAGACTCGAGGTAGGACCGGTGGTGCTCGTGGGCCTGTCGCAAAAGCAAATTGTAAGTTTGACGACTCCATCGATACAAATATGCAGAATGATACGAGCGAAGGAAAAAAACAAAACAAAAGACTTACAAAAGGGAGACCGCAGTATCCGCAAGGCACAATCTCAGGCTTGTCGGTGTTGATAAAGACCTTGGGGTGACCGAGAGGGCCACCGCCGCCGTCGCAGCTGACAACGCGAGACTTTGTCCAGCGAACGGGCTGCTTGTGAATGAGTTCAATGGCGGCCATGGGACGGGGCTATAAATGTGTCAATTGATCAGTCTCAATGTTCATCTCTCGAGCAACACTCGTAATTGCAGCCCCGCATTAGAGGGACTGAACCGGGCATCTGCCACTGAACCTCGCGGAGAAACGGAAATGCCCCTCGAGGACTTGGAATAACCCACCTGCGTCTCCATAATGGTCTGCTCAAAGCGAGGGCCAACCATTGCCTGCTCGCGCGGTTGCTGGCTAGCAGCCCAGGTGGTCGCACGGTTAGGCGCTTGGAGGCTACGAAGACGCTCCGCCTTGGCCGGATCTTCCACCATCAGGCCGTCCCACTTCTCATGACGGTCGGTGAGAAGATGGGCGTTGGTCTCGGAGACATTGGGCTTGACAACGGGCGGGTTCACATCATTGGGTTGCATGCGGTTCTCGAATCGGGGCACGGTGGAGGTGTACGTGCGAACGGCGGCGGACCGGACGGAGGTCAAGGCCGTAAGGCGGCGGCTGCAGGACATCATCTTGAATGACAATGGATCTTCCCGGCGAAGTGAGAGTTGAACGAACGGAGCGAGTTTCCGAAGTCGTGGAGGGTCTAAAAACGGAGATCGCAGGGTCGCGAGATATTCTTCCGGGGATTGAATCAATCAATGCTCGAGGTGTGGTTTGGTGGTCAGTGACCGCTTTCCTGGTGCAGACTGGACCCGCCTGCAAGCTTGTGCTGGTGACGGTTTTTCTGCCGCCATTATTTTTCTTGCGATTCGTAGCCCGCCTAATTTGTCTTTTGTCATTTGATTCGAGAAGTCCTCATCGTGGTAGTGCAATATTCTCCCCGGTGGTGTTATACGCAACTTGGCTACTCCCAGAGACAACTATTTACTTGCAGCCATGTCGGGGTCACCGTCGACCAAGGCGGGGAAGAACATGTCTTCCCGCCTATTGACGATGAAGGTAAGTGAAGAGTCGCAAGAGCTGTAAATTTGGTGCATTCTGCCCTTAGCGCCGACACTCAAGCTAACATTGTCTCCATTACACAGTTTATGCAGCGTGCTGCAGCTTCTGCCGCAGCAAAGGAGCCTCAAATCCCTGCTGCCACCGATGATGATGACAAGCGCGCAAAGAAACCCAGACTCTCGACCGAGGCCGAAGGCTCAAGGACATCCCAATCGGATCTGGAAGCCATGTCCGCGGCCATGGCGGCCGAGGAAGCAAAGCGACGTGAGGCAATTGCGCGACAGGCTGCGGAGGCTGGCGAGTCAGAATGGGTGCTGGACATACCTTATGCACCAACTGATCCGCAACCGATTGTGCTCTCTGCCGACTCTTTGGATGCTGAAGATGACTTGCCTCAAGGCGGTCGTCGCGCATACGGAAACTTCACACGCAAGAAGCCTAGTGTAAGCGAAGTGGTCTCTTTTTTTTTTTTTTGCATCTTACCAACACACAAAGTACGTGATTTCAATTTACTGACTCAACCCATTTGTAGGCCCCCGTTGCTACGACAAAGGCCGAAGCAAGTGCAGATGACGAAGATGAAGATGATGAATCCGATTACGAATCGGGCTCTCTCATCAACCCAGCCGACCCCGAAGCGGTTGCGGCGCATATCGAAAAACTCCGTCAAAAGGCTCTCGCCAAGGAACAACGGCGGAAAGATGCTCTGGCCCATGCGGAGCGCAAAAGACTTTCCGGTTTGACAAGTATCTCTGGATCGCAAAAGGCGACATATCCCAGCATGGGATCACAATCGGCCAAGAAAAAGAAGAAGCGCAAGTTTTGAGCGTCGTAAATAGGTGGATGCTTGAGAAGGAAGAGGACTTGAGTTTCAATTGCAATGGGTCCATCAATCACTTTGCGGGGGAGCTTTTTGTTTCACATTTTTGGGCGTTCATGATATAAGTGCATGGTATGGCGTTTGTTGGAGTCGATTGGTATATGTGCCAATGAATTGCTCAATGCATTGTCTTCTTACATCAATACCGTGCCCTAAGGTCTTCTTTCCTCATCACTGCCCCAACGGTGTGGTTCAAAACTCAGCCACTCGTAAGAAACAATGGCGATATCGTGAGATCTTGAATGATAGATCAGACACCATTGAGGGAAAAACAATCGAGAGACAATTTCCCACATCTCTCGAAGCTGGAAATCATGTGAAAGCACTTCGCACGTACCTCTCCCTCTCTCTGTCTACCTCTCTCTACCTCGCAAACTACAACTTGGACTTTTCCTCTCTCCTCTTCTTCTCCCACCCCTTCTGCGTCGCAAAATTCACCATCAAATTCCACGCCGCAACCCCAACCCCCAACGGCGGCGCCAGCAACAAGGTCCACGCCCACCATCGCGGACTCGAGCCCTCAATATGCGACATGGCCTGTTTCACCGCCGCCTCCAGCTCCGTCCGGTCCGCATCATTCCAAACCACGACTCCTCGCGCCGTCGACGTGCCTCTAAACTCCGCCTGTGCCGCCTTGGTAGATACGTCGCCCTGGCTGCGCACACGATTCTCCGCATCCTCGGCCGTGAGGTGGGCGTCGCGCGCCCGAAGTCTCGACATTTGAATCGCGGGATCGTGAACGCCCACGACAATCACGGTGCCGCAGATGAGATCCATCCCGCTCTCGAAGAGGAGCGGTACGTCGAGGACGACGGCCCACTGACCGCGTAGATAGTGGAAGATCAAGGATTTGTAGACTTCCCATCGGACGGCGGGGTGGACGATTCGATTAAGGACCTGGCGGTCTCGTTTGCGCTCCTCCGAGTCGCCGAAGACTCGGCGGCCGAGCGCGGGCCGGTTCAAGGGTTTTCCATGTGGAGAAGGATTGGAGGTGTCATCGAGGAGGAGATCAGGCGTGGTGGAGTGGAAGTAATCGACGATAGCTTTGTAGCCGACTGTGCCTGGTTCGACGACTTTGCGGGCGAGAATGTCGGCATCGATGATGGGGAGAGAGTATGGGGGGGAGGATAGGATGGAGGAGACGGTGGATTTGCCGGTGGCGATCGAGCCGGTCAGCCCGATGATGAGCATTTGGGCGGGTGTCTTGACTTGCGCGATGATATGCTTGTCAAACTATTGGCGTGTAAGTCCCCGAGAATGAGGGATTTGAACCTGAATCGAGGCCCGTAAGCTTAAGGGCTTTTGTCTTCTCTGACTTGGTGACGGAAGTGGTGGAGGAGTGGAGGGTAGATTGCGGGGAGGTAAAAGTACCTCGGCCCGCATTCAGCGAATGGTCTGGTCATCGATCAATCACCATTGCACCTGCAGACTTGGGGGGTAGTGAGTAGTCCACCTCTCTTTACTTACCTACTCTAAGTTGTTTATACATAACGCACGGTAAGGTCAGGAGCTAGGCGTATCATGTGAGCACTCCCACGCTATTTCCAGGTTCATGTTGTTTAGATTAAGAATCTCCCAAATTTTTATTCGCCGATCGAAACTCATTTCGATCATCTCAACAGTTTGGTTTCCTCGACAGCCTAGATCATATGCTGTAATCTACTGCATCTGCCCGCGAAGCAGAACAGCAATCTCTCCAAAGGCATGACGGAGAATATTTTAAACGCTGATGGGATGTGCACTCTGTATGCTACCCACAAAGGCCGACTGTTGTTTCGGAGAGATGAGCTCTGCATGCAAGCTCATTTCGTATTGACCACTTCTCCAGCTTTCGCTCTTCCTGGTTGGAATATGTGTCCTCAACCATATGTGTAGATGTAGACAGGCATTTTGCAGGGGAATGGGTTCACGAGAAAACGGCCAGCCAATACGAGGTCTAATGCGGCCTTTTCGTGAACCCTTGATCCCCATGGATAAATGTCATCTCAAATGGGCTTGATTTCGCATCGATAACACCATGAAATGGCTTGGCCATGCTCAAGATTCCGGAAGTCCGTGTGTCGGGTCCTGTTCCTGGCCATTCCAACCCACGTAGGGCCAGCCCTTGGGCAGCGCAGAGAACGGAGGTAAAACGTAGCGGTCGTCACAGCCATTTGGTTCCGCGCAGTTCAGATCGCATAATCCAAAGACATTGCAATAACAGGACTTGGCATCAGGGCAATGCACCGCCTCTTTGCCAAAAATCACTACCAGAAACGAGTCAGCGATGGAAATAAAAACCACGATTCAAGTGATGCTGCCGTCGAGCAACAATGACACTGCAGAGAGCACACATACTGTGCCATGAATACTCCATAATCCGCCCGCTGAGATCGTCGCCCAAGTCCGTCTCCATCAGCCATTTCCGATAAAACTCATAATCACTTTTGGGTCGTGAGAGCACGAGTTCCCGAGTCACCCCAAATTGAGCGCAGCAAGACACTCCAATCTCTTCCGGCACCGGCGTCTGGGGAAATAGCTCCATAAAAGCCTTTTTAAAGTACTCGCCCGCATGGACGTCGTCCCGGTGGACATCGCTGAGCGGGTGGATCTCGACTGGGCAGCCGAGGACCCAGACACAACGCAGGTTCACGTATCCTTCCTGTTGCAGATAGGATGTTTGGAAATTGCGCAGCATCGGCACGCCGTCGTAGTATGGATCATCGTTGTGCCATTGGTAGCGGTTGGAATGGATGAAGAGGATCAAGTCGGGCAGATTCTCATAATGATCGATAATATAACTGCAGCAGATGATAGAGAAAAATTCAGGTCAGCGCCATTGGTTTGCCCGCCGTGTGGACGCTTGTGGGATGGGCGAACGGAAAAGAGAGAGAAAAAAAAAAGCCAGATTTCATGCAGGGGGAAAAAAAGGTTGAACGCACGTCAAGTACACCATCGACTCGCGTCCCTTGTTCATGGCTACTGTCAAGGGAGCTGTCTTGTCATTCACCACGTAGATCTTTCGGGACCAGTCATAGAAGTATTCGGCCAGCCATGAGGTATCGTCTCCCTTCATGCTCGCCACGACCATCTCCTTGTGTCGGCGTACCGCCGAAGGTGCGAGGTCATCTTGGCCGACTGTATTGGCGGCGACGGACTCAATTTTGTGCGCATACTTGTCCGCTTTGTCTTTATAAGATCTCGAATGCGAGCGTTCATCGCCCGCAAAGAACAAGAAGTAGATGGCGAGGACGATGCCGATCGTCAGGAAGATGGCGTTGAGTCGGCTGCGGCGACGAGGGCTCTGTGGTCCGCTCGGTGAGAAGAGCATGGTGATGATCTGTTAGCCCGAACAAGTCCTCTGCGCTGAGCGTGTCTCAGCAAGGATTTGACATTGAGCGAGAGGTGGTCAGGCGCGTGCTGTGCGCTATCGCATTGTATCTTGATCTCGTCGGGACAGATTTGATTGCGCAAAAACAGAGTTAAGAGCTCCCGCAGGGGGTGCGTAAGACGATCAAACGGTGGGGGGGATCTTATCGCACGGATGCACGCCCGTGGCTCGACCCGCTGATAGTAATAAACTCTGGCCGAGTTGAACGGAAACAGGGTACACTCAGGTACAGTGGTCAAGGTACTAATGCCTCTATGCAGGGTATGTTTACAGACTAACTTTTTTCTAGATGGGCACCCAGCAGATGAGATATACCTCAACCGTACCGGGTTGTAGCTGATGCTAGGTGGGTGAGGAGAATGGAAGAGAGAGAGAGAGAGAGAGAGAGAGAGACGAGCCGATGGTCAAGACCGAAGAGTAAGACAGCCTCAGCCACAAACGACCTTTTCCGGAAGATCTTCAGTGGGGCCTCAAACTAAAACAGCCCATTTAAATCGGCAAATTCATCAATCACGAAGTAGGCAAATCTCAAGGAATACTCTCTTCATCTTGGGGTTCAGTTATTTGCATTTTCATCTCTCGTGATGCATATGGACATTTGTCAAAGTAATCCTCAGCCTCGTAATCAACGCGGCCCCTGCCAGAAGGGGAATGCACTTGTAGCTTTCTGCCGCTTGAGATCATATATCATCATCATCATCATGGTCACCATGGTCATGAACCACCCCTTATTGACAGCCATCGATGTTCACAATGTACCAATTGTGCGCGGCAATGCTATCTCCATCTGATCCGGCATTCCCAGCATTGGACCCTATCCCGTTGATCTGCGTGATGTCGTTGGCGGTCACCCCGGCAGAGTCACCGCTGGTGATCCAGAACTCAGGGCTGGCGTGGGTGTAGCCGAGCCAGGTGGGAGGCAGCTTGGGGACAATGTCGTTGGAGTGAGTGACTCGGTATAGGCTCCCTTGGTTGGTCATGTAAGTGGCCAGCGCAGTGTTACCCACGCGAGGTTGACCGTACGTGTACTGTGCATGACAATTGTCAGATTGGCTTCGATGCGGAGCCCACAGGGGTAGTCTTGCAGGATCACTTACCAGGTCCAAGGAGTATCCCGCCTTGCGCAGCGCGGTGGCACCAAGTGCGGCGACTGCACCACCGAAGCTGTGGCCGGTCAGGACCAGCCTGAAGCCCGGGTATTTGGCCATGGCGCTGGTCAGCGCGGGCATCACATCGTCCGAAACAACCGACCAGGCCCGAAGGAAGCCCGAGTGAGCCTTGCAGCCAACACAAAGGCTACTGGCGTCAGTTTGATCAAAGTCCAGGTTGGCAATCCAGTTGCTGACCGTGCGGCTGCCCCGGAAAGAGAGGACCAGCAGCTTGTTCGCACTGTCTACGGCCAGGAAGCCAGCCACGTCGCCGTAATCGAGAACGCTGTGTGTGAAGAGGGTCAGCGAGGAGTTTCATCGGCATAACGATGACCCAGTATGAAGTCGAGTCAGACATGGGGACGCCAGGAATGTGCACGTACTTATTAAACTCGGCCAGAGTCTTTGCGCCCGCGGACTGCACTGCAGGACAGTAGCCTCCCGAGCAAGTGACAGCATCTCCCGGAGAGTTGACGTTGTTCGTACAGTACGAGGCTGCCGAGTACTGCGCGAAGAGGGTCAACTGATTCAAAGTACCCGAAGAGACCGCTAGAAAAGTCAAGAACCTCAATCAGCCTCCATTCATTGGTTGTTGTTTTTTTTTTCTGGTTCTTTCCGTCCTCGCGTGAACACACAGCACGCCTCATGGGCCTCCGAACAACCTACCTCGAGGAGCGAGCTGGGTCGGCGCGGCAGCCGCCAACGCTGCAAGAGCCACCAAAAGTCCACTTTGACCGAAGAGCATCATCTTTGCGGCTGTAGTCGATACAAGATCAATTGTAAAGGGCTTTGTCGTTTTGTATGTTTGTGTGAGTCAAGGTACACAGCAATGCTCCTATTACAAGTCAACCGAGACTTCAGCTGGACTGGCCAAGCGGCTTTTCTTTTCCTCTTTGTCGGGGCAGACGACCTCGATGCTCTTCTCATTCATTTGGTGCGGACGAGGGTCCGTCTTTTATACACCGACAGGGCCTGTCCAAGACCCCTTTGCAGCTCAACTCCTGCTCAGCTACTCCGCTGTCAACTGAGACTGCCCGGAAAACTTTGCGCAGGATTCGCACCCTCATCAACAATAGAGCGGCGGGGGGGGCGGGGAATTCAACGTCCAACGAGTCAACGCGCAGAATGCTCAGGGCGCAACTGTCGATGCATACCTCCGCTCGTCCTGCGCGCGACTCTGGAATCTGTCCCCATGATCCGATTAGGCTCGTCGTCCGTTCCTGATGGGCGACAAGGGAACGACTGCCTGGCGGGGCAGATCTTCTTTCTGGCAAGATCGGCATTTCTTGCAGCTGACATTCTTCAGAATCCGGGGCCGGTCAGGCACTTCCTGGTCCGGTGGAGAATGATTGGAGAATCGAGAGTCGTATTTGGGAAAAGCCAAGAAGGGCAGTCAAAGCTCACCAGGTCCTGTCGCAGAAAGTCATTTCTCCGAGAAGCGGACCGCACAGTCGTCGAACAAGCAAAGAGCGAGTTAAGTTATCCACCAGTAGTGTGGGGATCGCAGACGGGTGTTGGGTTGGGGAAAGAGGCCACGAGGATAACGCCCTGTGGGGAAAGCTGCGTGGTCGCGAGCAGCAGGTGCTGGTGCTGATTCGTGCAATGCACCCTCATCACCTGTTCCGGGGAGCATCACAGTCAACTCACTCAACAGTGCTTGAGCTTGGCGTCTCTCCAGGGATCATGATTATCCGCAGTCTTCTGCTGATGGGCTGGCGCAGCGTGGATGAAACGGCATGAGTCGGTGAAAGAGTACGATTTCGGGCGAAGGTCCGTGAAGAAGAGGGGGGAAACTTGGGGAAGACACAAGAAAGAGAGGAGAGGATCCACCGGCGGAGAGGGTTGTTGGAAGCCGTCGTGAAGGATCAATCATGAAGGATTAAAGGTTCTTTCGAGAAACAGGAAAAGCGAAGAAAGGGCCTTCTGTGGGACTAGTGGACGCCGGACGGAGGATGTGGAAACCAGAAGCAGAGAGGCTGAAGATACGATAGACCTTGTTACCGAGTTCCGAAAAGCTACTACCAGTCGTCCAGTACAACTGACTCGCCCGGAGAGATGTTCCAGCGCTTGCAGTGCCCGCATTGATAAATAAGTAGGGTGCAAATCCCAAGTGAGGACTGACTTGACTGGGTAGTAGGATCCGGTGAAAGAGTGGGAGGTTGTAGTAGAAGCCAGGGTTAGAGATATCAGTGACCGTGACAGTAGTGGCCAGGGTCGATCCATGGATCATACATGAGAGAATTGAACTATTATCAACTTATCAAGCGAGCAACAGGACATGGGTTTTGTTCTGTCTTCATCGGTACTGCAACCTGCAACCAGCTTCGACTTGATCGGCAGGAGCCCTCGGGGTAACAGTGCTTGGGTGAGTCGATCCTCGATCCCGTGTGGATGTCAGGTCAGGTCCCATGCACATGCAAAAGCTTCCTGTCTCTTGCTTCTTGAAATGGATTTATCCCCCCCATGCAGAGTTCATGAGTCATGCCTCGGTACTTTTAGACTTTCCATCACTCGATTGACTAATGATGCACACTGCCAGTCTGCCAGTCTGCCCCAGTGCCCTCACATTGAATCCTTCCAGCCACGATGCAGGATTTCCCAGTTGAGGCCTTGATTTGGAAATATCTCCATTTACCACATGGGGGACAAACAACGGAGATGCACTCCAAAAGCGCCTAGTAGCTTTGGAAGCACAAAGTCCGGGGTTAGAGTTTCAAGCCTAGACCGAATCTACACTGGCCCTTGTATTCCAGGTGAGTCCTGTTCTGAAGCCTGCGTAGGTACTTTGAGCTGCCACATCCTCCTCCAACCCCCGAGTCCGTGTCGTGCAGCTGGGATATGCAATGCCAGGCCTGCGGTGCAATTCTTGACTGAATTCAAGGTTACAGCTGAGGGTTGTCTTATCCCGGGACCTCGTCTTCCACCAGGTTCACAATGCCGCGTTCTTCTTCATGCCCCAACGTTGCTTCTTCAAGCTCGATGTGGAGTGAGCGTAGTAATTGTCCGTACGTTCCGTCATGTTCCTAGCATTGGAAAAAGATCAGGAGCCATGTATCTCAGCCGAACAAACCGACTACAGTACTGCGTGCCTTACCCACCTTTCCCAAATCGGCAATGGCTAGCATGTGATACATTATACACTCGCAGATATACTATACCCAATGCACCGCATATGCATAATATGATAATAGCCTTGTAGCCTTGAAGATACCGTCCTATCGGAGAAATCCGGGGGAATTGCATACGGCGTAGCAGCACTCTGCCTGCTTTCTTCGGAGTTATCCTTCATGGCCGTCGGACTACGATGTGGGCACGGGAGAGAAGCCAGAATTCCAAGACACAAGCTCCCGAAAACCACCAAACGCGGAAGACATGTCATGCATGGTTAGATTTGACCGAATGATAAGGTCGAAGAAAGTCTTCGAAAATAGACAAAAAGCTTCCGGTGACTGCAATTGGGATTGGAGGACATCTGGCGGCAGCTTGACAGTTCCCTCGCAGGAACGCGCTTCGGACGGTGAAAATGTCGGAGTGGGACAAGCTGCATGATGGCTGAACACAGACGAGTAGTTGAGGCAGAAACACAACTGTGAGGTCTTTTTCCCACAACGAGACTGATGGTGCTACCTGTTGCTACTACTTCTAAATGACTAGCGACCAGTGCGAGCGTGGGTAGCAATCAAGGTGGAACTTCAACGACAACGCCGCCGATCTCATATTGCAGGACATTCGAGGGCAAAAGGAATCTTGTCATTTATGAATATTGAAGGGTCGAGTCATCGAGGACGGCATACTCGGAATGACGACCATCGAGAAGAGACCGTGCGAACAGAGTATTATGAGATTCTTGGTCTACCCCTTCCGTCATGGCTCTTACAGTCTCCGACGGAATACAAAGAGACAGAGAGAGACAGGGAGAGAGAGACCCAACTCTGCTCCCCTGAGCTGCGAGCAGAGAGACTGGACACTTACTGCCCTCCATTTCCGTTCTCGCCCTCACCAACATCCGTCATGCCGGTGTCCTGTCCGTCATCACCCCCCGCAAGAACCTTGGTGCGTGGAATCTGGTCGGCAGGCAAAGGTGTGCCCGGGGTCACGGCCACGACATTGTCGTTCTCGTCCACAAATTCAAAGTTGTATCGGGATAGCAAGTGTGGAATGGCCGAGAGCTGGGGACCGTAGCGGGCGGTATTGTCATAGAGTTCAAACAGGGGAACTGCCAGCAACTTCATGTTCTTTGGCACGGAAAGAACCTCTAACGCAATGAAAAAGGAATAACGTGTCAGCATGTACTCCAGAGACCACTTGAGCTGAATGGCATGCGCGGGATACGGGCAGCGTGCGGGGGACGGAAGCTCTGAAACTGACTCTTCTTCGGCAACGTGATAAAGTATAGCTTCTTGCACTCCTTGGGTCTCGTGACATGACCCGGTAGGAATGGATACATGAACGTTTCGAAATTGGGGCGCCACCACTGGGCCAATGTGTCGCCAATCTCCCAGTCCTCGTTCACACCTTCTCCCGAGAATTGGGATCCCACAGGAGCCAGACGCTCATTCAAGCGCTTCTTGAAGCCTTCAATCTCATCCTCGTCAAACGGTAGGTAATCTCCGGGCCTGCGCAGTAGAAATAGCGATTGTAAAATTAGCGTCACGTGCGGAACGATTCACAATTGAGGTTGACATGACCAAGTCAGAAAAATGAGGCCAGCTCGTACAGCTTGAAAAATGCATTTGCGATTTGTAGCATCAGCACATGAGGGTGGTTGTGTTCGTGGCAGACAAGGACACCCTCGCAAGTTCGGCGCATCCCATGAAGGTCATAGTGCTCTTCTAATCGCTTGAGTCGAGCGACTACAGAGGGGTCCTCTTCGGGCTGTGTCTCTTTGGTGCCGAAAGTATAGTTACTTAGCGGATAGAGGCGAATCGTTTCTGGCTGCTGCGCGGAAAAGTCTTTGGGAAGTCTAGGTCTACGTCGCAGTCCGATCCGCAATATTAGTTCATGGGAGCTCTTAAGCTTGGGTTGTTGCAAAAGGGTCCAAGGCGTCACTCACGGTCGACTACTCTGGATGGCTGTCGCCGTCGTTGACGCCATCTCGTCCCTCGGTATTTCGGACTGTGGGTATGTGATGTCAAGGGAAAGGGAGCTGCGATCAGACACGACGAATTGGTTACTTGAGATTGAACGCGCCTTGGCCGATGGCGATGCATCTCAACACAGCGCTATCGTTATCGCCGCCACCGCCTTCCGGAAACGCGGTGGGGATACAGCGAACAAAGAGAAGTAACTTTGCGCACTTCCATCACTGCATTTCGGCCCACCACCACAGGGTAGAGCTTGTGTTGTTCACTCCATAGGTACTTACTCAAAAGTCAACACAAACTGCCCCAGCCCAACTTTCCAACATCTCCGTCGTTGCAAATAATACGGCAAAGTAGCAAAGTTATCAATCTTAAGGAGGCCTTTGACAGGAAGAGCCAGTAATATACGGAGAACATACAAGTCGAGGCGGGGCCAATGATGGTGATTTAATTCGTTCTGACCTTGGAACAGAGGAGAGGAGCATGATTCAGACGCATCGAATCTTATGTCTTCTCCGATTAAAGTCGATACCAGTGCGTCGCGCAGGACAGTGCGACTCTCTCACTGTGCTCTTCATTCAGCACAGTCGAACTATCAAAGCTTTGCTTCAAAGTCCTCGTAATCGGTCAGGTCCGACACAGGGACAGGTCCAGTGCTGACGGGCAGGCGAGCCTTGAACGATCGCACATCCTCAACAATGACGGGTCCGGGGGAGTTGGTCAGTTGGCCGTTAGCACCATCTGTTTGTTCCTTCTTCTCCGGCTCCAACCCAAGCTGCTTCAACTGAGCAGCAAGCTTCACTTCCAGCGCGTTGACCGCTGCTTCATTTTGCTTCGCGGAGTCAGGGAGCTCGGTGGCCAAGAATGTCTTCAGAAGGTACAAAATCTGGGTTTTATCCACAACTGCCAGATCAAGTTGCTCGAATGCCGCGGTCAAGGTGTCTTGATTAACAGCCAGCCCAGCGGCATCCAGCTCTTTCTTCACTGCCTCGATCAGAGTGGACCGCTTCTGGGCAGGATCCGTCTCTGTTGATGCAGCGTCAGATTGGGCGTTCAGATAGACGGACAGTTTAGCTCGGGTGGGCGATGCCGGATCAATGTACTGCTTGAAGAATTCAATCATATCCGCTTTGCTGAGAACGCGCACACTGGCGGCGTCCGTCTCGTGCTGCAAGAAGTCCAGATACTCCGAGCGCACTTGAGACCAGAAGCGGCCCGTCTCAGAGCTCAGGTTCTTGAGCTTTTCAAGGCGCTTATTGATGACGCTGCGCTTGTGGCCCTCGAACTCGTCATCAGACATCTTCTCCAGCGTCTGCCCAAACTGACTCAAGAATGCATCAATTCGAGATTCCAAATACGTGGCGTTGCGCTCGCTTTGAATGATGACCCGATACCCCATGGTAGTGGTATTGTAGCGAGAGCCACTCCATACCACGTACCCAAGCTGCTCTTGACTTCGCAGTTGATCGAAGGCAGGCTCATCCGTGAGTTGTGCGAACAGCTGTAATTTTGCACGGAGGACATCGTCCGAGAAAGGTCCAATATGCAGGTAATACCCGATACAGTGGTTGACGTTCGCAGGGTCCTTCAGGGTACGCGGGTAGACAAAATTGCTTCCCGGCGGGATGATCATGTTGCGGTAGAGATACCACTCAGAGGCAGGAAGGGTGCGACCCCCGAGAACCTTCTCGATCATGTCCGTCATGCGAAGAGCGTCTTCCTTGTACAAGTTACCGTGAGCCAGTACTTCAATATGAGTCTGCTCCAGCAAGGAGGGGAAGAACTTGACGACATCCTCAGCTTCAATGTGCTCCAGTGCCTCAATGTATTGCTCATTGACCCAGCTGCGCTCAGACAACAAGTATCGGTCATAGTCGCCCACCTGGTGGAAAGGCTGCTGGTATTCCGCATTGCGGAAAGCTCGGCTTAGTCGCTCTTTGATAATGCTGAATCGATCTTGGTTAACCACAAGTCCACGCATTGTATTGAGGACTTTCTCCAACAACACCGACATCTTGTCGTTATAACCACCAACCGAGATCTCCAAACCGAGCGTGGTTGTGAACAAATGATAGTCTAGCCCAGCAAGCTCGGCATCATACGAGTACTCATCCAGGCTATCACGAACCAACTCGCAGTAAAGCTTGGTCTTGATCAGATTGACAGGTGTCGTCCACACCAGAGGGTTGCGCAGTGTGACATGCACAGTAGCCTTGGGCACCCAGAAGCGGTCGTCTTTCTTGAACCACAACCGAACCCGATCGTCATGACGAATGAGCTTAGGTGTTTTGGCGGGCTCACTGACTTCCTTTCTCTCCACCGACAGGCGCGTGGGGACAAATTCGTTCTTATGAGGCATGTGCAAACTCGACGTGCGGGTGGTCTCCGTAGACCGCAAAGCGTTTTGAATTCCGCTCAAGAAGTCATGAGGGATTTTCTCCACCTTGTATTCGGTTCCATACCACTTTTCCCTCTGGTCCCACTCGCCAGGATAATCCTGAGACACGATAATCAGACGGAAGTTATCGGCGCGCAAGTAGGACATGGCCTTCTTGATGACATCCGCGTCAAATCGTCGCATCAGTGATCCACTGAGCAGCCACTCGCGGGGCATGGGCTTCTGCATCACGCTGCTCAAGCGGCTGGTGAAACGGATGGCAGGCGTCTTCTGTTTGTAACGGAAGTCCACCTCGGCCAGGTTCTTCATCTCGTCGAAAATCCATTGCTCCGGCTCCCGTTCCTTGATCATAGCGATGTACTCGAAGATCACCTTGGCGACTTCCTGATACTGCTTGAGACCTTCGGGAGTCAGGCGAACTGAGATGGTAAAGAAGGCAGACCCGGGACAGATGGGCATAGCCCCCGCGGACAGTCCATTAGCCCATCCCTTGGCCTTGAGATGAGAAAGAATACTGCCTGGGCCTTCGTGGCCGATCAGGTGGCTGATATACCGACTAGGCTGCACATCATTGAGATTCTCCTCATCCATGAAGGGAAAGTACATATCCATAGACCGCGATTCCATAACGGGCTTGGCGAACACCTGCGTGCACATATCCTCCTCGGAGAAAGGCTGCACGTCATCCCAGCGATTCTGAGGCAGGTCCTTGTTTTCCACATCAGCGAATAACTCTGCGACCCACCCCTCGAGAACATCCAAACTCTCTCGTCCCAGAACCACCAACTTTGTCCGGTTGGCCGAGTAATGTTTTTCGTAGAAACGAATAAACTCACTGCGGACTTCGAGACCCCGCTTCTGAGGATCCTCTTTCAGGGTCTGCAGGTTACCAGTAGAGAAATGATGATATGGGTGCTTTGGGTTGGACAAAGACTTGTTTAGTTGCATCAGCCGCCACAGATCACTCTGCAGGTTCTTTTTGTTTTCCGAGTCGACCGCCCGCAATTCCCGGTCGAGCGTGGATTCAAGAAAGAGTGGTGACACAAAGAATTGGGCGAACCGGTCCAGCGCCCCATAGAGGGGAGACTTGTCGTCCGAGCTTCCGGCACTGCCTGAGGACGCCCCATTAACAGCTTGACCACCTCCGTCCGTTGATCCCGCTGGAGTACTTTGGGCTGTTGACGTGGATGGGCTGGAGTCGCCGGTGGCTGACACCTCGAAAAAGTAATTTGTCTCCGTGGCGGCGGTGTACGCATTCGACAGGCCCGAGTGAGCGGCAAGGTATTGATTGTAGGCATTCTCCTTGGGGTACTGCGTACGGCAACATGATGGAACCATGTCAGCATTTACGATTCGTCCAAACCAGATTCCGCCTCGCTGGCAATTTCATCGTTGCATCCCATAAACGGTATCAGCCTACCTTCTTTGTACCCATGAATAGCAAATGCTCGACTGCATGAGCCATCCCCGGCATATCACCTGAATCGGAGAAGTTGCCGACATTGACGTTGACCGCAGCACTGGCCTTGTCGGTATCGGGATCATGAACCAGCAGGGCTTCCAACTTATTGGGCAACCGAATGACACGATATGACCGATCGTCAAGCTCTGGCTTCTCCAGGCTCTCTGTGATGCGTTCGATTTGCGACATGACTGAAGAGGTGGCCGAACGAACGCGGTAGGTGTGAGAAAAAGAACGGGTGTGTGAAGGTGTACGTGCGGGAACCGGCACAGCGCAGACGACTGAAAGATTCTTGGTTGAGATCGAATGCAGTGACAGGGATGGGTAGAGTGTTGGATTGCAAGTCAGGGTTCTGTAGTACGCCTGCCACGGAAGTGCTGTAGAGGACCTTGGGGGCATCAAGGAACAACTGTCGCGCGAGGGGCTGTAATGGGAAAGCTAGTGAAAGCTCCTCTGGTCCTTTGAGAATGTACAAGGAAGATCAGGTTGTATACAGAAATTCACTATGGATTAATGGGCCACGGGTCCGATCCGGTTCTCAACACCGACAAATATAGTAATGGAGTAATCAACGGCGATAATCACGAATGTTTCGAGAGGGGGCAAGCCGAGGGGCTCGGCGATCCTTTCGAAAATCGGGCGGTGAGCCCTGCGTGTGGGGCTTATCAATCTGCCGGGGGGTCTGAGGCGTTAGCGCTGGATGGAGTGGGTCACTGGGTACAGGCGGCTAACAGGGGTGACTGTTGGGTCACTGGGTGTACCGGTGCTGTTTATGCAGAAGGACCTTATCATCAGCCTCAAAATGGTTCCTATTACTTACTCCGTCAAAGATAGTCCAGGTCCCCGTTTCATATGGTTCAGCGCAGCAGACATTAGGTAGTGCAGAGTCACCACATGTCGTAGCATTGAAAATAAAATTGGTTGCTCGGATTTCCAACGGTGCACCAAAGATCCAAGGCCGTGGAACAGACAGTCCATCGATTTGATGGATGCATTTCGTCTGATAGTAATTAGTATATCGAATCGTCCGGTCTTTGAGGCATTCTGGGGTCAAAGTGGCACGAGAAACGCTCAAGTCGGTTTTGTTATTACTACATCCATACTTTGGCATACTGTTATTTCTTATCTCAATGCCGTCATCTTCCAACTTGGGAGCCTGATACTGGCAGACCTTGAATAAAGTTCGGCATAAGTACAAGCACACCTTGTCCAAGCCCAGCAATGATCCTATCCTTAGCAATCAAAGAAGAATGTTCATTAATATCACTGGCCAACTTTTCAGACTTGACCAGTCATTCCTCACGCAATGACTCACTGAATCAATACAACCGACACTGAAACTTTTCACCGTATAGGTAGCAATTAACAAGATTCGGCACACAAAACAAGCAGGAGATCCGCGTCTGTGCTACAACTTTCCGTTCGCTTTCTCCCTCCACTGCAGTCACTTTCATCCCAGCAAATACTGTTGCAGCTCTGAATGGACGGATGCACAACCACCGTGTCACCGAAAAATGGATTGCCAAACACCTCTGACAAGTCATAGAAAAGATGGTCGGTCAAGGCATACTGGAAATTCAACTGTGGACTCTGATCGACCAGTCCATTCTTGGTGCGTGTGATCTTGATGGAGATCCCGCCTGATGTTTCGTCGTGGTGGATTCTCTCCACGTACTGTTCGCCAGGCTTGAGTATCTGGCGTTCGCCGACTGAACCACCCACCGACCAAAGGTATACTCTCTTTGTGCAGTCGTTCTGGACAATAGCATTGCCAGCGTGAGTCAATGTGACTATCGCGCCGAATGCAATAAGGTGGGATAAGTCGAGGTACATTATGCTCACTGTTCGTTGGCTCTTCTTGGTTCGATGACAAAGTATGTATAAATGATCGATCACCAGGATACCCGGTGGATCAGTGTTGAATGATGGTTGTTAGGCTGAGAATCAAAACTTGGGTAAAGATAGACGAAACAGCCATTAGATTTGGACTGCCAGATTTGACGGTCCTGGTAGGAAAAAGAGGCGCTCTTATACTTCCACACATACGGTGATCGCAACATCCTTCTGCTCCGGTTGGACAGGTCTGGTATCCTCTTACCAGTGGCAGGCTTTTCCAAGTAGCTGCGAAGCTCACGCTGTGCCCGGAGTCGGAGACTTGTCACACCCAGACCCCTATGTCAATATATAATCGTCGCGACAGCATAAGCATCATCAGGCCGACGTGATGTAAGAAGTGCAGGTGACGCTACACCATACAATGCCGGATCACACAGAGGAGAGACATCTTGCAATTATGGAAGACTCGAAGATGACTTAGCACCTAGTGTTAGCAAGCTTCGAGGGGAAACGAACAATGACGCTACTGGACGGGCGATTCGGAACCAGGACCTCAACTCGCTCAAAGCAATGCAATTGGACTGGCTCAGATTGAATAAGATTTGTAGTGAGCTACAACTCAGAAGCCAATAGCTGCCTTAGCTGAGGAACCATCAGGCAATGAGAAAGTACCATGACAGAGGGGGAAAATCAAATTAGATCACTTCGGCCCACGATGCACGTCACGCCTCACTCTGAGAAGTCAAACCCATGAATTTCGGAGTCATTCGCCCCGAGTGAGAAGTTTCACGTCCATCCTCACATGCCAGCGTCTTCGTCAGCCTCATCCTCAGTCTCATCAAGTGCTTCGTCTGCGCGCTCAGCAAACCATTCAAAGACTTGCTGCTGGTGTTCGGTCATCATCTCTCCGAGGGAAGATTTGGTGGACTTAAAAAGGGTGCCATATCGCTTAGATGGCTTTCGGTCTTGGTCTCGCCAGACCGCGTGAGTTTCGGCAACAAAAACCAAAGAGTTCTGTTGTGATTTTGGAGAATCAGCTACTCTGTTGGGACGACCAACAATTAAACAAATAACATGGAAATTGTCAAACTCACATCGCGATACCACTTGGAGAGCCACACCTGCGTCGAGGATGCAACTGCACGGACGGGATTCTCGGCGACAAACGAGACAACGCCGCTCACGCGTTTGTAAAGATTTTCTTCTCGATATTAGTCTCTAGGACCTCTCGGCACAGCAAACTTCGGTGACGACCAAATAATCAACCTACCTCGATTGATGAGAAGACTCACAACACCCGCGAATGCGCTACCAATTCCAAGGAAATACACCTCACGCTTGTCGAAGAGACTGAAAGAGGGACGTCAGCATCGAAATCTTCCCTCCGTTTCAGACTGAAAGTCTGAAATTGACTTACTCAATGTAGTTATCCCATAGATAGCTTGCAAGTTCTTCCGTGGCGGTCGATCTGTTCTCATCCTCATTTTCAAACTTGCTTGTCGCCTAGCAATCTCCCGAATTAGAATTTCTCACTCGCGTGCCGAGAAGCAAAGCCCAGATTGAGGCACTCACAGGTACTTGAGTAACATATTTCGGAATATTCACGTCAATCACCGCATATCCCTTACTGATAAACCATCCGATGTAATCTTGCTGCGCGTCGGACTTGAAAATGTCAGTCGACCTCTGTTTGAACCGTCTTGGGGCAGAAATTCCTCTCACTCACCATCCAGCAATTGTGGGCTTCGAGCTTGCTTGTGACAGGATCCGGATATCCCATCAGCTCCGGACTACACAAATGGCAAGTCAGCTTGAGATTCAATTGTGTTGATTGGTGTAGCAGTTGGACTTACGGATCATGAAAGACGACAATCAACGGGACGCGCTTATGATAGTTGGCGCTATGAGAATGGTCAGCCAAGCGCTTGATTCCCACCGGCAAATCAGATCGTACCTCGCTAAAACTTGATTCTCAAAAGACTTTGAGATTTTGTTGCGGTAAATGTAGAGCGGGGTCAATTTGAAATTTTCATAGAGTTGATGGGCTTGATACTCGCGAAGAACATCTGAAGGTATTGTCAGCACTTATTCGTGGACGTTCACCACGCAGCTCTTTGGTCGCATACCATGCAGTCGATTAGTCCAAGCAGGGTTGTTGGGTGGCTTTGGATACATGCATCGCCAGTATTGAGCTTGAGTGGTCATCACGCGGCCGACAGTTTCAATAGCCTCAGCAGTGGGTGCCGTTTTCGCTAATCGGTCCGGCGGCTCTCCCATGAGGGTTTTGGTCACAGCAAGTGCAGATTTGGAAATCGATCGGAAGTTGTACCCGCCCTGTGAAAGACAAGTCATTAGGGACAGCAAGTGAGATGGACTGCCTCTCATGTATCTTACCTCCAAGCATACCGCTACCTTGCCATTTGCAAGAGTCATGAGCATATGGGTCATTTGCGCATAGCATGAGGGAGACACAAAACAACCGCCAAGTGCGTCCCCAGCAGCGGCATCAAACCCAGCAGAAACTATATCTGAAGTCAGCAACAATTCTCTGGTACCTGAAATGGATCGAAAAAATCCTCACCAATGACTAAATCCGGATCAAACTCCATGGCAATGGGCATCACGACCTTTTGGAAGGCGTGCATGTAGTCACCATCGCCCATGCCCTGGTCTGGCCATGGAATGTTCACATTCCTGCATAGAATGATGAGTCCAGCCTTCAAAGTAGATGATACAAGCAACTTCAACACTCACTTTCCCAGTCCAGGTCCTTCGCCGCAGTGATCTAGATCACCCTCACTACCGCCAGGATAGAACTTGCCATTCTGGTAAACGTGGATTGAGATGTAGAGAACATTTGGATCATTGTAGAAGGCCTTTTGCACACCGTTTCCTGTGCCAATGTCAGAATTCATGCAACGGGCATGAAGAGATGGACTTTTGAGGACTTCAAGTCTCGCTTACCATGATGAACGTCCCTACGTACATGATAATTTAGTCAGGCATATCCTATTAATCAACGATCGCGCGAGTGTCACTAACCAATCAAGAATCATGATCTTACGGCATTCATCTCCGAGAGTACGTTGGCACACGCGGGCTGCGACAGGGACGTTGTTGAAAAGACAAAATCCCATTGCGTCATCGTGCTCGGCGTGGTGGCCTGGTGGTCGGATGACTGCAATAGCATTCTTGACATGTCGCCGGGCGACGGCCAAGCAGGTCTCAATGGCTCCTCCTGTGGACAAAAGAGCCGAGGCAAAGGTCAATCGGTTGAAATAAATTGAGTCGCGAGTCTTTTCAAGGAAAACCAAGTCGTCATCAGACATGTCTATCGTATATGTCAGAACAGGTGCCCAAATAGGATCCATATCATGGAAGACTGACCTGAGGTGCTTCTCACAAATGCATAGTGAGCCTTGGAATGAATGAGAGTGATTTCCTCTTCTGTCGCATTTCGAGCGGCAATTCGCTTCAGCGTTCGTGGAGCCAACGGTTGAATCGAGCCTGGATCGTCCACCAGACCAGCACGGCAGAGCTCTTTGTAGATGTAATAGATGCGTCGAGGATCCTCGGGATGAACTTCGGTGGTCGGACGGACCTCACAGTGGTATCGCATGCGGACATCATAGCAAAGTCCAGTGGCGAGGGAATCGACAGGAAGACCAGGTCTTGCAGCTGTTTCGTCATCAGACCAATCTGAAGTAGTCTCAAGTGGACTGTCCTGCTTGATGAGATTATCGAGAGGGACACTCTCCGAGTCACTCATCTTGACACGATCTGGTGGTGGGGGCATCCCTGTCGCCAGAGTAGACTGAGGCGGCAATGGGCTTTCCTCGTTTAATCTTGATGTCTCAAGATTGATGCTTGCATCTGACCGCAATGTTGATTCGACTCTGTGATCTTGAATGATGAAGGCGGGAAGAGTGAGAGTCGAGGCGGGTGCAGGAGGAGGTTTTGGGCCCTCCCCCATAACGATATCCTCGTCTCCTCCCATTCTAGAAGCAAAGATGCCCAGGCGTGCACAATCAAGGCAACTGAACGAGAACACCTTCTCAGCACAGGTTACAGGAAGTTTATTGAAGCTCTTGATAGTCCGTGAAACAAGAGTTGATCAAAGAAGGCTTGATTGCATCCTTTGCTCTCCTGTAGCTTGTTCGATCAATTGACAAGGCAATAGCGTGCACAGATTGCTTAAAGAATGCAGAGAGAATCAGCTACTGCATATGAGCCACTCGTTTAAACTTTCGTGCGGATCAATATTGTAAACTGCTGGAGATCAGATGGTCATATACGGCCACTCTCTTCGGCAGTATTCCCTCGCGAACAAAGGCCTCGACTCAGAGCTAGGTATTGCCACGCGCTATGTTCAGGTCAGTCTAATATTCATACGGCTGAAGCTGTCTCGCAGCAGACTATACCCAGGTAAGTCTCTGGAATGACCTACATGGAAAGATGTTGAGATAACGTTTTCTCGTTGGAGTACTTGCTGGACAAGCGTGGATCTCTTTTGGGTTGTCTCATCTTATTGCCGGCCATTGCAGCTCTCACCGCACTCGACGCGACCGCCTGCTTCACAGGGGTTTTGGGCGGTGTACTGATGCAGCTCCTCCGCTACGGTAAATCATCGAAGATTACTTAAGTTAAGCACCCGTCAATAGTCACTAACTTAGTGCCACTGTGTACTGTGACGCATACTGCGTAGACTGTAGTGTGACTGTTTACTTGTGTAGTGTCTAATTGTCTACTGTGGTAGGTCAGGAAGGACCCGATAGGTACGACCGGGTGTCCAGCTGTTCTGTTTTATGGCATACAATGAACGATACGAAATCATGCCTAACCAGCTACAGGTATAGTGATTCACTTCATGAATGCTTTGTCCCCACTACGACAAAGCCGCTTACTGATGAGCGTGTTTTGTTTTGCTGCTATGACAAAATTGATTGAACGTGAAAAATTTATGTTTCATTAAGATGACGTTATCGTGGTTTTGACTACCAACGCGCTCGTTCCGCCAATACCTATCATTCGCCCTTTTTGAAGTGACGAAGTTGACGAAGAAGACAGATTCACAGGACACTCCTAATCCCAGGACACTGTCCTGATTCCTACTGGCCGTCAACCTTGGCAATGTAGGCTGTGGAGAGAAAACATGTTAGCACACGAAAACCAGGAAGAACGAGCTCCTTGTCTCGAATAACAACTCGGGGGGGAAGAACTTACAGATCAGGTCAACGACACGGTGGGAGTAGCCCCACTCGTTGTCGTACCAGGAGACCAGCTTGATGAAGTTGGCGTTGAGAGCAATACCGGCCTTAGCATCGAAGATGGAGGAGTGGTCATCACCGTTCAGGTCAGTGGAGACGATGTCGTCCTCGGTGTAGCCGAGGATGCCCTTCATCTCGTTCTCGGAGGCCTTCTTGATGACAGCCTTGATCTCATCGTAGGAGGCAGACTTCTCGATGCGGCAGGTCAGGTCAACAACGGAGACGTTGGCAGTGGGCACACGCATGGACATGCCGGTGAGCTTGCCGTTGAGGGAAGGAATGACCTTGCCGACGGCCTTGGCGGCACCGGTGGAGGAGGGGATGATGTTCTGGGCCGCAGTGCGGCCACCACGCCAGTCCTTAGCGGAGGGACCATCAACGGTCTTCTGCGTAGCGGTGTAAGAGTGGACGGTGGTCATCAGACCCTCAACGAGACCGAAGTTGTCGTTGATAACCTTGGCGAGAGGGGCCAGGCAGTTGGTGGTGCAGGAGGCGTTGGAGAGGACGTCAATGTCGGACTTGTACTCGGTGTTGTTGACACCCATGACGAACATGGGGGCATCAGCAGAGGGGGCGGAGATGATGACCTTCTTGGCACCACCCTTCAAGTGAGCAGAGGCCTTCTCCTTGGTGGTGAAGACACCAGTGGACTCGACAACGTAGGTGGCACCGGTCTCGGACCAGGGGATGCTGGCGGGGTCACGCTCGGTGTAGAAGCGGACCTTCTTGCCGTTGATGATCAGGCCGTTGGTGCCATCAACCTCGATGGTGCCCTTGAACTGACCGTGGGTGCTGTCGTACTTGAGCATGTAGGCCTGTCCCGTAAGATTTCAAGGTTAGCAGAAGATCGCAGGAAACGGAAGCCGTCATGGATAAATGGTCAAGAGTAGACCATGACCACCACAGAGAGAGAAGCGTGAAGTGAACGTACAGCATAGTGGGTCTCGATGAAGGGGTCGTTGACAGCGACAACCTCAACATTGCCGTCGGCGATGCTAAAACCGTGTCAGCTTCTGGGAGCTCTCTTCATTCGATGACAATCTTCCTTCAGGTTCGGACTTGTCGTGAGAAGCAGCAACTTACGCATTGCGGAGGACCTAAAGAGCCAGGATTAGCATGAGCTTCGATGGACCTATCGCGCGCGCTGAGTAGCGGGCATAGAGGGGATACAAGGAAGCACTTACAATGCGGCCAATACGACCGAAACCGTTGATTCCAACCTTGGGGACCATGTTTGCGATTATTTAATAAATTCTGCGATGACTTGTCAGCTTGTTGTTGCGAGCTGCGAGCTGCAAGGTAGGTGAATCGTGAGAGGTGGGGTGGTGGTGGGGAGAAGAGGGGCAGGAAGCGGGCAGCGAAGACAACACAAAGCACTGCGGTTGGAAATTGGCGAGGATATCACGAAGAGGGTCAATTACCTTGGAAGAGTTCTGGATGAATGAGCTGGGGAGATGGGGAAGAAGAGAAAAAAAAAGATGAGGAGGAGGGGGAGATGGAGGGCAGAAGTAGTTTTTGGGAAAGGCTGACGCAACATCGAATCACCCCTCCAGGCCAAATTTACGAGGGACAAGAAATCCACGTATTATTGGTAGGTCGAGGCCTCATGCCGTTGCGATTATTTTACATTTCATACATACCTTATTTACGTGGTAACTTCAATACACATGTTTTTCCCAAGACCACAGCGCTTCTGAAGCTTTTCCAGTGAGACCATGGGATCTATAACTACAACTATGTAGTAATTAAGGATTCTTAGGTATGTAAGAGTAGAGAGCCTCGATGAAACGACAGGAGTGCTTGATTTCATCAATACAAGAATTCGAAATCCATGTTCGCCTGGCCGCCCAATTTAGCATATCCCCGTACTCATATTCTCACAATACTACAGTAGAAGAACTACTGTGACAGTGTGACCGTACGTAGAATATACCTAGCTCACCATCACTACCTATACTACTACTATAGTACTTCTTAATTAGGAGCTTGAACACATCGATCACTGGAGAGTAAGCGCTACGTGTGTAAGTTTCAGCCTCAAGAGGTGGCAGATGAATGGAAGCCGTTGCCGTTGGAAGTCTCGACATTCAGCTACACAACATTACGCTAAACTGGCCGTCAATATATTTATCAACCTGACAACCAGTTGAGGGCTCGTAGAATCGGAGTACTTTCAAGGTGGGAATGACACTCAGTAGTTGATGTTAGGGTACCTAACTTAGTACCTAGGTATAGTTACTCCTATCGTACTTTGCTCAGGCTGTATTTCATAGCACTAGAGAATTTTGGGCTCTTTATTAGTGAAATTATGCGATGATTTTTTTCTGTCGGAAAATCAAGGTGACTGACACTGCTAGGCTGAGATCGTCTTATGCGCATCTCAATAAACACGGACGCTGCCTCCAGCCCCACACTCTTATAGTATAAACGCTAAAGCGACTTGAAGCGATACAGATTATCGCCTCAGCAAATGAGCAAAGGAGGTATATATACTTGGAACTACTAACTATTATATTCAATATTGTGTGGCGATGTATGTACGACCCTGGAAATTGGGTCATATCGTAAGCGAAAAACGCAACGTAAACTTACCGCAGCCAGATTCCCCTGAAACGTCTCCATTCAACTCCAAATCATCTGAGGGTCCCTGAAAATTCGATGAATAATAGTTACCACCGCCCTCGGACTGGACCCGGCCATTGCCGCCCGCAGCTCGACTCAGAGCGTCTTTCCGGTTTCATACACCGGGGAAAGCAGGAAGCTTCACGATATTTCCACCACCGCTACCCCTCGGTAGCTTCCGTCACGCCGACGGTAGGGCCAATAGCTCTGTGCTGATCCTGGCTCGTGTTATCGTCGTACCTCGGAGATCCCATCACTGAGGAGGAGCTGGTCCGACGCTTCGGCTACTAAAGGAATGCCTGGATCGTGATCACGATAATGTCGCAGTGGTGAATGGTCATATGGTTGTACAAGAACCAACCAGCAAACAGTATTAAAGTGACAGATGCTAAGGGGTTTCCAGAAAGCACCTCTGTAGTGAGTGTACTCAGTGTACAGGTACTGTAAGTGTCCCTTACAGACTTACGCCTTACATTTAACTGTCAATAATACATACGATACGGACGGTATTTTCCACGGAGGGTTCGGAGAGCTTCGACTCCTTCGAGGACCCCGGTGGAGCTGGAGGGGCAAAAAAGATGAGAATGAATGATGCGGTGACTGAGGGGCAAAGCAGGTCGATGGCCGTCTGCCGTTTCCCGCCCAGAGGTACCTCTACCACCACTGCCAAGCGAGAGTACCTTAGGTACCTTAGTGGTACGAGTAGTTGTGTTTATTCTCAAGTACCACGACTCTACCACACCTTACTACTTAGCATCTACATATGTACTGTCTACTAAAGTAGGTACCATAACTACCTGAACTACCAGTCGCAGATACCTCCCTTATGTAGGTAACTTGATACGGCAGTAGCAGCCCTACAGAACCCTACAGAACCCTACAGGACCCTACAGGGGCGGTTCTCTCGGTGCTCAAGAAGTTGGCATCATGAGCACCACACCTCTCTGCACGTGTTGGCCATTCAAGGGACACAGAGACTTGTATCGGATATTCATACGCATTTGACCAATATCATCGGTCGGCGAACGATATCCGTTCAGAGTTGAATACTACATAGGGTATCTATCTGAATTTCCAACCACCCAGTAGTTCAGTATAGTAGGCCACGCCAACTCACTCGACTAGCACGTGTTAAATAACTACACAGATGTAGTCACTTCATACTGTATGTCCGATTGTCCATACAGAATGTAGGAAAGGCGGCGGTTACTTCCTGTTGGCTTCAAGCCGATAGTCAAAATTAGAGTATTGGGATCTCTAATATCATGTAAACATGCACATACGTAGGTTTGACCTCCAGGCTTTCAGCTGTATTGCTCGATGCCATCCATATTCACATCCATTTGTCGGTAGTTAGACCCTCACCTGCCAGAGTCAACCCTTTCTTGAATACTCCAATACTACTTACAGTTACCACTGTACAGACCTACCTTAGTACTATTATTACTAGTTTACTACTACTACCCAGTCTCTTAGGAGGACAGATTTTGACTCGTTAAGTATTTTCTCAGACCATCATCAAAGTATTGAAGTATTTGTCTACGTGAACAAGGCCGTATCTTTCGAATAATCCAATTATTATCGTACGGCTTATTTCAGACTCTGGAATCTGGTCTCCAGATTATGATTCAGCAGGTTGAAATTTCCAGCAGGAACACTCGATTTTGATTACTCGACAAAGGTATTACATAGCAGAAGTATAATACCGAGTACAATATGGCACATTGGTTCTGTGAGAGCTCCATTGGGCTCGCATGCGGCAAGGGCCAGTCAGCGGATTAGCTCGAAAGAGCTTGCGGTGGACCGGTGTATAAAGAAGGTCAACTCCCCGCCCTCAAAAGAGTCACCGGGGCGCAGCTCTCGGTCGCCCGGTCACAGCTGGTCTCAGGGATACATAGTCTGAGGTGTCATTCATATCATATGACCGGTTGCCCTTGTCGAATCCTACCACGGTAATCACATTGTGAAAAAGAAAAAAAAAATACAAGATAAGAAACAGAGCTCATCTATTCACAATGTGCCCAGCCCGTGCAGGTCACAGCCACCCGGAAGAGCCGCAATGTCGTGCAACAACAATCGGGAGTGCGGTCAGGTACCTGAACAATAAGCCAAAACAAACTTTCGAGGTCAACTGTTCGCAGATTATAAATCCAACATTACCTTCCACCACCATCACAATCCATGGATGATGAAGGCTCACGATAAGCAGGAGTCATGCCAATGTTGCCCCGCGGGATTGTGCTGCCGAGCGGCGCCTTGGACAAATGACAAGCGCCCATTTTCATGCCAGTCGACTACCTCCTAAGCTCTTACATCAACTTGAGAGCGGAGTTGCCGGATAGAAGTGAGGTGGCGATCTTCCTGCTCGGTCAAGGAATCCCTTGAGATAGGTCCAAGGCACCGAGCCTGAAGCGTCTGCGATACGACACAGCGTGACAGAAATCCTCCGGCCTGAAAACATCGCACCTTTGCATGGTGTGCTTCTATTGCTGTCGAACAGCGAGTCGCGCCGGTCACTTCGCCTCAATCTCACCTCATGTCCAAAGTACACTGTTCGCGCGCCCTTCGGTCCTTGCGTTCGAGCAATTCGACGGGCACAAGCCTCCTCTTCACCGAGGTGTCATCCACGGCCAGCCTAGGTAGACTGGCCGCAAAATGACCGAAGGATCTCGACGAACGTGCGACAACTTTTTGCATCTACGTTAGACGCGCAGTAGAGAAATGGAGCGGTTGAAAGTAAGGGCAATGGTCAACCAGAGGCCAACATCGCGGTGATTGTGGGTATGAGGGATATAATACATTCACGAAGAAAAAACCACCGCGAGCGCTATAAATCATGGACTTGAAGGAGATTGTGGACAGAATGGATACACGGGAGGAGTTTCGTCATCCAAGCGCGTGTAAACTCCATTGCAAACTTCACTCCCAAGAGGTCCTTTGTCCCCGTCTACCTTGCAGATTGCTCGGTATGGCAATCTATTCCTCCTTGACGCCACCACGGAAGTTCTTCTCAGCGCTCTCAATGGACGCCTTGTCACTCTTGGGCTGGCCCTGGGACATGAAACCGCCAGCGCTCTTGAAGGGACGGGCCAGATCACCGGTTGCGGGCTTGCCAAAGACGTGAATCTTGACCAAGTTGGACTCAAAGGCGCCCTTCAGGGGAATGATGGACTGAATGAGCAGAGGGTTGGTGTATTTCATGTAGAGATGCATCACAGCCATCATGCCCACACCCATCAGCTGGCTACGGATCAGCTGGCGCAGCTGGGCCTTGTCATAGTCCATGTTGGTGGTGGTGACAGGCTTAGCCTCCTCGCCGGTGCCCATGGGGGCAGGCTCGACGTACTTGAGGGTCGTCATGTCTGCAGGAAATGATGTCAGTACATGCACACGAGTATTTCAAGAGTCGGCTGGTAAACCATCAAAGCCGAGGTTTGTGCGGTGACTGTTCGGAAGCAGGTTCGGTAGGGAGGAATGACAATAGCATACCCTTCTTGGCGTTAATCTTGGCCTGAGTGTACAGATAGATGGCGATGATCAGCACATTCGAGAGAATGTACATGGCACGCACTCCCATCAGAACCTGAGGATCATCAAAGGGAACCTTCTTGGCCAGCTGCATCATCACGAGGATGATGCCAAGGTTGGTACTGTCGCAGATTGATTAGTTACAGTGGGCTCAGGAGAAATCGCACTCAGTTCCCAGATACTTACACTTGAGCGGAGACCATGTTGGCAAAATTTGGAACCTGTCAAAAGGAGAGTTGATGGGACGTGGTGTAGACGAGGGGGAGGAGAAGACGGGGGTGGAGAGATGCGAAAAAAGGCCCATGTCGCCTCCTCGGCCACCTGGCGTTCTCCAGCGGAGACCGGACAAACCATTTCCCCCACGAGCAACCGTTATCAGCTGCTCACGTGACCGGGGACCCCATTGACGCTTTGATTTTGAACCCATCCGTTCAGCCACCACCACATGGTAAGCGCCATTTGTCGACGACATGAGGTCAACTGTCACCCAGAGTCACAGGTGTTCTGCCTGGCTTGAGCTTATTGGACCAGCCTGGCAAGTCCGTTATTGCAAAGCAAGCTTCTCTACGCCAAGTGGGACGCCAAAATGATGGCGAAGGGCCCGCAACTGGGTGCTGAGGTTCCTCTCACTGACCGTTCTAGGCTGATGCTCGATGATTCCGTGGGAAGAGCAAGCAGAGAAAACAAGAAAGCCCCAGTCGGCAAATTACAGCAAGCTTTCCATAGCTTCCACGCGACGATCTTTGGTCTGGGCTGAAAGCATCTAGCCTTGAGTTCGACTCCGCTGATATTAATGAACCCCAGCTATGAAGTTCTGCGGGTGCTGGGCCAAACCTTGAGGTGGTTGCCTCATTGGGACTAGTGCCGGATCTGCGGTCGCAGTCTTTAGCGACCGGCACGGGTGGACATTTCTGACTTCTGCATCCATCAACAACGCGCGTGCCTCCCGATATCTCGCAATCGCAAATCCATCTCCCCACCATCTGCGCGATCGCCAACCGCGAAAGAGCCACTCCTTGATTTTCCACCACGAATAATTCCACGAAGTTTTTATCCAAGATGCCTGGCGGAAAGGGAAAGTCCATTGGCGGAAAGGGCGGTTCCAAGGACTCGGCGGGGAAAGCCCAAAAGTCTCACAGCGCAAAGGCTGGTCTTCAGGTGAGTCGCCGACGTCATGCACAAAGGCCATCAAGGGTGGTCGTCAAAGGAGCATGCGATATTCTGGACGACATTCGCGATCGTATCTGCAGGTCGTGCGACGACGCGTCGAGCTTCGAATACTTTGCCCCCCTCATTCGCGGGATGATGAACAGGGAGAAGGGCCGGGGGAGATTCGCGTCGTGCCATAGATCGCTTGCTCCATTGCTCATCCACAATCGCTGTTTATATGCGCCTCGTTTCTGCTCACATAATGTGGCTAACACTGTCGTTGACAGTTCCCCTGCGGTCGTGTCAAGCGGTTCCTGAAGAACAACACTCAGAACAAGATGCGAGTTGGTGCTAAAGGTATGAATTTCAACTCCTCGATATTGATCTTTGGTCGTGAAGTTCCAACGTGAGGCGAAGCTGACACAATCTAGCGGCCGTCTACGTCACCGCTGTCCTCGAGTACCTCACTGCTGAGGTTTTGGAATTGGCTGGTAACGCCGCCAAGGATCTCAAGGTCAAGCGCATCACGCCTCGTCACTTGCAGCTTGCTATCCGTGGCGATGAAGAGCTGGACACACTCATCCGCGCCACCATTGCTTTCGGTGGTGTCTTGCCCCGCATCAACCGTGCCCTGCTGCTGAAGGTCGAGCAAAAGAAGAAGAGCAAGCCTGATGTCTAAACAAGAGGGCTTTGGTGAATGACGAAGAAATACCTGGGCAGGCGATGGACGATTCCACTGGCACATACTTAGTCAGTATATTGGCTGGTCTGTGTGGGCTGTTTTCATACAGCCGGAACTCTGGAGAGATTTCCCCTCGTCTCATTCATGCTTCCCTCGCCATTTTGCTCTCCCTCTCCTGTCCTTGCGCTCTCCTCCTATTGTGTATGAACCTCTCGTGTTTGTGCACCTGCTCTTCTTCCTTCTTTACTTGGAGGGTTACTCCTTTTTTGTCAAATTTTCTGTTGAACGGCGTGCGATCTTGTTGTATTGTGTTGTCTATTCCCCGGCTTTGCACCGTCTTATCTCCTCCGCTCCCCTCTCTGTGTCTCTCTATTACCCTTGTCATACCTCTTTCTTTTCACTTATTTGTCGGATTCGTGTGATGTCTCTTTTCCGAGTCCGCTGGGCGCTTTAATGGGGAAATGGGGATATTCTGCTGTTAGTGTGAAGACTATTATTTGATTCCCCGTCTGACCGACTTTCGGTCGATGAAATCCCTAGATTTGAGGACCACGCTGCCTAATGAAATTCGTGAGTAATGTAATATTCCTGCCGTGTACATATATGGAATCGTGTATCGAAGCGCTTGGAGCCGGAAATATCTATCATCGCGATTGCATCACCACGACCCCAGGAGATATTGACCGAGGGCGACCTCCCGCCCGTGAATCAATGCCTCCTTTACTCTTTCTGGAGGATATCAAGTTATATATTCTCAAAGTATTAGTACTTACCCTCAGCCTCAGGGACGTCCGTCGGGTAGTATGATCATTTGGTGTACCCAGCGTGGTAATGGACGGGGAAAAGACGGGAGAAAGAATCTCAAATGCGAACAGTACCGTCAGTCGCGGATGTCTGTCATGAGAGGGCCATCCACGGATAAGGTATGGTCCTGGAAGGCTGGATCAGAACTCGGAACTCCCGTCGATGTTGGAAATCGCCAGTCTCGACTGGCCCGTTCACGAGCTACTTGCCAAAACTGCAGCTGACCTATAAGTTAGTTATAACCTCAGTAACTTTTAGGGCTACGGAGTACAGGACTTACAGATAATATCCCCGAGGTTGTTTCTATTCACGAAGCAATGTTATAGTTTAGTGGGAAATGATGCATGGCACTGTAAAAGCAATCAAACCCATCTTACAGGTATGCAGGACCGCAGGCCGCATGGATGGGTTTGAATGAACCTAATGACATGGAAGATTGGGGGGGGGGGGCTTTCGACATATGGACATTCTTCGCGTCCGTCAAACATGTTTCCCTTCGAGAGCCCCGAGAAGAGGGCAGCACTATGGTAGCAGAAAACCTGGAGGTGCAGCCCAGGTACCTGATCGTTATGTACGGCCAAATCAGTATGGATGGAAGACTTGGGACCTAGCCAAGGTCACTTCTTGAAGCTCCCGGTATCTCACATCTTAAGGTTAATATACGTACACCCAGGCAGGGGGGAGGGGAGACCCCCTCTATATCTGGATTATATTGCTAGCTTGACTGCCTGAATGTCATACATTCACGTGTGTGATAGCATCATTGGCTAGATTGGAAGCTCCAGTATAATGGACTTTTAAAAGAGGAAGGATCTTGGCTCAATAGTTCAATGATTTTATATTTGAGTGGCATGATTACTGCCATCTGGACAAGCTAGACTTGTCGATACGTAGGTAAACCCCAGGTGACTAGCAGCTCTACATGCAACAATGCCCGTGAACCAAATGATTCTCCAGCCCTATTGACTCGCGATCAAGAGAGACAGTGATACTAGTTGACTCATTGATTGGAGGTACGTAATAAATTTTTGAATTTAGGAAAAACAAGAAGCACACAAACGACAAGACTTGAAAGCACCAGTGAGAGCCGAGAAGGCAAGAAAAGCAATGCAAAGGGAGACCAGCAGAATTGAACCCGCCAGAAGCTCCCGAGTCGCTTCGAGCACAGGTGCCATGATCGGACAAGACACAGGTGGAAAACCAAGCGTGCGCACTCCATTCACCACCTGACCCTCCGGTCAGACTCGAAACGCCGAGAGCCACAAATGTCTTGGCCGCCGTGAATGACAACCAGGTTTGGCGGAGTAGTTGAGTGGCTTCGTATTGCGTCTTAGCTTTCTGGACGCTTATGACTAGTCGAACACCGGTTCCAAGAAAAGAGGAGCCAAATCAGTTCAGCCAATGCAGAACATCAAGCAGCTCAAATTGGCCGCAATTGCAGGATATAAGATCACGAAGCTTTTGTTCCCCCATCAGCGTAAAGAGAGATGGCACCTAATGCGGGGAATTGATCTCTTCATGCCCCCGGGAAAGTACAGACAGGGAAAAAGGTGTTTAAAAAGATAGATCGAGCATTCTCGTACATGAGACGAGAACAGCTCGAGTCGTAGAAAACGATCCACGGACGAGGTTCATGTGAATTGAGCCCCCGGTGTACAGTGGAACAGACAAAAGAGGGCTATGCAAATGCTGAGGTTGTCGTGAGTCTTGCCAGAGGAGACAAGATCCGTTTTTGGTCATTCTTCGTGTGTGTTCCGCGTCACAAAAGAGAACACTGTATGAGGACATCGCAGGATCGTGGGCGTCGTGGAAGGGAATTAGTAGCGAACAAGGGAGCAGTATCCGAGAACGCAGATTCCAGCTGAGCAACATATCACAAAGATCAGAGAGAAGCTGTTGCATGCGGCCAAAGCAGCAAGTAGAGCACCTTTCTTAGATTGGGGGAACAAAAGCTGGCGTCGAGAAACAGAACGAGGTTGTAGAATTGAACGAATGAACTTGAGAAATAAACGAGGTCCGATTTCGATATTTTGTTTTCCAAATTTTAAACAAGAAACACTCAGCTCGCGCTGTGCCAGCCTTGCGCTTTCCCAGGACACGGTGACCTGACAAATGCCGAAGCATTCGCAGGTGGTCTGGAAAAGAAGCAAATGCTGGACGGAATGACGCGAGGAACCTGTAGATGCAACCCATTCGATTGTCCCAGAACTAACATCAACGGAAAAAAAAAGACATGGAACGTGGAAAAAATAGAGAAAAGATGGAAAGTGGAAACAAAAACAAAAATGAAGAGAAATGAGAAAGAAGAAGAACAAGTCTAAGCGGGCATGTTCGGCGGCCCCAAAAATGGAGAATAATAATATAGTCGATCGCGGATCAGCGACATGATGGAGGAGGGTTCTGGTCTTTTTTAAAGAGGTGGGGTAAATTTGTCATCTCGTCATCCCTCATCGAAATCGTAAGCCGGTAATTCGCAGAACAGGGCCTCGTGATACAGATTCGTCTTCGTCTCGCGGTAAATCAGTCAAATGATGGCAGAAAATTCAGGGAGAAAACAGCAGTCGCCATCTTCTGGAGAGACCAAAGGTGGGGAGGAGATGGTGGGATGATCTCGACCTCTCTGGTGGGTCATGGGGCTCCACGGTATCGAGTAAAGAATTTGGAAGTAATAGTAGCAGTCGAAGGAATCGTTCGAGTATGAATGATATTTTTGAAAGTTGATATGAGGCTTTTTTTTCTCCGCCTCAGGCGGTTTTCGTGGCCTGGCGGGCGGCGCCACGTCAGAAGCAGGCGAGAAAGGGATCGTTGTTATCGAACAAAAGGCGGAATCGGATCGAAGGGCGGCGGAAGGACCCTCTCTATTCGACAATGATCTCGACTCCGGACGTTGTGTGGAGCTCGTCACTGCCACGGGCCTGATGTCCATTCGGGCGGCGGAAGCCGGTGCCCTTCTCGGGTGTCGGGCCACGGGGCTGTCGGATCGGCGTGCGCTCTTGCTGGGTACTGTCAAAACCCATTCCCATGCCACGGTTGCTACCAATAGGGCCGGCGGCGGAAGACTGGTTGTCCTGCTCCCAAGAAAACATACCACGCAATCGTCGAGGGCTGGCGTTAGGACCACCAATACCAGTACCCAGGGACAAGCCACCTAGGCTGTTGACCAGCAAATTATCATCTCGCTGCATGCCCAAGGAAGAGCCCGGGGGCGCCGAAGTGAGGGTCGGGGTGTTGGAAGAGCCGGTCGGAACGCCGTCATACTGCTGCAGGCGGGAGCCATTGTTAGATTGGAGCGCGGCGGGGAAGCTTGCGCTCGAGGGGACCGGAGAGGGCGTATAAGATCGGAGATCGGCGAATGACTTGGCTGCACGCAAGTTCTGCGTGTTGGCGAAGTTGCCGGTCGAGTCCATGACCCCGAGGAAGTTCGACGTGGGACCGCGCAGGGTATTGAAGGCACCTTGGCCCCCCTCTTGACGAGCCTCGCTAAAGTCAATGGTCGCGGCGCGGTTGAGGCCGCGGCGCCCGCTGTCACTGTGAGAGCCGGTAGGAGGGATGGCGGAGAGTGGAGGGCTGACATTGGAGCCGGCGGACACCTTGAAGACCTGCACCTGTCGTTGATCGCCATTGCCGCGGGAGGCGTGGCCCAGGCCCATGTTGTGCGCCAGAGTGTGCACCGTGCGTCGCTGCGAGGGAGTCAAATTGGGAGGAAAGACCACCGAGTCCCGGACCGTGTCTTCTTTGAAGAGGAGTAATTGGGAGTAGTACGAGAGAGTCTGGCTGTCATTCAAGTCCACCTCTACTTGTTCCACGTGATGAGCAATCAGGTCACTGTCGGGTGTCGGGAAGTGCCTGATCGAAGACTTACCCAGCTTCTGGCCGCGCTGCGAGACCGGTGAAGGAGAGGTGGCTGGAATGTGAGAGGTCAGCGAAGACATGGAGCTCTGAGTCTGCAGCTGCGACGAGGCCATGGGCCGGTGTTGTTCTTCCAGTTGTCCGCGACGCTCGCGCTTCTCCCGCTCAATGCGCTCTCGCTCCTGCAGCGGGAGCATTTTTTTATACTCGACTCGTAACTTGCGACCCTGCAGTTCGAAGTGGTTCAATACTTCGATCACAGTCGCGGTCTCCTCCGCGGAGGTGAAGTTGGCAAAGGCCAGTCCACGGAATACGCCATTGTCAAAGTGGTAATTGAACGCGTAGGGCAGGGGCAGGTTCAGCTCCGTCATCAGCTGCACCAGTTGCTCCTTCTTCACGGCGAAAGGGATGTTCTTGATCACAATGGCGGTGGGGATCAGTTCATCGTCCCCCTCGGAGGACGCCGGGGGATCCGGGCGCATGGCACTGCTCTGAATGGGGCCAGGACCGAGGTTGGCGAAAGCATTAGGCATACCGGATTGCTGGTCCAACCAGGTCTGCGAAAGGTAGTGAATGTCAGTCAGACGGACGTGCTGTGTTGGGGGACGATGAGCGAGCAAATTGTCATGCAGAATGGTGCAACACAGGACCAAAGGGAGAGGATGCGAAGAAGGGGATATGGCAGTTATCGGCCGACGATGATGAACGTCGCCGCTACCTTGTAGTAGGACAAGGAGAGGCCCCCGCACAAGCAAAGGGAAGAATGGAGTGATAGACAGGTGGCCCGGGGTAGGAGAAGGGCAAATTCTTGTGTGATGAGGCGCGTCCTGCGGAATCAAGTACATACCGTGGGCAGACCGGTGCGTCCGCGAGCACTCGGCTTCAGGCTGGCCGAGGCCGACCGGATGCCTCCCAGCGACTGCGCGTTGGCAAAACCATTGGGATTCCATGTCTGGGAACCCGAGAGATCGTATGCATAGGAGTTGTTGTTCTGCAGCGAAGGCGTCAAGCGCTCCAGACGGGCGGACTCATAGCGAGCCATCTGGTCTTCGTAGAGATTCACGGGCATGGGACCGTAGGCGTCGAATTGACGGGAAGGTTGACGATGCAGCGGTTGTTGATGGCGTTGAGATCCAGGGGACCGCGCGGCAGGGTCGTGATACATATCGGATGGCTGGTAACTCATGGCGATGGATGGCACGAAGAAGAGAATTTCGGGACGGCAGGAGGAGACGGCCGAGGAATGTGAGGAAGCAAGTTTCCACCACAACAAAGAGTCTCGACTCGACGATGGTGCGTGTCGAAATGCTGGATGCGGGGGGCGGAGGTGGTGATTCGACACTCTCTGATTCGGTCGATCACTCCGTGAGGATGGGATGAATCAAGACTGTTCACCCTTTCCTAGCCCAAGTGGATGAGTTTGGGTGGGTTCTGAACTGTGCTTGAGTCTAGCGATCCGTTGTCGGCCAGGCACTTATTGGTGCATGGAAGAAGTCGACGGAGGAGAAGAGGCGAGCAACCGCGACTGAATTCTCGATCGCAGAAGACAGGGAAGAGGGGGGCAGATCGGTTGGGGACCTTCCGGTCCAAGAAATTTTGCAGAAATTGTGCAGAGAGATCGGTCGAGGCAACGGCACCAGGCACCGTGTGGACGAGGCAGGCAGAAACGATCGCAGAAAAGCGGAGATCAAGGGAGGGAAAAAATGATCAACGAGTAACCGCAGAAAATGATCCAAAATGGGAATGGGATGGGGGAAAAAAGACCGATAAATTTCCAATCCACGCGTTCGGAAACAGTCTTCAGATGGAACAGCCAAATCGCTCACGGATGCAAAGTCAAAAAAGTCGTGCTCATTCGGGTCGTCAAAATTTGAGTTGACGGGAAGAAGGAGGGGGAGGGGAGGGATGGAGGAGGAAGAAAAGAAGGGAACCGACGGAGAAGGACGGAGGGGGGGGAGGGAAGTAGTTCCGATGGAGGACGAAAAGAGATGGCAGTAGAGAAAGAGATGGCAGTAGAGAAAGAGGGAAAAAGGAAGAGGAACAGAGAGAGAGAGAGAGAGAGAGAGAGAGAGAGAGGGAAGAGGGAGGGGTGGGTACGAGCAAATGGGAGGACCAGACGACGGAGTGGGGAGCAGAAAAGAGAGAAAAGAGAGACCCGACAAGCAGATCTCCGGAGATGTGGAGTGGGCGCTGGACTTGTTGCTGGATGGGGGCAAATTAGGGTCTCTATCAAATCTTGGGAGGGCTCCCGTTTTAGAGTTCCGTTCCTTGAACCAGAAAGGGCAGCAAGGCTTGAAGTCGTGAGTCGGGTAGAAGAAGACAGGCCCAGACGCACCGCGAGGACGAGGACGAGGACGGAGACTAGAGAGGCAGACAGACGCAGCACAGCAGATCGGGTGGCGGATGGAGGTAGCTGTTCCGGTGCAGTGACAGAGAGCAAGGGACGTTTGGGAGGATCGACTGGCGAAGTATCGAGGGCAGATCCGAAGCTCCGACAATAATCGAACTAAGACTGTCGGTCTCGAGCGACTCTGGAAGGAGGTAGACTTCAACTGTTCCGAATTAGTCCCGTGGTTCCTGAACACAATCTAGGCGTCTGAATCATCTGAGGGGGTGACTTGGGTCCAAGCATCCCATCCACCAGGCACATCCCCTTCCACAGTACTCTCTTGGGGGGGGGGGGGGGGTGAGTCGGTGACTGAATAGACTCTGAGACGGACGGGTCCAACAAGGCGGGGGAAATTAGGGCAAAAAGAAAAACAGGGGGAAGAAAGTGAAGCACTGGAGAAACTCTCGGTGGAGGACCGAGAGGATGTCGTGGGAGGTGATTCACTCGGGCGACAAACAACACCATCAACGGCAAGTCAAGTGACTGAAGTCACGTACCTCGAACAGATCTCGTGATCAAGAATGGGAAGATGAAAGAGCTCTGGAGTGGGAGACAGAGAGGTACACCAAAAAGACAAACCCCCTTCAACCTCGAATTCAAGAAGCTTCTGCGCGACTTCTGGTCCGATGATCGATCCACTCGTTCCAGTGACAGGGGAGATAGTTGGGTCCTACTCCTACAATAATGGGGTATTGAATGGCTTTGGTGATCGACAATGACAGAATCGCCCCCGGTCCAGGCACCGAGGTAGGAGGGGAACAACGGAAGAGACGCGAGTGGTTCCTGAGCACGGAGAATCCAAAATGAATCACAAGGTTGAAGGCAGTAAGCCTCCTAAGCACTGATCGCAAGCAGGCCGACCCGGATTAGAAAGGTGGATTGCTGCTCCGTTTTGGGGGAAGGTTCGAGGTAGCCAGAACGAGGCTGTCAGACTGGGGAGCGCGCGAAAACGGGGGCGATGCAAGGTCGCGCGATGCACGAGATGGGATGCAAGTTATTTCAGGGTCTGACTGGCGTTGCGTTCGCCAAGTTTCTATCAGGGTCTGGGGCAATGGATTCCTTTCTCACAACGCCCGCTGTGGGTTTGCGATGGTGCTGGTGAGTATCAAGCGATGTGAAATGGACGACCAGACTGGGAATTAGAGCGAACAGGTCCAGGAGTGGTATGGTGGATGCCTAGGGTGACGGAGCAGAAGAAAGATCCGGAACAAAAAAGGACTCAACCAAAGATCAGGCCGTTGGAACCACTTTGGGAGATATAGACCAGTCTTTATAGAGAGGGTCAATGAGGGGGGAGGCGTCGCAGAGGGGATGAAATTTACATTGCTCTACTTGAGCACGCTGACCAAGACAGACGATCGTCGTTCCACGACGCTAAAGAAATTGACAACCCCATCGGGAAGGATGGTAAAGTGGTTCCATCCGGAACAATTTACGAGCTATCGTGATGGGGAATAGGATCAGATGAAGGGACATGGGAAAGGGGAAGAGTGAGGAGGAGGAGGACCACCAGAGTGGACTGGGACTTGCACCGAGTCTAATTATAACATCACAACTGCTTTCGCAACACAACTACAAACTCACAGGATACACTGTGACTGCAGTGTATTACTACCTTGCCGGAAGTGAACTCGGATGCCTATGGGGTTTGTTGTTTTGAGTCCAGACGGGGGATTCCTGATTCATCGGTGAGTACTACTACTGAGTACTGAGTACTGAGTACATTACTACAGGGAGTACAACGAGGAGTAGTGAGTCGTGACATCGATCAACCCAATGCTCAATGCAGTGTCCAATTCAACCCAGTATAACTCTCTTGTACCAGAGCAGTCACCTGATCACAACAGGTATGCTGAGGAGTCCTTTCCCAGCCCAGTCAATTGACGTTGGAGGACATGTCGCCTTTGCCACTGGATTGAGAGGATTGAAAGAAGAAAAAAAAAAAAAAAAAGCTTCGCTCCTCAAGAAATCCATTGGACGGTCAATCGCCTCGTCGTCACTTGTCCACAGCTGATTCCTTTTCCAGATCGCCCATTCACGACGCCCATCGGTCTGTAATGCATCGTGCAGGTGCAGGTTGACAAGATGACAAGACACGATTAGTCGATCTCGAATGATGCGCGGCATAGCGCAAGGTTGTTCCTGCTCGATTGAGTGGCGAATGAGATCATCCACCTCCAGTCTCGCCCTCCACCACCACCACCTGCATCGCTGCGCAGCTCTCACCATGTCGTCATGCCTCTACGTCTCTTCACAGCGGTACAGATCAACAGGAGAACCTTGAGCCAGAGAATCTCCAGTACAAACTCCATAACTCGTCCCTGAATCTGCCGTCCATGTGCATGCCCACAGTTAAACAGTCACTTGCCATGCTCGGGATCGAGAATTGATCCATGCCACAATCCCGGCACCTCATTCCCCTGGGCGATCAGCCAGAAACCGATATCTGAACGGTCTAGCCACACGAGGGCATCCCTCTGGCGAATTGGGTTCGATTGTGTCGCATCTGTGCTAGTCCCAGTCTCCCTGCACTCCGCCGTCAGCTCCTCTCTCCTTTACGCCATGTTGACAACTTTACATGCCGGGAGTCGTTGCCTGCAATTCTTGTACGCAATTGAAACCACCCACATTTCACCAGGTCTCTTCTTGGATATCTACTCAGCCATCTCGGCATCACTGCCGTGATAGACACTGAGAAGTTGAAAAGAAGCTCTCGGTATGCCACAAAGTATACATAGATATTGTGGACTTTTTCGTCCCGTTCAAACCCAGTGATCCACACGGAAGACGGACTGATCATTCCGACTCTTCCTCCGCTTCTCCCCTATTATTATCCTTTTTGAGCATCGTCTCCATGCTCATTTAGTCTCATGAGTAATCCCCTTTTTTCAATGCCGCTTTCTTCTTTCTCCCCCCCCCCCCCCCCACTCCCCCTTTTTTGGGGCGGTTGTTTGCGAGATTCGAGATGACCTTGTACTAACATAGGCATGTATCATTTCTTCTCCACATCTCAGTGGACTCGGGCTCGCAATTCCTCTCTCCTCCTCTCACTCTTTCGGGCCCTTGGTCCGGTCCCATCACGTTCCACACGTTCCACACCTTCCACACCTTCCATTCCGTCTTCCACGGCACCTTCTAGCACGAAAAATTCCATTGAGCATTGGATAAATGTGGCTCCTGACCACTGAGCCTGGAAACACCTATGTCGAGGTTGATCACGTCTAATCGCGTGAGGGTGCCGAATTGTCTAGTTCCTCATCTCTGTGCTCGATCGGCCTCGGTTTTCGGCGGAGGCATTCGCCAAGAGCAACGGCCCAGTAACTCTCTGACTGAGATCCCATTTGATACGAAGCCTGCTCAACTGTAGAGCAGTAGTATCGCCCAACACTATGGTCAGCGTGGAATCGTGGAGTAAGCCATTGATCAGTACAGCAACGGTATCTCACGATATGACTCGGCCTCCTGCGTCCGATGACACAGTCCTAGGAATATACACCAAGTTGGCAAGACGGGCGGGAATGCTGATGAGCTTATCCCAGCTAGATGTCTCTATGAAATGTCGGTCAGGAGCAATGCCTGAAATGACGGTCAGTACCTAGGCTCAGTACTACAGTATGCGTATTGCGTGGTATCGGGATTCTGGACCAAAGTCCAATGTGCATTTCATCTCGCTTGCCACCTGAACGGGCTCGGCCTGGAAGTACATTAGTCAATCAATTGACCTTACCAACAGGACAGATCCATCTGTTTCTGTAATGAATGGAACTTCCTGGTCAGTGAAATCACACCAGGACTTATCCTATACGATCCTGCATGGCGGGAAGGACATTGATCAAGACGCCTCGTGCCTCGTGCTCAATGATTTATCCGCGACATTGCCTACAGACATGACAGGGGTCAAGACTTGGTCCGAACGTGCTGCTGAATCCTGACAAGTGCGGATGATCGTCTGCTGATGCTGCTTGAGAGAAGGAGCTTATGGTGTCTCTTCCTCGGTGTGTTTGACGGAGTCCAATCGTCTATCTCTCATTCCCTATGACTGTATCTCGCGCCCAATCTGCCAAGGAGAGGCTTACGACTGGTGCCAACACGGAACGTTTCGGTGATACAAAGTACATACTTGGTCAGTGAAGCCTTTGATGCGTACTCGTTGTCGGAGCGGTGAACTGACGAGGCTATGCTCCTTCTATGCCGCGTATCAGGATGATCAGTACCGGCGAGAGTAAGTCAAAGCAAACAAATATTTGGCAGACCCGGGGGCCTAACATGGTATAGTTAGTGTGGGCTATTTCGCCTCACACTCCTCGTCGAAATCGATCATTCCAGTATTGATCATCCCATCGTTTGAACTTGCTTTGTCACCATGGTGTAGAATCAGTCACTCGAGGTATCTATGAGTATGAAGTGGAAGAGGGCAGATTCTTTTCCTCTTTTCAGTCTCTTTTCAGTCTCTTTTCAGTCTGTCTTTTACACGACGTGGTGTTGTCTTGTCCAGACTTTGGTTCAGACGGAACGGGCCATCTCCTCCCGATATCGCGCCCCTTTCCCATGGTTCCAAATGTAGGTCTATTTGACGGTGTCCCCAACCAACTTACTGCACGCGTGTCAGAACCAAACATCCATGACACGGCGATGGTTGTTATGCTGTGATACGAAGATTATGTGATGTGCATTCGGTCAGTGACCTGTCCATATGAACCCTCTGGTGCTCATTTATCGCATCGCTGGATGTTGCATCAGAAATTTCCAAGATCCACACCACCGGAGCCATCCTCATTGCAGTCTTGAACCTTCCATATGAAACTCCAATTATTTGCATGTCAGGCATAGCCTACGACTGACCGTGCTTCTACATTTGCATCATCAATTGGTGCGTCCTTGGAATTATCTTCCTCCAGGTGATTGACGGCGCATGGCACTATAACCACACTAGACCCACTTCAACTCAACTAGTCCCCGACTCTCCGGCCCACGCGCCCCCAAAGCTCCGAGCGAGGCTTACCCGAGCAATCAAATGCGGTCCTCGGCAGCTCCATAACTGCTCCGCCGAGTCTATAGCCCCATTCACTATCCTCCTCCGCCTCCATTTTCGCTCCTTTTCAATCAAACTCTACTATGAGACGCCATCCTTTTTGAATCACTGAGCTTTGACGCGTGACAAGCTAGAAGGCCGCTAGAGTGTGCTTAGAAGGCCGTTCTGGTGGCCCTAGAGGACAGCGTGGAGTCCAGTCCAATGTTTTCCCTTGTGGTGTTTTTTTTCAACAATCTTTGCGCCTGAATGCGCATAGGGCCCATTGAAGCCGGTGTCCTCGGAGCCTCGCTCTGAATAATGTAGCAGGAGCAAATAGATCGCGACTAGATCAATAGTTGCAGTAGCGACACTGCAACGGACACCCTCGTACCGATCAGCAACCCAAGCATATTCCGCTGCAAGCGTGCTGACCCGACATTGTGAAGTAGATGGAAGGGAAGGGGGGGTATTAGTGACGGAGAAGTCTTCTGCTTTCGTGGCTTCCAGAAGGTCGAAGGTCGTACTTTTGGTCGGAACTGCCGGTGCCGTAATCCAAAGCTGCGGCAGGTACGGAAGCCAGTCGTGAGCTCCACTTGGTCTGCTCAACAACTTCCAACTGGCAGCGTCTAACTTAGTTGATGTGGATTTCCACAGCCGGCAAGGCGTGGTCTCGCTGCGTCTCGCAGAAGCCATGGTGTTGCTTGCGACCCTGACAGAATTACACGAAAGCTCAATTGCCGATGCGAAGTCGTCAGTCAATGGCTGGGCTCCTACGTCGGGTCAAGTGTCAAAGTGTGATGAGTCGATGACAACAATTGATCCTTGAGCATACGCGTCCAGAATTTGTCGCACAGGTATCCTCGGTCCCTCGTACCCTCGAGTGTCAAACTGTCAATAGCTCCCACATAGCCGAGCAAGCCCCTTTCTGACCCTTCACCCTTCGTTCCATTGCCCGCTTTCGAGTCTACTCGAAATAGGTTTCAGGGTATGGCACTACGGTGATACGGTCCACCCTTGCGAACGCGATGGAAATCTCCAGTTATTGGTGATCGATGAAATGAAATGAGCATATCCACTTTCATCCACGCAGATGGACGAGCCCAAACCCCGATGAAGCCACCCTCGTGGAGAATAGCGCCCTTCTCCGGCACTACGTTTGCCAGCAGATTTGCCACTGAACCCACGTACATGTACTGTTGAGTGTTGACTGTTCACTGTACAGACTACAGACTACCTTGGTAGCTCCTCCGACAAGACGGAAGTCTGATCACAGACAGCGATGCAAAGTCCCGGCATTATGAATAGCCTCCCCGACGAGAAAGCCGCGTGACTGTACAGAAGCCTTTCAAGGTTGATGCCATCTGGCGACGGCGACATGGGGGGAAACTTCAGGCAATACTCAGGAGATTGGCCCCGACTTTATCAGTGCTGTTGGTCTTTCAGAGTCTGGAAAGGACCCTCACTGCTCTCAGCCCGTCGGAGCTCAACCTCTTTCGTGAGTGGATTTACTGGCTTCACCATCCGCAAGTCCCAATGTGAGTGTGCTGGCTTCAAGCTATTCAAACACCTGGGAAGCTCGGGACTCTAGTTTTTGATATGATCATGATGATTCTTTTCGTAACTAGACCACCAGTCGTGAGTCAAATCTTAGGGCGTTCTTTGGTGGTGTAGCCTTTTGTAAATCTGGCAGCAAGCGCCGAGCGAACACCCCGTGGGGGCGAGACTGGCAACCTCAACACGTTCTGGATACAGTAATTACTGAAATGAAATCTCTCGTGGTTCACAACGATATAGTCCGTGAACCGGAGAGCCTTGCTCTGATCTCATATTTCTGTAAGGGTCGAGTTCGGGCTGCCATGTCAGGCCTGAGGATCTGTACGGAGAAAGGGATCCATACCTATGTTCAGAAGAGCTGAGAGAAACAAGAAGAACGGGCCAAGTCTCGTTGGCGGTATATATTGACCGCCCATGAACACTGGAAGCAACCCTACAGCTCGTCTCAAACCTATCATGACTCCCATGTTTGCTAAGTTTCAAACTTGATAGATCCTTCGATATGAAACTCACAGTCTACTTTATCTACCTTGATCATCTCTTTCCCGTCCCTTCTGGATTGAGGTAATCCATCCAGCGACTGCTCGATGCTGATTGAAATTGCGCAAGTAGATGCCTGAAGCATGAATAACCGGCAGCACAGAGGTACCTCAGGCCACCAGAGCGGGGCCGCCCCGCCGTCCTTGGCACAGTTCCTGGTCAGCAGAGTTTGAACTTCAACTGCGAGTCCACCTGCATGCCATGGAACATAGTCATATAGTGATCTCAAGGAGGAGCTAGTTAGACAAGCTTTGGAACTTTTTGCTAGTGCGAAGACGGGATCATCTTAGATCTAATTCCATGATTCTGGCTTTCTAATCGCACAATATCACGAATTGCGGGAATTTCCCGCGGCAGATAGTTTTCGCAAATGCGTATGGTAGTCTGCTTGAACTGTCTTTTCACAATCCTAGCAAGTGACTCGTGTTCTTGACGTTGTACCTCTTGGTGAACAAAGTTCGATATGATTTTGTGGATACCCAGTGAATGCAGTAGTTGCATTGTACGTCACGGCTGTCTGAGCCTCTGAGGGAGTCAGCTGTCACCTGACTTTCAATGATCTGGTACAGTCCTCTTCACCTCTCAGCGCTGGACTATAACACGGCACATTGTCTGCATTTTCACACCACCCGGGAGCTCTCACGTTGACATTATCTTTTCTTCAACGCTGTCTCACACCTTAGCATTCCAAATGACCAGGTCTATCCAAAAAGTATGGGACAAGTACACATTGCTGGCAGTTGGAACTTCCGTCCCAACTGTCCTTCCTGTATTTATCTACGGTACTGCCTGGAAGAAAGAGCGGACAGCAGGACTGGTCTACGACGCGATAACTGCAGGATTCCGAGCTATCGACACTGCAGCACAGCCTCGTCATTACCAAGAGCATCTCGTGGGGGAAGGAATCCAAAGAGTCATTGCAGAGGGTATCGTCCGCCGAGAAGACCTCTACGTATGCCAAACCCCTGTGAAATCCATGTCCTTGCGCACGGCTGAACTATAACTTGATCGGAGAGGACCGATCTGGTATTCCTATTGACGGATGGTCCAGATTCAAACAAAATTCAGTCCCATAGCCGCACAGGATCCGGAGAACATGCCATACAATGCAGAGGCCTCCGTGACTGAACAAGTCCATGCATCGGTCAAGTCGTCGCTCTATAATCTTCGACCATCACCTGATCCACGCACCACAACAGATACGTACATTGACACTGTGGTTATACATTCGCCCTTGCAGACTCCAGAAGAGACTCAAGAGGCATGGCAAGCCCTCGAATGTTATGTACCGCGCTATATTCGCAATCTGGGCATTTCTAATTGCTCTGTTCCTGTGCTACGGGCCTTGTTCAATGCTGCCACTGTGAAACCAGCAACTGTTCAGAATCGATTCTATCCAGCCACATCCTATGACTCTGAGCTACGTGGATTTTGTCTCGAAAATCAGATCATATATCAGAGCTTTTGGACTTTGACAGCCAACCCGACCCTGGTGCGCTCTCGTCCTGTGCAGCAGCTTGCCGCTCAGGTGGGGATCAGTGCACCAGCTGCACTCTACACCCTCGTGATGGCCCTTGGAAATACTTCCGTACTCAACGGAACCACGAATAAGGCTCGCATGAACGAAGACTTGGCAGCGCCCCTTGCTGTGAGCGAGTTTATCCAGAAGCGACCGGAACTGTGGGCGCGACTTTCTGGGGATTTCCAAGAAATAGTGGGAGCCTATCAAAGTATGTAATCATTGAGGGTAAGAATATATGGCAAAAAGGGGCATATCAGTATATAGAAAATCAAAGAAACAGGATCTCAGTTTTGATGATTGCCAGTCGATCATCAATTCAGAGGTTATGATTAACAGCACGTTACTGCAGTAACACCTTGAGCCTGAGCTACCAACAGGGGACGTCCCCTCATGGTGGAGACACGCATATGACAGCACGTTGTTGGCCCCGCGATTGAGGAAAGCGGTGTCGTCTGGCAAAAGCTCCACTCGAATTGACCTCATCGTCGCCGGCGCAGTTTTCCAAATTCGTAATGGTCCCATCTTTTGCAGTACGCTCAGATCGATTCGACATAAGATCTTTCAACCACTCTGACCTACGGCTTATCGACCCGTTGCTTCCAACCCTAGTGCAATTATCACAATTAAGCTGAATGTCGAATTTTCACTTCCGCTGACCGTGTGCGCCTCACGGCCGGAATCTCAGATATCGCGGGCACCACGCAGCGAAATTATTTATATCAAGGCAGCGCTGTGAGCTCTCCGTGCGCTTCCTGTGTCCTGTATACTGGCCTTCCGGCAACTGCTACCGTGCGCACTCTCCGAGCATACCGATTCGGTTGACAGGACCTGATCCTTACATTGCGCCGCACGCGGAATCGCTTCACAGAAGAGACCAGGCGGTTCTTTCTAACTGGCTTGTTTGTTTTTCTTTTCGATAGAAGCAAACAATCGCTGTTTATTCCTTCGCTCTCCGCTGCAGCCTAGGGCCCGATCACATTCCCAAATCACCCTCCCCCGAAAACTTCGACTTCAACCACTCTCAAATTTCTCACCTTGTCAACCTTTCAAACTGTTCTCGAGAGTCTCCAAAACAGTCAACACATAATGAATTCACAAGGCATGACGCGCAAGCGGCCTGCACCGGGCACCACTCCACAAAACAATCCTCAGCTGCTTCAGGCGTACCAAAGTGTCAATCCGAACCCACGTTTCTCCAACGATCAATTTCTGCAATGGGGTGCAGAGTCGGCTACCAATACTGTGAATCACCCTTACATTGAGCCATCCGCTTACGGACCTGCCGCATATGCAGCCAGCCAAGACCATGCTCCCTCGGGCTTAGCTCCCTCGGCGATAACAACCGCTACAAACTCAACCCAGCTGGCGCGTCGCTCTCCTCAAAACCAGCTGATCAGTCGAAACCGAAGCTACGAGCAGTCACCTGCGCCTTTTACTGATAGCAGCGCTGGAGCAGGTAATGCTGAGAGCGCATGGGAAGAATCGATTGAGGAGCTGTACGCCCGGGCCGCAGCTGCGAAAAGGGACGCGACATCAAAGAGAAAGCAAATTCCTCCTTTCGTTCAAAAGTTGAGCAGGTATGTTTTCGACTCGGTTCTTTCTCACAAAATAGGATGACACTGACCACGACTGTAGTTTCCTGGATGAATCAAAGAACACGGAGCTGATCAGATGGTCCGACGATGGCAACTCATTCATCGTCCTCGACGAAGACGAGTTTGCTCGGCGCTTGATCCCAGAGCTCTTCAAACACAATAACTATGCCTCCTTCGTGCGCCAGCTCAACATGTACGGGTTCCACAAAAAAGTTGGCCTTTCGGATAACTCGATGCGCGCAAGTGAGCGTAAAAACAAGAGCCCGTCAGAGTACTCTAATCCCTTTTTCAAACGAGGCCACCCAGAACTGCTCTGGTTGATTTCTAAGCCCAAGAACCAGCCTGGTCACGGAGCCAAGGGAAGCAAGGCCGGGAGCCGTGTTAAGACCGAGGAAGCGGACGAGAATGAAGGAGAAGACTATGGAGAGGAAGCTGGTGCTGGCCACCGTGAAGATCGTGCGCGAGCGCGCCCGCTTCACCTGATCACCGACTCGGCGATGCCTAAGGAGCGCCTTGATCAGGTAATTCACGCTCTGAACGAGATTCGTATGCAACAAGCGAGGATTTCAGGCCACATCGAGAGCTTGCGACATGACCATGAGTTACTGTCTGCCCAAGCCGCCAGCTTCCAAGAGCAACACACCCGCCATGAAAATTCGATCAACGCAATCCTCACCTTTTTGGCGACGGTGTACAACCGCAGCCTTCAACAAGGCGACAGCGCGTCCAATATCGCTAGCTCCTTTGCGGGCGTGATCTCGGGGGACCAGCAAGGCAATATCGTGGATATGGGTGGTGACTTTGGCTTCAACCCTATGGCATCCATGGCCAGTCCAACCGGACAGCGGACACTGAAGAGACAGCCGCTATTGCTCAAAGCGCCGCCTACCGCGAATGAGGGCAATCGGGCGACTACCCTTTCGCCAGCTGCCACTGGGCCCTACGACAATCGATCGCGCAATAATACTCGCCAGCCCAGTGCGTCACAACCAGGGCATGTGGAAGAGTTACTTGACACTAGCCCTCGTCAAGCTGCTGCCAATTATTCCATGGGAAATGGCACCGAGACAGACTTCCCGGAAAAAGAAATGTTGTCTGTGATTCAAAATTCAAATGCCCGCCACGCCAGCCCCAATACCATTACCCACTTCCCCGACGTTTTGTCCTCGCTTGAGAAGGGAGGCAATGGCGCGATCACCCCCGGCGTCCGCGCCGATATGCTTCGGATGATGGCAAACAAGACCGGACATGATGCCGATTCCGCGAGTGCCAACAACGCCCTCGTATCGCCCACACCCCCACCCATGCCCCAAGACTATTCCAATCGCCTCTCCAAGACACGCCAGCAAATTGACAGCCTCGCCAGACTGCAGGCCCAGCAGGACCGCTCTGTGCAGGACTTGACGAACCTTCTGCAACCACTGAGCCCCACAGGGAACATTCCTGGATTGAACAATGATAACGCACCTCCGATTGACCTTGAGAACATCTTCGACCTTGACTACTTCAGCAATGATGTGTCTGGATCCGCCGGAGAAGTAGTTCAGCCAGCACATGACTCATCGACAGCCGGCACAGGGACGACGGCCCACCAAGGCGATCCCGCGATGGTCGCCACCGTGGGTGCTCAGCCGGACAATACAGATGATTTCATGGCGTTCAACGACGACCCTCTGTTCGCTCAAGCTCAACCTTCGCAAAACCTGCACCCGCATGATCCCTCTTACGGTTATGGGTTTGATGGAACAGGCTATGGCGCCGACGTCGGATCTGGCAATCTCGATTCGAGCCGCATCGTCGAGCAATTAACCGATAGCGAGGCCACTAGTCCTGCGGCTGCTGTTGAGGATCCGGATGCTGAGCTTGATGATGGTGGCAGTGCTACTAAACGACGTCGTAAGGCCTAGACGCATCTTGATCTTCATCTTCACGCTAGGTTCCACGTTCGAGGTTACATGAGAGACAGCTTGCGAGAGGCCGGGGGCACATGTGAAAGAGCTCACTTGTCCATTGAAGCAGTATTCGATGATCGAAGCAAATTCTAGACTCTAGAAGGAGAGAGGGGGAGGGAAAGAGGGAAGAGAGACAGAGAATGGCAGGCATTTGATCAAATACCCCGGGGAGAAAAAAGCATGGCGTTACATGAGCATCAGGTTCATCGACTTCTCATTTTATTCCTTTTCTTTCCTTTCATTGTCTTTTCTTTTCTTTTCTTTTTTTTGTGGGAAAGTTTCATATCCTATGATATTTTTGGGCTCGGTATCTTGCTATTCCTGTCCCTCTTCTCTAACCAAGTATCTTATCCAGAAGCGAAGGTTGATACGTTTACACATCGAGAAAGCTTGCTATGCATACATGAGAGATGGAGCATTGCGAATGGACTTGACACTCTTCTGAAATCTTGGAACCGTCATGGGCATTTTTGACTCTCCTTTTTGCAGTCGCTTGACGGATCTATCAAAGCATTCTTTGGAAATATCCGTTGCAGACATCGAGACGGGGCTTCCCAAGAGCTTGCACCAGTAACATGACCATATGATACACATAAACTAGCAATGACAGAAGAAACCTTGGGATGGCGTCTGTGCTCTACACACTCACAGTCCCTAGAATGGTGAGCTCTCACGTTCCCTTGAATCTGGACGTTTGAAGTTCATTCCAGCAGGCGTCTTAGCATCGAGCCGTGCTTGAAAATCTACATTCTCACAAGACCCCTAGAATACAATACTCAACGCTCGCTGTCATCTGCTCCGACAATGTCATCTACTACGGCGACCTACCTCTCCGCAATGAGATCTCCTTCCAACTGGATTGGAAGTCGCGGCCATGCTCAAGTCAGAATCCCTGACCGCGAGCTGATTCCCAGACTTGCTACTGTCACTGTCTGGCGCCCCAACCGTTGTTCGACCCAGGCGCCCCTGGACCGGACAGTGCTCTTCACCGATGCCCAAATCTTCATCAAGCGGACCCGGTTTTTCCCAGAACGATGTGCATGAACGCCACAATGTAGATTATGCATCTGCTCGCTGAACGCGCTTTTGGAAGAATGTCCCGTACCATGGAATTTCTCGCCGCGAACCCCCATCCTTCATCCTTAATTCCATCCAGTACCGCGGCTGCGGCTTGCAAGCAAGGCCGCCTAGGTACTAGGTAGTGGTAACATGTAAGAAGGAACATGATATCGTTATCTCGGCCCTGGGAGAAAATGCGCTCTGGTTCCAACACCTGATAGATAAGCCCGGGTTTCGACGGAAATTAAGTAGGAGAATAGGTAGTCGCCATACCTTGTTGACGCACTTAAACCCCATATAAGCTGATATAGCTGGAACGTATTTGGTAGATACCTGGATCAAGTGCCGAAGAAGTCCCATTGGGAAGGGACTGCCAGGAAGACAAGTTTACGAAGACCATGGAGTAAATTAAGATTCTTGCAATCCAATCCGAATTCGGCTGAGAACATTGGGAGGTTTTCCGAGGACTCGGCCCGATAAAGATATCTGCGTGCGATCAAGGAAGCTATATGTATCTAGTTCCCCGGCTGTCCACTGTTAATTGAAGAGAACCTACTTTCCTGCACGATCCCATTCTCGTTCACCAGCTCTCTCGCGCTTGCGCTCTCGTTCCCGATCCCGTTGTAATCCTCTCTTTCGCCCGCTTGGCCCTCCTAGATCCTTCTCTTTTTCCCGTGGATCGATCACCATCAAGGAATCTGCATCGTCCGGGTGCTCTTTCTTCCAATTCAAGTCCTTTCCTAGCGTGTCCTTTCCAAACCGAAGGGTATGATTTAACCAACCCTGGTCGTGTATATCGTCCTTCTCGTCTGCTTCAGCGTCGGGATCATCCCATGATTTGCACGATTGACAATTGGCGATGAAGTGTAGATCGCAAAGTTGTGCTTCTTCGTCGTCGTCGTCCTCATTAACTTCTCGGGTATCTTCTTTGTGAGAATTGTGATTCTCTTTGGATTCGTGGCGATGTGATATTGAAGGTGTAGGATCCATCGTTCCTTCAAGTTTGGCCTTGAACGCATTAAACATGTCAAGTGCTGCCTTTTCGGCAGACGTTTTCGAGCCTGAACCGGAAGCTGCGCCGTTCGTCGAGCCGGGTGCTGGTCGTTTTCGGCCGCGAGTCGCCGTCTCGGGAATCATGGCCTCGAGAGCGGACTTTTTGCGGCCAGTGTCTGCGGGACCGACCTCGACGTTTCGTCGCATGGACGCCTTGAGTGATGCGATTTCGGCCTCCATCCGCGAGAGTTTCGAGGGTGCGTCCTTGGGAGGTGGAGATACCGGACTTGGAGAACGAGAGGGAGACTCTGGGTTGGGCAGGGGCAGTTGCATATGTGGTTCGGGAGTTTTGATCCTCTGCTTGCGAGGGGATGAGGAGGGACGGTTCGGGGATGGGGAACGAGGTCGTTTTCGCGCGGCCAACGATGGCTCTGCTGTGCTTTTCATTTGTGATGTCTTTTCAATGCCAGTCTCCTTCATTGCGTCGGGTACATCGGCGACTAATTTTGTGTTAAATTTGGGCTTTGCCGGTCGTATAGGCATACCCTCTTCCCCTTCATCATCGCCAAAACTAAGCAGAACCTTGGTCGCCTTCTTCTTCTTGTTCTTCTTCTTTGAGGCTTGATCGTCAGCGCCACCGGTGGTCGTCGAGATCGTCTTGCGGTCTTTCAATTTCCCTTCCAGTGGTCCCAGTTCTCCCACTTGGCAGGAGATCACCTTGACCGGATATAGTGGCCGCTCGGTGCCCTCGACGCGGTCCGCCTCTGCAATCTTCAACACATTGAAGATACTGTCACCTTCCAGTCGTCCAAACAATGTACACTGCCCATTCATCTCCCGCTCCGTGTTCCCCAGCGTAATGAAGAACTGACTTCCGTAGGACCCATCCTCGCTCTTGGCCATGCCCACCTGGCCCCGCCGATTGAAGCGCAGACGACTGTGGATTTCATCGCGGAGCACAACGCGCTCACTGGGATCGCGCGCCTCGGGATCATATTCGAACTCGGGATACTCGTAGATAGAGGTGCCTCCGGATCCCGTACCCGTCGGATCACCGCCTTGAACTACAAAGTCGGGCACAATGCGATGAAAGATTGTGCCGGCGTAGTAGTTATCTTTGCAGTGTTGGAGGAAGTTCTTGCACGTGAGCGGCGCCTGTTTGGCGAATAAAGCGATATGGATCGGACCGATGGTGGTGTGAAGCGTCGCCGACGCCGTGGGATTCGGCTCGCTTGCATATTGTGTGGACATTCTGGATGCAGCGTCGTATAGGACGGACAAAGAGCGCAGAAGGAGGCGCTGTCGGAGTTGTCGAACCACCACGACTTGGAAGGGGGGTGGGGAGGGGGAGAGCCGCTCCAAGGGTGACAAGGCCTGGTCAACTCCAGTCGTTCTTCGATATTCTGCTTTCCGCAATGGAGGGTATTCTCCGAGTCAACGGCAGAACGTCATGTCACGTGGCCTTGAGTACGCCGTCTCACCAACTAGCTCCATACATAGTACAATTGTACAGTAGAACTTCAAATAGGTGCACGGTACCACACTACTTTTGGTCTGATCGAGAAAGTACGAAGGGGGCGATCCAAGGCATCGTGAATGCTCTCACTTGGTGAGAGGCCATCATAGCAAGAGATTAAATACATGAAACAATACGCAACGGATATCGCATAAGTTGTGCGTTGGCTCTACTTCGGCCGTGTCTATAAGCAATGATCCCTAAGAGAGGGAAAAAAAAAGAGCGTCATCTGTCGCTTGGGGAAGGTTGTCGCTTTTTGGCTTGACGAAGATGCAAGTGTTGCCGTGGGCTGAGTTGCATGTGGAGGTCGGTAACGGCGATGGTGACTTTTACAGTTGTCGCGAGCGGTCTTTCTCCCTCCGTCTTTCTCTGTGTCCCGGCTTTTCCTCCCCTCTGATGCGCAAACCGCACGAGACATGAACCATGCACTCGCGGGCCTCATTCGAACAAGAATGGGTCCATGGACAATGTGCACATTGCCATGGAAGAATGAAAGGGGGCCATTACCTGTTCGCCTGGAAGTGATTAGCACGGATTATCAGGCGAGACCTTTTACAGACGCACAACTCCAGAAACTGACGGCTTCCCGCGGTCTAAGGATTGGAAGAGAGGATGGAATGATTGGCGCATAGTGGGTGTTTGGCAAGCACTCAAGGTCAAGACCCGTGGGTGCGCCGGCAGCGGAGATCTTACAGCATTGAGGCAGCAAGCATATCCTTGAGTTGTCGCGTTGGGGAAGTGAAAAGAGACTCGAAGGATGCAAGGCGCAAGAAGGCGAGTCAGAGGTCGTGGTGGTGATGGTTGTCGCGTGGGGTCAAAAAGCGGCACGGCATCCATGTCCTTGTGCTGTTGCAGGGAGGGAGGGAGAGACAGAGAGAGAGAGAGAGAGACCGGCATCAGGCTGAGATGCGATCTCCGAGACACAACAAAGCATGGAGCCATCAGAGATACGGTAGAGGAAGCGGCCGGGGCGACGTTGGCCTTACAAGCCCTGCCCATTTTGGGCCGCCATCATCGGCACTGACATGGTCATAGGTAAAGGCATCGACAGAGGTCTCATTCCACGATCATGGTCAAAGGTGGGGGTTCTGGCATGAAGACCGAGTTGAAAGCGCAGTCGACGGAGCGTCCGTTCTGAGATCTCATACCCATCCTGTCGCAACAGTTTCAACATGGCCTTGTCGGTCAGCTTGTCTTGCATGAAGAGCACCTTGATGCGTGCATGCAGCACCTCGTCCGCGGTGGTGGTGCGGCTGCGTTTGCGGATTCCCCCACAGTCGGAGACGGGACTGGATCGTCCGTTCCTTCACCTGGATGTTAAATCGAGATTGCAGAATGCGACTGATGGAGTCACTACTGATACCGCGTTGGAAGAGAGTGATGATCTCTTCCCGATAGGGTTCAAGATTGATCTGTTGACGCGGCATATTGTCGAGGATGCTGTTTGATTTCTCTCTCGGGGGTGAGGTATACTTGAAGATGTAGAAGTTTAGGGGCAGGGTGGGGGACTGAGGTTTGGGAGAGGAAGAGTGAGCCAAGAGAAACGACCAGGAGGGAACGGGGGTGAAGGGAAGAGAGAAGGTGACCGAAGACCCAAACTGGGTGGAATCTCATTATATGATCACACGGCTGCCAGGACACGCTAAATCACATGGAAAGTGCCAATTGTCAAATGGTGGCTTTTTTGGGTGAAAGCCGCTTGAAGCGGGGCAAGAGAGGGGACTAGACCAGACTAGGCCCGTAAGAACACGAGCGCCGTGAGAAACCGGAGAGAGAGAGAGAGAGAGAGAGAGAGAGAGAGAGAGGTGAAGTCGCGCATGTTGTTCTCTTCAGTCCAGCGAATGTGTCCGCCTCGATCCCTTCTTCTCCATAATGTGGCTCGGTACAAGAGGTGATCATCTTCTCAATGAGGCTTTTCAAAGCAGTGGACTGTTGAGGAGCGGATACTTCAAATACCACCCCACTACTACTGTCTACTTCATGCTTGGGTGACAGTATGTCCGTAGGAAAAATCAAGTAGACGTGTACGTGAGGTAAACGCTTTCTTCGTTAATTCATTCATAAGGTAGACACCATCTGGCTACTGCTACCGATCATTTAACTATAGGCATTCTCTACCTGATACGAAGTGGGACACAAGAGTACCTACAGTACCTACAGTACCTACAGTACCTAGGTACTATAGTCTTGGTCCCCGTCCAGTTATTGACTGAGTCGGCCAACCCCCAAAGGAACTCAACATTCTGCGAGTGAGCAGGGTCAGACGGTAGTTGACAAGTCTGTCAGGTATGAGAAAAGTCACGTAATCGGGACTTGATTTCAATTATCAAAACATTACGTGGATGAGGGTGCATGTCATGGAAAGGTCGTAAAGGCAAGGCCTGTCTGCAGAATCAACCCAACTACCACGTTCAGGAAGAAGACGACGACGCAGGGCTAGGGGGGGGGGATTCGGTTTCCTCTCGTCAGTAGATTGGCGAGGAGAAAGCCAAGAGATTTACTTCTTTTCCACAGAGGCCGTGTCATTGACGGTAATGACCTCGGCACGGTTCTTGTTTCGCTTGGAGATTCGGAATCCACCGACCAAGAAGAACAGAGCCTCCAGACCAAGGATCACAGCCAGAGTCACCATGGCGCCTACCACACCAGCGACGGCGCGAGACATGCCATGAGAGCTGGAGGAGGAGGGGGAGGAGGTGGCGGTGGCCTGGGCGCTGCTGGTCGTGCTCGACGCACACTTCCCGTCGGTGTTGCCGCAAAGATCACACCACTGGGCATCCGAGGAGACGGCGACCTTTTCCAGACCGGACTTGAAATCAGACCAGGAGAGGAGATCCTTGGTCTGGCCGAACAGGGGCCACACAGTGGGTTGCGCACCCTCGGTCAATGTGCCATTGTGAAACATGAAACGGACGCTCAGCTCATCCTGAGAGGGCATCCCCGTGCCAGTGGCATTGGTCACCAGCTCAAAAGCCATGGATGAGGCGTAGTCGGGGAGTCCGGTGAAGTCAACCGAGGCAGCGGGCAGCTGCACCAAGCCGAAGAAGGACAGGAACGTTCCATAAGAGCCAAAGGAGATGGCCAGCTTGGACTTGCCACCGGAGGCGATGGTCTCATTGAAGCTGGAGAGAATCTCCCCCGCGAGAACGGCACCCGCGATGGCTCGCACAGGGTCAGAGGAATTGTAAGCCAGATTATACTGTTGATTGTTGGCAAGCTGGAGCAATTGATCATAGGTCGCCTGGTTGGCGGAGGCCTCCGCCGATGAGTTGTGAATGCGGCCCACATTCAGATAATCGAAGATCGAGTATGCGTTCTTGAAGCTCATCAGCGACGGTGAGAAAGTTGAGTTGATCAGGGGTGACAGAGACTGGTAGAAGCTCTTGGTGGATTGCAGCATCGTCTCATACGCGGTTGAGACGTAATAGTTGTTGCTGCTCACGGTCGCCTTGTTGCACTCACTGGAGCCTTGGAGCCAGGTCTGTCCCTCATTGCTGTTGCTGGAAGAGGTGGCTGCAATCTGAATCAATTGATAACCCTGAAGCGGCGAGTCGACCGTCGTTCCGTTGGCCAGGGTCTGATTGGCACTGCTGCCCGCTGGGGGATAGACACCCTGCAGGAAGCCCGTGGCCGAGTTCTGCAGAACAGCGTCGGCGGGGGAGCTCGCGCTGATCTGCGCGGGGTTCACAATCACGGGGCTGATGCCTTCGATCTGCTTGTCAGATCCAGCGGCCACATAACGGTCATGGTAGAAGGAACCGGCGTCGAAGACCTCCCGGTAGCCAAGATTGGTCAGCTGCGTGTTGCCCAGCACTTTGGCCGTGCGATCACCGTGACGGGCATAGATGTACGCTCCCAGGACCCGTTCGGCCTCGACCACCGAAGTCGACAAGGAGGCTGCCAGCAGCAGACCCGACTGAATGGACGCGCGCATGGTGATAAGCAGGAGGACGAGGAGGACGAGTGACCTTCAGAAGAAAAGAAATGGGACCGAAACAGGACCTCTGTTGCCGTGGAGCTTGAATGGAAGGCGGACAGAGAAAAAGGTGAGAACGCAACCTCGTCTGTCCCAATCGTGTGGTTTTGTTTGTTCCAGGCGTGCTCCACTGGAGGATGGGAATAGAAGACTGCCAACTTGGCGGACGAACCAAGAAATACAGCGTGATTTATACCTTTTCGGGGGCCCCTCAGTCGGAGTCATCCGCGGAGAAGCTGCGGCATCAAAACTGGTCGCGGTCCAGCCCATCCAGTTCTTCCGCCTACACTTTCAAGTAAGTTAATCACGACTCACTAGTAGTGGCTGCCGAGCGTCTTCGATGCTTTTCCACTGGTCGAGACCAATCTCACGCAAGAGCATGCCCATGTCAGGCATGCATTCAACATCCATTTCGCAACCATAATCAATGAGCCGGTTGCTTGACTGAAGGTTTGTTCACGCTGTTGTCAGACTGACTCGTGCACCACCTCCGGGTGCGGGGTTGCAGTCCACGCTCCCGTACCTACATCGGTACGAAGTTACTACGTAACAAATCAAGCAGACAATCACCTTGTCCGCGTTATAGATCGATAACAATAGCAATGGATGGTGTTGACAGCAGATGAGAATCTTGCAGGTTTACAGGTGACCTTCCACAATTTTGGTTCGACAACTTGCTGTGTACAGAGACAAGTCTCTGTCAACAGGTACTAGTGGGGGATTTGCAGCATCCGTACCTGCCTGGTATCTTTTCGGAATGAGAAATGGGAATTGACTCTTATCAGGTATGCGTGGGGGGGGGGGTCCATAGTGGGGGAGTTGACCAATTGAAACAGATCTAGTGGGGCTATAGGAGCTCGAGAACAAGAACGTCCGGTGGAACTGTAAACCTTCTGGGCTGCCAGTTGCCGTGGGTGGTTGGAGGTATCGAGCACTGGTTTTTTTCTCTTCTCCCCCACTTGTCGCGACTCGCGAGACTCACTACTACTACAGGACTCGTACAAAGTAAGGTACGTAGCACGACCTCTACTCAAGACCACGGTGGGGTACTGCTACAGCCCTCTGCAGCTACGGTATACAAGATGGTGAGGAACAGTACCACTATTCAGGACGCAGGGCTGTCCATGACTCCATCACTTTCGAGTACCTCGACGATGCAGCTGATGGTATGGTAACTCGATCAACCTTTATGCCCAGTGAGGGTTAAGTCACATAAGCAAGGCTTTGCCAGTATGATGTGACGTCACAATCAGACTGCCCGGATTGGATGGAATTACCCAAGGTAGTAAGGGAGCTTCAATGAAATAGTCCTCGGACCGGTGATCATGCTTCCTGGAAGTCTCGAAGGGCCCACAATCAAAAGGTCATAGCAAGTATCAAGCTGTAGTGACCCCTTGGTCGCCCATCAATTCACACCCGTTTCGTACCACGCCAATCAAGCCACCCGTCTGCACCACTTCGGAGCCACCACCCGACAACCGCCACTCAATCTCGGCGAGGCCCTCGAGCCATGTGATCCGCGTCTGTGCAGGGACATCCAGCCTTTGCAATTGGTCTGCCAGTGCAGATAGAATGTCCGCCAGCGCCAGGCCTTTACTTGATTTGAGCGTGTTCACGGTGTTGAGACAGGAAGTCACATCGCTCGTGGAGAGAATGGTCCGCATGATCTCTTCGATATCGGCCGGATGTGGGGCGGCAATACAGTCATAGATGGTTTCGTTGGTGATCATTTCATGTTCGGGCAGGGGCGCATTTGGGGCATCTCTCATGGGCAGGGGGATACCTGTAGTCATGGGTGAGTTTGAATCCGGCAAGCACTGTGAACGGTGGATGATATTCCAGGAAAAACTCTGAGTAACAACCCGGGCAGAGAAGGGACTTACTGCTGGCATGACAGGCTTGAAGCACATTCAAAGCGCGTCGCATGTCTCCCTTGCTCAGCTTGACGAGACTCTCTACAGCTTCAGGCTGGATGCGCACGTTTTCTTTCTCAATGACTTGATCGACGAGGACTCGAATGTCGGCCTCCTTCAAGGGACTGAAGCGAAATCGGGTACATCGTGAGAGAAGGGCCGGGGACAACTTGTGTGTGTAATTGGCAATGATGCAGAAGCGGGTGTTTGCGGTATATTTTTCCATGATCCGTCGCAGGGCCATCTGGGCTGTCGAGGTCATGGCGTCGGCCTCATCCAGAATGATCAATTTGAAGCCGGCGAGGGAAGAGGTGCTATCTTTGGCCACGGGGGCCATGGTGAAGATCTGTTTTGTGCCTGTTCAACAATCAAACTTTAGTGACATGGAATCACCACCAACCTTAAGCTCCCACGTAGCAATGCATTGGCAGCTTACTGGCAAACGTCTTGATTTGTTCTCGCACAACGTCAATGCCACGGTCGTCACTGGCATTGAGCTCGAGCACCATCTGTCGCATGTTTTTCGTTCCATATATCCGCCGGGCGAGTGCCAAGATTGTTGATGTTTTGCCCGTTCCTGGGGGACCATAAAGAAGGAGATGAGGTAGGCGCTAGTGTCAGGTAAGCATATGTGCTCTGCCAATCTCGGCGTACCAAGACAGACGTACGTTCTTTTCGATGAATTTGTTGATTGTTGCGAGAATGTCTTGATGACCTGAAACATCATCTAATGTGCTTGGTCGGTATTTCTCAACCCTGAATGGAAGGCAGAGCTTAACACCGTATCATCAGCCCGAGTGAAGTCCGAGATTCGTACCATGGCAAATTGTCTTGAGCTTGTACTGGCAGATCAGCCACCGTCCTCTTTTTCCCACTAGCATTCTCTGAGCTGAATTGAACGTCCTTGGTGGGCGCATCCACGTCCATTTCATCTTCGTAATCCGACATGGTGAATAGTCACTGTGAGGTGCAATCAAAAAACGTGATCAATGGTGCTGATGGTTGGAAATTGGCCGCTCGATCGCGACAAATGCAGCTTGGACGCGTTGCGCGCGTTAAGAGGAGCTCGGGCCGGAAAATCCACGACCATCCGGAGTTGGAGTTCAGTAAGCAGTTCCCGATCAAGAGGCCCCGACTGAGGTAAGCTTCCCGCAGTCCAACCGTCCACTACCGGAGTACCTAAGGTACTGAAAGGGGACGTGGGTCGATGTCATTGCCCAACTGCACCACCGCCTGCATCGTCCGCAGTCCGCACCGCCGCCTCCGCAACATCAGCCTGCTGATCTATTGCTCCCTGCAAATCCAAGCTCCTCGCCAACCCATCCAGCATGCCGGTATGTATATGATCCTGGTGTCTGTGAGAATCAAGAAATAGTATCTGAAACTGACCATGATTTTTCCAGGCGTATCACTCCATCTTCCTAGAGGACCGCGATGTTCCCGTGATAGGTACATTGCCCCGCCTGCAGCTGTTCGGCTGCTCGACTCTGTCTCGAGGGCCGATTTGCAGCGCCGGCCTTCCCACAAGCACATAAGTTGACAAAAAGATGAACGATAGGGAACTTTCCTATCTTGCCATTGCGTACCAAGACTCGTGGTCCCGCATACACACTTCCCGCGCTACCCCCCAATACCCCCGATATGGATGTCACCCCCGAAAGTGAATCCTACGATTGCATCGACGAAATTCTGTCCCTCTTCCGCGCCAACGTCCTGTTCCGAAACTTTGAGATCAATGGCCCGGCAGATCGTATGCTCATTTATGGTACACTCTTCATCAGCGAGTGTCTAGGCAAAGTCAAGCCTACAATGACTGCCCGCGACGCCGAAAAGGTAGGCAGTTGCATTTCTGAACTCCAAGCTGTCGCATGCGGGGCAAAAGGCGAAGACTGATATTTCAAACTCGATAGGCCTTGATCAATGCTTCCTTGGAAAGCTTCGCCATTCCGGGTGATGTTTCGTTCCCATTGAACCAGGCCTTTGAGCCACCTCGTGATCGCCAAGACGCGGAGACCCTGCGAGCGTAAGTACTGGACGGACTGCCATTGCGACGTGGTTAGACGCAGTCACTGACCAAGTCCCCTCTTTTGCCCCAATTAGATACCTCTCCCAGGTTCGCCAGGAAATCGCCATGCGGCTACACGCTAGATTATACCCTGGTGGTGAGGGACCTTCCAAGGTTAGTTGCAACCAACGCTCCCGGCGATCAACCCCCCTCATTGCAACAGCCCCGGTTAACGGAATGATAGTTCTGGCTCAGCTTCACGAAGAGAAAGTTTATGGGCAAGAGCCTGTAGAGGGACGAGGCGATTATATATTGTTTCATGAATTTCAGCGCATCAATCAATGAATTTTGATTCGTCAATCGAATCGCGCAAGACCCGTGGTACCGAACTGGATGGCAGCACAATTGGAAGTCCAACCTAGCTACAAGACTAATTGATTTCCATCCTATCAAGAGGCAGAGATTGAAGCTACGGTCAAGTCAAGAGGTGACTAGCAGGGAAATGCTTTGCCTTCAAGGTTGCTCCTCGAGAGTGGGTTTAGATTACCGTGATTTCCCACGCTAAAGCTACGCGCCAAGGCTCAAGACGCAGATTGAATAGTACAGTACTAGTGAGTCTACTGACACTATTCCGAGGGACGTATTCATTGATTGTTCGGCATAATGGAATCGTGACCTCGAACTTTTATTCAAACATGTTACGACGCCATTTCCACATCCCGATCACTTGCTGGGGTGGATGTTTCTTCCACCTTGCGCTTCTTTCGGAAGGTGCCTGCGGCTTGAATATTCGCCGAGGTAGGAATGACATGCACGCCGTGGAAGAGATATCCTTCCGACCCTCCCCTACCCGTCATGAGCGGATGTGTTCGGCCAGGCAGGACTTGCCAAGCACGTACACGGGTGGTGTGAAGGGTGGGAGGCAAAAGTTGTGTGGGGTCAAGGGTGAACTCCTCGAGGAGGGGACTGATGTCCAAGGTCTCTTCTTCTGACGACCTGGAATTCTCCAGTTCCCGTTTTTTGTTGATGAAAGCGGTGCGCCGGGCAGTTGAGTAGAGATCCATGAGTTCAGTGAGCGGTTCAATGAAAGGGGAGTAGACGGCCACCGCCGCAGAGCCGGACAGAAGGGGTATCGTATGCTTGAGGATGCCTGCGGGTTCTAAAAGGGTAGCCACAACCAGACCGTCAAATCCTCCGGCACGAGCCTCATCTGTGACAGCGCGGAACTTCTCCCAGCGATTTCGCTTGAAGAAGTAAGCCGTACGCTTGCTAGCTTTCAGTGCTGCAAGCTCCTCACTGGACAGGGCTGGGGGCTCGCTCGACAGAATGGGATCTGTTGCGGGGTCCACGAGTTGCAACCATGACACGGTCTTGAGGTGAGTATGCAGCGGGTGAGATTCGTCAGGGGTGTTGATGTCGTAGCCAAAGTACTTCAGTAAGGACAGGTTCGGTTGCGAGTAGGAGTGAATCACCGTGATAGTGTTCCCTTGCGCGGACATGGGGCGAGGACGCTTATGCCGAGGCATGGATGTGGTCGACTTTTTATCTGAGGATTCTACCTCTCCGTGTGCCGTACCAGAGCTCTCAACAGGTTCCGCATCCTCGTCATCCTCCTCCGGGTATAAGATGCCCATGCGCTCAGCCATGGCCGCGACCACGAGCCCGCCGGTTTCGTCGACCACAAAATACCGGCCATCAGGCCGCACCGACGAAATCGCACTGAGGTCTGACTGGCCGCCGTGATGCACGTTGCCCAAACAGCCAAGCAGGCCCACGTGCTCATCGCGGAGTTCCATCGTCCGTTGAGCGTCCCGTTGCTCGAGCAGAAAGTTGGTGAGGAAGCCAACGTCCAAGGGCAAGACTGTAAATCTGCGGATGTACTTCTTTCGCTTCCGCAATGTGTACTTGGCAAGCGAAAAGGCAGTTTTTTTATCCAAGAGGGTATGAGATTCCAGCAGTCGTGCGACGATCTCCTTGCCCGCGCCGCTAGTCTTCTTTTTCAACTCCTCGATCTCTTGGGTGGTCAATTTCTGCGTTGACGCATCGTCGGTGATATTGCGATTTGTGCGCATGGGTATGGGCGTAGCAGATCCTGACTCTCCCTCTTCGCCCTCGCCGTCTGCGTCGGCCTCTTCGATGAGGTTTTCCGCGTGGAGCTCCTCCGCGGGAACAATGCGCAGCTGATAGCCGTCATTCTGGGGGGCGTCGAGGATCTCAAATGTCAGAAAGAATGGACGACCGAGAATCTGGTTGGCGGCGAAGCTTCCATATTTCCCTAAATGAACGACACTTTACCCCCCAAATTAGTCTGATAATCTCCATCGCGCATTGGAAGCCTCCGGAGGACTTTTTGACGTACGTATCTGGGACCAATTTGACGATACGAGTCTGATCTGAGGGCAGCTGAAGGACCACATGTTGATTTGGGCGAATAGAGGAATGCATGTTGACAGCCGCGATCCTTGCAGTCGTTGATCACCTCGACTTTCCCCGCGAGTCGCAAACGTGCAAGCTCATCCAGATCGACGCGGGCAACTTTTTTTTGCCTTTGAGATGTCGGGCCAATCAGGATCTGTATCATGCAGGAAGCCGAGGGTCTGTCGGAGAATCATTAGTCCGAGGAGTACATCCATCACGCAGATGGTTGGCAAACGGCATTAGTATCACTATTCACTATTCACTATTCACTATTCACTATTCACTATTCACTATTCAGTATGAGTACTTACCTAATCATCAGCGATCACTATTCAAACTCAGAGCACATGAAGTATATAGTAGGCTCCCACGACTAGAACTCTCTCTTGGACACAAGTGGCAATCTCAAGTCATCCGTGATGATCCTAGTGTCTAATGAGCTGCTGTAGAAGCGTGGCTGCGGCTGTGCTACTATGTGCCGCCCCCAGGTTGCACCGCCATCGGAGATAAGCCACAGCTTGCCCCATGCGACCGGTTGGGAACCACTGCGGCTGCGCGGCATGATGGAGTTTCAATACATGCCAGTTTTCCACGGGTAGTTAAGAGTTAGTAGTAGTACTAGTGAGTACACTACCTAATGGACGCTGGACAGTACAATCAATACCGTGTTCTATTTCCAGGCGTCTATTTACCGACTTACCATAGTCCAAGTCAGAGCGGGTTGTGGAGGTGATCATCGGGACTCTCGAGTGGAACAAATGTGGGTGCCTATGCTGCGGGCCCGCCCTGATATCGTCATCCATGGGGGAACGCCCGGGCGACCCCAAGCGGAGGCGGTTCGATCATCGTCAACTGGGCTGAGCTAATTCTGGCCACTCGAAGCTTCAGCCGTTTCCTCGGTCAATAGTGCATCCAAGGCGTCCCTCATTTTCTTGACAAGGCACATGCTTGCTCATCTACTTCAAATCGTCTGGTTCATGTCCTCGGCCACCAGCATTCGCACCGCTCGAGCTCCTGCGAGCGTCAAATTGAGAGCACATTCTACTTTTCACTGTATGTCCCCAGTTTCAATAGTGATTCGCTTTCCACCTGTCTCCAGACTAACGGTCAGGGCTCACAGTCCTCTGAGAAACCTCATCTTCGTATAGCATCACCCATTCGCTCGAAGGTCTCGTCGGAGAAATCACCCAGTTCAACACAAGTGGGCCTCGACAACGTCCCCGTCACAGCATCGAGCCCTGTCGCGACGGGAGTCATTTAGCAATCTTGTGTCCTGAACTTCCTTTTCGCTGGACCCGATGTCGCCTGACGAAACACGAGGACCGCCGGCAAGCACGGCGGGCGGTAGTTCGCAAAACCCATGGGCTGAAAACGTAGAGGATCGGACGAGCTACGACTACAGACCAACAGCTACAGGCGCGATCGAGACTGGAGACTCCGCAAGTGGCCATCAACCGATTCCGCCAGCTTTGCAAGCGGGTCACCACTCAGCAGTGGACGAAAGCTGGGATCAGCCAGTGAATTCTGCTCCTCCCGTTCCTCATTATCCTGATGCAGACTCCTCCAAACACCTTCAGTCGAAGAATCCGTTTTTAAAGTCGCGGCCCCATGAACAGAACCAGGACTGGAAAGAATCAAGTCCGTGGGATGAACAAATTACTCAAACATCAACGAGTGATGACTATTTGCATCGAGGTATGACCAAATCGCATGCATGATAACTGATTGACGCATCCCTGGCCGTAGCTGATGTTCTTAGCGGATGGGTTCATTCCCATGACTGCGCGTCTCTCACTCGCGGACAACTCTGAGCAACCTGGGGATCCATGGGCAAATCAGCAGTCCGCTCACGTCGAGCCCCCTCGTCCGGTTGTGGTGGATCCGCCTCAAGATGCCTCTCCCTGGGGCCCAGAGTCTTCCTATCAAGCCCCAGCTGCGTATGACGTTCGCGACCAAACGAGCCATGTGACGCAGAATTCCCAATCCGTTTATCCACAGTCTTTGGGTGCCGACGACGGTGGATGGGTACAGCCACCAAGTGAGGGAGGCAGAACGGACTTGGATATTGGCCTTAGCGCCCCGTCACAGCAATTGATCGACCTTGACTTTCCGGGTACTCGGTCAGGATTAGGAGCCGGCGCTCACTCAGGGGCACACTCCTTCGCTGCGAGCCAAGAAGCATATTTGAGCGACTCGACAGATTTCAGGCCTGACTTGCCGCCGAGACACATCTCGCAAGGACGGGGACCGCCTCTTCCCAGCAGGACGCTTTCTCCGGCAGAAGAAGCCAGGCAAAAGCAGCAGCGGGCCGAGACGTACACGATCCGACAGATCAATTGGACCAATGGAAAAGGGCAATTAATCCAGTCACCTATTTTGATGCAGAATGAGAACGGGCCTTGCCCCCTCCTCGCGCTCATTAACGCACTTGTGTTGCAAGCATCCACTGGCTCAGCGCCACCCATTGTGCGAGCTCTGAAAAGTCGGGAACAGATATCGCTGGGACTCTTGATCGAGGCCCTCTTCGATCAGCTCACGACGTCCCTAGGTCCTGATGACGAATTTCCTGACATTGACGCTCTTGCCCAGTTTTTGACCATGTTGCACACTGGTATGAATGTCAATCCTCGACTCACATTGGTAAGTCACATTCATGTATAAAAAGGGGCGAGAGGAAGAACCTCCAGGTGTGGTGAGACTAATTAACAGCGGCCTAGGAAACAAAAACTTCCTTGGGGACATTCCAGTCAACAAACGACCTGCAATCTTATAGTACATTTGGCATTCCTCTTATTCACGGTTGGCTGGCATCGTGGTCGAGCCCTGAACACGCCGCCATGAATCGACTAGCTCCATATCATGAGGACATTCAACTCCTGCCATTTCGCCAGCAAGAGCTGGAAGATCGGATCATGCGTGGAGATCTCCTAAATGCGGATGAAGAAGGAACCATGGCTGATATTGAGACCATTCAAAAGTTTGTGGAAATTGAGAATGTCACCCAGCTCAGCCCATTTGGCTTGACGCAGTTGTCTACGCAACTGGCCGCTGGATCGGTTTGCATCCTCTTCCGCAACGATCATTTCTCGACGTTATACAAGCACCCAGAATCCCAGCAACTTTACAATCTGGTGACCGATGCCGGCTATGCGAACCATGCAGAAGTGGTGTGGGAATCGCTTGTTGATGTAACTGGCTTCAACTCCCAACTGCTTTCAGGTGACTTCCGCGTCGTCAGTCAGGAATCGTCGAGCAGAGCTGATCCGGAGAGTCCTGACCGCCCTGCTATCCCACCACGACCGAGCGTAACGGAACATTCCAGTGCACCATCAAGCGCCGAGACTCTTCAGCAACCATCATCGCATCAGGAACAGAGTGATGCGGACTATGCCTATGCCCTCTCCCTCCAGTTCCAGGAAGAAGAGCGGCGAGAACGTGTCGAGGAGGAACCCGCTAGAGAGACAACAAGCACGACCCAGCATACCCGCGCTCATCGTCACTCGGTTCCTGTCCGTTTCAATGGGCCTGCTGTGCACATGGATGATCCACCAGCGCGAACCTCCAGCAGCGGCGTTGGACTGCGGCCCCCACAGGGCCGATCCAACGCCGACGATCCGCACGCTCCGCCCCCTCCTTATGAGCGCACGCCGAGTAACGCCTCGTTCACGCCCCCTGCGTCCACAGGGCCAACTCCTGATCATGTTCGAGTGAACCCGTCCATGCCCGGCTTGCAAGACCCCCGCCATCGATACTCACATTCTGCTGGACCCGCAGATCGATATAGCAATGACCGACCTCGGAACAAAGACTGCATCGTGATGTGATGCGACACTGATGACCAAAGGTTCAAGCATATCGTATGATCTACATGATGGACCTAGCCTGCTTTCTCTTATGCCTTTCTTGAACGACCGAGATATCCATTTGCCGGTGCCAACCCACAACCAACAAAACTCAAATGAATTTCACGAAGTCACGAAATGCGCCTGTATCTCTAGACTTCCAGGGTTTGTCCCGTTGGCCTTCCATGTGATGGCTGACATCTAGCCGGGTCTTCTTTTTTTCCCTATTGCTGAAGGATGGAGAGCTTTTTTTTCTTGCCACTAGCCCTTTGGTGTCCCTTATTTTGCTGTATTCTCCACGGGCGTTGCAGAAATCAACACGGACCGCCTCCGCATCGACGGGTATGCTCCGTCTTTCTTCATCAGGCTCGCGTGGACTGTGGGGAAGCGGGGAAGGGAATCTTGTGACTGACAGTAGTCAATATGTACTCACTACTCAGTAACTACATAGGTACTATATGTAGTACATAGTACCTCCTCCTACAATGGTACCAAAAATTCCTATCACTCGTCTGACTGCTAGCTGTCTACAAATGCAATCTGGGTTGTAGATCCCAGGTACCTACTCCAATGCTCGAAGTGACAAAAGCCTCCCACCCGGACCACATCTGCAATGGGACTAGCGTGTATGTTCCTGGAATTCTTCAACCGATTTCGTGATGCCAATGTGCTGCTAGTGATCAGGCTACAGGCAGGCACTGGAAGCGCAAGGACACACATGCTCCACCAGCATAGTGCCTAATTCTATCGCAATGCGACCAATCGTCGCAAAAGCGGCATAGAGAAATGGCCCATTTTGTCATGGTTTAGAGGTTTCGCGTGATTGAACTACCCTTATTTTTCCCATCCAAGTCTGGAGATCCTGGATATGCCGGGGCTCTCGTCTTCCAACAAAGGTTCCAAATATGGAGTTCCGTTAAATTGACAGGGGAGAGCAGTCCGGTGGAGAACGATCAGTCATTGGAGGAGTAATTTGGCTCCTCCAGGGTTGTTTCATGTTGGGTGTTTGGTCAATTTCAACGTGCAATCCTAGGTTTTACTTCACCTTAGATGCAATTCAGCTTCTCAGATATCTGTAGGTAATTGCTTCGCTGGGTAAGGAACAGACCAACTCTCGTGTACTCTCCAGGTCGGTGAGCTTTAGGAGACGTCGATAATCACGCTACATCGTCTTACTACTAGGGTAGACAATGATGATAAACAATTCCCACGGTATTGTCGCGTTGCCATTTTTCCAGTAGGGTTTAGTGGTCTGCTGGTTCGCTTCATGCACGTGCTGTAAACTACAAGGGTACGTGGTTGTACTCCCACAAGTGATGTCGATCGGCCAATTTCCTAATTAGATCCGTTTCTTCACGCTTCGAAAGCTTCCGTTCCTCTCTCTCCACCGATTATGAACGGGCTCCGGGCGATCCACTCCCTGTCAATTCGAGAACTTAAAGCGCCTAATCTTACAATGCATGCCCGGCCTTGGTCCCCAGTTTGGCAATGGGGGCTGATCCACTCTGGAGTCTTCCTGTCATTTCGGTCCTGCCATGGATGCAGCTTGCCCTGATAGAAGCGGGCAAAGCTCCAGCCTCCTGGATCATTCTCATTCTTAGCTTCATGGGCTAATACTACCACGCAAATTGACCGTGTCTGCGGAGATTTAGTCGCACTGGCCCAACTGGGGGTGGGCGAGAGAGCTCCGAGACCATGTATAAGTATGTCAGCATCACCGGGCATGAGATTCCCCCCTTTCTCGTTCTTCGTTGTAGTGAGTCTGTTGGGTAAGAACATTGCAACAACACTTGTCCTGTCATGTATAGTTCAGGATTGATAGCCCTCGCGGCACTGCTTGGCTCCGCCAAAGCGCAGGTAGGAGGTTGGGGACAGTGTGAGTAACTCTGATTGGAAGTCGTCGTGGTGATGTGTATCAGTTCTTGCAAAAGGAATAGGTAAACTGACAGTTGTTGTCGTTGCACAGGTGGTGGCCAGGGATACACCGGAAGCACATCGTGTGTTTCAGGCTTCGCTTGTACCTCGCAGAATCCTTGTAAGGGAATATCAGACAAAAAGTCGGGTTGATCCCTGATAGTGCTGTCTGTTCTGATACAATTCCACAGGGTATTACCAATGTCTCCCAGGAACCGCAACAGCCACCTCTTCAACAACCACTACGGCGCAGACATCAGCGGTCACTACTACCACCACCAAGGCTCCAGGCACATCTACTACGCTCAAGACAACCACTGCAACTCAAACAGCGACCAAGACCTCGGCTGCTTCTGGTGGTGCGACGTGCACCGGATCGTTCAGTGCCATCTCGGCCAAGGACTACGTGAAGAACTTGCACCCCGGCTGGAATTTGGGCAACACTCTCGATGCCATTCCAAATGAAGGTTCTTGGAATAACCCCCCCGTTGTGGCTTCCACCTTCGACTATGTTCAGAAGGCCGGTTTCAAGAGTGTCCGCATCCCAGGTGAGTGATCATTTCCTTCAACATGGATGATATGGACAATCTATTTCTCCAAGACTGCTGTATACTAACTTATTTGTGCAGTCACCTACACCGACCATTTCACTGGAAGCTCGCCAGACTGGACCGTTGATCCGGCGTGGTTGGAGCGAGTGTCCACCGTAGTTGACATGGTCACGTCTCGGGGCATGTATGTCATTGTCAATGTTCACCATGGTAAGAAAGACATCGCAAGCTAACTTTGTAACGCTTCCTTCCAATTCTGATGCCTGTCTAGATGCGTCTAGCTGGGCTGACGTGACCGCCGCCGGTGCCAATTTGACCATGATTGAGGAGAAGTTCTATCGACTGTGGTATCAGGCCGGATCTAAGCTGGCCTGCAAGTCCAGTCTCGTCTCTTTCGAGCCTATCAACGAACCCCCTTGCAACACCGCTGCTGATGCCGCGGAAATCAACAAACTCAACAAGATTTTCCTGCAGGCCATCAACGATGCTGGTGGCTTCAACCCTCAGAGAGTCGTTACTCTAGTTGGAGGTGGTGAGGACAGTGTGAAGACTTCAGAGTGGTTTGTTGCGCCCACGGGATTCTCGAACCCTTGGGCCATTCAATTCCACTACTACAGTCCCTGTGAGTAAAGTCCAACGAGGTCCACCGGGTCATGAGTGAGAGTTCTGGCTAACTGAATGTTCTTCAGACGACTTCATCTTCAGTGCATGGTGAGTTCTTTTTGGGACACATGAAATTGGTGATTCCACTACTGATATCGTTCACAGGGGCAAGACGATCTGGGGCTCCGATGCCGACAAGGCCGCTATCACCTCTGATTTGACTTTGATGCGTAACAACTTCACTGACGTTCCAATTGTCGTTGGCGAGTTTGACGCTTCCCCAACCAACACCGAGGCTGCAGCTCGCTGGAAATGGACCGACCACTTTGTTCGCACAGCTCGTAGCCTCGACTTTGCTTTGGTGCTCTGGGACAACGGACTGGACCAACTTGACCGCAGCACCGGCAAGTTCCGTGACCCCAACTCAATCTCCATCATCAACAAGTCCACGGCCTCTACCGGCAACGCCTTGGCCGATAGCACGGTCGATGCATCGGCGACGTCGCAATTTTCGTCTGCCTTTATCTATCATCAATATGGCACTCCAGTTACGGCCCAGAGCCTACCATTCATCTTTAACGGAAACACCTTGACTTCGATCAGTGACTCCACAGGTGCCACCTTGACCTCTGGCACCGACTACTCTGTTTCAGGGTCAAACATTGTCTTCTCTGCTTCATATCTTTCCAAACATGTGACCGCGACCACCGCGCCTGGCGTGATTGCGAGCCTCACATTGAATTTCTCAGGAGGCGCTTCCACTCCCCTGGTGCAGCTGGTCCAATGGAAACCGCCAACCCTGGGCTCGACCTCTGCGGCTGCCTCTTCCGTGTCCGGCTCAGACTTGCACATCCCCGTCACTTGGGGTGGTCTTCCTCGCTTGGCGACAGTCAAGGCACTGACCAAGACCGGCACGTACTTGGTCGACAGCTGGACACAGTATCTTGGTCCACTTCAACAAGCCCGAATGGTGAGTCCAACGTTTCTTCCTTTGATCTCTATGCCCCACTTCGTCCCTCAAAATATCTTGTCATAGATCTTGATGGAATACTGACACAACAACTTTCTGCCAACAGACCTACAACGGCCAATTCAACTGGGACGATTCCAGCGTGATTCTGACTGCGTCGACGATCAGCTCTGTGATTTCAGCAGGGAGCTCGACAGTGTTCACATTCGAGTTCTACCCGCGGGTGGCCAATGGTGTCAACACTGCTAATTTCACCTTGACCGTGTGAGGGAGATTTATCTTGGAATTGTTCCAATCTACTTCGCGTATTTGACTCCATTATCGTGCAATCTATCGTCTTTTTTTTCCAGTCCAAGCCACGGACATCATCTTAGCACTTTGCCATTCTGGTGCCCTCAAACGAGGCGATCTGATAGTCCACCATGTACCAAGACTTATTTCTCCCCGTGATCACACTATGACCCGACAGCTAAGTTTCTTAGGAAGTGAGAACGAGACTAGTGACTGGCATCAAGTTCGTAATTCATTAGATTTGACCCGAGCTCACTAGAAAACATCCATCTGCGGCGCGCTAGAAAAGCTTTTTGAGTTCCCTCACAGGAAGCGTCGGGTCATACTTGTCCCACACAATCTTGTTCTTCGCATTCAAACGAGCACCTTCATCTGTAATTGTGATCGTCGGATCTGTCTCCATGACCTCGTTTCGACTGAATCCCCATTTATCGCGCGGAATCCACAATATCGGTGCAGGAGAAGCAACGCATGGCTCAAAGTACGCCGTCCGCAGCTCTTCCTCGGTATACTCCACCGAAGCTACGTTTCTGCGGATCTTCCGCCGAATGGCCGCGTAGTCGCGGTGGAAATCGGGGAAAAACCAGGATACACTCGCAGCGATACGGGACCGTCTTTGGTCGTTTACGTCTGCCACGGCATCTTCTTTCTCTTGGAGGAGCTCTTCTTCGGCGTCGAGGGATCGGGGCAAGAAAGTGTTGAGTGGCGCGAGTGCTTCGTTGAGGGATACATGGGCGAGAATCGTGGCGATGGTGTACAGGACCATTATGATGACGGGTCCGATGGCCGCTTTGATGGCGAAGAGTCCGATCATGCAGACTTCTGCGAGATATATACCAGTCAATAGGTGTTGGAGCGCACGAGGGTACACGAGACCCTTGGTGTCGATTTTGATGTCATAGACAAAGAGGAAGTTATATCGGTACGCCTGATAGACGAGGTAGAGACCGACGAATGCAAAGCCGAGAATCAAGGGTGATATGCACGAGTACGTTAATGCTATGATTATCTCAGTCAGTCAGGAGGCAATCTTCCGTGAGTTGTCCTGGACATGATTCTCTTACCAATCACCCCCATGTTCGTAAACACCGGAAACACATTACCCCAGCTTAACGTCCCCAGCTCCGCCCAGCGTTGAAATAACCGACGTGGAGAATACGCCGAGAACGTGGTGACAAATTTAAACAGGAGTGCGCTCACAACTTGTACCAATGCCATCGAGCTCATGCTCAAGCCTTGCAACAAGAAGTAAGAAATGTAGAAATTGGTGGCTTTGGGCAGATTCTCAGCAAGGAGATCTTTGGCCGACAGTGGATTCTTGATAATTTGAGCTGTAGCGGCAGATGCGGCCGACGTCAAGGTTGTGACCAGAAAGACTTGCACAACTTGGAAGACAAAGTGCGCACTTTGAGTGAATAGTTCCACTCGTGCTCGTGAGGGAACACCAGCACGCCGGGCACAGACTGTTAATCGACTCGTCAGACCGTGTGACTTATTTCTTCTCTCTGCAGCTCCACATTCACTGGGAACTTACTTCGACAAATTATAGGTACTAAAGACATCAAGGCCACCAGTGCGGCTGAAGGCAGGAGACCCTCGATCGCCCCTTTCAGGACGTCGGGAAGTTTAAGAATAAACTTGAGAAACGGGAGTATTTTGGACAAATAAGTGATATTCGAAATGGTGCCGACGATCGCAGCGGGAAAAGACCAAAAGATGACCATTGCCGCGAGGATCCCTTGAACTGCAAATTTACGTATGATTCGTTGTCGCCAGCTGAGGTTCAACGCCGACCAAACCACGTCATCTGGTGCGACTCCGATGAATCGTGGCGTCATATGAAATGGTTGGTGATGTGAAAGGGTCTGTAAAGCAATTTGGGCCTCGGACTGCGATCCGAATTCGACAAACATGGCAGAGAGCTTTTTGGCCTCGCCCCGTTGATGCTTTACTTGCAAAACTTCGACCTCTTTTATGACCTCGACAAGACGCTCGCGATACCAGTGGATAGAGTCAACCTTCTCGCCAAAGAATAGCCTTCGACGGTGTGTTGGACGCTTCAAGGTCGGTGGCCAGATTGGTTCACCCGGCTCGCAGTCTGACTCTGCGACTGGCAAGTTCTCCCCGGATCTGAACGCCCGCTGACGCGCTTTGTTGGCCTGTCGAATGAACTTGGTCTCGGCGGCCTCCAATTTGAACGCGAGTTTGTCTCGCTCCTTGACTACCTTTTCGAGACGAGCACAGTCGGACGTCACCCAGATGGAAGTAATGGTATCACCAAAGACCTGCCGTAATCGTCGCTCGTCCTTGTATGCATCAGGGACCGACATGAACAGCACAGTTCGAGAAGAAATGCGCGAGGCGTAAGCCGGCGAATTCAAGTACGCTTGGCGCAGATTCGCATAGTAGAGGCTTTCACGTGTGATCACATAAAATACAAACGCTGTGATTTGGTTAGGACCCGCCGGCCTCGAAAGCCACTCCCCCGGAGAATGGTAAATGACAACCTACTGAAAAAGATCACTGCGACAAGGGCATTGGCAAAGTATCGAGTAGGGTTTGCGACGTTGCTGAAACTCAACAGATCCAACTGTGTGTTACCATTGCCCCCCGTCGCATGAATGGGCAGCAAGATGGGCCAGGTGATGAGGCAACCAAATGCGCAGATCCCGCACAGGACGCGAAGGAATCGTAGAAACAGGTACCCATCCAGCGAGGATCGGTGCAGGACATGATTATCCTCTATCTTCAGGAAAGCACCGAACCAATTTACCCAGCCCGATGGCAATTCAGGACTTCTTTGGTGCTCATGGATATCCGGCAAATGTGACCGGGGAGCATACCATCGTCGCTGCGTTCGACGAAAGATGAGGAACAAGCCAAACCAAAAGGCTGCATAGATTAACGCGGGTAGCAAAGTCATCATCAAGGCCGACCCCGATGATCCTCCCTCTCCAGTGAGCCCATTCGCAATTTCACTCGAGGCAGAAGACGCATTGCCTCGAGAGGACCCGACGTTTGGGTCATTGTTAGGATTCTGCTTACTCGAGACCAGACTGCTGCATTAGTAGACACTAGACTGCATGGGGTCGGCGACGCTCACATACGAAGGACATGGCTCCTCACCGGACAAGGTTGGTGATACACCAAAGTTCCCTGAGTGGGTGTTGGTCGGTTCAGGGGCCATTTTAAGAAGATTGGCAAGCCAGCAACAAAGTTTGAATGTCATTGTTGAGTGAAATCAATGGCAGACAACGATGATTGGTGCCGAAGCACTAGGATCGCGATCTTCATATCGCTTGCTTGAAAGAGAAAGCGACAGGATTCACCCTGCCAGCCTTCAGATGAACCACGATCTGGTCATTGGATAGTCACTTCCCAGAAAATGCAAAGAGCTCAAGAAAAGGAATCGTCCAAACCATCATGCGTACTCGGCAGGGTTCATTCCTCTCATGTGTTTGCTTTTTCCTGCAGTTTCTCTTCAATTTAACTCTTCGGACGTGTCAACTCCGCCGCCAAGGCTTCAACACGGGCACGCAGGTGGTTCAGCACCATGCTTTGGATAGTTCCCCGCAGCCATAGTCGAGATCTGCACAGTAGAGTCAGTGCTCGTTCTGGCAGCATGGGCATGTGTCCGGCTCAATGCAAGGGGCTCATCCGCTATGACCAGCCAAGTCTGAGCATCCGGACTGTATGAAGTGGATCAGCCCGAGGACAAGGCAGATGCGATGTCGTCTTGGTGCTTTGCAACAGCAAATGTGATGCTCTTCGGTATCCAATCCTCCTGTGAGAGGAACTTGTAGATCTCAGCTCCACGTCAGGGCTCGTGGAAGGACGCGCACAGCGAAGTCGGTCCTTTGTGTTCTTCCTGCCTTCCTTCAGCCATTGCGATGTTGGGCGATCTGCAGCCGAGTGGAGCAGTGCAAGTCGAGTTGAGTCGTTCAGCTGTACAAGTACTCAAGTGGTAATCCTGGCCTGTTCATCTGAAACTCTGAACCGGTTCGCGTAGCGTGAACCTCTGCAAGTCGTACATCACCTGGTATCGAATGACAGATCCCGCAATCTAGAGGTTTGAATGATGCAGTACCTTGTTCACACCCACTGCAAGGGTTAACCTTGAGAGTAGGGCTGAGAAGTCCTCTTCCCTTTTCCGTAAAGACCGTGACTTTTCAAATACCGGCGTTCAAAGGTGTGATCAAGATTGGAGTATCTATGTGGGCGAGCTCAAGACCCTTACGTTTGACGCTCGGAGGGTTTCGTTTGTGATCATTCAGGCAACAATGGCCAATCCATTCCAACAGGTGGCGGTGAATTGTACCAAGACACAAGTTACACTCGGCATTTGGAAAGGTACAGAGTAGCTCTTGTTGCCTTCGAACTAACAGTCACGCACAAGACAATACAAGATCATGAACAAGAGCCACTCGTGAGGAGGAGCCACTCATTGGCTTGTACGAAGATGAGATGTCAACCGGTGGCGTATGCTTAGCATTGCTTGATGTCTGCGTTGATTTGGCTAGGTGGGGGAGACATCAAATCCGTGAGCTGCAAGTGCAAAGTTACCTTGGTCTCAAGGTAGCCCGTGTCACGGCAATGATCTGTGAGCTTCCAGAAACCCATCTAGATGTGAACAATACCCGACATGCTTCAACGGTACCGAAGAAACAACCATAGTCAAGATCGTAAGTGCACTGCCTTCAGGGCTAATCTATTCAAATCACCTCTAGTAGAGACGAAGAAAAAAGCACAAAAAGCGTAAACAGTATACGGAGCGTGGTGCTTCATTCTGCAAAAATAACTGCCACTGACGTCTCTCCATCCAGTGAGGCACTCTTCCTCTGGCAACTATTCAAAACGTGACTCGATACTGAAAGATAGGGGAGGAAGGAAAACCCTCAATTCCCGGTACTGAGGAAGCGAGCGATAGTCTGATCCATCCATTCAGTATCTTCGGGATTCCCACCACCACCAGCAACATGGCCCCAAATGGACGGAATGATTGCGAGCTGCCCATTCTTGAGGTGCGATGCCTCTTTCTGACTGAACTCGGGGGTAAAATATTGATCAGTCTGGCACGGCATAAGCAGAATGCGTGGCGTCAGTGTCTGGAGCGCCTCGTCGATCGGTACCTTCGTGCCATCGAATCCTACGACGGCCCCCAGGTCAGCCCGTTGCCACATCCCCAGCATCACGAGAAGATTGTCGGGGTGCCAGTCTTCGTAGCCTTGATCGCCAGCCTGACTCCAGTCCTCCAGGGATCGGTGGCCGAGCTTCTCAAAAAGGCGCTGTTCGAACCACTCGGCGCTGGTCAACCACGCAGAGTAGGCACGAGCGAAAGCATGCAGGCCGCGCAAAGAGCCGCCCGCTTGCGACCGCAGGGCTGCGTCATTGTAGTCCACCGAAGAGGTCAATGCTGCTTTCGGCCCTTCGAGGAACTGGTAGTTGTGCAGACTGGTCTTTGCCGAAGAGCAGATGATGACAGCAGCTCGGACCACGTCCGGATACATTGCAGTCCAGTAATAAGCGCACTGGCCCCCCATAGAGAACCCGACAATCACATCAATGGACACAATCTCGAGCTTTTCCTGCAACAATCTATACTGAGCTCGAACACAGTCTCGGTAATCGAGACTCGAAGGGAAATTCTCCGTGTTGGACGGACTAGAGGATTCACCATTGCCGAGAAGAGCTACCACGATCACGCGATAGTCCCTTAATGCCCCCGCAGTGAAGTTGAGGGTTTCGTTGATTCTGCCTCTGAAACAAGTCGGAATAAGGGCCACTTTTCGTGCTGTTGGGTTGAACTCGCGATATGCGACCCGCACCGTAGGGGCGGAGTCTCCATTCTGGTACCGGAAGTTCTCCAGGTCGTAGTGCTGAACCCCTGTTCCATCGTATGCAGACGGCATGATGAGAGACTTAGACACGTGTCACGGGAATGTCGGTGCGATGGTGATCTTCTGGGTGTTGGATGAAGTGTGGTGCGCTTGAGAAGAGTCGAATTTTCACACTACTACACGATGTCGTGATGGTTGATCGAGGCGGAAACCGCTTGTCTTCTTGTTCGCTTTGGACTCGATTGGCATCTTACTCCACCATTACCCCTCACGACTCCAATTTTCACCCTCCCTCAAAGCTTTCAACCCGAGCTCCATAATTGCTGACTGAGCTGCCTGAAAGCCTAAGATGTCACTGTGAAGTGAACCTCGGTCGAAATTGGATTAATGCGCTCCCTTTGATTTGAAATGTTGATTTTTGACGTTGATTTACACGCGATTCTGCGCAAAATTGCCGTCAGAGCTGTGATTAGACGGAGCGTTGATCAAGCAGGAACCGAACATACTAGTCGTCAACTCGAGCAACTCTCACTCCGTTTTGATGTGTCACAGTATACAACACGGCGTAAAATCGATTGTGGAACCATGTCCAGTGGCATATCTCTATTGCAGCGTGTTCAATCCCGAGATAAGCATCATGACATCTCATCGTCACAAACCCGTTGGAGTATGTATCCCCGCTTAAAGCCGAACGCGGAGCGCATTTCAGGCGGTGTAATCAGGAGGCGGCAGAAAAGGAAGTCAGTGTAGCACTGGAGTGTCTTGAAGTTGTCAACAAGAGTGTCATAGGAGTCAATTGACAAGCACTCGCGTGTCACTGAAGCATTTCCACTCGTTGTGAGCGGAGTCCGTTACATGATGGATAAGCCGATGGCAAGATCCACGGGGTTTGACGCATCTCGGGAAGCGAAACAGCCATTTCCACCACTCCTGGACGAATTGACCTCGCCAGAGGAGCCTCAGGAGAGCTTCGCCGAAGATGAGAGTCTAGCTTCGCCAGGATGTGAAGAGATTGAAGTGGAAGACGATGCGGACTTTCAGTCGCACTATTCACTCGAACCACAGTCGCTGTCGGAATCAGACTCGGACGATTCAGTTGACAAGTTCGGAATGCACCATCCGTTCAGGCAGTCAACGGGCTCGCTTCATGGTCCTAATGCCTTTGCGCCCCCGTTCTATAACCGACCGCCGACTCCTCTGCCACCGTCCCCTTCTCTGACATCCCTGCTGCGACCGCCATTCTCGACGACCACTTCTCGTCCGAGTACCCCTGATAGCTCTGATGTAGAGACGCCGAACGACACAGAGGCAGCGGTGGCCAAGTCCGCGCGGCGCGCGACTACGGTCCCTCGTGCGAGCCCAAAGGTGCCAACGTATGAATACTACGGCTTTGTGCTGTATTTGGCGTCCTCGCTCGCGTTTTGTATGTATCCAATCACTACTACACAAAGTCTCAATCAATTGTTTCTTGCGACGAGTCCTGACTTCGCTATCATTTGTCAGTAATATACCTGCTGTGGTCCTACCTGCCTTCTCCCTTCCTCCATCAGCTTGGCATTTACTACTACCCTAACCGGTGGTGGTCCTTGGCCATTCCATCCTGGCTTGTGATGTGCTTAGTCTATATCTATGTCGCACTTGCCTCCTACAACACCGGCTACCTGACTCTACCCATGCACAGCATCGAGAACATCGTCGATGAGGTGGCCAATGTTGCGGTCATTGATGGGAAAGCGAGGCGTCGGCCCGGAGGCTCTACCAAAATGAAGCCTGGGGCGACCTCATACCAAATTATGGGTCCTCAGAACCGGAAGGTCAACTGGCGAGAAATTTGGAGTGAAGGCACGGACGCGGTCATGGATATACCTGTCGGCGGTGTTTGTGAGGTACTCTATGGCCAGGAACGGGACGATGATGCAGGATCCTCAACCAGTTGAGCGATCAGCAATCACGGTGGACGGGAAGCTGGCGCTGATCGCCGATCGCGATGCAATCGGCCCAATGACGTGGACTCTGATTAAGTGATAAGCTCAATCACGTGACGATAGGGACAATACGCCCCCAGCACCTTTGGCATTATTGTCTAGCTCATTTGGCAACAGTACTATCCTTGCGAAGTTGACTCAGCTGCAACATACCCTCAAAATGCCTGATGGACGTCCTTCAACTCCCCCAAGGGAGCATCCCCTTAAACCAGGACAGCTCCCTCGTGGGCCACTGACCCCAGAACAGAAGCGAAGGATTGTATGTCCGGTCAAACTCCTGGTCTCAGCTCGGTCGTCCCGCTACGGTATCCATGACACTCACTGATCAAGTCTCCCTCAGGAAGAGAATCGTATGAAGGCAAAGGCTCTTCGCGAGCAGCGTGAGGCAGAGCTGGCTGCAGACGCTCGTCTTGGATCAGCAAATTCGCCAATGTCTCGGCTCACTCAAGGGACGAAGCGCTCCCATGCGTCGATGGCCAGTCAGCCAGGACTCGCGAATGTTCGAGATGCCCGAACTGGCGCATCCGCGTCGGGTCGCTCACTTGACGATATCAAGCCCGCGCGCAACTTTACCAAATATGTCGATTATGACTTCAGCAAGATGACCGATACGAAAGGTGGATTCTTGACTCAAGAAGACGATCCGTTCAACAAGGCACTGCATGTGGCCGACGATAAAGAGGCACAAAGGCCTGCCAATATGACACAGAAAGAGTGGGAGCGCCATCAATTACTACAAAATTTGCGGCGAAATCGAGAGGGGCCATTTGAGCCAGGCCTTAGTGTACTGGATGACAGGAGCAAGCAAAAGGTCTGTCGGGAATGTGGTAGCCTCGAGATTGACTGGAAATGGGATGAACAACTTCGTTGTCAGGTTTGCAATGCCTGCAAGGAGAAGTATCCTGATAAATATAGCCTGCTTACGAAAACGGAGGCACGCGAGGACTATCTCCTCACTGACCGTAAGTTTCGAGTCATTGCTGCGCAGCCGTCGTGCTAGCGATCACTTCTACACGCACCTTGCTGACTTTCTATTCCTCCTAGCCGAGCTTCGCGACGAGGAACTTCTCCCGCATTTAGAAAAGCCGAACCCACACAAGTCGACCTGGAACAGCATGATGTTGTATCTTCGATACCAGGTGGAGGAATATGCGTTTTCTGCCAAGAAATGGGGCTCTGCAGAGGCCTTGGATGCGGAGTTTGAACGTCGAGAAACCGACAAGAAACGGCGACGAGAAGCGAAATTCAAAACAAAGCTGCAGGACCTCAAGAAGCGCACTCGGGTGGAGGCTTACCGGCGTAGTCGGCAAGGCGCTGCTGGAGGTGACTTTGGTGACGATCTCAGCACCAATCGCAAGCATGTCCATCAATGGGGTCGAACAGTTGATAATCCGGAAACTGGGATCGGTGTCAAAACCTGTGTTGACTGCGGTATGGAGGTTGAGGAATTGGAATTTTGAACCTCCTTCTCGAGAAGATTTGCCAAAACAGATCTTTATTCATGACGTGACCTCGAGGCAATCCGAAGGGAATGAAGCGAATGCACTTTCTTATTTCTACATTTATTATTGTTGATCATGGTGGCACTCTTCCACTGCAAGGTTAGAAGTCCCGAAACATATGCATTTTTATCGGCCATTTGTTTGAGTGAGCCTTTTCAAACAATAGTGCTACGAGCGTAATGTATGAGAAAGCCAGTGCAGAGTTCATGGTTGTCCACGTGTCAAACCAATCGCGCATCCGACTCCAGCTGAGAACAAGATTGCTTTACTCCTTTGTCTATTATTGGCTAAGTACCTAGCTTTGACTGGACAGTTTGGCCGTTTCCGACAGTCGCAGTGCCTACCAAGCCATACCGATGATCTATTGGACTGCGAATTCGACACTGAGAATCAATGTGTAGGAAATGCAATCGGTATCCGCACCATACCACTACCTAGGTAACGCGTAGCCCGACTCGGACTTACTCCTATTGTGCCCCACGTAGGGGGTACTTTGTTCAGGTAGTAAGATAGTAATAAGTCCAGAGCCGCATGGCGTTCTACTGGTACCTTAGTAGTGAATTGGTACCTCGGCATCACTGAGTCATGTGTGGAACTGTTGAAGGTTTGATGACTTTCTTTGATGGCTTGGGTCTTCAGGACTGCCCTGGTAGCTGCCTATCTAGAAGACTATTTGCATTCCGGATTCCAGATTGATTGGTGCTCACATAGGCTTGTTGGAAGCTGTCCATGCTCCACAGTAGCGCTATGGAGATAATCTTAACGCATTACCTGACCTACTCTATGCTCTATAGCGTATAGCTGATGGATAGACGGGAATCAATTTCATCGACAGAACCTTACGTGGTGGATGTCGAAGCTTCTGTAGGGACCAACCTTAATTAGCCTAGGTACTTATTGACTGTCCGTCATATTGAGTATTTACATACCTCGATCGATCGATGTGCAGGTATGTGGTGAAAACTTCACTTGAACTTGGTTCACCCTTCATCAAAATCGATGGAAGGGTCCTGTCGAGCTCCAAGGCTGAGGTCGATTTATGTACAGAAACCCAGTGGTGTCGAAGAGAGCACTGTTTCACCGATGAGATATGTCAGGACAGCGACGGGTGGGTGCTGATAATCTGGTGGAGTTTGCGACCGCCGATCTATTATTACCCAGGCACTCCAGGTGCTAGGTAGTTACCATGAATTCTCAAGCATAGAATCTTGTTTCGTGGACAGCAACGCTAGGATGGAACATAGTTGGTCCATCTATACAGGTATTGAAGGGAGAACGGTCATGTTATGGTTCATAATCGACCAGATGGGTAGCGTGTTACCGTTCCTGATGCAGTACCATGTCCTTTAAGACTCAACGTGTTCGGCTTTGTCATTATTCCAAGTCTGCGCTTACCGTGCAAGGGCATTTGCGAGGGCTCGTTCCCTTCTAGCACACACCGGGGCCTCCCTATCCTGATGGTGCGAACCTGAAGAAAGTTTGAGTGATAACTGCTGTGAGTGTGAACCACTGGACCTATACTCCGAGGGCGGATTGAGTCGAAAGGTCTAGGCCTATCTGGGGTCTTGGTCTTGCCCCAGCTTCACTGGAAGCTTTCTTTTTTGACCGCCCGGAACGCTCCTGATGGGGGTTCTCTATCTCCGTTTGAGAAAGAACTGGCGAGTTTCGCATTCTAGAGGCCAGCTGTGACCAAACTGCAATTGGAAATGAAGGTCCTTCATTTGTACAATATCTGATCACTATACGGGACATTAATGAGTTCTTGAAGTTCTTCGCAGATACTTCCGAGCTCACCCAAGTACGTTTTGTGCATTCATGCCTAGTCCTACTGTCCTACTGAGCTCTCTGAAGCCTCCCTGAACTAGTAGGCGGTCAGTTCCATACGAAGCGTCCCCCCCCCCCCCCCAAAAGATGCCACGGCCATAACAATTGAGCGCAAGCCCCCGAAAGCTAAACAAGCAATCTCACCGACGAGAGTCTCAGTTGATCGCTCTAACCGGTAAATCAATCGCGTCGTGCAACTGTATCTGGTGTTAGGTCTGTCCTACCTGCTCCTCCAGCTCCCTTGGGGAGCTTGATCGCACTCAGATCACCGCGGAAATTGCGGAGTCAGGAGAACGAGCTGCACCTGGCCGTTGTACTCGGCCTATTGCACAGTTACGCATCCGCAATACCGCCGCATAACATTTCGCCGCATTCTCGACTTCTCCTCAAATCCTGGTGCGCGAGTCACATATCGCAAGTCATATTACATGGCTTGGCAATCATCATCAGCCATGTCCGGCGGAGGTGGAATGGCTGGGGCTATGGGGGAGTCGAATAGTGGCCATCCACAAGGGACAGAGTACACGTTACAAGGTATGGATGGATGCCAGAGTCTGCGACATTATATGCTAAAGACTCCTAACGCTAATGTGTGACATACAGGAGTTATGCGCTTCCTGCAGACTGAATGGCACCGTCACGAACGCGACCGCAATGCCTGGGAGATTGAACGAGCGGAGATGAAGTCCCGTATCGGACGCCTGGAAGGAGAAATTCGAACCAGCAAACGTATGCAGGAGACCTTGGGCAAACATGTGCGGCTCATGGAAGCAGCGCTGAAAAAGGAGCGAGAGAAGGTGAAAATGCTCTCTAATAATGAGTCGATCAAAGAGGTCCAGGATCCGAGGGATATTGCCAGGGACAGTGTAAGCTTCCTCAAAGGTAAGTGGTTCCACAGTATCAGAAATCTTTATTTCCCGGATGGTAATGGATGGAGCTGACGAGGTCCTCGTAGAACAACGTTCTATCTCCAAGGCGGATACAGGCACCGATGAAGGGGATGCTGGACACCCAGAATCGCAAGCAAGCTTGCACGAGGACGACCGTGACAAGTCACGAACCTACTTGTCAAAATGTGCCCAAGAAATCGCGTACCATGTCATTCCAACCTCTCATCCAGTTCCCGACCTTAACGACCACGATCTCTCTGGCCATCTATTTGCGAATCAGCAGCTTTCTCAACAGAACCTTGAAGAGGCATTTCAGCAACAACAAAGACAAAAGGTGGGCCATATGATGTCGCGGGATGCTCTACTGGCAAGCAATCAACATAACAGCAGTCAATACTCCGAAAGTGCACCGCTGTCCCAAGCTCCAACTATGTACAACACCCAGCCCATGTCTGCCGAGCAGCAGCATCAGCAGCAAAATCAGCACTCGCAGTATCGTCAGCAGTCTCAAACTCCTATCACGGCAATTGATGGCCGAACAACATCCTCCGAGCAGGGAATGATCCGTGATCGCCAAGCCGCAGGCACTCCAGAGGCGACGGACGACTTGCCTGGCCCTACAATCACTGTTCGAGACCCCTCGCAATCTTCGCAACCAGCACAAGAACATAGTGAGGACATTGATGGTTGGAACTTCGACGAGCCAGCAGAGGCAGCGCAGACGAGCGAGGCAATTCCCCCTCATCGACCAGATACTGATGCGTTCCCCAACGCCAACTTCGTGTCGAGCAAATCCCCAGCCAAAAGCGGGTCCCTCTCACATCGACGCAAGAGTTCAGGCTCCCGACGAAAGAGCGAAGAGGGAACTGAGATAAAGGAGTTTGCCGTAAAAGCAGCTCAACAAGATTCCAGTTTCAAGGTCCGCTTTGCGTTACGTGGCCACCTGGACGTCATTCGATCCGTAATATTCACAGGTGGCGGTAGCCCGTCAGAGCCAGAGATCTGCACATGCAGTGATGATGGCACTATAAAACGCTGGATCATTCCGGCAACATACGGGACGTTCGGTGCTCATGGCCCAAGCTCCAGCAATGACCTGGATATTACCAGCTATTTCACTCACCGAGGTCATGTGGGCGCAGTCACCTCGCTAGCAGCATGCTCTCCTTCCCAAAACATCTCCAACGGGGGTCGCGCCTTTGGCGATGGTTGGGTTTTCTCCGGTGGCCAGGACGCCAGCGTACGGGTCTGGGAGCGAGGCCGGGTCGACCCTAAGGCAACCCTCGACGGCCACACCGATGCTGTCTGGGGACTTTGTGTACTTCCAGGAACAGCCGGCTCTGTCTTTGGGGAATCTAGCTCCCACTATGGTGGCGCTGACCGAATTCTGCTAGCCTCTGGTGCTGCTGACGGCCGCATACTCATCTGGGCGGTTAGTGCCCCTCCGTTGGCCTCCAATCCTCAGGCTGGGTCACGTCGTCAGGGCGGAAGCCGTCGGGCCAACTCGATCTCTTCAGGGTCTAATTTCCCGTCATCTCCGCAACCAAGCGTTGCTACTACGACCCCTTTCCATTACACTCTTGTACACCACATCTACCGGAACGAGTCTCCTTCTCCCACCTGCATCAGTCCTCTGTCCTTGGCAGGTGTAAATTTCGTCGTCTCTTATGCAGATGCCTCCATTCTCGTTTACGATACCCGGACGGGTGAAGAAATTGTCGGCATGGCCAGCCTCGAAACATATGACGGAACCCCCTCAACTGGCGTCAACTCTGTGGTTGCCACGACTGTTGGTTTTGATGGATCCGCTAGCTTGGAACCAAACCGCGCGATGGCCGAAGAGGAGGTTGTTCACGGTGCTACAGGCTCTAGCAACGTCGAAGGAGTTATCATCAGTGGCTACGAAGACCGATACATTCGCTTTTTCGATGCCAACAGCGGTGCGTCCCCGCCATTCGACTCAAACCTTCTGCCTATCATGCTTTACTAACAGTGATTCCAGGACAATGTACCTACACAATGTTGGCGCACCCCGCTGCTATTGCCTCGCTTTCATTATCTCCCGATGGCCGTGAACTAGTCTCGGCAGGGCACGATGCAAGCCTGCGGTTCTGGAATCTTGAGAAACGCAGTTGCACCCAGGAGCTCACAAGTCACCGGCTGATGCGAGGTGAGGGTGTATGTGCAGTCGTTTGGAGTCGCGATGGTCGTTGGGTGGTCAGTGGGGGTGGTGACGGCGTGGTCAAGGTCTTCTCTCGGTAAAGGGAACCACACGATGAGATGCCATTTTGTACGAATGATCTGTTTCCTTCTTTCGTGTCTGTGATGATTTGCTCTTCTCTGTTGCGTATGTTTCAAATCACTTGCGGCGTAATATGCCTTTTGCCTAACCTGGCATTTTGTCGTGTCGAACCTTTTCCATGCATTTGCAACGGTGTTCAATCAGCTGCTGAACGTCAGCAATCGTCTGCGTGCCTTCTTCATGTGATTTGCGACTTCTAACTTTTGTGCTTATCCAACTCTGGGAATTCTGTGGCTACTACCTGCTACCTAGCACCTACGTTTGCATCTGTGAAACCAATGCAGCTTTTGCTCGGCTTGACTCATTTTTCTTGATTGACGAGGCATGTTGAGTGGGTTGCTCTGAAAAGGCCATTTGATCTTGTGCCCATCTCAGCTTCTTGCTGCATTCCTACTTCCGTTCGACCTGTGCTACGATTCTCTCATACCCCCATTTGCTATTGATACGCTCTTCGACCTCGAATTTTGGCTTTGGGATTAGCTTTGGGAACAGTGAAGCTGCAACGGAATAAAGAGCCGTGAACGAGCCCGTTTATTTGTCCAAAGCTCCATTCCATCCAACGATTTCCTCCATCCAAAGCTGTATACTCTTGGATCGACGTGAACCCCCAAGAGACTAGTAGACCCAACGTTAAAAATTAGACCCAATGCTATCACGAAGATGGCTAAGTGTGGTATTGTTCTACATCTGACATACTTAAGCTTGTATGTGACGGCGCTGATACCTGAATGAAGATGACGGATCATTCAGAACGCCATGCGCCTTTGAAGAGGACTGCCAAGTGTTTTGCTTCATCGGAGTCTTTCAAGCGCTGTTCCAGGAAGCCTCGTAGGTCGTCCCAGAACTCATCGGTCTTCAGTATCTCCACGCCACTAGGGCCGACAGCCGGCTTCGGTATATCTTGTTCCGCGACAACTTCTGATGATGGTTCGACGGCATCAAGAGTCTTCGCACCACCGATGATCATCGTGCCAAATTCCACCTCTTTACCACCAGCAAGAGTGTCAGGCTCGTCGGCCAAGACCTCTGCGACTGTCTTCCCCGATCCTGGCACTGGCTTGCGACGGTATAAGATCTTGATTTTGTCCAGCGCCACTGGATTCCCGTGCGCATCGCTCACCCGTTGGCGAACCGCGTCTTTGAGGTCTTGGATGGTCGTCGTTGAGATCGGCGCATTGGGAATGGAGAAATCGAGCGTTGGGTTGCGGGCTGATTTGACTTTAATGGAGGCGGATTTCGACGATCCAGGTGCCTGGGCTTGTTGTGTCTTCTTGGGCATCTCTGGATGCGGGGGTTGAAAGCGAGGCAGAGTATACTGTCAGTCAGTGACGAGTGGAAGACGATTAGTGATTGTGACTTGTGATCATCGGACGGCTTCCGTATCATGAAAGTGCGACATTCTTGGGAAACATACTGGAACTCTCAACCCAACTTGTTCCGGGTCGAAGACATGATCAGCTCGCAGCTTGATGGGTCGTGAGTCCAGCGAGGCGAGGAAAGATTTGGCGAATGCGAGCTCCGACATGGTTGTTTATTGGGAACTCAGTCGTTCAATTATATAATGTATGCTCTGCCTTCTCGCCCGGGGTAATCAGCGTACACTTGTTGGAATTGGCGTCCTCAATAGAGCAAAGGGACCGTGTAGCTTGGTGAATGCCCCACGTGGAGCGGCATGCTCTTCTTGTGGCCTGAGAACTGGGGCATTCAACGGCCCATGTCTATGCGACATGCGCTGATGGGGTGACTTGCGATCACGGATCAGACTCACCGCCCGCTGATATGCGGTTATTGCCCCATAGTACCGCCTACAAGAAAAATTAGCTAAGAAAAAAAAAGTTGCTGCGACGCCCGTATATTATACAACAACCACAACCACAACTTTCGTCATGGGTGTCGGACGTCGTATGAAAAAGCAGGGTCCTCCTGCGCCCCTCGATGAGTCAAAGATTACTATCTTGAAGAAGAGAAAGACCGCCGAGAGCGAGGCAGCTGCTAAGGCTGTGGCAGCGAAGAAGCGTCGGAGATCCGACGCCGACGGGGAAGATGTTGTGACCAAGAAAGAGACTGTGAAGAAGTCCAAAACAAATGGAAACACCGCGGCTCCTGTCACAAAGGAGAGAAAGGTCGTCCAGGAAAAGACACCGGTTCAGAAGAAGAAGCCTGTGCCAATGGACACGGACTCAGAGGATGAGGAAATGGAGGATGAGTTCGAGGACCTGGACGGTATTAGCGAGGGATCAATGGATAGCCAAGAAGATATTGAAGGCTTGTCAGACCTGGAAAACGATTCCGACGACAATTCTGTTCTCGACTCCGATGACGAGGGTCATCCCCGCGAGACCATGTTCTCTGACGACGAAGACCTTTCCGATGCCGAGGAACGATTGACTGCCGCCAACATTGAGGGTCTCTCGCGGAAGTTGGATCTTCAACGTCAGGCCGAGGAAGAGGAGGCCGAACAAGAGCTGCAGGAGGCCGCTATGCAAACCAACATTGCCGGTGACCGTCCCGATGTCTTCGCTGACGAACAGCCTGCTGGACTTGCCCCAGACTTGCAGTTGCTCCGCCAGCGCATTACCGATACCATTCGCATCCTCGGCGACTTGAAGACGCTAGGCCAACCCGACAAATCTCGCACCGACTACATTGATCTTCTCCTCAACGATATCTGCACATACTACGGCTACAACAGGTATCTGGCTGAGAAGCTGTTCAACCTTTTCACCCCTATGGAAGCCTTCGCCTTCTTCGAGGCTAACGAGACGCCGCGCCCCGTTGTTATCCGTACCAATACCCTGCGCACCAACCGTCGCTCCCTCGCACAGGCTTTGATCAACCGTGGTGTCGTGTTGGAGCCCGTCGGCAAGTGGTCGAAGGTTGGTCTGCAAGTCTTCGAGTCACCCGTGCCTCTCGGTGCCACCCCCGAGTACCTGGCTGGGCACTATATTCTTCAGGCTGCCTCCTCCTTCTTGCCCGTTATGGCGCTTGCTCCTCAGCCTGGCGAGCGTGTTCTGGATATGGCTGCTGCTCCCGGTGGTAAGACGACGTATATGTCTGCTTTGATGCGCAACACTGGCTGCGTGATCGCCAATGATGCCAGCAAGCCCCGTGCTAAGGGTTTGATTGGTAACATCCACCGTCTCGGCTGCAAAAACACCATCGTGACCAACATGGATGCCCGTACCGCTTTCCCCAAAGCCATGGGTGGCTTCGATCGTGTTCTGCTCGATGCTCCCTGCACCGGTACTGGCGTCATCTCCAAGGATGCGGGTGTCAAGACCTCCAAGGACGAGAATGACTTCATGCGCATTCCTCATATGCAAAGACAGCTGCTTTTGGCCGCAATCGACTCCGTGGATCACTCTTCCAAGACCGGTGGATATGTTGTGTACTCCACTTGCAGTGTGACCGTTGAAGAGAACGAAGCCGTGGTCCAATACATCCTGCGCAAGCGGCCCAACGTCAAGATTGTTGATACCGGTCTTGGCGACTTTGGCAGCCCTGGTTTCATCAGCTACATGGGCAAGAAGTTTGACGCTAAGATGGCGCTGACTCGCCGCTACTTTCCCCACCGCGAGAACGTCGACGGTTTCTACGTCTGCAAGTTGAAGAAGACTGGACCTACCCCTGTTGCTAAGCCCGCCGACGACACCACTTCCGCAAATGACAAGCCCCGTCGTCGCTCCAGCTCCAAGGCCTCCTCCACCACTGATGCCGATGATGAAATCATTGACAGGACTCCCATTGTTGATGAGAACGGTGTTTCCGTCGACTTCGAGGGCGGTACCTTCGGTCCCTTCGAGGACGGCAACGACGACGCGGAGCGCATCGCCCGCTCCGAGCGCAACCGTCTTCGTCGCAAGGGTCTCAACCCCAAGGGTGTGCTGAACAAGCCCAAAAAGGGCAAGGAGGGTGCCTCCACCCAGACTGAGACCGCATCCGATTCCGCTCCCTCGAAGGAGCAAGTGAAGGAGAAGACCGCCGAGAAGGAGACCAAGAAGAAGCCCGAGTCTGCAAAGAAGTCTTCCAATGAGAGCAAGGGAGAGAAGAAGACTGCGGTCGGTGGAACCAAGAGCGACAAGAAGGATAAGAGGTCCTCGAAGAAGGCCAGCAAATGATTAAATTCCGTTCGCGGGCGCTCCTTTGTGTACGTATAGCTCTGGCATGACAAAAAAGCATTTGTCTTCTTTTGTGAATGGGAATGGCGTCTTGGGAATATACCTCACTATTACTGCAATCTACAATGTGATATTTGGAGAATTTGATATCGATATTGACGCCGAAAGATCTTCTGAATGACCGCAATGTATGTCCTGCCAAGCTCGCAGCTGGGACCGCTAAGTGAACAAGCCAAACTATGTTATAACCGTGGAAAATGTACCACGACGTAGGAACGTATATACCGGAGATGCCCGGATTTGGCCTACACTCTCCATAATGTGCATACCGAGAACTGTGTTTAGCTGTGCCGGGTAACACTTTGCTGCCTGATTGTCGACTTCGAATGGATAGCCTTACCGGAGTGTTGGAACCGCTGACTTGGAAGGAAACTTTGCAGTCTTGGGTAATTAGGGTTGAGTGATTAAGCTCGACCGATAGGCCCCGGAGCGAGGGTGAAGCCAGCGGTGAAGAAACTCAGCAACGAAGGATCGACGGATCAATTGAAATCTATTAATGCAATATTGAACCATCGAAAATCAGTGACCATTGACCACAGTATACGCGAAGCAAAATTGGGAAAGAGCCATGCTGTGCGGTGATATCGACTCTGGGCCTCTCGTATCAGACATGACCGAAGCAGCCTTACTTACCTTGAATAAGTTCCCTCTGTTTTGGTGAACAGCTCAAGCTCAAGTCACGACATGAATTGGTCTTGGTAGGAAGCTTTATAAAGGTAATACTGAGGTAGACCAGATGAGAAAGCGATTTGTCAACTGCTCATTCCCTCAAGAAGATTTCGACTGACGACCTCATGCGAGATATTTCTTCAAGTGAATCCACCAGCAGCTTCGCGGTGATTATATTGAAGCACTGGGATCCTGAAGCCGTAATTACAAGCATGGTTCCCGCATTCTCTTCCCCAAAGTGGAGAGGTCTGTGATCGCGAGCGGAGAAAGACTGGCTATAAGAAGGGATCCTGTGGATTCACTCATGGCGGCCCAAGCTGAGCGGAGAATATTCCGTGATGACGATGAAATTGTGACGTGCCATAGCCACATTTGATCCAGTTGGAAGATTTTCATGGCTACCGTGTGATTGAAAGGGGTTGGACAGCGTTGCCTCGATACTCTCATCCAAATCACGAAGTTTGTCGCTTTTGGTGAGCTTTTTGGACATGGCGAGGGGTGGCGGCGGTTGACTGACGATTGCCGATGGGATAACATTGTTCATGAATCGAAAATTGTCTTGCGGATAAAGTTTTTCTTCCTTGTTTGCGAAGAAGATTCCCACCGCGGCTAGGTGAAAACGTCGCCGCTGGGAATTGTAACACCCTCGGAGTGCACTTCAGAGATAGCCTGTATCTGCTTGATCAAGTACAGTCTGCAGAAGAGTCGTCTCTCACTTTTCATAGATCCTATCATTGTTGGTCTGATCATTTCCGCCGATCCTGGATGTCTTCCAGTAGTTCCGCATAAAGGGTGGACTTGGTTTTTGATAGACTGCTCTCACACGACATGGAATGGTTGTTTTTTCGCGTGTTGTATGTTGTTTCAGGACATCCTTCCACAAGAAAAGATGATTCCAGTTCCCCTTCTCTGCTTCATCACACCGGCCATTGCACGGATACGACATGGTACGCATGGATTCAGTCTTTGCCGATACGGCAACATCAAAAAGACGGCGACTTGCATCCATGTCGAGAGACTGATGTCGAACCTTCGGAAGCACGGCGCTGATTGAGAGTACAGGAGTGTCCCCCCCCCTGAAGATGGATAGGGGCCTGGTACCGGTCATGTTGATCCTTTCATTGATGATCACCGGGCGGTGACTTACATTGGATCCTCATTGCCGGATACTGCGAGATACTGGGCTTCTCGGTGGTAAAGATTAGGATACTTCCATTCCCGAGTTTATCCTGAATGTTTCTAAACTTAACAGAAGGCCACATATCACACCCCATGATTGAGGTTATTTGTGACCGGAGGGAGGGAGAGTCTGGAAGCGAACATGTTGACTCGAAGAGTTGATGTCGATGCTAGGAAACCGACGTGGCGATCAGTTCACCCCAAAAGAATCGTCCGAAGTGCAAACTGGGGGCTGGTGACTGTCCGAATAGAACACGCCAGGTGACAATCCGATGGGCGGGCCATCTCTGCAGTTGCCGATACAGTGGCGTTATGTAGACCAAGTTGCGGGCGTTGATTGCGATGCTCTTCACAAAGATGAGTTGGTCGCCTACGCCGAACCCATCTTTACGAAATACTGTGATGTCTATACTTGATACTTTACTGATTGTAAGTATTCATCACGCAGCCATCAATTTGCGGTCAAAGGATCAGAATAGGCAAGATCCAAGTGATGAGACAGTGATTTATTTCCTGAACTTCATTTGTGCCCTGCCTAATGTCTAGAAATATCCACACTGGGACAATTCCAACTTCAGAAGCCCTGATCGAAGTTGTCTTAGGCACCCGAAAAGGTAGTTCTTTTCCCGACCTTGACTCACATTCAGGAAGAGATCGCGCAGAAGACCATTTACTTTGAGGCGAAATCGATGAGAGCGAGAGGATTTGACCCAGTAAATAGAAATAAAAGTGTAGCCTCGGGCTCATGCGATTATTTGAAGCAAAGTTAAAAGTTATTAATAGGATTTGACTGTATGTATACATCGATAACAGCAATGACTGCACGCACATATCATACATCGTTAATAGCAATAAACCGTAATGTAAAAGAAAAGAAAAGAAAAGAACGGGCTGGCAATTCCCACGACCACGAACCATTATTCATTACGAACCATTTCCCAGTCTTGAGCTTCGATCAAAGGCTGCTCTGAGGGCTCTGCCTTCTTTGGCGACAGAGACCGAGCTTTGGTCGCCCGAGGGTCCTTTTTCATCGGGCCACCCTCGAGATTATTTGAAGTGCGAGCGACGAACAGCCGGGTTGGCTTTGGCCTGAGTGGCAGATTCCCATTGGAACGAGCAACAGCCTCGGCTGGGTGTTGCTACCACGGAGAAACCGGCATCCTTGAAAAATTTCCTTGGTCGCTCTCATCCTCGGGCCTGACTGCTATAACCTCAGACTGCGAAGGGACTTAAGACGGCGCAGGATCACTCTCGAGGTCTGCTAGCTACGAAGAAATCGGCATTCTCGGGATATTTCATCCGTCGTCCTCATCCTCGGACCAGACTGCTGCAATCTCAGACTGAGAATGGACTTGAGGCGTCTCAGGGTCACTCTGGACGTTATCATCTTCCTCCTCTGCTGCTCCCTGCATGGCCATGATTCGTGACAGATACCACCGGAGCTCAAGTAGGCTAAAGGATGGTAGGGGTATGGTCTCCGCATTCGGCGTACTCAGTTCGAAAACGAACCCGGAACCAATCCTTGTCCCACTTGGGTAGTGGAAGAGTCCTATATCTGTGACCCCTTCGCCCTCCCTTGGGCTGTTCACCTAACCCATACGGTGTTCGGGATAAGGATGGGACTGAAGCGGGACAAGAGTTGACCGGCGAATAGCGACTAAGGGCAACGGTAGCTAGTGAAAGGCGATCTTCATTCTGGTCCTCTCTTCATTGACAGAAACGGGGCGAAAAGCACAGAGTCCGGTATCCTAATAGCGGTGAGCCTGAACACTTAGCGTTATCAAGTTTGCTACAAACTCAGTTTTCAGAGTATCTCTCTCGCTTTGGAAAAGCTCTTGCTGCCATAAGCGAGTTCGCTCTTCACCCCAGAACACTCGAAGCCAGCGCCAAAGCGGGTCGTTCCGGTATATCACCCCGTTTAGCTTAAAGGGGATGATATGCGACACATCAAGCGTGGGCTGAACTAGTTTGGTGAGGACATATCGCTCCCTATCACGAGTTAATACCTAGAGTAAGGCGAGAAGATTAGCAATAGAACGGTAATCAGGAATATATAGCTGATATTAACGTAAACGTACCAGATTCTTGATATCGTTAGAGCGTCTAGGGGTTTGAGGACGAGCAGGGGGTTGAGGACGAGCAGATAGTGTAGACGGAACCAGTAACCGAGATCGGACTCTCTCAGAGCGTTGGATACAAGCTCCAAGCATCACTGGCCCCTCGATCGCCTGAGTAGAATATGCAGCATCTTCTGGATGAAGACGCCGAAGCTTGCCATTCTCGAGCCGAATATTGTCTCTTGGCTCATTCTTCGCCGAGATCTTGTTGCCAGCCCCTAGCGTGACAGGATCATTATTAGCTCGGGTTCAACCACAGAAGGCGTCAAGTCAATTAACTCACAAATGCCAGCGTGATCACTTGTGATGTCCATGGCTAATCGCAGGGCCCATCTGAACTCTTCTGCGTCGGGCTCGACTGCCCTTCGCAGGACACTCATGTCGCTGAACCACAACGCAAACAGAGAGGTTCGAGCCACAGAGGATAGTGTATCATCCAGCTCTAGCAGGCGACCAATGAGGTCTTGGCGCTCTGGGTCCTCGAACTCCGAAAAAACATGGACGGTGTCCATTGTGACAGAAATTGTCAACAGGCTGTCGGAAGAGCTTTATTTGACAAGTCTTCTTTGATGCCAGACAGAGCGGGAGAAGGATGTTGTGGGAGCAAGAGAGAATCAGAGTTGCACCATATCTTTCTGCAGGAGAATGGAACCGCGTCCCGATTAGGAAACCAGGTGTTCGGCGCGGGTAGGAACGGACGATGCCGACGCGGGCGAAAGCCTTCAACCTTCCGAATCTTGAAAAACCAACGGACCAGAATAGATCGAATAGATCGATGGAGTGATGAAGAAGAAGGCAAAGATTCCACATGCCCCATCCTGCCCACTCGCTCCCGTCGGCGGAAGTTCTTCATGTACCGGCTCTACGTTAGGGCTTCAGCGAATGCACACAGCTTCTCACCGGGTTTCATGAGGAATTTCAATTCTAAAATGGTTGCAACCTTGCCCCATCAGGAAGTATCTGATTAGATCCTCCAGTGCATGACGGTAGGTTAATGGATGAAACAATGGACGTCAACACGCGCACTGGTCGAGCCCTGGTGCCCCTACCTGTTAAACCCAAGAATGTGTTCACCTGCAGCCCTACTAACTTACTGGGCTTCAAAGGGACGATGAAAAGGTGGGTGTAGCTGAGAAATGAGTCGTCGGGTATCTTTAGAACGTTCCTGACCAGACATGTAGCACTCGTCTGGTACTAGATCCGATTCATCATCGAAGGTACCCACGGCTCATCTTGAGTACCTACCAACCTCAAGTTAGTGCTCCTGGTACATTACTCACTAGTGTTAGTACCTAGTAACTACCTACTACCTACTACCAGTACTCAGTAGATGATGATACAGTATACCTTACCTTGATACGTATAGTATTAAGGGGTAGGGAGATAATTGTAGATCATGTACTCTTATTTGCATAATTGTAGACAAGTCGCACTCTCACTAGGACGTGAGAACTGGACAGTGTACAGATTCTACTCATCCAGTTCTAACTCCTCACCACGGAGTGACCTGCTCGAATATGAAGCACAAGACAGAACGTAGTCTACGGTACATGTTTGGGTGAATAGTGTCACGTGCGCGCCAGGAGAGACTGTTGTTACTAAAGCGGATCGAGAGCCCTCCTGGAGCCCAGGTATTTGATGCTTGATGACTGCTTCCAGATCCATAATCCGCCGCCACGGAATACGAAGAGCAAGCCTCTCGAGCCACAACGATAAAGGCAGTTTCTCATCTCTCAATGCCGACAGCGTTTCCGCAGGTAGGATCCCCATGCAGTTCAGCTTCATCCAGCTACTGCTCTGGAATAAATTGCTTCCCTGCGGTACTGGGAACCAACAAAGACATTGGAGCCTGCGGATCCTGATCTGGTCTCTAGATGGTGGGGAGAAGATCTTCATTACCTCCTCTCAGCCACGCCCGATCCCTCGTCTTACCGATTCCAAGCCACCGCAGTCGCTCTACCCAGCTACCCAGATACTACACTTGTCTACTCACTATGGCAATTCCATCAGACAGTTTGTCATTTGCGATTCAGGGGTGGATAGTGGGACTGCGTACGAGTGGTCGCTGAACAGCCAACTCCTAGTGGTAAATTACTGCTCCACTTGGTTTCGACATCCGGAACTACGGTTATCGTGAAAATTTTCATCTCTGCTTTCCTCCAATCCACCTCGTCTACTTGCACATGTCACATGGACGATTTATCATGACTTGAAGCTCGAGCACTCAGTCCATAAACGACTCAAAGGCTTCATTGACGGGCTCACTCACCCACAAATCAGTTCCTTTAGGGCTTTTAGGGCTTTTAACTGCGAAAACTTCTTGTACCGCAGTGAGTATGCCCACCCAGAATGGAGGCTGGATGCCATGGACACTACGGACATCTTTCCTGTGCTCCCTGGCCGGACTCTTTCTGTCGCTCTTTCTGGTCCTGGAAATTCTTCGCCAATATTCCGAGCGTAACAACGGGCTGGTGGTCTACAAGACAGATGCTCAGATTCCTACGACCATTACCGTGCTCTAGATCTATGGTCCCGTCTCCTTGTCACTTCTGGTGGTGACCATCTGGAATTTTATGGCGGCCGACGTCCTACGGTTGGAGTCATTCTTTCAGCTCTCCCGTCCCGAGGGAGTTCCCGCGACTGTTCTGTTCACAAATTATGGCTCTTGTTACGGCTTCATGGCCCCTCTGACTGCCGCTCGTAATCGCCACTGGCTGGTCTTTTTTGTGGCTGCACTGTCGACCGCTCTGCGAGCCCTCCTCCCTGCGACATCCGCAGGTCTGATGGTATTGACGGAAGTCACTACATCCCAAACGAATGGTATCTCGACCTGGCCAGTATTGCTGGATACAAATTTACAGAGCAGTCGTTTCGCCGCCGAGTCGGCTCGATACACCCGTTCTTCCGTGGTAGTCTCTACAGATCACCTCTACTGGCTGCGCTCGTCTGACTACGCATCCGCACCGGCGTCTATTCCCGATGACACGAATGAATCCTCCATGGTAGCGGTGAATCAAACTGTCTACTGGGCCGATCTCACCTGCGAGGATGTGACGGTCGCTGACTTGAAGCTCGCGAGATCTTCTCGAACGTCAACCGCGAGAGATGATGTGAATACCTCCGCTCATCATGACCCGTGGGACGAGTATCAAATCCAATTACCCCCAAGTAATGATGGCCGTTCGTGCCGCATCAGCTTTGCTCTGGACACGACCAGCTTTGTTGATAGCATGTCCTCTCAGTTACAGTACTGGGAACCACTGGGTGCCCTGTCTCGGAGTGCCGTGGAGTCTAGTTTAAATGCTACGAACTGCGAAGACCGCTCATTGGTTGGGTTGCTTGTGGACATTCCAAGTGCTAGCGATGCAGCCGCAGGCCGTGTCCCTAATGCCACTGCATTCTCCTGCACCGCGAATTACTTTTCTTCCACAGCGGAGCTTCATATGAGTGTCAATGCATCGATCGTCGGTGCAAAGGTTGATCAGTCCAGTCAAAGATCTATATCAGGGGAGGACTTTGATATTTGTGGGTTTCAGAACCTTCTCCAGCTCGAACAACATGCTCGCGTGGATACAGCAAATACGGGCTTAGTGGAGCTAATGCCCGATGCTCTTGATTCTCCCGAAATGTCCTGGTACTCAACGCTGATCAGATCGAGTAATGGCCCAACGCCATTTGATGTCGCCGCGCGGGTTGACAGCCATCAATACCAGGAAATGATCAGTGAGTGTTGAAAATACAGGTTTATCACCACCATGGACAAGCTGTTCGACCCGACCGCAGCAACAACGACCCAAGCCAACATAGTCACAATCGTCGTGTCTCTATCTATCTTACCAAAGGCCGCTATTACGGTGGAGATACTTTTCCTGGTTTCAGCCGTACTACTACTGTCTCTGGCGTTTATCTACCCACGACGTGCAAATATCCTTTCAGGCGATCCTGGATCCATAGCGGCCCAATGCGCATTGATTGAAGACATCATGAGCCCGAGGTGCAAATTGCTCACGTCAAGCGACCAATTCAATCATGCCACTTCTCGTCAGCTGTATCTCTGGGCCAAAATGTTCCGATGCGAATGGACCATTGGCGCGAATGGGCCTAGACTCGATCTAGTTCATATAAACGCTGACAGGTCATTTTCAGAGTCAGCGCTACCGCCTGTTAAGAGGGCTCGAGATCGTCGCCCTCACTTCGTGATTCTGCCCTAGTTTCTGGTGGAGTGCATTTTGCTCATTGGAGTCGTCGTCATGTACGCTCTTGTGGTGAAATTCATGTCTATCCAAGACGTCAACAACCTTTCGCACCAGCAAGTTGCATTGCTGGTAGCTTTGATCATCGGCCCTACGTTCATTGCCTCACTTGTCAATTCCTTGCTTGCTTCAATCTTACGGCATGTCGCAATGATTGAGCCTTGGATGCGTCTACAGAAAGGCGGAGCTTCTGCAAAGGAGTCTCTATTGAGAAATCATGGCTCAAATACCCCGGTCTCTGTGCTCTTGCAAAGCTGGAGATCTGGGCCCCCCGCCATTGCTGGCCTTGTCCATCATTTGCATTTTAGGTCTGTTGCTCAGCGTGGTTAGTGCTCGCGTCTTTGAGCCGCATAACGTACATTACACCGAGCCCGCAACGGGGTTGAAGTCTCATTATAACGGCACTGCTGTTCCGCCGTTGATGGACATTGAATTCGATGGCTACGGCCTGATTTCGAGCAACCTGAACGCAGGCACTCCAAACGTCCCATGGCAGGTTGCAAGCTATTCGTTTCTTCCCATAGAAACTAGCAACCTAGGAGACACCGGGTCCGTGGACCTCGATTATGAGGCAACCACCGCTGGTATCGGCGCCGCTTTAGATTGCCGGCCAGTTCCATTCAACCAGACATGGCAGACTGATGGATCTGGATCGGGGACATGGAGTTATATCACACATTTGGGTGATACATGCACAGTGAGAGCACCATATGCCGCAGAGGGCAACCGTTTCATCGAGAGATCTGTGTACTACCTTCAACCAGATGAGGCATCTTCGGCGAAGCCCAGCTGCGCAACAGCTTTGTTCATTGTGGCTCGCTGGGAGACGATGGAAGCATCGCCCAACAACCCGCAAAACTCGCTGGGTTTGTATTGCGAGCCTTCTATTTCGAGTGCGGACTTTGATGTTGTCTTCGATTCCCAAGGCATCGTCTCTTCGTATGAGCTATCATCCGTCTCGAATGCGGATCATGTGCAAATGACAGACTCTGCGACGATTGTGTCGCAATTCAATCAGGCAATTTCTGGGCCGAGACAGACCTATCCTTCCCAGCGGAATTGCTCCTTCAGCCAGTACGACTGGCCCGGTATGCTTACTGCATGCATTCACGACCGGTTGAACCCCAGTACCTTACGAGCCTTTGATTCCGGACACCTGGCTAGAGCCGCGGAGCTTGCTTATCAGCAGAGCTTTAGCACCTATCTTACCATGAGTCGCGACCTCTATTTCCCAAGATATTCGGCATCAGCAGCGGTGTCGGTCCAAGGCACTGTCCTTCGGATCCTGTGGGGTCTCATTCCGTCGATTCCATCCATGATTCTTGCGCTGGTCCTTCTAGCACTGGACCTCATAGTTCTGGTTGTCGTGGTCACCACACGATATACCTCTTTTCGCGCACCCCGTGTGCCCAAGTCGATCGGGTGTTTGATCCCTTGGATTGCCGAAAGCTCGATGAAATCCGACTTTCAAGACATGTCTTACATGAGCAGGCAAGAAATACAAAAAAGACTCGATTCTGAAGGGAGATACTATCGATTCGGACTGACCCGTCGTTTGGACGGGCGAGAAATGTGGACGCTTGACGTCGAAGACCCTGAAGAGGCTGGCTATGAACTGAACGAGATACCCGTTATCTCACCGGCCAGACCTCCGTAGCATTGTTTGTACCTTATATTTGCTGTTTCAGCCTGTTTATATTCATCCGACTCTTCCGGAAGGATAATTCATCAGAGGTAAAAGAAAGGTGAAATTCACGAATAGTTAACTGCTCCTCTTCCAATTTGTCTGGTAAGCTTGATCTCTTGTGAACGTGTCTGTCATTTCTGCCTTGCTAGTGGAGCAAGGTTTGATCATTGCAAGACCGTACCATCTCTCCAGCTACCTAGGTAGCTATCTTCAGTTCAGATAGAATGAACCATTGCCGTGCAGTAGGTGCCACGCGGGCCGGGTGAAAATCGGGCCCGAGCTAGGTACATACCCGATTCTACGGCCAGATTCTAATCGAGACCATTCCACCTCCTAGGTTACCGAGATAGGACCGATATATGCCCGATCTTAATAGAAGAGCAGCCTTGACGAGAAGCGAGCAGTTCCCAAACAAAGACATGGAAAAACAGCATTGGTCCATGTGGGACCTGACTCATGGTGGTTGTCTAGCTCCGAGTGATGATCACTCGTGAATTGTCTGTCCTTACCTCCACCTATATCAGATAAGAGCAAATGTGAGATTGCATCGTGCGCCAAATACGTCAGTGAAGTAGGTGCTGTAGATTGTTTATTGCTCTATATAAGTGGTGTGACCTGCGCCAGCCGCGCTTAGAAAGGTAGTAGACAGACCTATAAGGTATCTAGCAAAAAGGGTCGCAAATCGTTGTGATAAGCGCAGTGGATGCCTGCAAGTGGTCTATAATGATGGAAATGACAGGAGAAAAAGGATGTCAACAGCATAAGATCAATAACGCCAGTTATCCAAAACCTGGACTCTACCCGAGTACCATGACCGTTCACCTCTCGCCAGAAAGCCGAAACATCCTCAAAAAACAAACAGCGAAGATCATGTGTATATATATGAAAAGCAAAAGGGAAAATGTGGATTGGATGACCACAGAGCGGCTCCAGTATGCATGAAAACGGGAAAAAAGGAGAAAATATCTCATGTCCGGTAGATCTTGATGACATTCTTAATCGTCTTGCGACAAATCGGGCAGAGATCAACCTGCTTAGCGCATGTCACGCAAGAACAGATGTGTCCACAGTCGCAGAAGACGGCATTCTGCTCTTCGGAGTAGCATATTTGGCAAAGGTCAGCCTCGTCGTCAGCCACTTCCCAGTAGCTGATACCTTTGCCGTGACGCTTGCCGTCCTTATAGCCTCCGACGTACTTGTTGCCGGTCGATTTCTCAATGTAAGTACCCTGGCCATGACGGACATCGTCAACCCAGTCTCCGTCGTATGTATCGCCAGTTGGATACTCCATCTTGCCTTGTCCGTGGCGACGACTGAAGATGAAGTCCCCCTCATACACAGTGCCAGTCGCAGAGATGTGCTTGCCACGCCCGTGATAGTATCCTTTCAAGATTTCTCCACTGTAGAAGTCATTGACAAAAGTGGCTTCGAGAGTCTGGTGACCAGTGAACCCCGCAAGGGGGTGATGCCTGGATTCAGCCCACAAGTAGTGAACCAGTCGGTCGGGGCTGGAGAAGAGACCATCGAGGCTCAGCTGAGATCGTTTCTCCTTCGTGATCTTATCACCGATAATGATGCAAGATCCATGAGCAAGCATTGCATCCCCGAAAGTCTCTGCCGGAGACACCGAGGTCACCGTAGTGCCGTCAACTCGCTTCCACAAAAGGAAGTCACGACGAATGGTCCATTTCATATGCTTGCGAATGGATGCCTTGACATTGGCGTCCAACTTCGAAAAGAAGGAGCCGACGGTCCGCAAGACCTGATTGTCCGGGTCAAACATTTGAATGAAATAGTAAGCATGTCCAGCGGGCGATGAAGGCGCCGGGTCCTGCAGAGATTCAATCTGGGGCGGAGAGGTCGAGGCTGACCGATGGGTCGGAGAGGAGGATCGTTGATCGGCCGCATTCGCGACGGTGACGACTGGAGCCGGCCCTGTCGCAGCCGCATCAACCTCGGCAGCGGCGATGGCGATTTGGGACTCGGATTCGGGCGCGTTGCCATCAGAAGTGTTTGAAAGATCAGCATGGGTCGGAAGGGTCCTGGAGCCAATGTATCCGGAGGAGCTTGCAACGGCCTCTCCGTCGGCATTCGATGACGAGAGGTCCGGAGTGTTCAAGCCGGAGCGTTCGACGATGGACTCCTCCGCCTTATCTCCGCCCACAATGACTGGCTCTGGATCAGGGATTCCGAAAACCTTCGCGTCATCTACGCAGATGGGGTCAATAAAGGTTTCACGAAAAAGAAACAACGCATCAACTGCAAAGACAGGGTGGACATACCCTCCGAGATGGTCTCCATCCAGAACCGCATAGTCGTCTCGGATGGATCCAAAGGAGCGTTAAGATCAGTGATCAGATCAAGCGCGGGTGTTGAGCCACAGTAAGCCCGAGCCTGTCCAAGATGCCAGAGACGTACTAGCTCCGGACGAACGTTGCTTTCTCCAGAAAATTTCCACGTGGAGATCTTCTGGCGCAATTCTACAAGGCGGGAATGGCGTGGCAGTGTCATGTACATAACAGAGTTGGACTCCTTGGCCTGCTTCATCAAGTCGTAGCCATCGAACAGGCTGCCAAGCTTCTCGTAGCCTGTTAACGAGTATACCTCCACGTGGACATTTCGATCGGTGGCGTGCCGAGGCGCCTCGTATACTCCAGTCTCGAGATACTGCTTCAGGGGTTCGGACACTTGCCAGGGACCTCGGGGACCTGGAAGCAATTCTTGGACCATGTCACTGCGAACATACATGACATTGACAGGGACATCATGTCCCTTCTTGTGATCCACGGGGTCAGAGGCCCTGAGACCCAGATGAGGGCCCGAAGCGGTTTTCTGGGTCAAGCACTCGACGCGGTTGTCGCTACCATCGTCGAAAGCAAGCCACTTGCTGCCGGGACCGGCTGGACGTAGGATACTGAAGAACTTTCCGGAAGTTCGACGACCTCGGTGGACGACGTAACCGTAGAGGACATACTTGGATCCTTGCCCATCAATAACATAGGGGGCAAGATCCAGCTCTTCGTCAAGCTCCACTCGATTAAAGGCCAGTTGCCAACGCATCGACTTATCCAGCACATGGCGCCCCAACTCAACGTGAAGGACGGGAGGAAGAGACCACTGTCCTGGCTTGGCCGCGAGATACTCTTTCACTGCCTGACCGATCGACTGGGCTTGGTCAGCTCGCACACATAGTCGCGAGTTATAGGCAGCAGGAAGGCGGTTCACTTCCACATCCTGCGTCGGACTGTCAAACAATTGGGCGAATTCCCGCTCCGCCTCGGTACCGGCGAGCTCGATCTCCAGTGTGCGTCGCAGGCGCTCCCAGAATTCAGAGACATCGCTTGAGAACTCGCGCAGGTTGCGCAAAGTGGACGTGATGCCGTCGGTGTCCACATACTGGTGGGACTTGCTCGGACGGCGGAGTTGCCAAAGCAGCTTTTGCAGCGCATCACACAGAGGCTTCGGCTTGACATCACCATTAGTGAGATGTTCCAGGACATTGACTCCTTCGATGATCTTGCAGAACGGAGCAATATGGAGCCAGGACGCCAAACCGGCCACCTCAGCGCTGTGATTGACGACCGAATCGCCCAGAGGACGATAGCCCGTGAGGGCGAGACTGTCCCACGTGGGCTCTGAATCACTGGGGTGCCACCACAAAGACTGCGTGGGATCGTCGATCACCCTGATATATGCGTCAAAGGCTAGTGTGTCATTATTCAGGAGCGCTCGGTGCTGTCCCCGGCGACGTTTGTGTATTTGATCCCATGGGCCGTGGAAATAAGTCCAACCCCAGTCAAGGTTGTGAGGATTGAATTGATGACACGAGGACTGCATCCAACCCGTTCGTGGTTCCTCTGGATTGTAGACAATGACACCGATCTGCGCCGCGACCCGCCAGGGCCCGGACGATTGGGCTTCTGCATCCGTTTCAACGGCCCGGGCGTCAGGGACGGCCTGGTCGTACTTAGCCCTGAAGTCGTTCAACCACGTTCGTGAGTCGGAGGTGGCAGGGGTTTGAATATCGAATTCGGGAACCACGTCGTCGAGTTTGGTTTCCGCTTTGCCCCGACGGACAGTGAAGCTTGTGTCGGGAAGTATTTCGTCCGGATCGGGCATGGTTGGAGAGCACTCAAGATAGACGCTGAGTGAGCCCACATTGTTACCCCGAGGATAGAACTTGATCCGCCACCAGTACCCTCCGACAAAGGCCGCCGGAGACCGCATGACCTTAGCACGATTCGGCGCTTGACGTGTACCACGAACACCCTTCAGCGTCCATGTGAGACGCATCTTTTCCCTGGGCACATACTCGGGATCGTTTAGATCCCTGAAAAAGTTGCTTTCCCAATAGGTATCTAAATGGTCGTCAGTCTCACTGCACCAAATCACTTTGGGAACCGTTCTGGGCGCGAAGCATACGATCACATGCACTGTAGTCTTGTTCCGCGCTGTTGATCTCCTTCAACTCCTCTTCATCGGGGCCTGACCTGTCCTCTTCAATTCCAGCCCAGTATGCATGCTCCACATGCTCGTCAGGCCCGACAGCCGTGGAGGAAGGAAGTCGGGGAGCATGGGCTGTCTCTGAAGGGGTCTCTGCCGGTGAAACGGGGGGGACGGTGTCGGTTTGAGGGGTGATGGGAGTGAGATCGGAAACTGATTGCCGTGAAGGAATGGCTATAGATGCCTGCGCCTGGAGATCACCAGCAGCGGAGGGGATCGAAGTCAAAGGACTTGTCGAGTCGGGTTGTGAAGCATCCATAGTGTTTCAATATTCGACGTATTTGGCTGTAAAGGAGCGCTCGGCGTGATCCTGATGCAGGAACTATGGGGAATTGGTTTCGGCCACTTTGGCCGTACTTCAATGCAAAACGGAAGCGCACACAGTGAGGCTGGCCGCACGAGGCCCGCGCAATTCCACGCTTTCTATACTTGCACCTTATTGAGACGGGACCGATGATTGCGGGTGATAAGCCTTGTCCTTGCTTATCGGTAAGGGATCGGCCGCTGTGGAGTGGAGGTGAGAGCAATCGCAGTGCTATCAATGCCGAGATTGTAAGCTTGTTCGACCAGTTTTGACAAGGGAACGACCGTCGAGGTATTGAAATAGAGCGAAAAAGAGCGTGAGTCACGAGAGATGCAAGAGACGAAAAGAAAATGACCCGACAGCCAGGGGGGGGAAAGGGAAAAAACGAGGACGAAAAAGGGCGCGATCCGATCAGGAACCCGAACGAGTCACCCGAGTGGGTCTCTCCCCCCCCAAATGATCACCCAAGGGTCAAATCGCGCGATAAGAAGAAGGACCAAAAAGTCCGGGGAGGATGCGCAACGGACTTCAAAAGGGAGAAAGAGCGAAGGGGGAGGCGTTCCACTTTGACATTCGGGCGCACCAGGTGATCGATATCCAGTTTCTAGTCTTTCTCCATACTTCCACCGTCCCTCTGGTTCAAAGACCACGCGGACCGGTCTCTTCTGTAGGGCTTCGTGATCCATGGAATCCGCTGATGAATCAGAAGTCGCTATCATATGTTGAGGAGGTTGACCTCATTTGGGGCAAGCCGCATGGAGATCACGAGTATACATGGATTTACATATCTCTCGGCTCATGCAGGCTATCAAACCCAAGACAGGGGGGAATCCAAAACCGACTGGACGGATTGGAATCACCTAGGACAGCTTTGCAGTCCAGGCCACAGTACTACTAACTGATCATATGGAGGCCACGCAGCATTTGTATTGTGACTATTGTGTACTCAGTACTGCTGTACTTTTAGTACATAATTACTACCTGGTACCTACCTCTCCTACCGAGGTAAGTCCTATCAGTACCTTACTCTGTCTAACTATACTGTATAGTAGTGTGTACCTGTGTACAAACTACAGACTATAACAGGTAGTGTGTATTCAATATTGTATATTGTATACTGTATACTGTATGTATACCGTCCACTTGTACAGTACTTCTGGATCGGACGAGAGAATACAAACTGACCCAGTTGTTCGCTTCAGCATTCAGTGGCCCACCAGAGCGGACGAGGTCTCCTTGGTCAATTGGATCTCACTCGACCAAGTGACGGGCGATTGAGGGTATGCAAGGCCCATCGGTGGACAGAACGGTTGGGGAAAAAAAGGTAACCGCGGATCCGAAAGCCCGGGACGGCGGCGAGTGGATGTAGAGATAAAGTGTATCTACATTGCTTCACCCACTTTTGGGACCGCATGAAGCTTGTACATGATACGTCACAGTACCGTCTCATCAAAAGTCCAGGATGATTCGTCTACTACCACAGGTTAGTAAGGTACTAACTCCGAGCACCCGTGGCAAGTCCCCGAAATCAGTACTTTCTTGCCTCCCGCTTATCGGAGTCGTCAGGGGAATGTCAATGCACTGTTATATCGTCACCCAAAGCAGCTCATCGCTTCGCAAGGCAATTAACCACCTTAACGGATGTATATTGCTACATACCCTTCCCAATGTTGTGAGATCTCCAGATAAAGTCTTTGGTACTTACCTATCCTCGGCTTCCGGTCTGCTGAGCCTCCTCATTCGGCTCACGCGGCTCGTAAAGTCAGCTGCCTCAGGCCCCATGGCTGCCTCTCCGACGTGGTCATGACTCGTGTTTCCCGGCCGTAACACTGCATGACTACACACGCCATGAGCCTCACGGCTCGTCCAGTCTCCCTTGGATGATTCGAGTGTTTCAGACGAAAATGAACAACCTAACAACATTAGTCGTCTGAAGTTGCTTCGGACCGTAGACTATGATCTCCGGCTGCCTGTCACACCCCCTCCTCGAGTGGTATAATAATCTCTTCCGCCGCGAGTCTATGCTCATTCTGAGGCAGTCTACTAGTGGATCACATCACTGGTTCACTAGGTCCTGGTACAACGGAGGGTGAAACACTACTATTGGAAACGGTGTACCAATATAGTGACTAACCCACGAACTTCTTTTCCATCTCAAGCGGATGAATAACCTCACCTGCCAATCAGAATCACATTCGTTAGCCGATCATTCCGCAAGGGACAGTCTCGAGACTGCCGGTCTGCTCTCTGGATTTGTGACGGGTCAATAGTTGGCATGGGTAATCTATTTTTGCGGTGAGCCAAGCAGGTCAGATGGCCACCAAGACCGACGACTCATCTCCTCAGCAGTCGACCACGACGAACACGACTGGAATTGTCAACGAGCCATAGTATCAATCACAGTACTACTATCGGAACTTAATACGTGCACGTCTAGCCTAAGTATTCGATCAAGCTTAGTGGTGTTTCACAAATCTCCCGTCTGATGCAAGACTCGCTGCAGAGTCGGGTCCATTCTAGGGGGTGTTCCATCACTGACTAGATCGCCTCAGGAAACTACATTAACAGGCGACCATGCCTGTTTCCCACCTGGCCACCTCCAGTGCAGAGAAGAGATCGCAACGGGGGCTAGGACTAGTGACTCTAGTAAGTGAGAGTTTCGTCCCGACGTCCACCAATGTATGGGCCCCCAACCTTAAAATAGGTTTCGTCCAGCGGTTCCACCAAGACGGTCGGCTGTCAGTCCTTTCCTAATCGCCGACGCTCTCGCAGTCGACGAGAGAGACGGCCAAACCTACCTAAAGGGCTGCGTAAGTGGAGGTGAACCTCAGTAAGAAATGCGGAATATCGCATAATACTGCACATAGTATATGTCATGATCACTGTATCCGTCAAGCAGTGTCCTTCTAGGCTTCTACTCAAAACCCGACATTCTCAGTGAATTCGATCGCCAAATCTCGCACGGCCTACTGTCGAGTTGGGAATGCCCATATTTCATCCCACTACAAAACAACTGCAGTCCGAGATCGCCGCCGAGTCTCGTTGCCACCTTCAGTCCTGTCTCCACTCTCCAGTCTCCAGTGCTCCACTAATACCGTAATACCGGTACTAAGGCAAATCTGCCGAGGGACGGCCGAGACGGATCGTGGAGACACGCATTGGCGAATCACCCAAGATATTCCTCTTCAACTGTATTGGCTATGGATATCCTCGTCTCGCCACTCGGCAGTGGGCAGTGGGTACTCGCGAGTCGCCATACGCATACCTACCAGGTACCCAGGTAGCGCTATCTTCAAGTGCCCCGCGCCCCTGGAATCTCACGTAGACGCGAAGGCAGTAATCACATTATGATTTCAGCAGAGGAAGAACAACATCTTCGGGAACGCTTGGTGAGTATCTGGACCACCCAGCACCCCAGGGGCTTGCTGAAGAATGATGCTCCTCAGCGGCGGGAAAAGTCGTCATTCGATGGTTCGCCGAGACAAATAATGTATAATGTAGTGGCTTGATTGGTGGTACTACTAGAGGCAGACTTCGAAAGCACAACTCGAGGAGTTAGAAGACTGGTGCGAAAGGTATGTATGATCATGAGTAGTAGTGCTAAATGCTGATTGCTGATGGTAGAAATGGCGGTGAGTCGAGGCCATAAATGGGTAATCCGAAACCCTTAACAAAGACGGAACTAGACCTAGAAAGTTCAGTGGGAACTTCAATAATATGCCATTCACCACAATACTTGCTTAGGGGATCGGCACCAGTCAAGTTGCTGTAGGGTTTCCCGGGCAAAGTTCCAAGGTAGATGCCAGATGTTGGGAGGTGACGATATTTGGATTGGACGGAATAAAGAGCCTGGGAACCATCAAGTCTGCACTTTCTCAGCTGCAAGTGGTTTCGCTCTTCAGGCTGTGTTCCAATTATGCAGGTGTGATAATAGTGCGTCCCTATATACATTGGAACGAGTCATCTCGTCCATGGTCCCTTGAGATCCAGTCCTCATACGAACAACTGTAATCCACGGCACAATGCAGCATCCGAGGGCCGACGACTAAGTCATCTCAACGACTTCCAGCAATCACCCCAGACCGATGTGTCGATTGAGTCCGTTTGATGGGACACGAGACAGCCCTGTAGCTCCCGCTCGTGGTTCAGCAGACACATGGCCAGCAGTCGCGGGGTATCTGTGAGACATGGGACCCATGGGATCTCGGGACTGGTCAATCCACGTGCACCATCATGGCGTTTCGAAGTCATAAGCGGAAACAACACGGGCCCCTGCATGCGCGCGGCCAGTGGTCATGACACTGCCACCGTGAGAAACAGCCTAAGCAGTCCACGATATGCACGGGTCATCGTCCATGGCGATGTATTTTCAGCTACGCTCGTCCCACTCCCTTAGTTTTCTGCGGGTGCCTGCGTGGCTGTTCCGGATTTTGCGAAAGATGCCGCGACGATCAGTGGGAAGACCACAGTCGCTTCAGCATAGACCTTGACGGCCCTCGCGTCAGCCTTGATCTTACCCCAGCTAACAGCTTCATCGGGTCGAGCGCCAGCATCACTGCCATCAAATTCCTGAGCTGTGTTCACGTACACAGCATGCTCCGCTCCATTGCGCATCAGGCATGCATTCGCGATGTGGTGTTTGACCACACCTCCTCCCAGAATAATCATTCCCGCACGAGCCGCCCGAACAGCCATGGTATTGATGCGGCGCACGTCATCCACAATGTCCACGCGCAGCCTCTGCGGAGAAGACTTGAAGGTGTGGAAGTACAGCATATCGCCCAAAGATCCGTCGGTCAGGGCGGGGCAGAACACGGGAATGCCATTTTTGGCAGCCCAATAAAGCACCGAACTCTCGTTGTTGATCTCATGACCCAATCGCTCCGTGATCCGACTCGGTGTCCAGTGAAGCTCGTCCTCCTCGTCGCCTGTTTCGCGAGCCTTTTTCTTGGCCCCTTCCTGTTCCTCCAGCATCCGATCCAAAATCGGTACCACCCAATCCTCGAACGCGCAGTAGTTGTTGTTGGGTACTAATAAGTTTCCAATTCGGTTAAGGCCTTTTGCTCGCAGCCCAGCGCCGGGTGTGCTGAAGGAGCCCATATAAGTGGGAGCCAGGCACTTGATCAAGTCTTCCTCGACGCCGCCAGCTGTGGTCACGATCGCCGAGACATGTTTATGCTTGACAAGATATCGCAAAGTGTCTCGCAGACCGGAGGAGATGAGGTTGGAGGTAAATCCGAGGAATATCGTGGTCTTCTCTCCACTCTCAGGATGGCGAAAGGCTCGCTGTCAACCGAACAGTGTCAGAATACTGCTTCTTGTGGCACAGGATAGGACAAGAGCCGAGTTCGACGACAGCTTCCCCCCTCCTTTCTCATCTTAATGATCATGTAAATGACCTGCGCAGGGAATTCCACTTACCATTTCATTGATGATCTGAGCAGCTTCCGCAACTGCGCTACCTTGGAAACCCATGTGTGTCATGTTCTCAATCATCTCCGCGACTGTGATGTCGCGACCCTGATATTGATCAAAGTCCACACCACGGACGACCTGCGCATCTTGTGGAACGGGGTGGGAGGCGACCAGGACCGAGTCGATCGCCGACGTAGGGGGTGCAGACTTGCTCATTGTGTTGTGCTGAGAGAATCTATCTTTCGGGTTGTTGGTGTAGATTGCCGGGTAGTCAATGGACAATGATAAGCTGACAGGGGGTTCAATTACTGCCCACCAAACAGGTTGTGAGATAAAATCAATACTCAAGGCTCACAGGTCCAGCTAATTTGATTTTGGGTGCGACGGTCCGTGATATGGTGACTCATGAGCTCGTGCTAGTGTTTCGCGAGAGATTGTGAACCTTTGGACTTTTTTTTTTCCACTGGCCTTATCCTCGGCGGGGCTCCCGGCCTTTACACGGCGATTGACACCTCAGGTATCAGTGGCACAATCGCGGGTGGTTTCACCCAGTGTGTTGGTTACCCCTAAGTTATACATTTATACACAGTAGGACTAGACTCAGTAGGCTGTATGAGAGGTTATACATTCACTACATTACTGTACATTGTACTTGCAAACTCTGGAGTTCCATCAACCACCGTGTACATGTGACTCAAGGAAGATAACTTTAGAAATTCAGTTCTCTCTGCAGAAGCTCAGCCTATGAGATCACAGGCCGCTAGGACTCGACTCTAGTCTTATTCTTCTCCTTGTTCTCAACTTCTTACACTTTGAGCTCGGGCTTTGCTGCGGTCGCCAATGCTGATTAGGGATCCTCCGGTCATGCTAAGCCTGTCTCGGCGCCTTTCGGGGATAGGATTTGACGTGGAAACCACGCTAAGTCTGACAGTCGCCAGATCTGGAAATCAAAGTGTGTAGGACTGTAGGGCCATCGATCGATCTGGTTCTGAACATTAGCGATAGTCGGTCGCACCTAGTCACACTTAGTAAAACTCATGGCTGCCAGAAAGAGCTTACCGCAGGCAGGTAGTTCTTAAGGTCCTAAGCGCCTTGTTCGTCTTTATTAGCCGCTCTGTTCTGAATTTGGCAATACCAAGATATGAATAAATTTGAAAGGGACATAATCGGGATCAGTGCTCAACACCGAAGGTCTTACGAATAAGTACGGTATTGTGAGAGGTTCAGCCATCCAGACGGTGTTGTAGTGTAGGTCAAGCCTTAGAGTAAAATCGTGGAGTTATTTCGGTCGGTACCGGTTGAAAACTTGACAGTACTACCTCTCGTACGTATTAGCTAATGTTGGCTACTACTAGTAGTAAGGTCGCAAGTGGGAGAGGCAGCATTGTCGAAAGACAACGACCTGAGTGAGATCTGGCTCTGGGCAGTTTGACCCCGGAATCACGGGTGTGCAGGGAAGACGTCCAAGAATACTCTGGCCCGCCTCTGCCCTCCAGTGTTGGCCCAGACGTGCAGGCGTGCCGATGCCGAGCACAGACCAGGCCCCTTTTTGTGACTCTTCAGCCCGATGAACCTTTCTGTCCTCGTCTAACATTCCGACCCACCAGTGGTTGCCGATTACACACGTAGGATCCGTCGGTGTATTCGTGTTGGAGTCCCAGAGAAGCAGAGACTAGTCATATCAGTCTGACGAGTCCAACGCCGACATATAGAGCGCGAAGATATCTCGCGTGTGACGTGTACACTGAGCCCCGTGGGCTGCCTGCCCCAACCACCAACAACCCGAGTCAAATTTGACGCCGCCCCATCTCGAATTGGTGACCCAATTAGGTCCTTCTGCACGTGGCCCGTGCTGGAGATCACGTGGCTGACTCTCTTTCCGTTGGTTCGGCTCTCCAGAGGCTGCAACTGGCAAAGTCCAGGACTTCATCCTCGAGAACCCGTGGTCCGATCAGACAATACTGCGGCCACACGAAGCAGAACGGGTGCCGAAGGACCCTGAATTGATTCATTGCATCAGCCCCGATAACATCCTCCCTTCAGCATTCACACCAACTCGCGCTCCACACGTCCCTCGAGTGCTTCGATCACCACATAGCATGACCTCCTAATGTCTTCTCGATTTCCCCCTTCGTCCGGGTTCAACTCCCGCGACCGCTCTCCTCAAAGATTTGGAGATCGCCGACAGCATGGGGGTCCACGAGGTTTCGACGATGGTAGTCCCCCGTTTGGCCGAGAACCTCCTCGTGGCCCCCGCGCGCTCGTTGATTCCCCCGGTCGAGGTGGCTCTATCGTGGGAAGTGATCGGTTTGGTGGAGGTGGAGGCCCAGGGGTGGTGGAGGTGGAGGTGGAGGTGGAGGTGGCGGTGGTCGTGGTCGAGGCTATGGCCGTGGAGGTGACTTTCGAGACCGGGATCGAGACCGAGACCGGGATCGAGACATGCGAGACCCGCGAGACCGCGACTTCAGAGACACAAGAGATGGACCGCCCCCATTTCGACGTGATGCGGATCGCGAGTATGGCGTTCGCCGCGACCGAGATTTTGACACCCGCCCAGATCGCATCGGATTCGGCCGAGGTCGGTCGCGGTCACCCACTCGCGATTTTCGCGACACACGGGATGTCCCATCCCGTGATTTCGATATAGTGCGCATGCGACGAAACTCCCGGGATAGCATAGTATCAGCCTCATCGGGCGGTCCAGATGGACCTCCCTCCAGTGGAGGCCACGTTAACGGACCAGGTCCCATGCGTGGACGCGGCCGGGGTGACTGGGAAGGAGGCCGCGGGCGAGGACGCGAGCTTTTCCGTCGGCGCAGCCGATCTCGGGACTCGCGCGTGAATTGGACACGGGGTCGTCCATCCATCTTGGATCGTGATCGCGAAAGAGATCTGCTGGATCGTGACCGCCCGCTCGAACGTGAGCGTGAGCGAATCCTTGATCGTGAACGTGACCGCGATCGAGAACGGGACCGGGATCGGGACCGTGATCGCGACCGGGACATGGACAGACGATTTGATCGGAGAGATGAGTGGGAGACTCGTCGTCCTGATCGCGAGGACCGAGACCGACCTTTGGAGCCTTGGAAGCGGGATCTTCCACCAAATCGTGCAGATCACCGTGGCTCAACAGCCTCAATAACTGCCTCTTCAGCAAATGCCATTCCTTTGCCGGTCCCGACTGCACCTGAACGACTGACTGAACCAGAACTTCCCGATCTCTTGAGCAGAAAATCATCTGTCATTTCCGGCCCCCCCGCAACTGAGATTCGCCGTGAAAGTGTTCGCCCAGACCCAGCGCCTGTCCGACTCGAACCATCTAAAGATGGAGCAGCATCTGGTCAGAAATCACCTCCTCCGTCAGGTCCCCAGGTTCCTGCTTTTGGCTCAGTATCGACATCAACACCGCCTGTAGGCCCAGCTAAGGCTGGCTCTTTCGAAGAGCGGGCATCTATCGACTCAAAGGCGCAAGTGGACAAAGATTGCCTTCCATTTTCACCACCAACCGGTCCCAAAGCCGAGCGAAGCCAATCGTCGCATACAGGCGAAACTCGAGCTCATTCCTTTGAAGTCAATTCCCGCCATGATGATTCTGTCCGCGTGGCTCGACTCCCCGTACAACTTTCCGACAGGTCTCCTCCCACGGCACCAGCTGCAATGGCGAAGCGGGAATCTTTCCCATTCGGCACCGACCACTCTGCCTCTGGAAGACCAAGTCTTCACACTACCTCCCCAACCTTTACTCGCTTGCCCCCGCCTGCTCCGCGGGCGCTGTCCAGAGATCCGTCGATTTCTCCTCGAATGCAAACTTCGAACATTCCGACTGGGCCTCGAGCATATCAGAAACGGCCAAGCCTGTCACCAAGAGGGGGCGGTGCCAAGGGTATCAAAGGCTGGGGCCGTTCCCCGTTTGGGCGCAATCAATCCGTAGTTGGCCCACAGCCTAAGAAGGAGCAAGATGAATCCGACGGCAAAGCTCCCGTTAGTGGATTTTCTCAAAAGGATACCCTGAATCATGCCCAGAATCATGCCCAACCTACATCTCAGGACCTTGCCCCTGCAACAGACACAACATCGGAGCCACTCGAGTCTACTCCCCCGCGCACTGGTTCAGTAGATTTGCCACTAAGGGTAAGTCCCCAGGCCGTGACAAAGCCTGAGCCTATGCCGCAGGAGGAAAAACAGCCAGGGAGATCTTCTGTAGAAAATGAAGGTCAAGGCCCCGTCGACGTGCCCCGGAAAGAACCTCACGAAGAGCATGCTGAGGTAACTCCACAATCCGAGATCATGGAGAAAGTAACTGCAATGCCAGTCGACGAAGAGGAAGAGGAAGAGGAAGAAAAGGTCGTTTTCACAAAGGAGTATCTGGAGGAGCGAAAACAGAAGTTTGAAAAAGACATGCAATCTCTCCGCGCTGAGATGCCCCTCTCTCCCTTGGAAGACCCTGCAATCATCAACCTTCTTCTCAAGATCCAGCTGCTGGGAAAGGTTGCCCACGATCATGAAGCTCAAGAGGCCGTCAAATCTTTGCCATCTGCAGAAGGGAAAGAGGCTTCATCAACGGAAATACCTGAGGTCGAAGTACCCACAACTGTACCGACAAGCGTTGGCGATGGGCTCGATTCGGCGCCCATCACTGTTGCCCATCAGATATCGAGCCATGAGGAAGACATGATCGTCGATAGCCTCCCATTCCTGCATTCAGGCCCGCCTACCCCGATTTCAGACATAGACTCGTCTCTTGCAAGCAATATGCCCCAACAGCACCTGAACGATTTCGTTCGAAAAGCGCTCATACGCCGGCAAAAGGAGGTCGCGCAGAAAAACGCTGCGCTGCGTGAGGAATACATCTCACATTACAAACGTTGGCGTTTAGAGGTGTGGGAAATGGATCGCCTCAAAGAGAAGAAGCCCATGACCCCTGGCCCGGTCTCACCTCCAGCGCCGCCCGTTCCCACGCCGCCAACGGCGGTCTCTGAAAATCGCGAAGGTCGGCGTTACAAAGGCAACAGTGAACTTGACTTTCTGAATGCATTGAAGGCCTCGGAAATTTCAGCCCAGGAGGAGCTGGAGCGTCGACGAACAAGGATGGCAACCGCGCAGCCTGATTTGGCCCGTGAAGCAATCATTCCGGACATGCTGGAACCGCGGCAAGCCAAGGCTGGGATTTTCAAAGACGTCAACAATACCGTCGATTCGAATGACGCAATGAAAGTTTTTGGATTCCTGCCACCACCCAACGACTTTACCCCGGAGGAGCATCAGTTATTCACCGATGCTTTCATGGCATATCCGAAGAAGTGGGGCAAAATTGCAGAGTCTCTGCCGGGTCGGGATTTTAGACAATGCATCATTCACTATTATTTGACCAAGGAAGAAATCAAGTACAAGGCGAAATTGAACAAACGGTGGAGTCGTCGTGGTCGTGGCAAAGCTCGCTCTACTCGGCCTAAATCCAACGCGTTGATTGCTGATTTGGGAGTTGTCAAGCCTGATTTTGATGGTGATGAAGAGCAACCTCCACCCGTGACCGATACTGGTCGTCCTCGCCGCGCAGCCGCTCCCACATTTGGCGACTCCAATGACTCCGAGGGCGCTATTGCCAACAGCCGGCGGGGTCAATATGTGAAGGATGCTGAATCAACGGAGAAGCCTGCTGCGAGGCGAGGCGGGCGAGCGGCTGGTGCACGAAGTCAGAGACGTGGTGCGAAGGTTGTCCCGCAGGAACCCAAGAGCCAGCCATCGACGCCTCAAGGTAGCAGCACTCCAGCTCCCCCAGTTCTCCCGGCTCATCCAGCTCCCCCAGTTCCCCCGGCTCCCAAGATAGAATCGGGAATGGACGTGCTGGTAGAGGCTGCTCTGCCGCCGGAGAAGGAGCTTGTTGAAAAGGAAAAAGAACCTCCAGCACCCGCCCCGCGCCCTAAAGCTAGCCGTGGACGGGCAAAGGACGGCATCTATGTTTTTGAATCGACAGAAACGGACCCGTCAGTGTCGACACCAAAGACGTCAGAAACCGGATATGGATCTTTGCAGCCTACCAGCTATTGGTCTGTCCCTGAGCAGCGCGACTTTCCTCGCTTGCTGGCTCATTTCGGACGTGACTTTGAGGGCATCTCTACATTCATGAAAACGAAAACGACCGTAATGGTAAGTTTCCATGGACAGTTGCTCCGGCGCCCGCTTTCTATATTTACTAATTTCTGGGTTGTGAAGGTGAAAAACTACTATCAGCGACGCCTCGACTCCGGACAGAAAGATTTCGAAGATATCGTACTGATAGCAGAAGAAAAGAAAGCGCGCGGTGAGCCGACCGGACCTTTGCCGGTGCCCAGTGTGGCTCCAAAACGTCGTTATGAAGCTACTCCATCGGCCATCATCCCCCGCCCGCTAGCACCGCATGGTGAATCAGCTCAAGACACCGAAGATGGACGGTTTCCACCCAAGGGTAAGCCGGCTGCAATTTCACCTCAAACAGTCCAAGTGCACAACCGGCCGCCAACTGAGGGTGACCGAGGCTCGGGTCATTATGCTCCCCTCGTGCAGGCGTCTGCACCTGGGCCCAACCCGTCAATTGTCTCCTCCTATGGCGATGATGTAGCCCGAGGCGCTCGTGTGCAATCCCAACCGTCCCGGACATCAGGTCCTCGCATGGGATTCTTTACTGAAGATCGTCGCGACTCTCAAGTTCTCCAACCGAGCAGTCAGCGTGCCACAGACATGCCGATGCCCGCACGGCATGTTGTGGGCGGTGCTGTGCCTCAAGAACTGGTGGGAATGGATCCCATGGCTCCGCAGACCTACATGCCTGGTCAACCACCTTCGTCGCTCATGCAGCCATCGCATTCACGACACAGTAGTACTACGCAAACGCCCAGCTCGCCAACTCCGCACCCAAGGACAGAGCTTGACCACCCCGCCTACCATCGTGATCCATTTGCGTCAAGGAATTACTACTCTTTACCAGGCCAGCCAACGGGTCTTGTACACTCCCCGCGTCCTGGGCTGTCACCAGTAAAGGATGGCTCTCGCTCCGGTGCAACGCCGATTTCGGAGCCACCTCCGCGCCAGGTGCCCGCGAAGCGCTCGAATATCATGAGCATCCTCAATGACGAGCCAGAAGAACCGCAGCCTCGGAAAAGATTTGCCAGTGAGCTTCCGTCGGGCCATGGCCCTGGTTCTGTCCCTGCATCACGACCAATTTACCATGCTAGTGAAACAGCTCGTCTTGATGAGGCACCCTTGTCCACGTCTGGACCGAAATCTTCCACCTATTCTCAAACAGGCTCTTATCAGACATCTTCTCGTGGATACCCCGATTACAACATGAACAACTACGGACCGCCCCCCAAAGGCTCTGGAAATGCTGTGAACAGTGACTGGATGGCTCGTTTTGACCCAAGAGCTCCACAGGGGGGCCGCTAACACAATCTCAACCCCCCCCCCCCACCCTCGTCGTCTCAAGTCGGCCGATCGACTTCATCGATGGCGACGCAAGGCTCTTACACACAATATGCATCGAGTCAATCCCAGCATGCTACGCCATTGAGTGCTCTACCAGCCCCGTCCCCTGCTCCCACACCCCCACCATCGAACTCGCAACGGTCCGGATACCCAGCCGTCTTTGCTCAGCATGGCGTTCCCTCGGGCGCCCGCGATCTGGGCCCACAATCCTCATCTTATCGTCCCCCTTCGCCCGCTTCTCGCCCTAGTAATGCTGCATTTGGTACTCGTACAGAGCCAGTGACTACCACGCAGTCCTCCAACAGTCCGTTTGCTTTGGGCCCTCGCCAAATGGTACAGCAGCACTCCTTCGCCTCAACTGCCTCCCCTACACCTGGAAACACTCCACAGCACAGCCAGAGCTACCAGCAGCACGTGCAGACACTTGTCAATGGGGCTCATCAACCTCATCGATCGACGCCGGTGTCAATGGCTGGCGGCCCGTCACAGTATGGCCACGCTCCGCTCACACCGCAAGTCTCGGGTCGGGCAATGCCGTCTCTCGCTAGTCTTGGTCGATCATACACCCCCCATCGGCTATGCACCCCGGTGGTATGGGGTACGGTCCACCGCCGCCACCGCCAGGTCCAGGGAGTATTCAGTCGATGCATCATAGAACATCTGGCCCGGGAGAGCATGTCTCCCACACGAGCGGCCATCACCGCGTCTACAGTCAAGGGTCCTCACAAGGGGGGCTGCCAAGCTCAATGCGCCCTGGGTCGCAGCCACCACGCTAGTCCTGACATTCACGATTGTAACCATATGGCCTGCCCTTTTGAGATCGATTTGATGATTCCGCTGTACATACGTAGACGAAAACGGGCTTTTTCGGTATGTTTGCTTATCATTTGTGCCTCTGAAATCACAAGCCCTCTTGTGTTTGATTCCCTTTGTATTATTAAATGAATGACTTCATGTTGTGCTACGCTTGTTATAATTCTCAATGTCCAAATCTTGTGCTCTCCACCTCAGATAGAATACATGTGTTTCCTCTTATGGGACTAATATTTATCATATACCCTGGTAATAAAGGACTTTTGGGCACGAGCCCCCCCCCCCCTCAGATTGAGACGAACCACGGCATCATTGGAATCCATCACCCCTGTCGTATCGTTGTATTACCGTTCCAACTGGTTCATATGACTGGGCAGGTTCCACGCATCGTAGTCTAAATGCACGAAAGCTCTATCGACGGTTGGCACACTCTCCAGAATATACTGCAGACTCTCACCCACGTCGTGGGCGTCGCGAAGACTGGTCCGCTCGTCCACGACCAAATCAACCTCAACATTCAATTTATCGCCCGCGTAGTATGCTTTGAGATCCTGGATCTTCTGTATGACGCGGGAGAAACGCATGGTCATGTACAGCAAGATACTGTGATCGATGGGCGAGGCCGCAGCACCGGTGAGTCGCCGAATGTATTCACCTGCCGTTTGTCCCCAATTCCACATGATGTATATAGACAGCAAGAGACCGCCTAGAGGGTCGAAGAACCATAATCGGGCAAAAGCTCCGACTGGTGAGGGGTCAGCATGTCTGCCTGGCCGGGGAATTGTAGTTGAGGGGGCATGGAGCGCGACGATGGATCACTAGGTCGGGAAAACTTGTTTTTAGAAAATTTTGGAGCAGTGGTCTTACCTAATGGGAATATAATGCTGAATGTGTTGAAGACGACATCCGTCATTGCGTCTTGAGCAAGAACCTGCACGCTTGGACTCGGGATCAGTCGACACCAAATCCAGCACAGCAGTTTGACAACCACGGTCCCCGCCATCAGAGCAATTGACGGCGTTGACAATACAACGATGGAGTGGTCGTCTCCAATCAGTTGGCTGGCAGATGACAGTCCAACCTGCAGGAAGGATGTCACCATAATCACTGAGAAGACCAGCACCGTCAATGGTTCCAATCGTCGACGACTGATCGGGTATCGTCTTCGATCTTGACGGCGAATCAAAGTCATTGTGGTCCAGATGATCACCGTGCTGAGGAAATCCAACAGTCCGTCCACGAGGCCTGCCAGGACTGACATGGAGCTCGTCAAAGCCATGATGGCGATTTTGGAGGCGAGGAGGATGACGTTAGCGACAAAGTTGATGCGAATGGCTAGATTGATCAGACGCTCTTCTGCCTCCGGGGAGAGACGCTCCTGAAACTCCGAGTCGGGAGCAGAATCGCTAGGTTTACGGGGCTCTTCCATGTCCTGCGCAGACGCATCCGGGAGCAACGGGGCTGTTTCATCGGGAATTCGATACAGATTGTGAGGCGTGCGCTTGACCCTTGTGCCCTTGGAGACCGCCTGAGCTGCGAGGGCTGGAGACTGGTCCGTGTTCGATATTTCAGAAGAGCTAGTCCGCCTTCCCTCCTGCTGTCGATGGGGGTCATGGTGACGATCAGAATAGTCTTCAATCAGATTGTGCGGGAGAGAAGAATCCAGCAGTCGGTCGATGAAGAGATACTGGGAGATCAACTCGTTGTTCCCTTCATAGTATTGACGGCTGGTGGGTGTATTATGAGCTTCATTTGTATTCGCAAACTGGACTAGTCGAGCTCGGATCCAGGCAGGTGGTGACTCACATCGCTTTACGCTGGCCTTTCAAGGTTTCAGGTGGGCGGTAGTATTGATTCCTAGAACCCAGTGGACTACTGTAAGCGGGATGCCCTCAGTCTCATGGTAGATGCTCCCATGCACCACTCGAGCGACATGGAGTCGTCAGCAGCACGGATTGCTTTGCTTATTTGGTCTTCACCGAAGAAACAAGAGATTGGCACCGCGAGAAAGAGTTCAACGAGTGTATGGCGCGGTGTCACGTACCAGTCATAGCGCGCATTGCGATGTCCAATGAGATGCGAGCCTCGCCGCGCATTTGTTGGCGTCGCCGATGACTGCTCCTCGAGGTCTTGCAATGTAGCGGTGGATTGACGACTCGGCAGAAGCGACCAGATCCGCTGACCACGCGTTGACATGATCTCGCGCTCTGGATCTAGACTCGGCCTTCGCGGCCTCAATCTCGGAGAGCCCTGAGCGTCTGAGAGTGGCAGGAAGGGTTGAGACGACATGGTGTCGCCGTGATATCGTTCTTGTTTATTCGAATCTATGCAGAACTGTCCGAGTCTCATGAATCAATTCCTGAAGTCGATTCGGCACCGCAAATGTCTTTCTTCCTCCGACCTGGTGGAGATTGCGAGGTTAGAGACAGTAGTCTACTACGACCACGACCTGTTGGGTCTCCTCTGACTGACCTGACCCCGATGACGCAGGGGCGCTGGGCGGGAGATGGACACCTGAGGGACAAGGCAGCATATCAAGGCCCTCTCACACGTGCTTCTTGGAAGTCAGCCCGTGATCCAGGCACATTGACTATCGCCAGCTGATAAGATCTCCGGTATGTACGGCAGTAGTTAGTAAAGTTCTTAAAAGGACGTGGGCCCAGTAGTGTACGAAGTGCACGTGAGTACTTCGGGACCTTACAATACGACCGTGGCCACCGTCCCACGCAGCCTCGAGCCGTGTGTATACGATTCAACTCCAGCCACAGTAGTACCTGACAACCTCTAGTCGTGTGCGACGCAGATCCTCGGGACTTGTGGAGTGCGGAATGTCGAGTCCGCTCTTCCGCGTGCTCTAGTCCCTCCAGGCTTGACCCGCGAATATGCGGGAGGAGATGGCAATCGAAAGTGATGATAGTGTCACAGCAGTGAGGGCTAGGTACGTGCCTCCGATGCCATGGGTACTGTACAGGAGCTCAACTGCAGTCACTGTAGTCACTGCACAAAGTGCATACTGCATCAGTGCATACTGACAGGCAAAAAACTTGACTCTGCATTGCTGGTACGTCATCACCTCCTCTCTCCATCTCGAAAGGGCGAGAGACACGTGACGCGTGCATGACCTGGAGGTTAGCAGAAGGCTTCAAGGCATTATTAAAGGCTTAAGGCACTAATGAATCGCGGAAAGGCGGAAGCCTCCTTCCGCAGTGGAGCCCTCCGCCGACGGGGGCGATCCGCAGAAGGTCTCCATCTGGTCGAAGCTCTCCGCTGCTGCTGCTGCTGCTGCTGCTGTTGGCTGCGCTTTGATTTGAGCCAACCCCGGCGAGATTTCCCCGCCAGAAGTTTCCCGTAGAGTGACCGATGCAGCAAGCTGGGTCGTAGCCCTCCCAGGTCGGCGGAGACGAGATGCTGCACACCGTCTGTGCGGCCTTAAAAAGGCCCTCCACCCCTCACGAGCGAGTTGACACTTGAGCACTTCTATTCACAAGGTTTGGATCGCGTGGACCATCATGACCTTACAGACGCTGGCCATCGCCGTCATAACGGTGGCATACCTTGTGATTCGATACTTGAATCGGACAGATGTGCCGAAGATCAAGGGCATCCCCGAGATTCCTGGTGTGCCTCTATTTGGCAATCTCCTGCAATTAGGCGACCAACACGCCAGAGTCACCGCGAAATGGGCGAAAAAGTTTGGTCCTGTCTTTCAGGTTCGCATGGGCAACAAGGTACGTCAACAAGGCCCTTACAGAGGTGCAGCCAGACCCATGCGAGTGGCGTAGAGCTGGCCATGGGAGACTGACGAGCAAGCCAGAGAATCGTTTTTGCCAACAGCTTTGACTCGGTCCGACAGCTCTGGATTAAGGACCAGTCGGCTTTGATTTCCCGCCCAACCTTTCACACTTTCCATAGCGTGGTTTCCAGTTCCCAAGGATTCACTATTGGCACCTCTCCATGGGACGAATCTTGCAAGCGACGGCGCAAGGCCGCCGCAACGGCCCTCAACCGCCCAGCCACGCAGTCGTATATGCCCATCATTGACCTGGAGAGTAACTCGAGCATCAAAGAGCTATATCGGGACAGCCAGGACGGTACAGTCGACATAAACCCCACAGCGTACTTTCAGAGATATGCTCTCAACACCAGTCTCACGCTCAACTATGGGTTTCGCATCGAGGGAAATGTGGATGATCATCTTCTCAAGGAAATTTGTGACGTCGAGCGAGGCGTATCCAATTTTCGGAGTACCTCCAACAACTGGCAAGACTACATACCGCTCCTCCGCATTCTCCCCAAGATGAACAACGAGGCAGAGTCATATCGGCTGCGCCGTGACAAATATCTCACCTTCCTCCTGGACATGCTGAAGGATCAAATTGCCAAGGGAACGGACAAGCCTTGCATCACTGGCAATATTCTCAAGGACCCGGACGCCAAGTTGAATGACGGTGAGTCCAGACGACGCCCCCTAGATGCATTGCACCGTATCTTAGCGACCGGTATTTTCGCTTGTTTACGGCCATCTTTGCTAAGTTTCCACCAACAGCTGAAATCAAATCGATTTGCTTGACCATGGTCTCCGCTGGACTAGATACCGTTCCCGGCAATCTAATCATGGGCATCGCCTATCTGGCGTCGGAAGAAGGCCAACGGGTTCAAGCAAAGGCATTCGAGGAGATTATGAAAGTCTATCCCGACGGGGACGCCTGGGAAAAATGTCTGGTGGAAGAAAAAGTTCCCTACATCACAGCCTTGGTCAAGGAAACCTTACGATTCTGGACCGTGATTCCGATCTGCTTGCCACGTGAAAGCACGAAGGATATTGAGTGGAATGGCGCAGTAATTCCCGCTGGCACCACCTTCTTCATGGTCAGTCTTTCTCCTGTCGCTCTCACACTCCGGGTCTGATGTTGCCCTCTTCGTTTTTTCCGGCGTTGTGCTAACGCTATTCCAGAACGCCTGGGCCGCGGACTACGACGCCGATCACTTTGATCAACCTGAAAAGTTCGTGCCCGAGCGCTATCTGGACGTCGGCGAGGCCTCCGGTACGCCTCATTATGGTTATGGCGCAGGATCGCGTATGTGTGCAGGATCACACTTGGCAAATCGTGAACTTTACACCGCGTTTCTACGCCTCATCACTGCTTTTCGCATGGTCCCTGCAAAGATGACCGAAGACCGGCCCATCTTGGACGCTTTGGAGTGTAACGCCATCCCAACCGCATTGACCACGGAGCCCAAGCCATTTAAGGTGGGCTTCACCCCTCGGGATCCCGTGAAGCTGAAGCAGTGGATGATGGAGAGTGACGAGAGGACCAAGGACCTGTGAATATAAATAATCGCGGTGTGGAAATAGAAGTCGATCGATACTAAAAAGTCATTGCCCTCTAATGCACAGGAATATGAAGTGATTGCGCCACCTTTGGTGTCTTCTACCTAGTGGAATTGCATCCGAGCTGCGACTCCAGGTAGCACATGGACCACGATGACCATCATATTTTGTACTACCTGAGTGGGAACTTTTGTCGTGGTCGAGTAGGTGGGATCTATCTCGCTCGAGGATGAGACTGGGTGTTCATTTGCTCGGTGAAAGACTCAACTCTATCCGGAGGTGAATGGCTCTGATACAACACCGATTGGGTATATGCTGTTGTAAGATTACCAAGAACACTGCGAGTGCGCTAGAATCATACGGTTGCGAAGAGTTCCTGTACGCACGTCAAGAGGGACCAGCGTTGCCACGACAGTAGACTGGACTGGGAAAGACTCAGTTACCAGATTGAGGCTTGGTGAAGTGGAGGTTCCGGGGAATGGAGAAACCTTGCGCGACCGCGACTGGGATTCTGGAAACGCGGAATCCCCCGCTCGGTCAAAAAAGTGTCAAAGCTGGTCCGGCGGGGCTGACATCGGCCCTTCAATGGAAGCTGTCTCTCTTTTTGATGTAAGGACTTGACTGAACACTCAGATTTTCTTGCAAGTATTCCATTCTGTCCGCTATGAGAACAGCGACTTCAGGTGATGGAGACGAGAGCCCTGGAGATGCCCTAAATCAATTCCAGAGCGACGGTAGAAGTGATGAACGTCCTCGAAAGAAGCGGCGAACATACACGGCTCGTGCTTGGTATGTTCTTCCTTTTGTAGACTATCCACTGTTCTTGGATCATCCCAGCTCATTGAGGACCCGCAGCAACGACTGTAAACGTCGCAAGATAAAATGCAATGGTCAAGTACCGTGTTATCGCTGCGGCCGTCAAAACATCGAATGTGTCTACTCAGAGAGTGCTCCCAAAGAGAGCATAGAAAACACTTATGGGTACAGTCATACCTGCTCGTTCTGTCTTTGGAAAGCGCCCATGAAGTGAGCCCTAACGATGAACGGCAGACACCCCAGCCAGCTCCTTGAACAAATGAGTGCAATGCAAGGTCAGATGCACGCTCTCGACAAGACTGTGAGAGACCTAGTCAGCCGCATCACCTCGTCTTCGGGCGCTCCCTGTTCATGTAGGGCTAGCTCTTTCAAGGGATCACACGGAGATAAACTGCATGTCCCACAGCACCGTGACCGAAGACTCTCAACAGTCACGAGGGCATCATTCCAAGGCCCAACAACATCTGATTTTAGCTTCAAACTGGCCAAAACAAGCTTGCTGCAGCGAGGAATCATGGAGCCAAATGATGTTTTCGACGGAGTAGACGGCGACGTGACTCAGGAGCCTTCCCCAGTGGCCTCTCCGTTGTCTCCAGCTCATCGTGCAGGAGAATGTCGCGCAGCCGATCCCCTCGACACGATGGACAAAAGCGAAGTCCTTCGTTTGTGCATTGTGTACGAGGAGGAGATGGGCATAATGTATCCCGTGCTGGAGTTGCCCGTCCTGCTAGAGCAAGTTCACTTTCTTTTTGACAGATCAGGTCACCAAGTGCAGCATCTCGGGCAAGCTGGGCCCACTACAAACGCCGTCTTGGACCATGAAGATATGGCAATTATAAAACTGGTGTTGGCCTGCGCTTTGACTGCTGAAGGAGGCGGTCGGAGCGACAAAGCTATTTCGTTGCTCGACAGCGTACGGGAAATTCAGGATGACTGCGTATGGGGTTCACCGGAGATCAAGTCTATGACCATTTTGACTCTCGTGGTGAGTTCGCACAATCTAGTTACAACCCGACTTTGGATCACGAACTTGCAATTGTGATGAAATGCTGATCGTACCCTCAGTCCATATTGCACTTCCAAATGGACGAAGAGACCCTTGCATGGCGCACCATTGGAATTGTGGAGCGAATGTGTCTGGAGAAAGGGCTGCATCGATCAGAGTCTCTGAAACATTCAAGTATCACGGCAACTGGTAGAGATCGAGCCTTGCGACTGTTTTGGTCCATTTACATCTTGGACATGCGCTGGTCCTTTGGGACGGGCATGCCTTTCGCACTTGAGGACGCAGATATTGACCCGAGTTTGCCAGAGCCCGAGGAAAGCACTCCGTATCTTCGTGCAATGGTCAAGTACAGCCGACTTGCGGCAAGGGTGTGGAAATTTGTTTCCGCTTTCAACAACAAGAATGAAATCAAGAAAGACGAAATGAATTATCTCGATTGGCAAGTCTTGCGCTGGGCACATGATATCCCCGACTCATTGGGATTGAATCACCTCACTGGAACGATGGTGAATTCCGCAGATGGAAAAGCCCGCAGTGTGCGTCGCCTAAAGGCGTTGCTATACTTGCGAGCAAATCAACTGAGGATGCTGATATATCGACCGGTCTTGCACACGGTGACTCATGTTGCTCGATACCCCACCGAGTCCGCCACGGTAGTTGAAATCGCGAAAGACACCATTCGATTCATTACCAATTTGAACGAGACTTCGGATATCTACCAGCTTCAACAAGTTGCTTTCAATTGGTTCTTGGTTTCTGCAATCGGGGTCCTTTTCCTCGCAGTTGCACAAGCTCCGTCCCAATTCAGCGATACATGCAAGGAAGAATTCTACTGCGCTTTGGATCTCGTCAAAGGCTTTTCAACGCACTCCTACGTCTCCCAGCGGCTATGGAGATCGATGCGAAGCCTGCGGAAGCTCGGGCCTCGATTAGGTCTCTGGGGTGCTCAGAAACCCCCATGCAACAAAATACGGATGAATCGGTCGGCTGTGCCCGATCCCTCGTCTGAGTCGCTACCGTTCAACACAACGGTAGCAGCAGCAGCAGCAGCAGCAGCAGAGACAGGCACCCCGAGTCAGGCTATACCGGCCGACAGCATGCAAATGACCAGGGAATTAATGGAGTGGTTCGAAGCTTTGGGGAACCCCGGGGGGCTCAGTACGACAGATACTTCGCATTTCATCTCGGAGCAGCCCTCTTGGCAGGGCTCGGCAGCTGGTCCTTTCATGTGTGAGTACGGAGACGAGCTATCGAGCATATTGAGAGATTGCTTTTAGGGGACCATCTCCGAGTGGCTATGGATATTCAATTGAACTATGCTTGGTTGCTGCTACAATCACAAGGTGAAAATGTTCAAGGCGATTGAAAACTCTCCGTGAACTGAGAGAGCTCATTTTCCTACGACCAAACCATTCTTGGTTGCAAATTGTGAAGATCAGCTACTGTCCAATCCGTCACAAGGATGTTACCCGGCTCATGGGCAAAGACAAGCCCGTCGATTCGATCTCCGGCAGCCTCAACCGCAATCCGCGGCGTCACGCCGCACGCCTGTTCCTTCCAGTCGAATGACGCATCAGAAATGAGGACTAAAGGCACGGACTCAAATTGGCGACTGGACTCGAGGAGGGATCTTACCCAGAAAATCGGCACCTCGTCGGGATCAAAGTCGGGCACTTCGCCAAAATCAGGCTTGCGAATATCAAATATCCCAAGTGATTTTGCACCTTCCCATCCCCAGGCAACTGGGACAGATATGTTCTTGTGATGTCTCTGACACGGTCGATCTGATCCAGTCGGTAGGGTCTCATCGATACAATACAATGGCCTGCGCTGAAAAAGCCCTCGGGAAGTAGGAAGATACTCGAGCGGTACATTGGCACGACTTTCCTGGTCTGCAGGTGACGTGGCGGGAGTCCTGCTGCTGTCAAGGCATCCTCGAAGGAGAAGGAGCACCCGATGAGAAATGCGACATGATTAACGTAACGGACCATAGTGCGACAAGATCTCGAGTCGAGTCAACAAGTCTGCCATCCTGGTAGACACGATACTGGGGAAAGTCCGTGCGCAGGTCAAAATCAGGTGTCTGGATGCAACCTGCGGGTCGAACATCGTGGCAATCTCCTGGCTTTGCGGACATTGCCAGCAGCGGACACGAGACTGGATTGCGTAGACAGAGGTCATAAAAGTCACCTGCGTATCGAGCCGACCGAACAAGCAGATTGGCCTGAAGATGGCCCGTTGCCAAGCCCGCGGTGTTGTTGATCGTATTCTGGCGACATGCGAGGCGAACCTCATACGCTGGCGAGTCGATGGACGACGAAGCTTCAGGAGGGTTGACAAGTGATTTCAGATCGAGCTTATGGGTGCGGATGGATTCTGGAGAGTATATAGGCCTGTACAGGCTCATTTGTGAATAGGAATGAGAATCACATCTGCTTCGCCTTCGCACGGGGGTCATCGAACGCCGCTCACGGCATGAAGCGAACGTAGCATTGATTCGAATGGGTCACAACCATATGGTCCGAACATGCGAGGATTAACAACTGAGCCCGAAATGCATCGCCTCGTGGCTCTGCGGTACAACGGTCACTCAGTGTATTATTAGGTCTCTAGCTCGGTACTTTCTATTTTAGTAGTTAAGGCGTTGTAATACATATTACATACTAGAGAGTTGTAACAGTAGTACTAAAGTACTTTAGTCTGTGCCTCACTTGCTTTTTGTAGATTCCATCGGGATGCACTTACCGATGGAACTGAGAGAGTCCCTCATGTTGTCCTGTGGTCGCTTATCTACCCAGTGTTGTTTCATGATATGGAAAGCTCTGGCCAATGCAGGCCATGGTTTCATAGGTAGATAGATAGGCCACATTGTTGTTTGCGTCTGCTAGTCCTTGGGTAGGCTGAACTTGCACGCTGACCGTGGTTTCTGCTGGCCAAAGCTGGTCTTTGAGCTTCAAGGCACCCTTGTACAGTACTAAGGTATCTAATGGTTTGGCATGGTCTCCGCTGCCGAGAGACCGCGCCGATCATCTTTTCCATATTGAGACTGTTGTCGTGAGGGGCTACAGAGCCAGTGCACTAATCTTCACCACTCAGCGACTGAGACACCACGCCTATCAAGTCTGTCGGCCCGATGAGAATCCCTTCGGATCCAACCCGCTGGTACACCCAGGAACTTCGCCGACGAGTATAAGGTAGTACGGAGACTACCTTACAGACTCTATCGAGTATGGACTATGGACAATTCGGGGGAAGTGGATCCGGAAATTGGGGTATATGGGCGATAAGCAAGTCCCCCCCCTCAATCCATGTCGCTCGCATGACGCAGCAGCAGCTGGTATGCAGGTGTTGATAAGTCCATGCAGAGCCCCAAGACGAGTACATAGCTGCTTCAATGGCTCTTCTGCATCACACTTGACATTTCTATTTGGAGCCCCTGTTGACCCTGCCACAAGCCTCCCGTCGAGTCTTCGATCAACACATGCATCATGGCTATTGATGACAGTCAAACCGCCGATATTGCCGTGGGGCAAAAGTTCACCGGTCACAAGAGGCGAGATAGCGTAGCAGTCGATGGCAGTGTCGCTGGAGAGGCCCTGGATGTGCATCTGGACCCGGCACTGGAACGCAGGCTACTGATGAAACTCGATATCGCTTTTGTACCTATCATCATGCTGACCTACCTGTCATGCTTTCTAGACCGGTCGAACATAGGTATAAGCTGCACCTGTCGCTGGCGCACCTCCAAAATCAAATCTCTCAAGCTGACCGAATGAAACAGGCAATGTCAAGGTAGCCGGTATGCCTGAGGACATTCGTGCCTCAGACAGTCAATTCTCCACGGCTATTTCCATCTTCTACGTCACATATGTCCTATTTGAGTCGCCATGGGCTGTTCTCATGAAGAAACTGACGCCTCGGAATATTCTGACGGGACTTTGTATTGTTTGGTCCTTGACCACGGTCTTTTCTGGTTTCATCGACTCGGTGGCATCGCTCTATGCGACGCGTTTGATTCTCGGAGCATGCGAGGCTGGATTGTTCCCGTGTCTGAACCTGTATCTGACGATGGTGTACCGGCGTGAGGAACAGGCCAAGAGAGTCTCCTACTTGCTGAGCTGTGCTGCCATCTCTGGGGCTGTGGGTGGACTGCTAGCTTACGGACTCCTTCACATGGATGGAGTTGCCGGCAAAGCTGGATGGAGGTATTGTCATTGCATTCCGAAGTCATTTCCTTTCCCTTCAGCCTTACCTATGCTGACACGCTTGATTTTAGATGGGTCTACATTATTGAGGGAATATTCAGCGCTCTCTGTGCTGTACTGATCTGGTTCGGCCTGCCGAACAACCCCGCGGAGGCCTATTTTTTGAATGAGGAAGAAAAGTGGATGATGCGCGTTCGCAATGAACAGCGCCGTAAATATATGGGCAATGAGGAATTCAGCTGGCAGGAGATGCGCATCGCCCTGACTGATCCGAAGCTTTTCTTCTCCGGTCTCATTCAGTTCTGCCAAGACATTCTTCTGTATGGATTCAGCACATTTCTCCCGACCATTCTCAAGGGCATGGGTTACAACACGTTGATGAGCAACGTCTTGACGGTTCCGGTTTATATCTGGGCGGCCGCTGTCTTTGTATTTCTGGCATTCTGTTCGGACCGATATTCTAAATTTGCTTCGGTAAGTTTCATTTACTTTTGTGGGACATTTGAAATGCCCGTTCTGATGGATATCACTCCTCCACCCAGTTCATTTTCGCATCAAACATTTTCGGCATCGTTGGATACATTCTTCTGTTGACCGTCTCACACAAACCCGTGCAATATTTCGCAACTTTCCTGATCGGAATCTCGACATATACTGGCGTAGGGTTGAATGTTGCATGGATCAACGTGAATGTGGCCCCCCAGTACCGACGTGCGCTTGAGATTGGACTTCAGCAGACAATTGGCAATTGTGCTGGCATTGTCGCTGGTCAGATCTATCGCAACCCGCCTTATGTGCTGGGCAACTCGTTCTCACTCGGCGCACTGGTGGTATCGCAGATAGGTGTTACCTTTTTTGGATTCTATCTACGACGGGAGAATCAAGTCAAAGCTCGGATCGAGAATGATGAGGTCCAAGATACCCGACGAGTTCAGACCGGCGATGCCGCGGTCGATTTCAAGTATCTCTACTAAGGTAAGTACATTGATGAATTAGACGTCGCCTTTTACGAAGCCTCTTTGGTAGATCATTAGTACCATTTGTTGTACTGCAGAGATCCTTGCAAACGACACAAATATATCGTCTTTGAATGAAGAAAGCTCTTACTACGCATACGGCTGCTTGATGAACGAGGCTGATCCTCGAACTAGATGATCAGGCTGTGATGCCTTGAGCTTCAGGCCGCGGAAATCAAACCCTGGATCGGCCCACGAGCAATGCCTGTCTCATCGAAAGAAAGAATGCATGACGCACACGACTGATGATTCAACACTTTTAGTAGGCGCGGGCATCCATTATGTCAGTAATGGAGGTCACAAGGTCGGGTGGCTCAGCTGGCTGTATGAGTATTTAGATGTAGGACGCCGGGCCGAGTAGATGGGACGATCGAGCTATCTTTACATCGCGCATCAACATACCGCCAAAAGACAGAAATATCCTGTACACCCGAAGAATCTCCTTGAAAAGTCGGTAATCATGGGTCTCTGCATGTCCATGCCCCGACGCTCCCATATGATGCGACCTGTGCGACCTGTGCCGGTCGCGGTCGTTCCGGTCGGAGGCGGTTGGGCAGCTCCGCCCCGACGCACCTTCCATGGTGGAATGACATACGGTATGAGTCCCGGGATGGGCCATGGCGGCAGATACGGTGGAAGATATGGTGGGGGAGGGTTTGGAGGTTCAGGATATGGAGGTGGTGGTGGATGGGGCGGTGGTGGCTCTGGTCGATACGGTGGACCACGAAGGCGCTGCTGATGCTGTGATGTTGGAGGTGTCTGACTTCGACTTGGGTAAGACTGCTCAACAGAGACTCGTCTCGAGGTCTCAGTTTCTAACCGCTAAAGCGACATCTTCTCAGGAGCCTTCTGCGAAGAGACGAACCGGCGAAACAAAAAATCACAGCAATTCAGCCCACGCCGTTCTAGCATGTTATCTTGGAGACTCCCTCCGTGCATAAGCAAGAATGATTGACACCAGTACTTTGTTACCGTCTTGTTTTTCAACATGAAATGTGTCAACTTTGATGCTTGAATGATGGTCTTGCAATTCTGATGACACACCTGGGCTAAAGAGTAGTAGGTAACTTTGTTAAGAGCTGTAGTCTACGGTCAGATTGGGGTCAGTATCACTTAAAAGACTAGAAACAAATGGATACCATTTCAAATTGTGCAGCTCCTGTAGCGAGTACATGCCCAACTACGCACCTCTACATAGTTAAGCCCGGTACCACCTAATCTTATATCTTTTTGTCTAGCATCGATTATCGACGGGCACAACATTTCATTTAAACGGCGCTGACTAGGTGGCCACAACAAGTTCCAGCAGGTCGTCTGTGAAGCTGGATGTATTTACATGCATTTTTTGATTGGCGCAGAACGTATCATGGCCTTGAAAATGCTTTCCGTCCATACCTCTCAGTATTTTCTCTCATCAACAAGATCTCGCCTATGTCAGTGTATAGGCTAGCCTATTTCCACCATGACCACGGCGAGCGTTCCAACACGTACACAGATTTACAGGGTTTGAACGGTGAATCGACAAAATCAAATGGTTGCATTGACAGTGAGATTTATCGCCGCAGGATAATCATTCAATGCATTGCTCTGCAATGAAGCCCATGACCGTTGGATGGCCTGCATGTTTAGACGCACTGGGAGTACCAAGCGTTGGTAACTTTACAGGTACCAGAAGCACAGCAAGTAGGACCATTCCAGCCACTGCCACCGCATTGACCCCAGATCTGGGCGCAGGTGCCAGTGGTAGGGGCCGACGACGCGGTGGTGGTCGTCGACGAACCAGAACCGCCTGTTGAACCCGTGCTGGAGCCACTCGCCTCGGAGACGGTGATCTTGGCCGAACCACTGCTCCCGAAGCCCTCGGTCGAGACAATCTGATACGCAGCCGCGCTCAGGGGGTTATGGGTCATACCCTGGGCCTGGTAGTAGTTGTAGTGGTTGGCTGTGGTCACGGTACCGGATGAGCGCTTGTTCTTGCGGACCGACCAGTTCTGGAGGTAATTGTTGCCGCGGTTGACCAAGCAGACTTCGTAGTCACTACCGTCGCTGTGAAGTGTGCCCTTGCTGGTGCCTGCAGAGCAAGGGTTGTAGCTGCCGTAGTCCTCGAGAATCTACATCGCAGTTAGCTTGCAAGCACACGGGGCAGCAGAGGTCTGCCGGCGTGGGACAGAGTGACTTACGTAGTTCTCGCCTTGGGTTGACCATGTGTAGACGGCAAGATAGAAATTGCCCGAAGCGCTCACACTACCAGAGAAGTTGATCGTTCTGGGCTGGGCATTGGACCAACCCTTGCCAGCTGTGAAATCACCAACGTTCTGCCAGTTGACCGAGTATTCACCGGCAGCTCCATTGGTGTAGGTAGTTACGCCACTTGAGCCGTCATCCCCTAATCCTCGAGTCAGCCTAGTCCGTATATCCTTCACGAATTCGACGGAGATGGTGCGGGAGCACACTTACAGAACTGATAGAAGAAGCCGTTGTTGGTGCCTTGGCCGTTGGGAGTATTGCGTCTGCTGAGCGCGGCGGGAGATGCCGCCGGGCTGGCAACGACGCCGGCTGCGACTGCCGCAGCAACAAAAGCGGTGGTGAAGGACAACATTGTGCGTGAAACAGATCCTTTCCGATTTGGGATATTATTTGGGCTTTGTCGACTGTTGAGGCCACTGGAAGGTTTGTGCTCGAGAAGATGAACCTGTTCAAGACGAGGAGGAGGACTTCTTTCTTATATACCTTGATCTCTATAGTCCTTTCCTCAACTTCCTCCACGGTTCCTTCGGCACTCACATCATCACATAGCCGAAACGCATGCAAGGCTTGATCCGAATAGCCTTTAATCAGTCGTGGTGATTCCAGGCATGGCCTGTCTCTGTATGAAACAATGGTCGAAACAAGCCGAGGACCTTCAATTAGAGTGAGATGAACATTCAGGGGGGTTGAAACAGCCTAAAGGATCCTTCAAGATGGTCCAACCCCACCGGGGGGACTTCATTCTGCAGGGATCCCGGCCATCCGCTTCAAAAGAAGCATTTGTCAGTGGGTGGCAAGCCAAATGGAACACACCTGTAGTGATCTGGACCTCACGGAGTCAACACATTCTGCAGCAGAGGCAGATGTGGAACCCGAAAAGCTTATACAGTGACGGCTAAATTGCCGACTTGAAGAATCGTGGAGAGCACAACCTTGATTATGAAACTTCATGTAGATTTCCCAGATCGGCTAGCGTCTGAATACCCCACATTTGCACAAAGCTTGTCCGTTTCACAACGCCCCCAACAGTCAACACACCAGTTCCCGGTGGCACACGATGCATGCCCGTGATGTGTACGGCGCGGAGGGAACGCCGACCTGGGGTCGAGACAATGCATCAATTGTCTTGAGTGTAAATATCGTCGAGCTTGTTCTGCTAATCATGAACGGTGCACGATTACCCCTGTCTTTGATACAACATTGCAACCTGTGATTCACCAGGGTTCTGCCGGGTCCAGGGCAGCTGAAGAAACGCCTCCCGAGTCCCGACATCTGCCATGAGGTCAGGATCCCTAAAGAGGTTGCCATCGGCAGTTTCCGCGTCATGCCGGAGACAGGCAATTACTGGATCTTAACCCGGATGAGCAATCTGTTTCCTGCTACTGATCATCAGTGTCACAATTCACCTGAGAATGCCCGATCGAGTGACATGCTCGAAGCTTGATACTGACCAAGTAGCCCCAGCACATCCTAAGGCCCGAGTGAGTGACTCGGATCAAGGCCCAGACAGAGACAGTCACGGACAGTCACGGACAGTCACGAAGCTCGTTATGAGACTCGGTTTTTCCCCTTCAATCCGAAGCCCAGAGGCTTCGGCTTCGGATACCGTGAGCGGCGATCAATCGAATCATAAGCGAAGCATTCAAGTTCGGTACAAAGGGATACATAGATCCCACTCCGGGCAATGAGGGCCATCGGGACTTCAAATCTGGGTCACTGATTGCCCAGCTAACCAGTCGATGCTAGCATTTCGCGCGACTTGACCTTGGCGAGGGTTGGAAAGGTCTCCCCGTGGTGTAGTGTCAGCATGTCTGCAAAACTGCAATTTCGTGACCTTCGATCAGACTGCTTTTGACAGCCAACTTCTGACGTTCAAGCCACTCGACCTGATACCGGGAATATAAGACCAAATGTCCATTAATGAATGGTGAATGCGAGCTCAATAGGTTCAGCATGCGTTGGAGGCGCTCATGTTGGACACCAGCGGCAGAGTAGTCCGTTCGCCTTTGAAATGAAAACCTCAGCCGCAGCCTTAGTCACTCATGTGCAGGACTTCCATCGCGAGCGAAAAAATTTCCGTGTCGGTCCCTGTGCTGTCGAGCATCTATCTATTGTATCCCTGTTGAGAACTTGAAGGGTAGAGTTTGCGATCACGAACGATCAAGTGGCTGCTCACTTGTTCGCCTGCGCCCTTAACAGAAGTACCTCGAACCTCACGGGCAGGCGCGAAGAGGTCTGTACGTGAGTTGGCAAATTATTACCTTTTGGCAGAACATGTCCAGCGGCCCTTCTTTCTGAGGGAACTAGCTCGACTACTCAATTCTTTTGAATGGATTTGGCCCCGGTCGCAAAACTTGTCCGCTGAGGCTAGATCGCTATTAATGAAGAGCCTCCTTCACGCTGGGGATACCGCGCTTGTGCTCGTGAGATTCAGGAATTCAAATTTACTTGCTAAACCAGTGGGGATGTCTGAAGGCCGATAAGGCAATGAACCGACACTATTCCCTCAATCGGCCTCTCGAAACTCACGTCTTCACTAAAAACGCGAGAGATTGCACACGGGCGAGCATCATATCTGGTAACCAGCCAACCGCCAGCGGTACCAGATTGAGTGGTACAAGTTGCGCCGAGTTCAAGTCGAGGCTTCGCAGTATTTCATGACCAATCTGGGCACGAGGTTAGAGGATGGAATGTTGTACTTCCGTACTACTATGCCTGTGTTCTATTTTCCTGCACACCGACTCATATTACCCACCCACATCTCAGTATTGGCCCAGGTGGTCAGTTTTCTTCTTCAAGACTGCCGATCCTCAAGTTCCGCAGCTAGTCAGAGCACCAGTGGGTGCAGCAGTACCAGTGGCACCTGGATCTCCCCATATGACGGAGGCACCTGGACCCGGTCCAGCGATGTAGACATTGATCATTTGGTGCATTTGTCCAATTCCTGGAAGGTCAGTCAACAAGAACAGCCGGATAGTGCCAGCTAGGGGGACGACTGACATATACCTATTGCGCGGCTAGTCGGGCGCATCCGCATGGACAACAGCAGAACGACAGGCTTTTGCGAATGATCTGGTCAACCCGCAACTCCTAGCTGTCACGGACAACGTGAATGAATCCAAGGGCGATAGGGGCCCAGAGCAATGGAAACATCCTTTGAGTGAGTGTCGCCAAGAATCTTCGAATAAGAACACGCTCACATGGACACAGCTTCGTATCATTGCACCTATGCGGAAATGTAGGTCAAGGTCAAGTCAGTACATAAATTGACCATCACCCCTGCCGAGAAGTCTGCTCTTTTACAGATGCTTGCAACCTGCTAAGAGGGAAGATTCATTCATTTTAAGAATTCAGAATTCCTCGAGTCTCCGTCGCGGAGATGGATAACGTCACTATGGGTGGTGGAGCAATCCATGGTTCAACATGCGGCAGTCCACGGTATAAGTTAAGGTACCTACTACATATGTAGACGTCTCGGTGTCGGTAGGATCCTGACCCAGCAGTGACGATCGAGCGATAGGACGTTCATAAGCATAGACATTGACACATGCAGTTTGTCATTATTCTCAGTCTGAACATGCAGTACGAATATAACTTAACAGCAAAATGTGCTCAGCCCGACTCAGTGTGTGATTGTAGATAGCCATGAACTGTTGCCAGAGCTTGTTTAAACTCGTAAGGATTCAAGGCATGAGCAGTCGAGTCGTTCGCAGTTATAGGTAATCCCAGTTCTGTCTAACTAATTGATTGGAAGCCCGTCGCCCGATAAAACACACAACCCTGGTGATGAGTTGGCAGACTGCGGGTAGAAGCTTCGGATTCTGCAGGAATTCCAAGTTTCCTGCGCCTAGGTGTGGAAGAATTGCATGGATGCCCTAGATGCCCTACCGAATAAGTTTCAATGGAGGATTTGTTACCTCGATATCAATGTCTCCCAGCTACGGCCTGGAATGTCATGAACGGAAGTTAGAACATACCTGAGGTAAGGTTAGATATCAAGAGGTAAATATGACTAAGATTGAGGTGATCCCTGCACTATCATTGATGTTTCGCTCAGGGACTAATGAAAGTCCATTCATTGTGTTGAGGTTCATTGTTTTGAAGTTAATGATCTGGAACTTTTTGGGGTCAAGATGGTTGCTGAGCAAAATAAATCCATTGTCTGCCAGAGGACGAGAGTGACGACATTATTGTTGACGTCCGCGTGAATCGCCACGCGGCGCGGCAAAGTGGGCCAGCAAAACCCGGTGCCGAGCTGCATTAAACGAGTAGACGGGCCGAGAGTCGGGATCGCAGTAATTCTAGCGGAAACAGCACGAGTCTCGTTTGAGAGCTAACAATGACTTCTTCCAACTATCGAACGTCCAAGGGAGTCTTTAGCTCTTCGTTTGTCGAAGCCGATGAGTAGCTGTAGGCTGAGCGACCCAGTAGTCACGTGAGTCTTGTCAGTTGCCGTCGATCATACGAGATCTAAATCGAAAGTTTTAATTTAAACTTCATATTGTCCATCCGCCAACCTTGCTCATCTCGTCATCTACCGCATCACAGCGAGCCGTCAGGGAATCCTCTAAGACCATCCTGTGAATAAGGATGTCTAACAAGCAATCAATCCTGGTGCGCAAATGTGTGAATTGCGAAATGTGTTTTGATCCACCGTGAAAGATTTTCTGGTGGATCGTGCCTCGCCGTCAGGCGTGGATCCACTTTCACAAAATCTGCATCGTGACTCTCGCCATCTCGATCGTATATCGGCCTGAGATATTCTGGAATTTCTTTCTTCTTTGTGTTCTCTGGTTAATCCAGAGATTGTGAGGGGGACTTTCATTGACCTCTGCCTTAAATTGATTGACCCGTTAGTGGACATGAATCCTGACATGGAAAAGCTCCCCGGGGGAGTTGAACCGTTCCTCGTGAAGAATGATGCAGGACCACAACCTGCGTCGGGAGCCGGAGCGAGGTGGTCTGCAAGAATTCAGCGACTGAGCTCGTTGATCAAAGTCGAGCAGCGAGGAATTGAGCGTGTCCCCGAGAATGAGAGGACGGATAGCTCATATTGGAACATCAGCTCAATGGTACCGCTCCAATCTTTTGCCCTCTAACAACTTTTGTCTAATTCGGTGGTGCAAATTGCTCCAGTGGCTTGCAGCGAACATGGTGGTTCCTTCGTTCACTGTGGGTGTGCTAGGCGCGCCCTTGTTCGAGCTCGGATTTGTCGACTCAGCCCTGGTCATTATTTTCTTCAACCTACTGGGCATCCTGACGGTCTGCTTCTTCTCCATCTTCGGAGCCACTTTTGGTTTACGTCAGATGGTCCTGTCCCGATTCTGGTTTGGCTGGTGGGGTGTCAAGTTGAGTATGCAAACCTCAAGTTCTTATCCATATTCATGGGACCTCGTTGCTGACTGATCTTCGACCAGTCGCTATTTTCAATGTTCTGTCATGTATCGGATGGGCTGCCGCTAATATCATCGTGGGGGCTCAATTGATCAATGCCGTCAACCCCAACGTACCTGGGTACGCCGGGATCTTGATCATTGCTATCTGCACCCTATTGATTGTCTTCTTTGGCTATCGTGTCATTCACGCGTATGAATACTGGAGCTGGATTCCAACATTCATCGTATTCCTTGTGGTGTTAGGTGTTTTGGCACATTCTGGAGACTTTATCAATTCACCAATGGGTGCTGGCAAGGCCGAGCTGGGAGCAGTCCTTTCCTACGGATCTACTGTCTTTGGGTTTGGTACAGGCTACACCAGCTTTGCAGCAGACTACACAGTGTATCAACCCAGCAATCGACCCCGTCGCAACATCTTCTTGGCCACGTTCTTGGGCATCTTCCCGACCCTTCTCTTCACGGAGCTACTGGGCGCGGCTCTTGCCACGACTATGGCGCAAAACGGCGGCCACAATGCCTACCAACAAGGTTACGACGACGCGGGCATTGGTGGTCTCCTTGGAGCCCTCCTATTTCCTTCGCTTGGTGGGTTCGGAAAGTTCTGCGTCGTGATCTTGGCCCTTTCGATTGTGGCGAACAACTGCCCAAATGTCTACTCAGTCTCCCTTACATTGATGGTTATGGGACGTTGGACTCGACATGTGCCACGTTTCGTGTGGACGGTTGTTGCCACAGGTGTCTACATTGCCATCGCCATTCCTGGTTATAACTCGTTCGAGTCTGTGTTGGAGAATTTCATGCATTTCATTGGATATTGGCTGGCCATCTACGAGGGCGTCGGTATCACAGAGCATTTCCTCTTTCGCAGAGGTTTCTCCGGGTATCGACCCGAGTATTACGACATGCAAGAAAAACTTCCTCTGGGAATCGCAGCATTGCTAGCCTTTTGCTGTGGCATCGCTGGCATGGTGATTGGGATGAGCCAAACTTGGTACGTGGGACCACTTGCGAAATTCGCAGGAACTGCGCCGTCGGGTGGTGACATTGGTTTTGAACTTGGCTTTGCGTTCGCAGCCGTTTCATATGCTGTCCTTCGACCGATCGAGCTGCATATTGTTAGAAGATGAAACATGAACACGAGGAATACGACACCACGAAAGAAGGGACTAGCTCGCCTTATGTACATGAGACGTGCAAAAGTGCCTTCAATGGGGCATCTCAGCTCATTCGACGGTGTCGCCATTGACGCCAGCTTCACACATAACTTGATTCCCAAGCCATCAAGCGCTTTCTTTCATGTTGGATGAACCTGGACCTGCCAAAGTAAATGCGCAGTCTATAGCCGATGCTGGGTATAGATCACGAAATGCATGTTGAATCTCTAGGAAATTACAGGATCAGGGCAGATTCCTCGCGCCAACAAACTCAGATATACGCAAGTCGTCACATTCGTCATAATCATCTTCTTGTCTAGTCTCTCTCGTTCACATATGTACAGTTTGTTCGGTTTGAAGTTTGACGGACACATTGGGTCCTCATAACTCCTGGAAAAACAAAAAGAAATCAGTTTAGCGAAAGATATCAACGTCGACATCATTGAGCGCGAGAGTGCCTCGCGGCTACGCCGCGATGTGGGCTGAGCTCATGCGAATCCAGCACCCACCACCCAGCTGACGTCGTTATTGAATGAAGCAGTGGCATCAAAGTCCTGCACACCGCCGTTGCTCGCAACATAAAGAACATTATTGAAATGACGGAACGAACGAGTAGGGTAACTCCACGAACGAAGAGTATCGCCTTGTCCGTTCAAACCTGGCTGCGTGCAGAATGTGGCGTCTTCGCCAAATATCTTGGTGCCGTCATTCGCGTTAAGAAGGAGAGCAAAGTTGTAATGACGGATGAAGCTGCCGGGGCTGTCGACCGACTCGAAGGAATAACATTCGCTGTTGGCGAGACCCGTGCGGACCTTCCAGGTTGCTTGCTGCTTCAGAGACGTGGAGCTGGAAGAGGAGACGACTTGCGTGTTGACCGTGGAGCCAGTATGAGCGATGTATCTGTCGGTATAAGACGGCGTGGTGGCGCGCAGTGAAATCGACGAGCCCACGCTGAGAGCTGGCCCGGTGGAAAGCGGCGCCACGGCATATCTGGCAGCAACAATGTTCGCCTGGACTGCGTTCTCTGTGGCATCAGACGGATACCCAGAGGTCATGACACCCTCATAGAAGGTTCCTTGGCCACTGACACTGTTGTCACCGCCAATACCCAGGATGATAGCTCCTTCTTTGCTCATCGGGTTGTACCCGGACGCATTGGGGCGAGGACCACTGTAGAAGGTTGACAGCGAGCCGGACGCCGCATTACCACCACGGATCGCCCATTGATTTGGCTCGCCCTTGACGATGGAACTGAGGAATCGATAATTGATGGATGGATCCCCTGTGTTCTGCTTCACATTCCGACCTGAGAACAAGCCATTCTCGAGATCGGCCATGACCCAGGGCCCGCTTCCGGCACCAGACCCCCACCCGGTGTTGTCACCGAAGTAGATGGCTTCCATGTGGCCGTTGCCAGTATCGGTACTGCTGGTCTCCGCATTGCCATAGTCGAAGCAGCAACCGCCGTTGTAATGAGTGCCATCAAGGACAGCGTACATGCCCTCTGGTTCGTCACGCACGGCAGTGTTTTTGGCGTTGTTGTTTCTATAGCCAGTGCCTGGTGAGATGAAGACACCGTAAGCCTTCTGTCCGTTCAGTGTCACAGGCGCGCCAATTGCACTGGCGAGGTTGTCAAACCCATTGACATCCGGGCCCTTGAAGGCGCCCGGAGGCGCTTGAGTGAGATGGTTTCCATGGCCGGACTGATCGTAGATCACACTGATGACACAGGTTGTGCTGGCACAGAACTTGTCTTGGGCAGCAGCATTGGCGACTCCTCCTGCAGACAATGGAGCGATATCAGTCGTCGCACCATCTGAAGCTCGCTTCACTTGATACAGAGCCCCTGAGTAGGAACTGTACAAGGCACGAGTCGTGCCGTGGGCTGCAACACAAGGGGTGCCACCGGCAGAGTAGATATCACAGGGTCCAGCAAACACCAGAGACCCATTGACCACGAGACCCCAAGCGAGCGCCCAGACCTGCTCACGACTCCATCCAGAGAGCATTCTGACAGCTGGGAGGATTCAGAAAATGGACACTAAGGAGCAAGAGTGACAACTGATACCAAAGGCAGCTGTGTGATCAATTGAAAGGGGATGTTTGAGACAGATGTAGGGATTCGTGAGAGCAGCATCTCGACCAATTTATACCATCGCATCGAAGTATTCTATGGACGCCAAGCAAGCCAACCTAGCCGATGGACCATCGTGCATGATGCCAGGAGCCTTGCTATTTCCTCCAATTGATTTCTCTCGATGCCATCACTTCATGCACGTCGGTTGGCCATGTTCTGAGTTGGGTGACAGGCGCATGACCTGTTTTGCGTCGCGGCATTTTTGAATTTCACTAGCGCCGGACATTTGCAGAATGTTGCTGATCCCTCGACTGAGTAGCCTGGCGCTTGTCATCGATCCCGAAAATTGGAAGACAAAGTTGATTAGTCAAAGCCCACGACAATTTGATCGATTCCTTCTACTTTCAACTTTCTTAGAGTCTGGGCTTCGGCCAGAGCGTGCGTGGGGAGCTTGGAGTACTCTCCTCAGTCAGATCGATGCTAGTGTTGATGGTGCCAGGGCTGACAAGCCCAAATCAGGTACAGACTGGTCGAACGACTGGAAGGTTCACTCGGGATTGTTCCCTCGAATCCAAAGAACCGGGACGGGGATATGGGTCCTCTCCTGGAAGAGTCGTCAAGGGATGTAACGCGCGATGACGATCCCTCGGCGATTTGCCAGGAAGACCCCACAAAGCTTCACCAAGGGAGCGGGGATGAGAGACGTGGGCTTTACTTTCGTGCAAAAGGCGGGAGCGGGGGAGGCTTGGTCCTTGCTTGAGTCCGGGGTTGAAGTTGCATTGTCGATCGGTGGCCGCGTAAACCAGAGTAAGTGCATCCTCATGACGAGGGTGCTAGCAACTAGAATGCGAATCATCACGTGAACCTTGAGCCACGCGGAATCACGGTTAATTCTTTCCCACGGCGCTCGTTTTATATTGGGCGATACTCATATGGCCTAGGTACGACTACAGAGGTCATTTCGAGGTGGAATCTGGATCATTGACTCAGATCCTCAAATGCGATTCCGATATGTACATATACCCCAAGTCACGGTATGACTTAACAGTTCAGTAAAATGACCGGAGAATCCGGTAATTCCCGCTCGTAGCGAGGCCCACGTCGGGTTTCCGTCGGGAATTTAGATTACTGGACTTGTGAACTGCATCATGCTTGGCCTTAGCCTGCGGAACCTGAGATGAGAGACACCTGCACCCACTCAGCAAGCAGGAAGGGGGTCAAATGACTGGAAACAACTTCGTCGTGTTTCTCGCAAGTGCGGTCCAGGTACTGCTGTAGAATTGTGTATCAGACATAGTTATCGGGAGAAAAGCTTTGTACCTTTGCTGTTCCACAATTTAGATTTAGCTTGAGGACCTGAAGAACGGCGCCACAAGCCGGAGCGTGTCCAATTTCGGTATAGTTTCCCGCGGGAGCGCTGGGTGCCACCGGAGAATTTCCCAAGTCTTCATCTTTCTTTTCAACGCCCTGATTCTCCTCTCCACGCCAAAGGAGACATGAAGGACAAATTTAACCGAGTGCCGAGATGCACCCCGAAAGTGCTCTGTGCGAGGGCACATGGTTCCCCTGAACTGCATCGGCTGTGAGACAGGATGGGAAATGTCCATTCTTTAGGCGACCCGGAGAATCGTCAGGGGGAGGAATAGGCAACGATAACACCCGCCTTTCCTACATTTCTTAGAACCAGCCTTCAAAACCCCCGAGGGGCGGCCCGTGACTTCGCCGCGCGAAGCCATCGAGGCCCACGGAGAAGCTCCAGCTGCCTCACTGCGACTGGTCGAGCAATACCTGGTCAGGTTGGTGTTCCAAAGAGCCCAAATTCGACTTATCTGCCGACGAGGTTTCGACGTTCACGTCGCGACGAGGGGCAATCAGAGTTTGTGACTCGACTTCGTCTCGATCTCGCAATAGGGGTTATGGACTGTCCAGATGACGTGGAATACTGTGGAAACTCTTGGTTTGCGCCTAGAGAATCTCAGGTGACCTCAGACTTGCCAGCTTCGTGCTCAAAGATTCCTTTGATGTCTTTGAATGAGAACGGTTTGCGCAGAAAGACGTTGACACCAGCCGAGTAGGCTTTCCGGATGTGCTCACTGGACCCTAGGCCCGTAAGAGCGATGATGGTTGCCGGACGCGATGTTCCTCGATCATTCTCAATAGAGCGAATCTTTTGCGTGGCCGTGAAACCGTCCATGACCGGCATTGATAAATCTGCGTTTCACGGTTAGAGAGTAAGGACACTCATACAACGTCGAGCGGATTGAACCTCTAGAGACTGATTGTGGTGGATGAATGAATTGTGACTTACCCATCAGAATGAAGTGATATCCATCTGGCATTTTCAAGACTTGCTCCACAGCTTTCGCGCCATCTACCGCTGTGTCGAGGGTGGCGGGGTTCAAGCGAGATACAAACTTAGAAAGTAGGGCCAGATTGATGGCATTGTCTTCCACAAGCAGGATCCGAAGACTACTAGATGCGCGGGCAGGAAGTGGGCGACCGAGTTTGGAAGCGTGGTCGATTACACTAACCGAAGTGCTTTGACGACTGGCCTGGGTAGTGAGAGCATCGATGGGACGAAGAGACAGAGCCGCAGCCTGTTCGGGGAGATCCGATAATTCATCATCCACGCAAGGTGCTTTGGAACCGGAATCAAGACGTTGCTGCAGATCCTGCGAGGAAAGAGGCGAGGGCGGGTGCAGAATATTTTTAGGTTGTTTGGGGTCTAATTTCGCTGTGAGTTGGGCACCTTCAGGCATCATCGCCAGCACAGCTGAGCTCTCGAGAGCCTGAGCTTGCCAGTGGGCTTGTATCGAGCGCGCGAGTTGCTGTGGGCCGCAGGGAAGAGTGATCCACACAGAATTGGGCAATTGTTTGCGAGTTGCTTTCATCCGATTCCAGAGTTCTGGTCTTCGGTGGCACAAGATGAGAATTAGGGCTGCACGGTGAGCATCAGGAAGGGAGCTAATGTTAAGCTCGTCGACGATGATTACATCGGTAGGGAATGTGGTCAACGAGGGAACCATCGACATACCCAGCCACTCAGTCGCGTACTGCCCTATCGTTCGCAATGGAGCCGACATCTTGCCATCTGGCGGTGTCAGGATCACGGCAGATTTACCTGCAAGCTTTTCGCGCACGCGTTCAAGAGCGTCAGGAAGGGGCGGAGACGGTACGGGTGAAGTAGGCTTCACAGTGGACGAGTCGGGTTGTGTGGGATCCAAGATAGGGAACGCCATTCTAACGACAGTTCCAACTCCAAGTTGACTTTTGATCGTGATGCTTCCATTGAGGGACCGGAGAATGTCACGGACAAGGGATAGTCCTAGTCCGGTGCCGGGCGACATGGAGTCCTCTTGCGAGAATGGGGTGAAGATCTTTGAATGCAGATAGTCATGAGATATTCCTCTACCCGTGTCCGATACCGTCAAAATCAGCAAAGGGGAGCCTTTCTTTGGCCTTTGCGTTTCGAGATGGAGGGTGATAGACCCGTGTTCGGTATACTTGATAGCATTGCCGAAGACGTTCATGACGATTCGACGCAGAGCTCCAGCTTCCACCAAATAGAGCCAATCCTCTGCGGGGGCCTCGATGATCACGTCTAATTCTAAGCGCTGACGCTCCACAGTTCCAGATGCGGCGGCTGTGTCGGTTTCCTGATTGAAGCCCCATGCGCTTTTGCGGGCCAGCGAGCCTGACATCAGCTGCCCTGAGTACACACTCTCCACAGCGTCCTCTACGACGCTGACCACGTTCACCAACTTCCAGAGATGGTAGGATTGCGCTCGACGGGACTTTTGGTCGACGTAGTGTGGGCCAGCCCGATGAGGGGACCGAGGTCTCTTCGAATTTCTGTCGAATGAATTGATCTTGGCAAAATCAAGGATTTGTTCGAAAGTGTCGAGGAGTGTTTGGCCGCACGCACGGATTGTGTCTAGCAGTCGTAATCCAAATTCAGACCGGATATGCTCCGACAACAGCTCATTCGCACCAAGTATGCCGTGTAAAGGACTTCGCATTTCATGACTGTGAAAACGCATTTCATGTTAGCGTGGGTGGATAGGGAACCGTGAGCTCAAGTGCACAAGTTGCACTGGGCGGACTTACGATATGGTGCTGATAAAGTCTCCTTTCTTGACAGCCGACTCCTGGCTTCGTATGCGGCTGTGTTCGACCATCAATGATGACCCAAACCCAATCAGACCACCCAAATCAACGTGAGTACTGAAGACCCGCGTCTCGGCGCTACTCCAGCAGAAACATGCACCGAACCAACGAGAATTGAGGGTATCCCAGAGAGGACAGAAGATGATCCTGGAGGCCTTTGGGAAGTAGGTCTCCAGAGCCCGTAGGTCCTTTTCGCGAAGACGGTCCGACGTCGATGCCCAGGAGGAATAAGGGGGCGGTGGGTGACTGGAAACTTTGCTGCCCTCTGAATAACCACCGTCCTCGTCCGAGGATAGAGAAAGCGCTTCGTCCTGGAAGTACCAGAGTCCGCCGCGTGGATGACGTCTGATCATCCGACGCACAAACCGTGAGTCCATTTGGATTGCTGGCAGCACCTCGGGGTCATTCTCCACGGTCCCAGAACTTGCATTCGAACGCGACGTGGCCCAGACCTTCGCCAGCGTCCGCTCTTTGTCTTCATCGGACCCTTCGTTAAAATCCTCGTCCGCACCGTCCGTGGTGCCCACGATCACGACTCCGCCGTGCGAACCCAGCTCTAGGCTTTCCCGTATGGTCTTGGCAGCGCGCTGGAAGGTCCGGTCGGTGCGATCGGTAAGGCTCCGGGCCATGTCCGCTTTTGACCGAGACGTGGTCCGCGAGGTAGCCGCTGGTGTGGAGGCGGGCTTGATGGCTGTTGATTCGATGACCGAAGGCGAAGGAGACGAGGACGGGGACGGGGACGGGGACGGCCTCACCTTACCGGCGTCTTCGATCGCAGATTGACTCGTCACACTCGAGGATCGATTTCGGGCCTCCCACTGTGCCGTTGGGGGAAAGACGCTGGAGCTGGCGGAGGTGGACCAGCTGTCGGGTTCAGCTTCCCCTTGCACAAAGGTATTCAGACCCGCCAACAGCTTGGTCAGCCGGTTGGCCTCTAGTGACTGTCGCGATGTCTCCAAGTATTCCATGATGGTGTCAGCGAGACCGCCCAGGATGGTCTGATGCGAAGTGTTCAATTCCAGATGTGGCCGCGGGTCGATGACATAGAGGCTGCCAATGTTGACCCCGTTGGTAGTCTTCAGCGGCGTGCCCGCATAGAAGCGAAAGTGCGGACTGCCGGCCACACACGGCAACTGGTGATATTTTGGGTGCTCCTGGAGGTCCTGGACGACGAAGAAGGGATGCGGCTGTTCCGGGGTTGCCTCGAGGGCAACCGTGGCCTACGACACCGTTGTAACGTTAGCAAGATGCTTTGTATCCGGAGATTGATCGCGTCTCTCTGACTTGATCTTGATGAGCTTGAGGGACTCAGGACAGGCTCTACTAGACCGAGCGCATCCCGACCCAGACCGGCAGATTCGTGTCCCTCTCTATCATCGTCCTCATAGGATGGAGACTTCGTCAGATTTCCTACCTCACACAATGTGCCGGTGACGGGACCATTCGAGCATCCCATCCACAGCCCGTCATCTGACATGGGATTGTACGCAGGGTTCGTCAGATCAAGCGACCTCGATGCTTCCGCCACCACGTATAGAGTCTCCCGGCCGATCAAGCTGCGAGCGTCGGTGCATTAGCTTCCATGATATGAGCGTCCGAGGAGGATGTGGGGTGACGCTTAGGTCCCCGGTACGGGTTACGGCGCCGATTTTACCTGATGATCGCCCGCTGCGCCTGCAACTTGACGGCGGCGAGTTGCGCGAGCGCAGTCAAGACCAAGTTTGGACTGCCTTTGTTGTTGGCCGCCAGGGATGAACTGGCATCGCAGGCGGCCACTTGGCTCGTCGGCAGCATTGCTGGATTATCGGGTTGGAAATAATGAAACAACTCGCGGGCGCGGGAGTCGCCCGTGCGATCCTGGTCGGTCGTCAAATTGCCCATCTTGGCGACGAGGTTGTGTGTTCACCTCTTCCCCCCAACTCCTTCGTTGCACTGTCGGCAGTAGAGGCAGAATGTTCGAGGCTTATGACCCGATGCGGCGTGTGGCAGTTTGCACTTTGCAGCGTCTTCGCGCGCTGGGCATGGACGGGCCGTCAAGCACCCCTCAGTTCTCCGTTGCGACCGGCGCACAGTCCTCGATGAGTTGAGCGACATCCAGAATTGCGTTTGTGGATAGAGTTTTGGTCGACTCGACTGGCCGTCGTGGATCGGGACGATGCAAGGTCAGACCAAGAGGCGATTGTGATCTGCCGCCCACCAGAAAAGACCGACGAACTGCTGGTGCGCCCTTTTCCCCCGGCTGCCGATGAAGTCATTTGGGTCGGTGATTGCAGTGATTTGCAGTTGATTGCGCCAGATGGCCGAGGGGTAGAGCACGTTGATTGGAGAGGTGGGAGATACAGTGGGTCACTAGCCTGCCACAATGGGCATGGGTGTGCCGCTGGCGCTCGGGTGACGCCCCATATCAACGAATCATATCGTCTGGAGTGGGGTGGTCACGGCTCGCCTGCGGTGTCTCGAGCCGGGTCCAGACCCTCGACAAGTTCCCCGAAAGCGTCTGAAAGGTGGCCGAAGAGAGCATTCGTCAAGCAGGCGATGAAGAGAGGATTGTGTTGTCAGTCACAAGCGGAATGGCCCCAAGGATTTTTCGAGCGCGGTGTTTGCACTCGACACGGTTATGTTAATGTGGAAAGCGTATAGAAATGGATCACCTCCGTAGGTAGGAACTGATGAGCTACAGGGTGGCCCCTAGATGCTGCCCGAGATTGTTGATCCTCATGTGTCGTGGAACCCGGTTTGTGTTGGACGAGTTGCCTACCGACTGGAGTCCTGCCACTGTTTGCCTGGCCTCTTCAGTTCTGATGGGACCGGCGAAGGTACGTCCTCAGTTGATGAGATACGGCTACATAAGTAGTACCCGCAGGTATAACTAGTAGATGACGAGGTGCAGCCGCAGGATGTGAGAGAGGGATCAGGTTGAGATTGCTACGACGAGGTTCTACCTATGGACCGTGGTGAGCGGTAGAATCACGGCCATGCCACATGAACATATGAGCAGGTGGAAGCCGAGGTACCGAGCCGTCTACGCTAGAAACCTTCCAAGATGGAGGTTCCTGGTAAATACCTGTAGAGTCGATATGCCCGATCAGCTGATGTGTGTTGGAATGATATACCTCAGGCGGTGAATGTTCGATGTTCGTGGCTCCCATCGTCTATCCAATAACAGATGGGACCTCCGCCGGCTGCATCGCCTGCTCCTCCAGTCCACCGGATGCATATATTTACCACGCATATGACTGGAAAAGTACATCCAGGGTGAGAACTTTATTTATGATACCCCGTCACTTACTACTGCACGCGGACCTCCCCGAATGTGGAGATGATTGGAGGCGGTCTGCCCAGCCCCTCAAGTTTGTTCACGACTGCACATATTCAAGTTAAGATAGATCATCATGAATGTCCAAATCGGGGACTAGTAGTGTATTCGTGCTACTAGGGGTAGGTGGCATCTGGTAGGATCCACCAGTGATGCACACATTGGGGGTTCCTAGACAGTCTCACCAGTTCCAATCTTGAGTCACAAATACAGTGGAGTGGAGTTCACGGTGGTGGACTCTCTCTCACACATCTACCGTCGTGGACATCCTTTGTCCCCGCTAGCGGGCATGAAGCTATACGGACCCCACGGGTTCATCGAAAGCTCTCACGTGCATGGATCGTGTCTAAGCCCAGGTTATGTTGCTGATGCTGAGCTACGTGGCGAGATCTCGAGTCATCCCCAGTGGACCTCATGACCGACTGTTCGCGAGTGGGAGCTGCTCAGCCACCGGGGCGATAATTAGCGATCGACTCAGGTCGGAGTGATTCGTTTTCACCATCGGCAGTTTCATTCTCAATCGAGCCACACCGTGGAGTAGAACGTGGAGCTACAGCAAGCATGGAGTCACTGATCAGCAGGGGGGACTCGTACCTATCAGAGCAGTCGTATGACTCGTGTCAGAGGGAGGGTACGGCGGCACTGCCAGGTCTGGCGTGACTCGCGTCGCCATAGCGCGGTCGCACTACTGCTAATCAGGACTCACTCCAGCAGTACGACTGGTCTACTGGAGCAGTGTATCTAGCAGTCGTACCTCATGTCACTCAGGACCTTCCGGAGTCCTCAATTGACCAGGATTCACCCGAGAAGCTCTGGGATCTGACAGGCGTTTTGGACCCCACTGCTACAATGCCCGTCCTACTGTACCTTGTGGTTCGCCAGGTTTACACTGGTCCGATATCAACGAGGCAGAGTCAGTACTCCTACTGACTCAATACTGTGTATGTGGACGTCGAAGATCATCACCCCAGCGATCAAAACTTCACATCTGCGCTTCAGGTCCCTTATCGTTTCAAAAACCCTTGGCACTGACCGCGCTACAAAAGGCTGGAGACCGCCGAGCAAAGGCTACCACTCTCGAATCCAGGTGTATTGCACACAACTTCTCCCGTGCTCGTTGCAGGATGGCGGCTATCGACTCTTTCGGAATTGATCGACTTCGCACTCTCCTCTCGAAGAGTGCGGTCATTCTTACCCCAGACACGGAAGGATACCAGGAGAGTCTGGTGCGATGGTCCGACACGGGCAGGAAGGAGGCTGTAAATGATCATTTCCCCCCACCTTCTTCTGTGCGGACTACAGACGATGTACTGACAGTCATCACCCCGACCAGGGAATTGTTGTTCAGCCCGTAGAATATGAGGATGTCTCGAATGTAGTCCGGTGGGCAACAGAGCACTCCATCGATACTGCCGTCAAGGGCGGCGGCCATTCAACTGCAGGAACCAGCTCGAGTGAAGGTGGTCTGGTGATTGACCTTTCTCGCATGAAACAGGTCTCCGTCGATGCCGCGGAGAAAACCATTCGAGTCCAGGGCGGTGCCACCTGGAAGGAGGTCGATGAGGCCGGCGCGGCTCACGGACTCGCGACCGTGGGAGGCACGGTCAACCATACCGGTGTGGGGGGACTCACGCTCGGTGGCGGCTATGGCTGGCTGAGTGGGCAGCATGGCCTCACCATCGACAACTTGCTGTCAGCGAAGGTGGTACTGGCTGACGGCAGCCTGGTCACTGCCTCACGCACCCAGTCTCAGGATCTGTTCTGGGGCCTTCGGGGTGCGGGCTACAACTTTGGTGTGGTGGTGGAGTTCACATTTCAAGCATACGATCAGAGTCCCCTGGTGTATTCAGGCGTGCTCGCCTTTCCCCCGGAACAGCTGGAGAAGGTCATTGAGGTGTTGAACAGCGGCTTGGCAAGCCCCGATGCGCGGTCGGGGGCGATGTGCATCATCACACAAGCACCCGATGGATCGGGCCCCATGATTGTGGTCATTTGCTTCTACAATGGCACCCGCGAAGAAGGGGAAGCTCGATTCGCCGACCTCTTGGCCTTGACACCGATACTGAACACCGTGGACATGATCCCCTACTCGGAGGTGAACACTCTCCAGAACCCGCAAGCAACGTATGGTGATCGCAAGTCATTCAAGGGTGTCTTCTACGAGCCTCCACTGGACACCAACTTCATTCGAGGTGTGTTTGACGAGTTCGTTGCCAAAGTGAACAGCGACAAGGATCTGATACCGTCCGCGATCATCCTTGAGTTCATTGACATGCGTAAGATATGCGAAGTACCTTTATCCCAGACCGCATTTGCAAGTCGCAATATGACCCAGAATGGAATTCTTGTGATGCGCTGGAGTGATGCTTCGAAAGATTTGGACCATCGAAATTGGGCACGCGAGGTGCAGAAGAAGTGGAAGACCGAACTGGATGCCAGGAAGAGAAATACACTACACAAGAATGATGTTCCTCAGTATATCAATTACGCAGAGCGTAAGTTCCCCGCTGGAGTGTTCACTCTGACCCCCCGACGCATGTCCAGTTCGACTGACCTCACTTCTAGCGGGCGATTCCCTCGTCGACAACATATACGGGGCGAATTTGGCCCGCCTGCAGGAGATCAAGGCGTATTATGACCCGCGGAACATTTTCCACAAAATGCATCCCATTCCTTTGCCAGCTACTGGAACTTTGGAAAAGTGATCATCCAGTGCCAGAGCGTCACGTCTGTCGAGCTTATATAAACCTTTGTGGCCAGGTGGTGGTGATAGTCAGATGGAAATGAGACGTACGAATGGATATGTTCAGGTAAATGACCGAAAGAATCGCTGATCGCTGAAAGTTCCGAATACAGACCTGCATGGATGTTTTAAAAAGTGAGGGCACCTTAGTCGACTCACGTTAAAGTAGACTCCACTTTGGTGATCATATTCCAGCCTGTGTGACGTGGCTGCAACTGTCAAGTAATTTCTGCAGCCTAGCCCTGGACGTAGGAGACCTGCATCTATACCTACATTGCCTCCTCGCAGCAGAGCTCCGCTAGCATGGGTATATGTGGGCATCAGGGAACTCGATCATTCTGCGTGACAGCACATGCAAAGCGGAGGTATGCTGGGATTGTCCCTACTACGAGCAGGCCGAGTACCTAGGTAGGTACGCTCGATTTACCAAATAATTCGGGCCATTATATGTGCTAGGTATCGGCGTAAGCTGTCACTCGACCTATTTTTCGGTCTGAGTTGAGAGTAGTAAGAGGGAGCTGCAATACTGAAACAACGTCCTTTCTCCTGAAAGTGATGATACTTAAGATTCAGAGACATCATGTTCATTACTGTGCGGATGGATCTCTTCGTTTTTTTGACTTTAATCATATTGATTGGGGGGTAACTAGACGGCGAAGTTATTGAACGGGCATACTCATAGGACGAAGCCCCACGCAAACTGTTTACTGGTTGGCATTGCAAGAGAAGCTGGACTTGGATGCGTTGTTGTGAATCGCCACGCCAGATGTCCAAAGACCCATTCCACACTTGAAAAAAAGAGTTAGCCCCAAGGAATCATCAACGAAAAGGATAGAGAGTGATGAACATACCAAGACAGCTCCGACTGCAAACACGAACAGGTTGAGGCAGGTCAGGAATATTTTCCCAGCCGATCTAGTGTAGTTTCCCCAATTCAAGAACAACCAAAAGATACCGCTTAGTCCATCTGTTAAGCGCTCCGGTTAGGCTTGCTCACGGTAAAGATAAGATTCAGAGACTGCTTACATGTGAACCAACTGGCGAAGAGGGCAACCTGAACACATCCATGTCAGCACAGGACCACAACGGAAGTCAGATGGGGGATGCACACTCACAATTAAGCCCAGTAGGTTGCTGAAGACGGGGATTGCCTCTGCAATCACCCATGCGATCACCCAGAGAATCAGGGTAATAAGAACCCAGGTTCCAACTGAGAGGAAACTTCTCTTGTGCATGTGGTCAGAACCACGGAAGGCGCGGACATAAATGTACTTGGCAGCAACATGTCCATTGATCACTCCGGCGATGACGATCTAACAAGACCACATTAGACTCACGCTGCTACCGAGAGTGGTAAAGGAAAGGGAGTAGAGTGGAATGATACCGTGGGAATCGCTAGTCCGTAGGCCACTTTCGCCGTTACGGAGGAAGTGGAGCCGAGAGCAGGGGACTTGACATCCGGCCCTCCGTAGTAATAAATGACAACAGCTGCGACAAGATACAGTGTGGTATCGGTGCCCTGTAGCAAGTAGAGCGTCTTGGGATACTCGGTAGGTTTGCGCATTTCTGAAATAAAACCGAAGAATGCGACGTGACCGGCTGGGAAGAAATTAGCATCGATGTGTCAACCCTACCGCTGTGATGGGAGGCTTTCAATTACCGTAAGCGAAGACGATATTTGTTGTCGCGAGAAACCCATTGGCCAGACTGGTATGGCGTGTCGCCTCCACAACACCGTGCCCGGGTCGTTGGATGCCGATGGCGATCATTGTCACGAACACGGCAGCAAGAATACTTGCAAAGGCTGTTCCATGTCAGTCACCAAGTGCTTTCCGAGGGAAGAGTGGACAGGTAAAAGCGAAAAAAAAAAAAAAAGCAACGGGGGACATACAGGCAAAGGAGAACCATGAGACCTTTCGTAGGGTTCTTGGCAGAGCGCAGATGAATGATACGACCAAACCGACTACACCAAACACGATGGAGCAAGTGCCGTGGTTGGTCAGGGTATTCATCATCACGGTAAAGGTCAAGATGTGGCTGCCCATGATGAAAATGAGAAAGAGTAGCTGCGCAGTACCGAGGAACTCTCTTCCGAATCGAGGTATTCCCAGCGGCGCAAATAGAACCTCACCGGCGTCGGCCATGCTGTGGACATGGGGGTAACGAAGTTTGAATTGCCCGATGACATATCCTGTGTAAGTAGCCAGAGCACCCAAACCCACAATCAAAATCACCGCTCTGGAGAAGCTATATTAGCAGCTGCAGCACCTGGGCGCGGAGAAGAAGCCGGTCTTGGCCTACTCACCCAATCATTCCAATGGTGGCCACTGTCTGAGGCAATGACAGGATACCTAGGGAGATGGTTTCGGCGATCATGACTGAATGATATAGTTGTCAGTGGGCGAAGTCTCAGATGCGTCTCAACCTCGATAGAAATGGTCTGGGGTACGCACTCATTCCACATTGCCTGGATTTTTGAAAGACACGGATCAGTAAACCGATTCATCTAGGGGAGTGATCGACAGTGGATGCTCTCGTACCACCAGGTCAACGTTCGATATTTGACTTCGGCGAATTCCTCACTGCCAAACGGATCCTCGTACTCGGAATTCGGTTGCTCGAGATGGGCCTTTTCTTCCTTTCGCATCCCATCGCCGCGGCCCCTAAACTGACCATCCTCTACTGGATCCGCATACTGATCAGTATACTGGTGCGACATTGTCGTCGAGAGTGTCCCCAGTTCTACTATCAGAGAGAGTTCGAAACGAGCACACGGCCGGGGTGTCCTTGAGATTTGACGTAGTTGTCCAGCGCTGAGAAGGATCCGCGGTGCAAGTCAAAGCGACGGAGGACTGGATCAGGAGGATGGGGGAGTGAAAAGGAGGAAGAAAGCGCAGGTCAGAAGGATATGGGGACCGCCCAAAGATGGGGTCGGTCGTGGCGCGTCCTCCCGAGGAGGCCCAAGCCTCCTCTGCTCCTCATCCCATGAATGTTTGTCGGCGGAAACGATCCACGGTGGGGGCTTCGCGCAAGTTGGAAACGATGTCACACTTCCGCTTTTCGGCTGCGGGGAAGGGAAGCTTTACCCCAATCTGGCAAACTGGAGACCAAGCGGATCCCAGCGTGTGCCCCGAGTCTCCGCCGCCACCAAAAGGGGAAGGTCTTCTGCCGTCGACAATCGACAGGAATCAAAGGACCATGACCATGCACAATGACAACAGTCCAGTTGCTATGCTGCGATCTGGCAGCGCCCGTTCATGGATTACCGTGCATCAAGAAATATCACCATCGCGTTTCTGTAGTGGTCGTCCGGTGCATCTCTATCCTAAACTTTGTGGCATTCTCGGAACGCCGACCGGATGGACGCTAAGCGACGCCATGGCTGATGGTGCCGCTGCCCAACCATGAGGCTTGACGGTGCCACCAACACCACCAACATCTCCAATCGGACGTATGACGTCTCATCATCCTCACCTTTCACTATCCACGGGTGTCTGGTAATCTTTGGCCCCCGATGTGTCCAGGGATGATTCCGGTCTCTGGTTTCGCCAAGATGACTGATAGAAGATCCGTTCCAATTGTCTCTAGACAGAGTCCAGGATTCGATCTGCCGCAAGTTGCCCACCTGCTGCTCCTGATCAGGGTAAAGGACTTGGGGACCAGCGCGGCGGTCAGGTCCGTTCCGTGTGCGGCTGAGATTGTTCATTCAGAACGTCTACGAATCTCTCACAGGTAGTACCTTCACCCTCATTACGTCAGGGTATCACGGATGGATCTGACGTCGCCCAATGATCGTTTCACGGCGACGGTCAAGCGACTGGAAGAACCCTGTACCAGGCGCAGGCTGTTTCAACAGCAAATTAGAGGGCTTTGTGCAGGAAAAGAGTTCGATCAAAGGAGAGGAGATAGGCGAACGTCGGGTCGGGTTGAACGGGATGGAGTGATGATTTGAGGTGGCGTCGGAATCCAAGACTCCCTCATCAGTTGCTGGTTGTCCCCGAGCTTCGATCACCGTAGATGCGGCTACTGGCGGGTATTTGGGTTCACTCTACTGTACTTCTGTAGTAGATCAGTTTTGCATTAGGTATTGTGTACAGTTGATGCTTAGGCGTCCAGATCTCCATCTACCGATACAGGAGATCGACTTCTTGGTGCCTGTGTAGACTCGCCTCATTCGCCTTGTGGCGTCGTTTCTGTGCGGTGCGGGAATGAAGTTCCATGCCGAGTCGGGGGATCAGTCGAGGGCTCCTCGCCCATCTCTGTCTCTGTTGACATAGTATTTCATCAGAGTACCAAGGTACTTCACGTAGTATGTATAGTATCGTACCGAGGTCCCAGCGTAGAGAACTATACTACTTCCATGACTGATACGTTCGATCGGCGATACCCAATCATTTGTCCCCTCCCTGAACGCAAGACCAAGCCACTAATCTGGAGATGAACGGCCACTCACATGTGGTCGCGTGACTTGACTCGATTGTATCGGGGGCAAAGGTAAAAGAGATTCGACCGGATCCAGAAGGGTACGAACTGTCTTATTCTTGACTTATGAGGGTACTCACCCACCCACGGATCCACGCTTGGCTTGTCAAGATCTCAATCACTGTTGTCCGGGAATCCCATTGGCCCATCATCTTCAGAACACCAGATTGCGACCCCAAAATGTTGAGGGTTGAGACCTGTTCGAATGGCATGTCATACTGCCGTCTCACCACAGTACGCAGCCTAGATGGAACCTCCATCTCTCCTCGCCTGACCATCCCACACTCATCCTTCTCTCACACTGTGCGGCTGCACCTACTGTAGCCACCTTCTATCAAGACCTAATGGGTTCAATCTTGTTGACCACGACTGAAGGGGATCGAACTTTGAAAGTACTTTCTTTGGTCAACGACTTGCCCTACCACACTGGAGATTGAATGCCTGAGAATCCCCTCCCCCAGACTTGAGTGAAAAGAAACGGCTCAAATATCAGAATGAATGTTGAGGTATGAAATCATTCGAGTGCTAACTAGAGACTGCCCGCGACGAGTGCAATCGGAAAGTCATACACGGCAAGTGGGCACACCACAGCTGAAGTGTGTTTGTATGGCATGTGAGTTTACCACTGACCATATTCCATAGCCTGGTCAGAACCTCCCCCACGTTCGTAGCAATATTTCAATCAATTCTGGGACCAACATCTTTTAACTCGTCACACAGGACTGCTCCATTCAAGCTCGGTTTGCGGGAGTCACGCTGCAGGGTCGCGGAGGGAAGGTCCTTCCGATCACGAGGGCGACGCTTGTGTTGGTGGTGGTACTCGGCAATTACGGCCATGAGACGTTCAACACCTAGACGCGGCGCGAACACACCTTCGGCCGGTCAACTTGTGCACCCAACATATATTATATTTCCAGTCGGTCACCATACAAGCTCATCTAGCTTCTACTCTAGTCAGTGTCTCTTACCCGCTTGTCTCCACTGAAGTGCTGCCAACGAAGAAGGTCACAGACAGAGCATATACCCAATTAATGCGCATCGGCAGGGGATTAGGTGAGGGCAGAGCAGCACATGAAGCCCGCAGTGTTTGACTGCTTTGTTCGCTGAAAATCCATTGGAGTGCCGAGAATAAGGGTCTCGGTGTTGGAAGAAGCAATAGAATCATTGCTATTGAGCGTTGACTGAGCCAATCGCTTGGTCGACTCGAACAACGGGATCACTGATTTACAGAAACGGAGATAGATCGGTTCCAGCGGTCATTCCGGATGTCCAGAACTTCGCGAGGAACAGACAGCGGATCGGACCGGCATTGATCCTTTCGTTAGCGTGGCTCTCATGCCACAAGAAAGATTTTCAAGCTGATCGTCCCTTGACGCGTTAACGGGTCCAGATCCGACAATGTTATATTGGCCTTGGTCCCGGTATGGGTGGGGTTGATCCCGCCTCCGTGCATTCTCAATCGGAGCGAATTGGGCGATCATCTTAGGCGATAGACAGTTCAACGAGTATCTTTGATTCCAATCGGGTCGGAGGTTTCGAGAACGAAAATTGCCTGGCCAATGGGGCTTCCGAGATCGTGCTTACATTGGCTTGTCATGCGCTCTCTATTGGAATGGAAAGCCTGCAGCACTACAACTGATGCCACTCCACCGATTCCAGAAGTTTGGCGAGTGCGCGTCGTGTTTGTGACTAGCCAAGATCATTAGCAAATAGACAGCGACGAGCAAGTAAGATCGCATCCATCATTTCTTATCGTCTGTGACAAGATGCTGCTTTGCTGCTTGTCGGCGCCTCCGACCACGGACGTCTTCGTCAAGGGTACTGGATAAGAGCAACATTCAACAACGATAAGAAACAATCGACGAGACGTACTTCAAATTTCTCGGTAATTGGAAATTTCGGATTACTCATGCAGAGCACAGAGGGAGACTCGCACAAGGTCTTGTCGAGGTACGAGGCACTTACAGAGGTATCCAAGACCACGGAGCGCGAGTGAGGATAAGAACCAGCAAGTGAAGAGGACACAAAAGGCATTGAGAGGATTCCTTCGAAACACCTGACCTAGCCCTAGTCACCCTAAGTTGAGGACAATCTGATTGGTCGAACCTTCTCCTGGTTATCAATCCGAAGGAATCCGTTTGCGATGACTCGGTCCGGCCACAAGAGATCTCGAAATCACGGAATTGGTTTCCCTGTGATCTCGGGATTCTCGAGAGGGTGGGTGCATCACTCACACTGACCGGACCCGGGCGCGTCTCGTATGCTCACTAACCAAGTACGAACATCGGACTGGGAGTCTCACATGTTAGCTCTTGGACAAATCTTATCGAATAAGTCATTCCTTGATGATTGAGCACAGGTCTTCATTTCGACTGTCAATAAATACCGATCATTGAGCCAATTTGAAAAAGGCTAGGGTCCATGGGGTAGAAGGGCAAGGCAATCGGCCCCCGGGCAATTGCAACTGGATCCATCAGCAGCACGCCGACACACCAAGAGCCACAGCCGGCCTCGAGAGACGGTGGGTTGATTCATCCACGGAAGGGTACCGCAGGACTCCCAGATAAGACTTGCATGTTGAGTCATAGTTTCAGCCTCTTAGCTTCATTCGGCTAGCCGGCTGTTAGCGAGAAGCTGAAGCATGAACAGGCTATTGAGCCACATGGGGTTTTCGACCAGATGCGAGACTCTGACATCGCGTCGAGTAATCCTTTTGCAACATAGCCTCGTCGCAGATGAAATGCCATAGGGAATGATAACCTGACCTATCATTCGTTCGCCGGCTGTTGATGCGGGCCAAGCAAGCCCACAAACCGACCTAATGCTTCCTTCCGAAGGATGTACTGGAGATTTGTAGTGACCGCTGCGAACGTCCCTCCTAGGAGAAAGTTGGGGGCCAACTTCCACGGCCGAGTATTTTTGATTCGTGGAGTTTTTGGATGCTTGCTAGTGATGCGTGACAAACTGTGACTTGGTGACCTGATATTAGAACCGTTCGAATTTGGGAATGAACATGTTGATATAACGACCAATTGACATGAGGGAGATTGAAACGTCTGAGAGGTCTTTGTGGACACTACTGGATTCAGTGGATTGAAGTCAGTGAGTATTTGAGGATCCAAGGTTGTAGTTAGAGGGTACATACTCCTGCAGATGCCACCGTGCGACCGGATGCATTGGTTGGCTACTGCTATGGTCGGTCATCCGACTTCACACATGATGATACGTGGAAGTATCTCACCTCGGTGATGCACTACCTAGTAGACTGGCCAACGAGAGCTGAGATTGACAGGTAATCGGAAGGTAAGCGTCAAGCCATGCTGCGCTCGAGAGATATTGCATTTTTGTCTTCCAAGAATCACTAACCAATGAGATTAGCACCTGAAACATACCCTATGTGCCTCTCCATGTGGAAATCTCTTGGGGTTGAACCCAGAGATTCGAGCCTATAACTGTACTCGTGTAAATCGTCCTTCTTCCTGACCATGTTTATGTTCACGTGCTTTATCTATCCGAGAGCGGCAATTCTCCGGCGTATGAAACGCCCAGACGCGCCACCTGCGGGCGTATTACCTCTTCATGTCAAGGGTCCACTCTTTCGGCCAACTTCGGTATTTTTTCACCTTTGGTGCCGATTTACTGTGTGCTGTTGATGCCCGCTTGTTTAGAGCAGTAGCAGGACTAGGCAGTAGGCACTCGTAATCCTAGGGAGCGTTGACGGTGGATATTCGTATCCCAGCGCTCGCGTAGAGACTGTGGAGCGACTCTGAACTCCGGACTCCAGACCCCATTTTATGGAATTTCCAAAGCGGTCATTTCCGAGTGATAAGTGGGGAAACATTCTTCCAGCGAATGGAAAGATGGAAGCGATCGAACGCGGTAGACATGCATCAAGGACGCTGTACATACAAAGAAGACCCGGGGAAATCGGCATGCGGGGGACCGGCAGCTGCAAGCAACTGACGCTCCAGAACAATGGAGACCACGTGATGTACACGCACGGATCTCAAAGACTTCAGAAGTTCAGAGTCATTTTGGAACCTTTAACTAACTACCTAGGTAGCAACTAGGTAGGTACGTAATACTTACAATATAAAAGCTGACGATATAAGCTCCTTGGTGCTGTGGTACCTACCTAGGGGATACGGTATTACGGTTGACGCAGTGGCGGTCAGGAGGCAGGACTGAGTAGGGTCAGTACCTGAGTATTATTGACTCAGTACTACTGCTGAGTGTTGAGTCGATGGAGCTCCTTGTCCAGCAACACGTCTGAAAGTAAGGAGCACCGACCGCCGAGGCTCGTGATCAAGACACTTACCGTAATTGGGGAACCTCATGGGTCAAGCTTTGCTCTTGCAGCCCCAGAACATCACGAGGTCGACCATCGTTGCCACATGGCCAAGTCGCAATGGCATCACTTCAACTGGACCGACGGGTGGAACTCGGGCTGCCGATTGAGCCGATGTCTCGCGGTGATCAGCGCTAGCTCACTCGACGTGACAAGGTCATCTCCATCGAAAACCATTTTGTTTCAGCCCAGCATGGCCAGGGACTATTACGGTAGGTACGATGTTCGGATGTACTAGTAAGTACCTCTGATGGGTCCATATCTCCATTCAAAGCAATCACATGCTGGTCCACCCCCGAGTGATCACCAATATTGTCGCACTTCCAGTCGCCCCGGATTCCCCAGACTCGGCGAGGTCTTCTGTTTAGCCTGCGACTCGATGCGCTGTGCAGTTCCGCCCCCCGCCAGGTTTCACCCACGGTCCGGTGTCTGCGGAAAACAAGAAAGTTTCACGGGACATACTGGAGTCGGTTCCCGCCCCCGCCTCCGCGTTCTTCTCGGTTGCACAGCTTCGGCGTAGAACAAGGTTCGCTAATGCTAGAGATCCTACTTGATTGGTACGGGTTCTGTCAGCATTGCAGGGAAGACCGGTTAATTATGCCTTAACCGCCGTGTGGAAAAAGATAAGCTTCGGGCGCCGGAGAGGAGTCTTATTAACCGCATGTTCAAGTGAGTCAAGTGTTCATTACCGAGAGTCAATGACGGACATGACATTGCGGAAATGCGAAGGAAACTTCCAAAAGGTAAGAAAAATGGAGGAGAAAAGCAGGCGGGATCATGCACTGGGGACACGAGACAGAGAAAGGACGCCGTCTTGACTCTTTGAACTTGAGAATCATGTTTCGGTCAGGGGAAGAGCGTGCCATATGATTGGAACACGCGTTGGCCCAGGGTTTTGCACACTTCAAAGTCTCCGACACTTGATCGACTTGTCTACCCTGCCGATCCCTCTCCATTGATCCCACAAACACGTCTTCTCGCGTGGCAGGGAGATCGCCAGTGACTCCAGTTCATCTGTAAGGTACGATGATCACCATCAGGTCCGCATCCACCAGGAGGCCGCGACTGTGAGCCGGCGACCCGCCTCATACTAGCTTGGATCGAAAGCGCAGATTTCTTGGTATGTCTCATAGATGCCATGGAAATTTGAATTGAATCAATTACCCGTGGAGTTAGGTCCAGGGTTCGATTCCACACCGGGTTCTCCACCCAAGGAACCATGTCTCCAACGGTTCCTGCCAGCAAGCATGCAGGCTTTCTTCTGTTCTAAGACCTCCATGAAGCTACATGAGTGCATTGAGGCTCCAAAAAACCTAGTCATTGCCGATCCAAGCGTCATCGTTGAGACGGTAGGTGGATGAGGACCACCTCAAGTGACGAGAGAGACGACGGGCTCAAGTGCCTGGACAAATGAACCCGGACAATGCGATGGCGGGAGGCAAAGCCGTTGCTCGTCCATATCTTTGATTTTTACAGGGCTGACGGGCTGGCGTCTCTTCCGTCGAACTCATTTACGAGTACATATCACGCTTGGTTGTATCAAACATACGCGTCTAAATAGGTAATGAACGACGGGAATATTCAATTGGTTCCTGGATCTTATCTATTCACGGGCTACGGCCAATACTTACCTAGCTGTTCCAATACTTACCAATTTGGCCAAAGCTTGGTGACGATTCTTTAATACCCTTGTGGATTGGAAGATCTGCCCGGGGAGCTCGCGTCTGGTATGGATGGCGATTAGCGGGAGACCTATATGTATATACGAGGTGGAAATTCATGTGTCTTTTGACGGATTTTGATGCCCGTTGAATCACTGGCCAGATCAGCTGGGTCCGTATACCCAGCGACGATATAATCGGTGCTGGTGCATAATTAGTTGTGTTGAGAAAACATCGATCAGATCGGTGGATATATTGCCCGAGCGGGTGGGGCCCATTTGGATTGTTAAATTTGTGCTCCGTTCAATCAGTAGTGATGGACTTTTGAATGGACATATATCGACGGCCTAACCGTACCTCCAGAAAAACATGGAACGCACTTACCTACCTCATGACCGCAAACAATCAAAGAATCAAGGTGATGTAGTCGGTTCCCAGGGCAAGTTTCCACCTACAGAGGTTGAGTAGGCGGCGCGACTAGTACCTACGTCGCGACCGTCTGACCTGACAACCACATAAGCGAGTTAGATTCGGTCACCAGCTCACAGCCTATGAGCCATTAGCTTGTTCGCAAAGAAATCTTACGACACCGTATAAATACGCTAGTCATGCGGATTGCGGACAATTTTGTGCGAGTCCAGCGTGCGGGGGATCATATACGCGTAGGGCCGATAGGTTGAAGGTTCAACAGTTCATGAAATCAAGTGTGTAATCGTCGACGTGGTCCTCGTGGACCGAGACCACTGGGAAGCGGGCGGCATGTGGACAGCTGCGCTCCTCAAGCCCAATGGTTAGTTTAGTCGTGCCCACCGTCCACTGGCCCAGGTAGTTGAGTCCACTGCGCGGTGTGCCCAGTGTGCCCACCGTACAAAGCCGGGGCTTTAGGTGTGGACTAGTCTCGGTTAGGCAGTTTCCCAATTCGGGGGAAAGAGGAGCGTGACCCAATTTTTACGGTACATTTGAAGCTGCTCATTGGCGGATATTTGAGATCCATCCGGGGGGGTCCCAGCGCGGGGTAGCAACCGTCCGGGGTAGAATGGACCGAGCCCACCACCGCCCATGGCCGCATGGGTGAATCTGGAAAAAGGATGCTCATCGTTTGTTCCTCACGTATGACCACTGTGATCATCGACCTGATCCCCGAATTCGATCAACAGATGCGATGTCAAGCTTTCAGAACCGCACTGGCACTCCTGCATGGAGGACCAGGCGTAACAGAAGATAGATCGGCCGGCTTGGCGGGACCTGGGATGGCGGTACGCGAGATCTTGGTACATGGAGCCAAGCCACGCACTTCCTCAGTGGTCGGGAGAAAAGCTAGCGCTGAGTCTTACAGTTTTTGGGGGCTTTCAGGCGGTCGGTTAAATTCCGGGAGAGTGACTGGATGGCGCGTAGCCGAAATGAACCGCTCGCTGGCAGGCAAACAAGCCGCTTCCATGCTTTCTTCCCGCCAGCCCATTTTTTGACCTGACCGCTCGGTAGGGGGAGGGGGCCTAACTCAGGCCGGACTTGGTTTAGCTGACTTTCAAGAGTCCTTCTGGACTCTCCTTCGCCTACCAGCAGTAGTCTTCCAACCTGGCACCGCTCCAAAGCGAAAGCAGGAAATCTCCGGCGGCGAATGACAGACCTCCTCTAGCCTCTCCTACAGACCCGCACCGGCCCAAACTCCAAACTCCAGGTTCCAGCCTTCCCGACTCCAGAGTCCAAACCCCAGACCCCAGAAAGCGTCCAGAGTGTGGTGGTGGGTGCGTGAGCTTGCCACTCCAGCCGACATCCCCGCAAAAAGCCACCACTCTCGGTGCGCTTCCTCCCGACTCACACATGACAATTAAAGTGAAAAGCGGCACACCAAGTGATACTCCCGACAACCTTGCCCCCTTCGGAGCCAATCACAACAGACCGACGCTGTTGCTACTGTCGCGTCCGGCAAAAAGGTCTTTCCCCCTCCCAAAAGTCCAGAAAACCCGGGAGTGGATACGCTTCAGGACTATTGCACCACTACAGTAGTACACTGGATGGTGAGGGTCAAGTGAAGTCTGAAAGGTGCCCTCGGTCACGCTCCACCCGCAAATTGAGCTAAGATCAGGTCTCAACCTTGAACCCACACCCGTCTTCCCTCTCACTCGTCACAAGGTGACCGTGTGCAGGTATAAAGCTCTCAACCGATCCGCCCCCCTGCTCGTCTCTCCCTTCTCTTTCCCGATCTCACTCGTGTCACTCCAAAACCCATCAACATGAGCGTCGACACAGAGAAGCACACCACCGCGCAGGAGATCGAGGCGCAGCCCAGCTCGACGGGCGGTCCCGTCTACGATGTCAACGAAAAGGTCGACTATGACCGTGCCGGTGCCATCGAAGCCGAGGAGGCCGAGCACCGACTGACGGTGCTGGAGGCTGTCAAGGCGTATCCGGCAGCCAGTTGGTGGGCCTTTGTCATGTCCTGCACGATTGTAAGTACTATACACCCTCGAGTCGACGCGACACGCCGGGAGACGGATGTATCTAACATGCGGTATAGATCATGGAATCCTACTGTGTCTTCTTGATGGGACAGTTTGTCGCCACTGACGCATTCGCCAGGGCATTTGGCGTGAAGAGTACGGTGACTGGCAAGTGGATCATCGAGGCGTCCTGGCAATCTGCCTTCCAGTGCAGTGGACCCCTCGGTGCCTTGATCGGTGTCTTCGTCGCAGGTCCCATCACAAGTTGGATCGGTTACCGCTGGGCTACCATTGGAGGGTTGATGGCCTTGAACGGCTTCATTTTAATCTTCTTCTTTGGCAACAGCAACGGCATGTTCTTCGCTTCCCAGATTTTGGAGGGTATTCCATGGGGTATCTTCATCGCCAATGCACCCGCCTACTGTGCTGAGATTGTCCCGATGAGACTGCGAGCTCCGGCCACACAGATGTTGCAAATGTTCTGGGCTATCGGCTCCATTATTGTGGGTGGTATCACCTACCACTACCAGTCCAAGGAGGATTCTTCAGCCTACAGGTGTGTACCGTTTCCCTTTTCCGCACCTGACTCATGACGAGACAGAGTACGCTAACGCTTCATGTCAGAGTCCCCATCGCCCTGCAGTGGATGTTTCCTACCCCTCTCGCCATCTTGATGTTCCTTGCCCCCGAATCCCCATGGTGGCTGGTGCGCAAGGGCCGCCTAGCGGAGGCCGAAAAGGCCGTCAAGCGTCTGGGCCGTGCGGGCGCCAATGATAACCCGTCGGACAAGGTGGCCATGATGCGTCGTACCATTGAGCTCGAGAAGAGTGAGAAGAAGCCTAGTCTGGTAGAGCTCTGGAAAGGCACCGACCTGTACCGGACTTTGATTGTCTGCGGTGTTTATGCTTCTCAGAACTTGACTGGTAACCTGATCGCCAACCAGGCTGTTTTCTTCTTCAAGCGTAAGTTTTTGGACCCTGTGTATCCTTTGTCTACCTTCGTCATGCTAACACTACCTCAGAGGCCGGTATGGCGGACAACACCGCTTTCGCATTGGGTCTCATCACTTCGGCTCTGCAGTGGATCATGGTCATGCTCTCCTGGGTCCTCACCACCTACCTCGGCCGTCGCACCATCTATGTATACGGTCAATTCATCAACTGTGCGTTCCTGGTTGCCCTCGGTATTGCCGCTTCCGTTGGGAGGAGCAACGCCGCCAGCAATGCTCAGGCCTCTTTGGGTCTCATTGTCTCAGTCCTGTTCTGTCTGGGACCAGCCCCGGCCTCATGGGTCATTATCGGCGAGACCCCGTCCGTTCGTCTTCGTCCTCTGACTACCGGTATCGGCCGTGGCGCCTACTACCTGGTCAACATTCCTTGCATTTTCCTGTCCAGCTACATGCTGAACTCCGATAAGTGGAATCTCGGCGGCAAGAGCGGTTACATCTGGGCGGGTACTGCCTTGTTCTGCTCCGTGATGTCGTGGGTCTTCATCCCTGAGATGAAGCACCGCTCGTTCCGTGAGATTGACATTCTCTTCAACCGTCACGTTCCCGCTCGCAAGTGGAAGCAGACCGTGGTCGACATTGGCGATGATGAGTAGATAGTTTGTGGCCTTCGACACCGTGGGGGTGGCTTTTGCTGGTACATCAGATTACGAGATGCAATTGATACTTAATGCATTTAATTCTATTCCATCGGTTTTCGTTCCTGGTATTCCTTCCCCATGTCATTCAGAATATAGAGGCTTTGTTGTCCCGGCTTTCTCTAATTGACAAGGTGCACTTCTTATGAAATAGATTGGTCTGTATCATGACCCATTAAGCCTAGTTCCCTCACTTTAGAAAGAATAGGCAAATTTGAACATAAAGACGGACTGTGAAATCTTCGGCTAAGCACTAACGAGTCAATCTCAGTCCCGCTCAGCTTTGTGCATTGCCGCTTCGGTTTCGCCGTCGACTTGCAATCGCTTGTAGGCCGAGTGTGGTGTTGCATAAAACCTAGGTAAGATTTTGGAATCGGTCGATCGCCCTTTCACCGGATTCGAAGCGCGTTCTATACCTATCGATCCTGAGATGTCTTCTGAAAACACCGTACAATTGCATTTTCTACTTCCTAAGAGCCCAATGTCATGAATCGGGGTATACCATGTTCGTCTCCAGTTTTGCCATCATATGGCTGACATGCCGATTGATACTCGGATTGCCAAGTTGCATTGTTGCGTGGCTGAGAGCTCTTGTTTGACGACGATGGAAAGCCAGGTTCACAGGTGAAACTGACAGCGTAGGCTTCGCCGCAGCGTGGATTGAGACGGCCCGGCAATCAACCCGTCTGCGTCTAGTCTCAGTCTCTCTGCAGCGTCTCAACAAGTCTTCTCTAAACAACTGGCCATCCAGACGAAAAGTCAATCTGATTCCACCCGAATCGTTTCTGACCATCCGCAAATCCCACTGTAGTGTCAACGTAATGATAATAGAGAACTGGGCCGAGGCTAGAATCGGTGAATACACCCCTGCACCAGTGAAACAGTTAGCCGGTCCTCGACCGATATGAACAAGATCAATCGATGACTTACTGTCCACCTGGTCCGTACACGGTTCCGTGACTTTCCAAGACAACACTGCCGCCGCCGTTCGTGCATGCTATGCCGCGTTTGTCCACCTGAATTCCCAAGGCATATCAGCGCAGGATTCTTTCCCCATGGAGAGGCTGGGACGGGAAGATTGCATAGACTTACGAATCCACCTTTCGGCGAGGTTGACCGACAGACCATGATCTTGTACTCCTCTCCGGGCGCCGGTCTGGTTTTGTCATAGTTACAGCAGATGCCCGACGAGTAGAAAAGATAATAAAAGTTGCCGTGTTGGTACATGTAGGCTCCTTCGACTGCATGTGTACCTGTCGGTTGGAACGCAATGTTATAGGAGGACGAGGCAACCTTGGTTGCAGCCGAGTCCATTGGCGCTTGGTAAATATCATGCCAGAACGACCCAAAGTTCATGTAGTAGAGTCCGTCCGCGTTGATTAAGTTGCCATCGATGGCATTGTAGGGCTTTGAGGCGGATGAGGCAATCCCGGTGCTACCAAGGTCAGTCCAGGAACCGGGTTCCATTGTCGCTGACCTGGCCAGACCGATCGCCGAATTTTGCGAGCCAAACGTCGACACCGAGTAATATACGTGGTATGCACCATTGACAAAATGTGCGTCGGGGGCCTAATATTTTTCACACGCAGTTGTCAGTTGTCACCCCTTGGCATGAGTGGGAAACTTCAATCCCAGCGCATATGAATAATCAGTCAGGCTGCGGTGATTCATTGAACAAGAAACCATACCCAAAGATCGTTCCGACCAGCCAGGTTGATAGAAGACCCGGATGGAAGCATAGATCCGAGACCCGTCCAGGGACCAGCGATCGAAGACGCGCTGGCGTATGAGATCTTGTTTCCGGTCGAGAAACGAAAGTACCGACCATCAGAGGTTCTCTGAATCACACTCGGGTCATGAACAACGCATTCTCCCGAGCAGCGCCCTGGATTCGCAAAAGCGTGAACAGAAGTTGTAAGCAGTGAAAGAAAGACAATGGTCTTGCTTAGAGCCATCACTGCGGGTCGGAAGAATGTCCTTGTTAGGTGTTGATCCTGTATATGTGTATCGTGGCTTCTGAGATCATTTTCACTCCTGACCGGGGACAGAAGCACACTAAATAGCGAAAGCGAGAACCTGGGAGAGAATTAAAGCGATCAATCGTACCACAAAAAGTGAAACAACATGGCCGTGTACCTATGGAAATGCGAAGGTTGCCATACGCTTACCTGCTGATGTGTAGAGAAATGGGTGAATTCGCGGGTGGGGCTGCCAAGGACCTCCCAAGGCTCTGAAGAAACTAGGACGATAGTTGATAGGCTCGCCCGAAGATGTTAGTGATCATGTCAAACACAACTATAACGGGAGTGAGACACCCATCTGTGGATACGACCCCCCTGTCATTATAGCTAATCTGCCGGCAACAAGGGTGCGGAGTACCAGTCGACTCGAAGTGGAAATGCATGAACAGGTCGAAGAGGAGATAGCAGGTGTCAAGGACACCGGGTCTTGGAAAGAAATTGGCTGGTCACTAGTGTGAAAATGTCATGCCCAGGCGGCTAACATGTACTGTTTCTTCGCTTGCTCACCTTTTTTGGTTTCTGAACATAAAACTCAATTCCCGAGGTCTCGGATACAAGTGTGCTTGAATTTATAGAAGGAGTGTCGAAGTGCGACATGTCAACGACGCTCGTTGTATAAACTATCAATAAAAGGAAGGCTCCCGGACAAGCCCACTGACACCAGTGACTAGGTTACAACGTGAAAAACAGTACCACCCTCAATCGTGGCTCGTGACGGTGTCTGTATATCACTCATGGAGATCACATAAAGGTTGAACCAGCTCGCCCAAGTGAGTCGCACTAGTGAGGCTAGTTATTCTGATTTCGACCCCCAGAACTCGTCGGAGTTAACGACGGGCAATATTTTCAATGACAACAATAAAATCAACAGAAACCCTCGCAAACTGTAACTTCTCGCTCTATTTGCGACCCTGAATCTCATCGGTTCGCAATGTATTCAAGTAAAAGCTCGTACGAGCGCGTTCTCTTGAGTAGACTCGGATTCCGATGTGCTTGAATGAGGTGGCCTAAAATCAACTCCTACATACCATCCGCAACCTTTCGGCCAGTCTGCACAATGTCCGTCAACATGCAATAGCGAGCATGACACCAATGGGTGGAATACGTAACACAGCGTTCGGACTGGTCCGTATAGTCGCTATGCTTACAGCAACTTGGCCATGGGCAGATATGCCGTCCGCGGCAAATGGCTTCTAGGAAGCCAGAATTGTGCTTCTCGGGCATTGCGTGGATGACATGTGCGTGATTCAACGATCGAAACCCCTACTGACGAGTGGAAGCAAATTGTTTAGGCTCTTAGGTAGCTGCAGCAGCCAATGTCGCAAATGCGCCGCGACTGAGTACAGCGGCTGGCAGGCTCAAGGGCCTGAGTTACAAATCAATGCGTCTAACTGGAATATGCATTTGCATGGAGAAGCATAGCATAAGGTACTTGACCGACACTTCCACAAGAAGCTGCTATAGAGCTCATTACCACAGAGAGATCCAAATATAGAGCTGAAGCTGGATCAAGTAGGGATCTTCCATATTTCACGGATAAAAGGTTGCGAGACAGAAGTCGCGGGCAGATTCCACCGAGGCAAGACAAGTCGGAATACAGCGATATGAATCTCGGGGGTTGCGCAATGAAGTACACACACTTTGAATAATGTTCAAATCATATCCAGGAGAATACAAAGTGTTTGTATGGCATGTGATACTGCCGCCTCACCGTAGTCCATAGCTTAGGTAGAATCTCTCCCCCTTAGCAATCTCACTCCTTATCCCTCTCACACATCGATACTGCTACCCCTACAGTAGCCGTATCCCATCACAAAGCCTCGGTCAACGCATGCTACCACAGACTACCCCCGACTAGCATTTTCAATTCACTTTGACCTACCGAAAGCCTTATCAAAGCACTTCATGCGATCACCGAGTACGTCCAGAAACTCTGCCAAGAACTTAAACACGAATATATTTAGTAGCTCCAAAGCCGTGACAGATCAGCCTTGTTTTGAAGCTCACGTAGGTACGAGTTTTGGACTCGTATATATGAGATTAGAGATCTCGTCCAAGATATGGATCCAGGCACATAAGGTACCGGCTAGTGATTTCGATGTCTGGTGCAATTCTCCTGTATACAATGATAAGCCTGCTTGGAATAAACCATTGGTATCAAATCATTTTTCACTAGCACATCGATGTAATCGACTAACACAGCAAAATCTACTTTTGCCGTAATATTCCGATTAGGCCTCCCTAGTGCTTATTTGGAAAAGTAGGCATTAGTGAAGAGATTCCTAATTACTGATGTTTCAATGATATCTATTAGGGTCAGGATCGTAGGGTGACTAGGACTGTTGACTAGGCAAAGGATCGAAGTCTAGGGGGGCTCAAATTCAAAGACTGAATCTTAAAGGTCGGAGTTCTTCCTCCCTTCTGCGATTATTATATATATAGTTCCCACGTACCGGGCCCGTATCCTTAGGGCTACAACCCGGATAGATTCGTTAGCGTTCCGCACGTGATTCTCCCGCGACCGCGCCTTAGCAGGTCGCGCCGTAATAATTAATCCCCTCCTTTATACTAGATATCCCGGCCAGAAGTCTCCTAAGTTTTTAGCTATTTATATATATACTATATACTATATATAGTAACGTTCGTGTCTTTATCGGATAATAATATTCCTTTATATTACCTAAGCTATAACTACGGATAGGATAGTAGGGTCTACTATACTAATAAAGAAGATACTATTACGGAATCGGATATAAGTCGGGACTATTATAATAGTAGAACGATAAGTAGGATTAAATAAAGGTAAGATATAGCTAAACTACGATTAGTATATATTATAGAGGGGAATGCTTAAGGTAGTCTGATCTCACCAGATAGATTGAGTCATAGAGGAACCAAACCATAACCACTAGCACGTATATCTAGAGATCTCCTAGCCCGACCGTATAATACCTATCCGTAGGATGTCCGAAGGTAAAGAGGAAGATTAAAAAGAGTGTATTATTATAATATAAAAGAATCCGACTATAAAGACTATACTAAACTCCCTTAAAGCCGTTTAATCCGATGGTTATATTATATCCTTTATATCTATATAATTATCCGCTATATTATTATTATTATTAAGTTAATTAACTCCCTCTTCTTATATCTAAATAGCCTCTCCCGACCGTAAGACTACTATTAGGTATATATACCTTAATAGACTATCTACTCTATATATGTATAACCGGATTCCCTACTATAATATATAACTATAGGAACTTATCTTAATTAGGGCTTCTTATAGTATTCTATAATATTAGTATATATATAGTCGTAATTTTATATTTAGTATACTTAAAGGAACTAACGATTATAGGATTAAGTATAAATAAGTAGAAAAGAAGGATATTTTAGGGAGCTCTTAGAGATATTATAGTCTCTACTATAAGTAGAGATAAGATTCCTATCTTCTAGTAGTTATCTAATATCTACTTTAAGTTTCTTCTTTCTTAGATACTATACCTCCTACTTCTCGTAATCGTCGCCGCTATACTAAGATAGATAGTATTAGACGTACTTCTCCGGTACTAAACTATATTTATATAATTTACGAATATCTTTAGTATATATAGTATTTCAGGGAAGCTAAAAGTTCGTATAACTACTTTACTACTTCGGAACTATTTCGGGTAGTTTATACTTTCGATCGAATTAGTTTAGTATTATATAAGTTATATAATAGTTAGTATAACTTATATAAGCCGATAAGAAACTCTAGACTATTATAAAAGGATAATAATTCGATATTAATCTATCCTAGGTTCTTATAGGTATAATATAGGATATATAATTATTCTAGTAGTACCTATAAATCTATTAGGTAATCTTTAAAGATATCTAAGAGTTAAGTATTATAGAAGGACTAATATATATTTCTATCTAGCTAGTTATAATATATACCGATCTCTTTTTTATAAATAAAGATCTAGTAGCTATCTTTATAGGTATAGCTACTACTTATTAAAAGAAGTATTTTTTCGAAGGCCTAAAATATATATAGTTAGTAAGGAAAACCTAGTATTTCGATTACGTAAATATAAGCTAACTTAGATAGTATTACTACTATTTCTACTATATAAAGATAAATAATTAGTACTATAATTAGGCGTTAATTATAAGAGCTCTAACTAAGTAGGTTAATATATTACTAGATCTAGAGAAAAAGGATACTAGATTTATACTATAGTAAGTTAGTTTAGTAAATTTTATAACTTATTTAAGAGATATAATAAATAATTATAGAATATTAGCGGCTAAGGCTATAGCTATATATAATTAGATATTAGAGTTTATAGAGGAGTTCTAAGGATAGTTTAGGGATATTTCGGTCTTAGGTTTTATATTTATTATTTAGTTTTTACTACTTTAGTTTTCTTAGATTTTCGAAATTATATAATAGCTTTTACTATATTCTTTATATTATAGTTAGGAATCTATTTATTATATTTAGAAGACTAGTTCTTCTATTTAACTAGAAAATAAAGCTACTAATTAATCTTAGCTTTATTCTTAACTTCTTTTATTTTGTATTTATCCTCTTCTTTAGCTGAATTAGGTATTAATATCTTTTTAATACTACTTTATACTAGATTATTATTCTATTTTTTAAGGAGGAAGATATAAAAGATATTATATAGATAGCTATATTTTTCCGGGAGTATAAGATAGTAGACTTAGGATCTAACTAGTTAGAGGATCTTAAAGAGGCTAATCCTCTTTAGTAATAGCTTTCTTAATTTCTTAATCTATAGATTTTATATTAATAATATAACTAGATTATTCTACTTAAAGGATATAGGAATCCTTTTTATATTATAGTACTTCTCTATAGTTTTATTTACTTTTTACTAATATTCTATTAGCTTTTTATATTCTATTAGCTTTTCGCG